AAAAAAAAAAAAAAAAAAAAAAAAAAAAAAAAAAAAAAAAAAAAAAAAAAAAAAAAAAAAACCTTCTCTGCGCGTCACAAACTCGTGGCTGGTATATTCCGTATCTCGGCGATTTTGCTGTGGGATTCCCTGTAGAGGACCCTCGTATTCTCTCTCACCTCGTCATAATAACTCACCCCGTACGTGCTTTTGACTAGTTTACCAGTAGCATTGCGGATCAGGATTTCGGCTGTCTCTTTTTCTTTTTCTTTCAAGGTCTAGAATCCGCTCCACTTATTTCTACGCATTGCTTGTATCGAATGGGGATTGAATGGAGACTGGGGGACGATCAATGCTTGTTCTTTTTTGGGGCAGTCTCAGCCAGTCAAACCCTAGTGTGGGATCACAACCCTGGTCATAAATCCCCTGTGTGTGGATTCATGACTAAAGCGGGTTACTCACATTGTGTATAATTGCATTGCACTATTAGTAGTATTCCTGCAGTGTTCATCATCAATCCACTGCCAAGACCGCCGCCCCGGGGACCGCATGACGCCACTCCCCCACCGGCTTCCCTCCCGCGGGTCTATTATCCATCGGCCGGCCGTGTGATCCATTTTCGGGTTCCGGGGCAATGGAAGGCGATTCGCAGTCCCTCCCGTTTTTGCCAAGCCCAAGGAATGATCACTCTTGAGCTCCCCGTTCCGTCCCGACTCCTCTATATACGAGACGGTAGCTATTGTTCGAGGAAAAGCTAGCTTCTGTAAGGAACCAGGCCAAGCATCGGCCCAAGCCAAACCGGTTGACGGGGGTTGTTGCTTAACCCGACCGTCACTGCTGTCACAACGTGCTGGTAGTAATACAGTTTAATTGGTGTTCGCAACTAGACCCTGTTTTATTCGTGCACACACAATGAAAACTCTTATGCTTTCTCCCTTGGATAGCACGTATCCCACAATGACGAAGCAAACCAACCCCCCCTACCCTTTGGATTCCGGAAGAGGGTTGCCAAGAAAGCAATGGGGCGAGCCTGAGAAGGAAAATCACAGGATGGTTCGAGACACATCATCCCATGCCGAATCAAGAAGCAAAACTCGGCACCTGCAAGGAAAAGGGATCAAACCGTCGCTTGGAGATCGACTCGTTTCACTGGGACGCAAATGATGCACGGGCTAATAATGGAACACTATGAGCCATCTGCCGCAATCCCCTATGCCAATTGCAATCAATCCAGAAACAGAAAAAGTACTTGGATACACCACAGCGCCACGCTGCATCAGCCGATCTTCAGGATCTTCCGTATTGAATACAATACAGGAGTCTGGATTACGCTCTTTTTGTCTACCTTCCCAGATGGGTTGACATGCCCGAACTGTCTTTTTTTATTTTTTTATTTTTCTGTGCTTCTTTCTTTTTCTAGAGTACGCAATTAGCATTCCTGATGGACTCTGCCAAGACGGTAGATAGCTTGTGAAGTGATAGTCGGAGGCAGCATCGACATTCATATATCGACCCCGGAGCTGCCTGGACTCAGGATCAAGAGGGTCTTAAATCTGAATCACTCTCATCTGCTTTATCAATCTTCAATCTCATTCTTCCTACTGTCGTTAAATCTTATATCTCGTTTGACATTCTTCCTAAGTTGTTATTTATCCATAGCCTTGGGAACTTTTTACATCTCTACCGCCACCATGCTAGTCTCATACAGTGCTCTCTACACCGCAGAACACCGGAAGCCGACGGCTCCTACCAAGTCGGTTGCGGCACCAGCACCGGCATTCAGCCTCGACACCATCCACCACATCGAAGAAGCCCATATGATCCATCTGGGTCGCCAGGTCGATGCCAGCAAGCAGCTATTCCCCAACGAAGACCTCAACCTTCATCACGTCCCAAGCGGTGGTGTGGCTGCTCTCACCATCCCCTTTCTTGGCCAACAAGTCAACCGCACTTTGGGTCTAGGCATGGAGGGCCCTGTGACCGACTATGACATCCGTGAGCTCGAAGACCTTCACCGTGCATCCAACCTGCCCGTCTCGGTTCTTCTTTGCCCCTATGCCGACCCCAGTGCTTTGCAGATGCTGGCCGTCCGCGGATACGGAGTCGACAGCTTCCTCAACATCTACGCTCGCTCTCTAAATGATATTCCCGTCAACATGGACCAAGAGCCAGAATACACATTTGGCTTTGACACACGGGTTTCCAGAGCACCGGCCACAGAAGCCGGAATGGCAGCCTTCATCCACAACTCTGTTGCCGGCTTCATGGACGGCGGCCGTCCAGTGACATTCCTGCGCGCCGTGGCAGAGATGGCTGCCCTGCGAACCGATACAGTTCTCTACCTGGCCAAGATTGATGGCCAGATTGCAGGATGTGGTGCTATGGCTTTCATGGAGACAGAGTACGGGCGAGTTGCTCATATCTACATCGACAGCACAACACCCGCATTCCGGGGTCGTGGTGTGCAACGGGCATTGATCCGGGCGCGTGTCCTGGATGCCAAACGCTTAGGTTACAACTTTGTGACCGTCCATGCCAACCCAGGCGTTGGTACTGGGCGAAACGTCGAGAAAGAAGGCTTTAGGTTGGCCTTTACCAAGCCTATTTTCACGAAGCGACAAAACTAATTTGCTTTTGTTTCTGGTGGTTTTCTATTTTCTCTAATGATGGTTTTTGGCTTTCTCACTAATGATACCTACACCCGGCGCTTTGATGGGATTTCTTTTTTTATATATATATATTTTTTTTTACATTCTCTGTATCTGACTTCAGAGGAAGTACATGAAAGTTGCTGGCGATTTTCACCTTTTGACTCCTACGTTTTTCTCCTAGAGCATAGGTTTTTCCAAACTTTGGCGTCAAATTGTATAGATTTAGAAATGATGAACAATCGTCGTTCTATTACCAAACAAAACTGCCTTCATATTTCAAATATTTCGATTTTTCTCCCTGAAGTTAATCGTGGCGTCTGAACCGAGCATGCCATCGTAGTGGCGAAAGCAAGACAAACCAGATAATTACCCCGTAGGATAGGGTTGAGATGCGAAATTCTTCGCACACGCGAGTGCCCGAGTCTGCGTCAGTGTCAAACCTGTCTGACAAGTCACACATTCCAGATTGCATAATTACCCTGACGCCTGCTTTTGGTTGAACCAAACCCAAACCAACCAACCCCCTGTACTGTACCAGGGGTAGGCGGGTAGCGGATAATGGGTCAGTGATCCATGCATGGTCAATCAGCTGCGCTATACGGAGCAGAGCAGTGCAGATCAAGGGGGTCTGGACTTTTGGACTTTTGACGGCTTTTGGAGTGACCTTGGGGGGTCTTTTGTGATTGTGATTCTGACTCGAGAAGGCAGGATTACAGCATTAGAAACGTAGAAACAGGAAAGGCGAATAGAAATGGACTAGAGGCTTCCGGATCCAACCGACCTTCAGCCACTGTGCATAGCTGTGAACTTTAGAACTATGTACATATCCATCAAGGTTTTGTTCTTCGCGCTGTAGACAAAATTCCGAGTTTCGGAGGATGCGCTGTATGAGTCAAGAATCACATCAAGGTACAGGTGTACGGACTACATTGGATGTTGGAAGTTGAGGGAGATGTCAGAATGATGAATATAATCCCACGTCTGGCTCGCTTAGAACAAATCGTTTATGGCGATTCGCTTACAGCCGAGACGAGGACTAGCTGCACAAGCGCATGTGGCGAGAATAACATTTATTATTCGAGAGGCTGAAACGATCTTCATTTGTGTTTTTGTGTACTCCGTACAGGTAATGTTTTGAGAATTCAATGCCAGCGCCTAGTCTGGAGTAGAAGGACAAGATATTAATACTATACCCCGTACAGGGACTAATAAACGTCCACTCCATACCCCATATTCCAGAAACCGAAATATTGAATACCTGACCACAATGCCGCGTGTACATACTGTTAGTGCAGTTCCTGACAGAATCACGCAAAGACCCGCTATGGCTTGGCAGTAGATAATCAGGGTTTGATCGGCATCTTGATCAACGGCTTTCTAAATGCCAAGAATATACCCGCCAAGACCCGCCAAGCCATCCCGAAGATCGTCCGTGTGGATATGTATTACAGGTTACAAGGAGAGAGGCGATCAATACATACAGGTACGTGTTGTGGTATCGGGTTGACGTACTCTGTCAATATGGATCAAGGGGATGTCTTTTTTTTTTTTTTTTTTTTTTTTTTTTTTTTTTTTGGTTCCTGGCGGCAGATTCATTGAAGATGTCATGGCTTTGGAATTAGATTATTGTTTTAAATATGCGCTACTCTCCTCTTTTTCCCTCTTTGATAGATGTCAATTTCAATGTCAACTCCAAGTGTCTGAGTTCCTTCCTTTTTTTTTTTTTTTTATTTCTATTTTTCTCTTTGCTTTAATCCGTCAGTCGTTACTTTCCTAGAGTATACTAGGGCCCAAAATTCAATATGAGCGCAGGCGCACAACAACAAAATCTCTTCCAACCTCTTCAAAAACCTCTTCATGACCAGAACCATGACCCTATCCCCCCTGGTTCCTCGGGCTCAGGCTCGACAGTGGCCGCCTCAGAAGCCTCGAACGATAGTACCTCGTCGCTTGTCGTGGTAGACTGGGATGGCCCGGATGACCCTGAGAAGCCGTTGAACTGGTCGCGCGCTAAGAAGAGGGCCATCATTAGTTCTGTTTGTCTAATGCGGTTTACTACGTATGTTCTTTCTTCTAGCAAAGTAAAGGTAGAGTAGCTAACATTACTACTAGTCCGTTGGCTTCGTCGATGATGGCCCCGGCCCTACTCCAGATTGGTGACGAGTTTTCGGGTACTTCAGAGATGTTGATTACGTTTTCTGTCTCTATTTATGTGAGTACCCTTTTAGAACATCTTTGCCAGCAAGTGCTAATCAGAACATAGATTATTGGTTTCGGTATCGGTCCTCTCATCCTCGCCCCTCTCTCCGAAATCTATGGACGCAACCTCATCTACAATGCTGGAAATGTCCTCTTCACCCTCTTCACGGCTCTTTGTGGAGTTTCTCCCAATGCGACTGCGCTTTTGATCTTCCGTCTGCTTGCTGGTGTCTTTGGTGGTGCCCCGTTGACCAATGGCGGTGGTACAATTTCGGATCTTGTTCCTGTTAGCGAGCGTGGACTGTACGTATCTTTTCTCCTGTTTTTTTTTTTTTTTTTTTTATATGTCACTGACGCTTTGTAGCATCATGAGTATCTTCAGCTTGAGTATGCTTATCGCACCCGTCGTTGGCCCCATTGCTGGTGGTTTCCTCTCCCAAGCCGCGAACTGGAGATGGATCTTCTGGCTGTTGACCATCCTGAGCGGCTTCACCACCATTGTCTGCTTTACTTTCCTCCGCGAAACCTACGGACCCGTTCTCCTTGAGAAAAAGGCAGCCCGCATGCGCAAAGAAACCGGCAACCCCAACATCCAATCCGCCAACAAGTCTCCGCTTCCTTTGAGCCAGCTCTTCCGCCAGGTAATCAGCCGCCCTATCGAGTTCTTGTACAAGAGTCCTGTCAGTATCGTAATGGCGCTGTACATGGGCTTGGTCTACGGTATCATCTATCTCCTGTTCACATCGTTCACGCAAGTCTTCGAGAACACCTACGGATTCAGCCAGGGTATCGCCGGTCTTTGCTACGTGGGATTGGGTCTTGGTTGCGCCACACAGTTGTTTTCGGGTCACTACAGTGACAAGATCTACGTGCGACTCTCGCAGCGCAACGGTATTGAACGCCCGGAATATCGTCTACTCCTTCTGATCCCCGCCGCTCTCTCCCTCCCGGTTGGACTTGTGATTTACGGCTGGACCGCATACTACAAGATCCACTGGATCGTTCCCATCATCGGTACCTTTTTCATTGGTGTCGGCTTCTCAGGATCCATGACCTCCGTTCAAACATACCTCGTCGACGCCTTCAGCGCATACTCCGCCAGCGCCCTTGCAGCCAACAACGTCGTCCGCAGTATCGCTGGTGGTGTGGTCCCTCTCGCAGGACCAAGCATGTACGACAAGCTCGGACTGGGATGGGGCAATACCCTTCTGGGATTGATGGCTCTTGTTTTCGGATTGACCCCGATGTACTTCTACCGGTACGGTGGAAGCAAGCAGGAGAAGAACGAGAAGGAGATACCCGTTTGAATTCTGTCTGTCTTTTTTCGATCTTCTTTTTTTCTGTTGTTCCATTCATCACACTCTGTGTTTCCTCTTGCCTTCAAGTCTTCGTTTCTTCGTTTCGCTCACTACATTTTTTTTCTTTTTTCTGTCTGCATTGACTGGTTCGTTTTGGAAGTGTACCACTATCCTGCATCATCGGTGTACTTGTATATATTTTGGCTTTCACTTTTTGCATTTCTTTCTGTCTATATAGATCTAGAGCGGACATAAAAATGGGCGGTTTGTTTTCTTCTCAAGATTGTGTTTGCGCGTACTCCTAACTGTACCGTTCTTGGAGAAATCACAGCAGCTCCAGCTCTAGTCCTTGCTAACTGTTAGTTAAATAATATTGAATACAATAGCACTTTATGTTGAATTTTTACCGTGCCTATTCTGTATGCGAGAGCCGTTGCATTACATTGCATTGCCTTGAATTTGACACGCCATTAGATGTTGAACAGTAGTGCTCGTGCCTCCGGGAAGCGGTGGGTTTAAAAGCGGAGGCACGAGTAATGTACGAGTACGTGCTCAGTGGAATATAACAGGTCATTTAACGGTGCCTGATTCATGTGGGATTCGCCATGGCGGCAATGTGCATCGATAGTTTCACCTTATCTCTGTATGGAATACATTTGTCATTAACTATGATACACAACTATGCTACATACACAACTGAATCAGAACATACCATAGTTAATACTCTACGCAAAAGGATAACATAAGTTTTCGCGGTACGTTATCTGAACGTGGACTCGCCACACTACAACACAATCGCAAAGATCTTCTTTTTTCCGCTGATCCTAACCACCGAAAATAATTCTGCTTGATGGACATCGGTGTCGACTCGTGTCGCTTCGACGTCGACGTCGATCATACTAAGTTATATATATGCATGCACGCACTCTTGGCTAACGTCATGCCAAGAATTGCTATGGTGGGTTTATGCAGAGTGCCGGATCTACTCCCGGGTTGTTGGCGCGGCCAATCAATAGGTGGAGATGGGGATTGCGAGTACGCGGCTGTACTTGTATAAATAATATGTGAGATATAAATAGTTCGAGGGCTTTGATGTGCATGTGCTTATGAGTATGATCACACGGTCGTGTCCGCATGTTCTTGTAGCCATGACCGCAAGTTGGCCATTACTGCCAGGTTGGTTATTTGGTTTGTGACTGTAAAGCTAGTTTATGCATTATCACAGCTGCTAGTTATGCATACTTTTATGTAGTTTCTGGCGCTATCAGTCCATGAACTTAGAGTCCGCATGACATGTAGATGGGCTTATCCGAGCAAAACTGAACTGAAAGGGCGCCGCTCAATTGCTTCTCTGGCGGTCACATCGACTTGTCTTTCTCCCACCTTGGGCGGGATATAGAGACAAGGTGGGCACCGGTTCTTTCTTGAAAAGAAGGTCCGGTATAGGACTCAAAAGGCAAGAAGGGCAAAGGAAAAGGGAGGGGCATCATCGTATTCGGTCCAAATGATGAAGTGCCAACTGCTTTAGCTGTTGAGGAGCATGATCTCTTATCTCTGTTAAATGGTGGCTAAGTTAATTTTGATGAGCCTTGTCAGTGCCCTATATCTGCAAACTTATCAACCCACTAATTGCTCTTATGGTAGTTCTCGAGCAGTGGGTGCGGACTAACAGACATGGCTAGTAATGGATTCGACTTGGAGAAAGTCGTGTAATAAAAAATCTGACTCGTACGACGCTGTGAAGTCCATTCTGTAACCTCAAGTAAGGAAGTGCATGTCTGTTTCGCCTTTAATAACCTTGTCTTTAGTCTTATGCTTCGCGTGGTGCGAGCTTCGATCCATATAAATGGTGAGAAATGTGTGGGGGCAAGTGTTTAAAGGAATAGACGAAAGTCGATAGATGTACGAGAGTGTGCAAAAGTTGTATTTATCTTCCTAGCCTTGATTGCCCCGTCAAATGTATCGAGGGTCCTTACACACAAAGCCACGAATTGAGAGGCACCAATTAAGCTGGTCTAATGGCTGTGGCCTGTATACTGCTGCCATTCACAGATTGAGCCTCTAATAAGGAAGGCTTTTTTAAAATTGAGATATTGGGAAACAGAACCCAAATGTTGGCTATACTGCAATTGAGAGAAATGTCAGTGTCCGTAATAAGGCTTTGGTAAACCTTAGTTACCCACCAAGGATACCGGTAAGGCAAACGGGTCAAGCGCGCGCCCCCTGAGCCTCATCAGACAATCCATGCACCATGCTAGCGTTAACGGAGAAAGCTTTTTTTTCGCGGGTGATCGTCCCTGCGATATCTCCTGGGGATATAGCAGGTTCTGTCCGAGGTTTTCGTACGTTTTCTGTCTTTGGTTGCTTGAAAACCAGTGTCTCTGCTTTCTAAGCCATCGGATTTGCCTGATGCATCGACATGTTGAATAGCCCCAAAGATAGGTGTTTTATGGCCCATGAATAGCTAAAGGAAGTTGGAGGGGCTGTACAATGGAACCAGCCACCCTAGTTGGTGCTACGTTCGTTATAAAAGACGTAATTTCCTGATAGAAGGATACTGTGAAGAAGTATTTGACAAGGTTGTTCTCGACGTTTAAATGCTAATGATGACCAATGAGAGTCGGTATGCTGAGGCAGCAGGATGTTGAAACTTCAGGTGTCTTCCTTCAATAGGCACTAGTAAGCTGCTTGAACTAAATAGTCATTCAACGTTCTGACTTACAGGATGCTATTATCCTTACTGCTAGGCCTCGACCGGGGTCTAGGAATCCAGAATTTCCGACCCGATTTAATCTTGAGTGGGATACAAGCTATTGACAATGCTCAACATATGCGCGTATTATTCGGACATGTGTCGAGCCTGAACCATGGGTATTGTCTGCTGTGGGCTAAGGCACACTCTATCAGATTGGGTATCATTTCAAGTGTTATATGCATGTAAATATCTTTTTATTTACTCATTGCATGGCACAACGCACGCGACTAGCCGAGAACCATTTGTTTTGGGATGTTACAGTATCTTGTTCGATTGCAATAAGCTCACAGCCGAAAGGTGACAGCAATCTCCGCGGACACCAAGTGGACCAGAAGTTGACTCGAATAAAGCTTGAGCTTAAGCTTGATTTCAATTAACTCACGACATATTCGGATATTCTATCACGGAGATATAGCCTATAACTTTATGCGACACGTAGGGCAGATTGCAACGACTGTTCTCATTTCAACAACCCATACATAATATCGTAAAGCAAAATCACAACGCAAAGAAACAAAACCAAGAAACAGCTTCATCCATGATAAACCCCATCATCACCAACCAAGCTCTCAATCTCCTCAAAACCAATTGTGCCCACGGTCAATGCAACACCATCCGGGTTTGCACACTCCCCAGCAACTCTCACGCTTCGCAATCCCTCAATACCCTCCCCCTCAATCTCCACAAGCAGCAACGTCTGATCTGTAGCGGTCCGCTCATCTGCAATGTAAAAGTACGTCTCACTAAGCAGAGTACCGGAGGCATTCGCACGCAGACATCCGGCAACTTGCTGCACGGTCATTCCGACGAAAGGCGAGATAAAGGACTCAGTGACTGGGGTCTGAGTGGCGGAGTCGAGAGTGTAGGTCTCCCAGTCGGATTTGCTAATCGTGGAGAGGAAAATGAGAGCTGGCTCGCAGTCGGGGTCGTTGTCGTAGGTGTTGGTCAGGATTGCGGAAAGAATCTGTTTTTGTCAGCTTGTGCTATCTCCATGAGGTGCATAACATGTGAATCTTACAGCAGACGGAATATTCGCCGTGCAAATGACGCTGACAAGTGGTTCACCCATTTCGCAGTTTTTTTTTCGCGTGTGGTACAGCGAGTTTTCTTGACTGTCAGATAGAGAGAAGTTGGGAGGAGGGAGAGTTGTAGAAACTCAGCGGGCAAGCCTTGTAAAAGGAGAAATTCGGCTGCCTATGGTGGTGAATGTGTGTACTCGTTGAGACGAAAAAGCGTTGTGTTCCTGTATTCACTGGTCACCTGATTGAATTTACATAGTATGGTAGTGACTGGTATCACATGATCTCATTTTTTCGATAAAAGCTCGGTATAGTTGAAGCGCCTCAATGGTTGTATTCATTGTTATACATGGCAGTACCGTGGCTGATATCAGCACCAACGGTTACACTCTGGTTTCACATTTCTCTCCGAGTGTCCCACGACTTGCGATGCTGTTCTATACATAAGCCCCAGAACATGTTATTGTTACTCGATAAATGGTCTTACCGGGGTACGGATATCGAATGTAAGAAGTAATTAGGGCTATGAATATTTTCCTATTCGTCAGAGCAGTCGAAGAGGCTATCCTATCCTTGACTTGCCCTGAGTCCTATCGAATAAACTCGATTCTTGGGCTCACACCAGAAGTAAGCTTACACGGAGCATAATAGTGGGAAATGAGCAAGTAGGTATTGAATAGAAGAAGCCATGTCTATATAAGACACGATAAAATGGCCTCGTAGCAATGATATTCAGAATATTCAGTTGGCCTAGTCCACTCCAATTAGCACTTCCAAGATGAAGTTCTTTTCCATCTTCTCCATCTTTTTCCTTGTCTCCAGCGTTACGGCCGCCAACTTTGCCTGGGACTGCACCAAAAGTCTCGGGACATGCCAGAACTACTGTTACGCCGCGAAATGCGGCCGTATGGGCCGCAGGAGATTCACCTACGATAGCAATGCAAACGCCAGACCGGGACGTCGAAAGGCTTCTGGATGTAAACGAAACCCTTGCAATGATAAGAAACTGAAATTTGGGAAGTTTGGAAATTCGTGTGATGAGTTTCCGTTTGCGAGTGTTAAGGAGGGTGGGAGGAATGCGCATCTGAGGTGTGTTAACATAAACGAGAATAGGAGTGAGTTTTCCTGTTGCTTTTGAGGTTTTAGATATTGAGGTTAATGGGTACAGGTGAGGGAGGGCAACTCAGTGGCTTCTATAAGAAGATCAAGAATGGCGACAAGTTCGGTATTACAATAAAAAATTACAGAAGAGCGTGAGTAGCCAAGGCGAACCTCAGTTTTCTCCTCAGTACTGACAGTCCCTTTTTTTTTTTTTTCTTTCTTCAGCTCATATTGTGCCGCCAAGCCAAAGTGTCGAAATGACGGCGGCCAGTTCAAGTTGAAGAATGGCAAGTTCGCTCCATCCAGACAAGGCCTCAACAGCACGGAGGAGTTTGACCTCGATAATGAGGACTATTTTGTTCTCGATGAGGCCATCAACGGCGAAGAAATGGAGCCGCTTCCGCTGAGACAGGTGGAGACTGATGACGGCGAGATTCATCTTATTATTGCTGATGACCTGGATGACCCGATTAGTGTTGGGCATGAGATCTGGAGTGAGAGTGCGAATGGGACTGTGCGGGTTGTACGGGAGATATTCGAGTAAATGGTATCTTGGTACGATCTTTGCAGTTGCTCTGAAATGACTCTCTGAATGGATTCATGAAATTGGATTCATGGTTGAGAGGATCTAGCTATGGTTAAGGCTTATCCACTTCAATAAGCTACTTTCAGGCCAATTAAGGGATGTCTTCATGTGTAATCTGGAATCGAACCTTGAATTTGTTGTGTCATACAGTCAATTAAGCCTACTCTCCTAGAACCAAGTCTCAATGTATGCTAGGGGGTAAGCCTGTTTAAATGTAGACAAATAAGAATCATTCGATGGTATTTGGCTTCTGGTACTTTGCCTCAGAGTCCGTCCCTACTCTCGTAGTGATTTCAGAGCGATGTGAATAAGTTCTCATTTTTTTGACCGCTTACAAAGCGCCATTATGAATTCCAAAGTGATATAAATTATCTCGCTTAGTGAGGAATTTACCAATGCGCTTCTGTTGAACAGCATCATCAGCCCATAACAATATTGGTAAAACTATTTGACGTTTGAAACTTTTCCCATCAACTCAGGTTGCAATTAAGCGCTCTTCGCGCAGTTTGCACTTCAGAGAGTGAAAGAAGAGCAAGAAAGAGACAAGACATATGAAATGGTTCAAAATGGGTTCCAGGCTTCTTCAACAACTGATGCAAGTTTATGCAAGCCTTGAAAGCCTTGGTATTTCTGCTATACTTTTGACTAAGAAGGATAGCGGCGATCAACTCTTAATGATGACATTTTCTTCCAATCAGATCTCCGCAATCTTGGGTGGAATAAATAGCCGCTTCCTTTCAGTGTCGCAGACCTCCATAGCTGAGCGCCTGGGCCCATTGTAACGGCTCAGCCCAGCACCTTCATCAGCAAACATCATCAACACGGCAAACAATGCCATGGAAGCAACCAAGGCAAACAAGCTGCTTAGCGAGACCACACACAACCATATAGGACTTCTTCATGTAAATAGATTTGCCTCTTCTCTTTTCTTCTCCAGATTCGATATTCTAGTCGATGGCTACACTGGTTTAGATAGAAATATCATTTCATTAGTATCTACTGGTCCGAGCTCGTGACATAGGGCACCTTCCCATTTACTGGGCGCCTAACAAGCAACAAGGTTACCAATGATATGTTTCTTATCTAGGCAAAGCGCCATCAATTCCATTTTTAATTGTTTTAGCAGTTACCTGACAATCGGGTATTTGGACCAGATGAATTGCCAGCTCATAGTCAGGAATAGCCAGTAATGTCTAAAGCAAACTGGCCTATGAAGTATCTAAGTTTCGGAAGCTGTGATATCTCCTAGAAACATTAGTAGCTAACCTGTCTCCCGAGGCGCGGCCCACCAGCCATAAGAATGTGCTAGGCTTAGTGCCTCATATCAGCTGGCGGCAAGAACTAACATTCTCATTTGCTATTAGGAAAGGAATTAGGAGTTAGGCCAATTCATTTCTACTTAGTGCCTGAAACAGCAGCGCAAGTCGATTTAAGCCGGGCCTAGCCTGATAGCATAGGCCTTCCATTAGACACGGCCTGAGTCCGATTGGACATAGCGTCTGTAGAATGACTGTGCCACAGTGAATTTTAGCGCCAAAGTATAGTATATCGTCTTACATCCATTCATGCTGTCCTTGTAAAGTTGGAAGTGTCAGGCTTATCCTTGTCTGGACTGGTCGACATCCTGCTATATCTAAGGATTGGCATTAGTGTCTCCATCTTCCAGGTGGTTACCGGACGGATCACCAACTACGCCGTGTTCCTGGCGCAGTGGTTCAAATCAATAGACCGTCTTAAGCGCTGTGCCTGTGAGGCTAACTGTGCCGCAATCACTGTAGGGCTCGGATAAAATGCCATTACAACAATCAACTCAAGGCGAATGACTCTGAGGCCAGTGCATAGATCCTGCGGAATATTTGGACAGAAACACTAAACCAATTGATTTCATCACATCGGTCTACTTCATTGGCAAATCAGTGGATGATAATACTTCTGCTGATTTGCACATTTGCCTTGTTCACGCCCAGTTTTACTTTGTCCGCCCTTGCCAAGGTGCTCTCGCATTACCAATCAATCATTGGTTATAGAGCTGTAATAAAAGATAAATCCAAGTGCAATGGAGTAGGAAAGTCTTAAGTCACAGTTGGAATGACGTTCATCGTCTTCCGCATCTTAGACTCACTGGGTTTGCAGCCTCGTAGAGCTACCAGTTTCTATGTAGAGACGCCCACACAGTATGCGTAGTTCGGCCAGAGCCCAGAGCAGTCGCCATTTAGGGCCGGATTCCACTTGTAAAGTTCGTCGATCGTGATTCCAGCATTGTCAGCCATGTCGGCGCAGTAGATGCCTGGAGGCGAGAAAAAGAAGTATCAGCTATGAGTGGATGAGTCGGGTACTAAGATGATGCTTACCATCTTTCTGCATTACCCAACTGTTGCAATTTCCCGCGACGCCGGATTGAGTAGGGCCTGGGGGAGCACCGCTCAATGTGGGTGTTGATGAGGCGGGTGTGGAGCTAGGTGCTGTCATAGACCCCCCTTTGACACAGTAACTAGAGAAGAAGATGTAAACAAATGAGCTCAGAAGAGGACTGGTGCACTCTACTTACGCGGTGTCAAGCAGAAGATTAGAGCAGATTGAGTTAATCTGAGGGTTCCAAGCTCGCAATTCACCGAAGGAGACTCCATAGATGGCCTCAAGTTTCGCGCAATCGTCGCCTTCTTCAACGGTATGCCTAAAGGATCTGAGTTAGTAATAACTGAAATCATGGTTTGTTGGATCCAAAGCGCACCAGGAGTAGCATTTGGAAGTCGATCCAGTGGGAGTTGGACCGGGTGCTGTAATGTAGGTTGATGTGGTCATGTTCGAACCTGTTGTAGCATTCCAATTCTGCATGGGAAAGACACAGTACTCAATACCGGGTGACAAAAAGGAGCACCCTTTACCGGCTGATGGATTGATGGCCAAAAAGAGATCAACACTGATTGAGTACTTGAGCGAGATCTGCTCACAGGTGTCTCCAGCAGAGACCTTGTGGTATTTTCCACACTTGTCAGTGGTCCCGCCGGCAGTAGTACTGTCAGGAGAGACTGTCGCTGTGGCGTATTGGTTTGTCTTGGTAGCAGTCGCCCCTGCAATGGTTGTGGGTGTGTACTGCGTCCCAGATGGACCAATACAAATATTGTTGTTAATGATGAGGTTCGAGCATGCGCTGTTCAGTGTGGGATTGTATTTGAGCAGGTCTGTCACTGAGATTTGCTGGGAGGATGCAATGGAGGAGCAGGTGTCACCATCCTGTACTTTGTAGACATTACATTTCCTGGGAAGACACCTAAGCGAGGCTCTTGTCAGCACATGGGACCGTATTTATCAGTTATTACATACAAGACCTGGTCCACGAGCAGGTTCGTCCCGTCTGGAAATATGTCGTTCAGGATCTTCAACGTTCCGGTGGAGACTCCTTGGGCCTCAGCAATGGCTTGAATATTGTCGCCCGACTTCACAGTGTAGTAGTTCTCTGATAAACAAGTTGCATTGTCCGGATTGGAGTGATCAACACCGGGAATAGATGTCATGTTGGTCGCCGGGGGTTGCACCTCAGTGGGCAGTGCGCCTGTGCCACAAGTCTTCTGAATCTCAGCCCAGTCAATGGCAAGTTTCGTATTGTAGTTGGAGTAGGCTGTATCCTGCATTTGCTTAATCAGAGCAAGAAGACAAGTAGAGCACAAGCGGTCTTTTGAGAGTGAGGTCAATGGCATGTCAGCATCTCCCAGAGACTCCTGAATGTCCCCAATCTCATCTGTATTATCAATGTTATCAATAGTTCCAGACTGAGATTGCAATACTTACTGGTGCAATATTCTCCATTAGTCTCATCTTTCAGACAGGTGCGATTGTAGGTGGCCCAGATAATATCACCTACCCAGAAGGCTGGGATGCCATCCCATGGCTGGGGATCATTTGCACACGCTTTATGGACACTATCATGGTATTCTGATAGTGATGAGCCACATGAAGCAGCACATAGCGCATCCTGTAATGTGTTGTTGCCAATGGGCCCATAGTAGTCAATCGCGGCCAAAGATTGCAGATATGGGTCGCAATTCAGTGCACCCTTAAGCGCCTCAGTGCAGCCATTAGACAAGGTTGCTGTTGAATTGAGGCCGTACTTGTAGATCTGGATCTCTGCTGCCACGGGAGCAGCTACCAAGGCCACAAATCTCAGTAGAGACGACTTCATGGCTTCTACCAGGTATACAAGATGAACAAGTAGAAGGTGGTTGGAGTGACACCAAGATCAGCCTTTCAATCCCAAGAAGAAATCTAGTAGTAAGCCTTTGAATCCCACTGATGAACATCCTTCTATGTCAGCTGTTAAGTATAACGCCTCGGTGCGAGTCTCTAATGGAGGATTCTGAAGTTCCTGGCATGTCGGAGTACTACCTGCATTTCCCCGAAATGAACTCAGACCCACCGGAAACTAAAACTTAAGTCGACTCCATTATACAGACTAAAATAGGTGATGTAACAATACGAGCCTTTCAGCTCCATTGGAAGCGAACCTAAAAGGTCCCTGCCAAGAATAATGTCTCAGAAACATAAATCAAATGCACAGGGTACCACTGCTTGTCACTACCCATCAAATTGTTTATGAAGTGTGCATGGGCAGAATTTTCTACTGAAAATGTCAATGCTCAATCAGTCAAGGCAAGTCATATGTAATGCTCAAACCATTCTGGCATAGCATCTTAATATGTCGAATCAGACAGGATTAATGAAGCGGGCCTTCGTATAACAAAATTAAACCCCAAAATTTAGGGTCCAGGGCTTGGATTCCTTCCGGACAACATGGTTTTGTTTTATCCACTTGGAAAATTTCGCTCAGTCATTGTGACCAGATCGAGAACTGCTTGGACTTGACCAAAATGGTTGCCTGCATTAGGTGGATTCTAACATACCGGAAATGACCGATCAAAGTTCCATGTTTGTTCACCTGAAGCAGTAGCAAACATTGATAAGAGTTAAAAGACTGGCAAGGTTGAATGATGTTATATATCAATCAAGCAACTGCACCTGGGCAGACTGGCTCAGCAAACCCTCTGACCAGTTTCACTCTTTCTTTCCTCCATTATGGACATATATTCACTCTTTTGCTTATTTTTTACTTTTTTTGTGAGTATATCTGTTGCACAGGACTACACATGCAGCGCCTCCAAGCCCTGTGAGATAGGATGCTGTTCTAGCACTGGAGTCTGTGGCTATGGTCCTGATTTTTGCGGGGAAACTTGCATCTCCAATTGTGATCGCAAGGCCGAATGTAACCCAGGATGGGGTACCAAGGTGAGCACATAGATGCTGCAAGCCATTTTGCGTGCTTAGCTCACTAGAAATAGTGGTCGAAAGCCGACAAGTGTCCACTGAATGTGTGCTGCTCTGAGTTTGGCTTCTGTGGTACCACAGAGGAGTTTTGTGGCAACAAAACTGTCACAGCTCCAAGCTGTGACGGTGGCTCTAGCTCGTCGAAAAGAACTATCGGTTACTATGAATCTTGGAGCCTCAGTCGTAACTGTGATAGAGTATATCCTGAAGGTAGGGTCCTGTTATTTTCTTCATGCAGAGAGAATGACTGTACTAACCTCCCTCAAAGCTATTCCTATTGGATCCTATACACATCTCAACTTCGCATTTGCCTTTATTGTAATGTTATCATTGAAGACTTGTCTCATTGAATGCCATCACTAACAATGTATGTAGGATCCATCGACCTTCAAGGTGGCGCCCATGAATGAGGGTGACCCAGAGCTCTATAAGCGCTTCACAGGACTAAAAAGCCTCTACCCGGACCTACAAACTTGGATATCCATTGGAGGGTGGAGCATGAATGATGCAGATCAGCCAACAGCCACCACCTTTTCTGACCTGGCAGCGTCAAAATCTGCACAGAAAAAGTTCTTTGCTTCCCTTCTTTCTTTCATGGAAACCTACAATTTTGACGGTGTGGATCTTGACTGGTATGCTATTCTCCCTGTCACCATTTTTAACTGGTTTGTCTGCTGATCTACATCACACAGGGAGTACCCTGTCGCCGAGGAACGCTCAGGCAGAGAAGAAGACTTTGATAACTTCACCTCCCTTCTGCAGAATCTACGAGACCATTTGAGCTCAAGCGGGAAAAAATATGGATTAACCATCACAGTATGGAGCCCCATTCAAATACGCATGAAGGCGTCACTAAGCCATGTGTTGTTTTGTTACAGATTCCTACCTCTTACTGGTACCTCCGACATTTTGATATCGCAAACATGGAGAAGATTGTTGACTGGTTTAATATCATGTCATATGACCTTCACGGCACCTGGGATAATGACAACCAGTGGACAGGGCCCTATGTTCGGGCTCATACCAACCTGACTGAGATCAACACCTCGCTTGAGCTATTGTGGCGGAATAACATCGATCCAGAGAAAGTTGTCCTGGGTCTTGGTTTCTATGGTCGATCATTTACTCTTCAGGATCCTGGCTGTAAGAAGCCTGGCTGTATATTCTCCGCTGGAGGAAATGCTGGTGACTGCACAGGCTCAGTGGGAACTTTATCCTATGCAGAAATTGAGAAGGTAATAGAGAATGGAGCTGATGTGGAACTTGACCACAAAGCAGCAGTGAAGTTGGTCACATGGGGTGAAGATCAATGGGTCAGCTACGATGATAGCGAGACATTGAAGCTCAAACTGGACTATGCTAACGACCATTGCCTGGGAGGCACCATGGTGTGGGCCACTTCCCAGGATGATTCCAAGGGAACAGCCTCTGCCGCACTTTCCAAACTCACTGGCCGCTCTGCACTTGCGCTGTCGGCTCGCTCTATGTCCACCACAGATCAAGTCCAGTCGTGTCGGCTGGGAGAGTGTGGGAAAAAATGCCCCAGCGGTCTCAAGCCTGCTCAACGAAGTGATGGGAAGAACAAGGGCAACACAGGAACCAATACAGGGTGCCCAGACGGTGAAAACCGGTTGTACTGCTGCCCGCCAGACAACATGCCAACATGTCGGTGGCGGGGAACTGCCCCATTCTGTAAAGGCAAGTGTCATGATGGCGAGGTTGAAGTGTCCAGCAGTATGAGCGGTACAGGTGCTTCCTGTTGGACAGGTCATAAAGTCCTGTGCTGTGAGCAGACAGCTGCCAACAAAGCAGTTTCTGAATGCAAATGGACTGGAAGTGCGCCGAGCTGCGCCGGGCTTGGTGGCAAGGCCTCTTGTCCAGATAGCCGGAAGAGACTCACATACTCGAATTATGGGGCTGGAGGCGAACAGCCATGCTTCACAGGGAGCAAGGTAGGTGCGCATTCTGCTATGTGGAGCCCAAGAAGCTGACAGACGTCTTCAGTCTTTATGCTGTGACCAGCCTCCCCCGTATGAGAACTGCGATTGGTATTACCATGGCGGTAAGATCTTGGGCCAGATACCCTTCAAGTGTACCGGTACTTGTCCTGCAGGAAAGGCATCGATTGCCACTGATCCAACGGGATGCTTAACAGGTTCGTTTTCCCTCTGTGCGGTCTGCAACCATAACTCGTATTTTGGTGCCTCTGGTTAATTCATGTCCCTTTCAGGATACGGTTCTTTCTGCTGTGACTCTCCTGCAACAACGGTAAGTGCAAGAGAGAAGATATATGAACAGCAGCTGACAGATTTCCCACAGAACGGCCCTCAGGTTTCTGATTTCTCCAAAAGACTGGAGGGTTTTGCCAAGAATCCCACATGTGGGAAGGACGATAGGCTGAACGCCAAGCGTGAAGAGAAGAACGTTCAGCTGTCCAAGAGACATGACCTCAGCAAATCAGATTGGTCTGATTTGTTGATGCAGATTACAGCCCTTGCAGCGGGCACAGCCCGGACTTATCAAATGACGTTAATGGCACAAGAATACAATACCTCCTACGCTGCTGACATTGGCCTCGATCTGGATCAGATCGCCGAATATCATGCCGACTGGTAGGCGCAAACTTTCCCTGGCAACAAAAGACTCGCTAACATCGAATAGGCCCAACACGGACTCTGTTGCTCTGACGCAAAGCTTGATGTGCTTGGGGAAGAAGGCCTCTGATACGATCGATGACTACCAGAAAGCTCGATCAGAAGTCTGTATCAATCGGTGTCCATCGGCAAGCACAAAGCGCCGAAGTGTGGAGGGTTTTTCTTCTTCGCCGCCATCGACCAACATCTCCAACCACCTGGGGGCTCGACGAATTGACCTACTTGATGATCCGCAGCCCGGTGGAGGTGGGTACATGCCAACTTGGAGTAAGTTTATCCACCCTCTCATTTCCCCATCCTTCGACTGACCGGTTGTAGCGTACATGATCCAGGCCATCATGGATGGTGAGTTCAAGTTGCTGTACGAGCAGCTGATATACACCAATCGTGGAGAGCAAATCCTTGAGAGTAAATATATACCCAATTTAACACAGCTTATTGGACGAGCGCTCATTGTCTTTAGTTGCTTGGGAACTTCCTAGTGGTCGCGACGGTGACAGCTATCGAGAAAGAGACAATGACCAATACGTGGTATTCCACTTTCACTTCGATCATCTCGTAGATTTCGAAGGTACCGACTATGCTGGGATCTACGCAATGGTCGCATTCCATGGCCAACAGCGCGACCGCACACTGCGTATAGATGGCAACGATCGAGACAATGACAATGCACGGGTTCATCTCATCGACTGTAATACTGGAGACGAGGCGAGTGAAGATACAGACTACTGGTACCCGGGATATGATACAATTGGTCAGGAGAGTCTTTGGGGACAATGGCTGACGGATTTTGGAGTTTGGTTGCATCAGCAGGATCTGATTACTGCACAAACTCTCACTGGCTCACACCGTGGACAATTGAGCACCTACCAGGATGAAAACAGCTTTTGTCCTGAGCGCTTGCAATTTGACTGGGGTGGATATACCCGGAGTCGACAATTTACTCCTGGAGGCGGATCTGAGGGGGAGCGGACTGATGATGAAGATGACCAAAATGATAACGATGGCGTGTAGACAACTTCGCTGATTGGTCTCACTGTTGGCCATTATTTGAGATGTTCCCATATGAGGATTTCGACCGGTGATCCTACCGAGTACCTAGCCAAGCGTTTTAATGAGATTAATTAAGGATAAAACCAAGATAAAGAAAGTACGTAACAGCAGTGTCCTGCTTTGCGTATTAGACAGGATAACAGCAATATGCGAGAATTAAGAATTCACATCAAGCACCTGGCTACTAGTAGTAACTAGGAGTAGTTGTAGTTGTTGTTTTGTTACTCTGTGTGTGTATGTGAATCTATCTTAACGTCTGGGCCATCCATGCTTCCTCGGAAGTTGAAGCGACCTGACTGTAGACCTTAGCCCACCCTCAAAGTGGGGGCTCTTACCATATGTAATCTCGAATATAAAGGTTTAGCCCAAACTATAGTAGTAGTAGTAGTAGCTATTTAACATCGGTGTGAGATCCCGTTGCGGGATATACGACGGGCAGAGCGAAACTGCCTGGCTAGAGTCTGAGGCTATTTATGTACAAGAAGCACCTCCCGCGCGGGAGGATGCTTAACAAAGAGGCCGCCTGGATCGGCAGTTAAGTCGAGAGGCAAAGGGGATCTATCCGGCATTTACCTGTTGTTTCGCAGGGGAAAAACCCGTCCAGGCTCGGGGAAAAAACTGCGAGAGATAGATACTTGGCATAGAAAAGACTTGTGGGTGTAGGGTCAAGCAGGATTCGAACCTACAAACTGCCTGGTGATGTGCGCACCGGCAGGCTAGCCAGGCTCAGTGTAGCCCAAATTGTATTCACCAATCAGTCAACCACTAACACTTTGATTGATTGATTGATTGATTATCTCGTACGCCGTCCCAGCCAAACTTAGTCCATGGCTATGCGGGTGTCGAGGCTATCTATATGTGTCTATATACATGAATTTGAAGACTTCAGTTGAGCTCTGTATACCCAACGGCTTAGTATCCATCGCTAGCCCAGATCTAGCAACTTCACCTCGCCCAATGTGGCAGCGTGTGTGCGCTGTGCATTCATTTCTTGATGTCTTGCGTGTGTGCCTTGCTTCCTAGTTAAGAGGTACATACAACCTCTGAACTAGGGAGCATGTAGGAAAACCGAGATATTGGGGGTCGCAATTGGGTTCTCATCATTGATGGGTCTCTTGGTAAAAACAAAGACAAAGATGCCCTACCACCTGATTCGCCACTCTACTGGGTGCTGTTGTCTTTCATCTGCCGGAGTAAAAACCTCGTTAGGGGAAAAGCTCGCTGTGATGGTATGTGGTATGAGTGGGTTCTGGGCTCGGGTTATAGGGTGAATTGATAGCTGAGGGGACCTCGCACAAAGGATCTAGCTATCCTTCTGTTCGAGAGCCGTGTGGAGGGAGGGGTGGAGAGCGGATAGGGGAGAGAATCTGCAGTGTTTGCGGTCGTACTTTGATAGCTGAGGAGACCTCCAGGACACAAAGGCCTAGCTATCCCTATGTTCAAGGCCGCATGGTGAGTAAGGAACCAGGTAGGGAAAAGTGGTTCCGTGGTATTGGCGGTCCAACATTGATAGCCGAGGAGACCCAGTCACAAGTCTAGCTATCCTTCTGTTCGCCGTGCGGGGAGTGAGGAGATCCTTGGATACACCGTTCAAGGTCATATGGAGGAAGACAGGGCAGAGGCTAGCTGGGAAAATCCTACAGAGGAAAGTCCTAACTAGCTATCTTTTTATCCATAACCGCATGGAGGGGGTCGTCGTAGCCAGGTGGTGTTGAAGAATCTGCAGTCATAGTATGACACGCGTTCCGCCACCACCACACCATTTTTCTTCCACTCCTTTGGACAGGTCTTAGCTTCTTCTCACAAAGGGAATCTCTGCAAGAATACTAGTCCCCAGCACCGCGTAGAGGTGCCTGCCCATGCTGGGGCCACTAACACTTTCGGATTCGGATTCGGATTAACTCATATCCGTCCCAGCCAATCTTAATCTATGGCTATGCGGGAAACTGCCCCTCCGGCTGTAAGCCGCCGGGGTAGTTTTTGATACCTATTTACATCTATGGTGTGTGCTTTTCTTGAGGGCTCAGGTCCGCTCAGGATCGTGAGAACCCGGGGTTCCCCGGGCCCTCTCTGGTTGCTATGTACCCAATGACCTCTGTGCTCTGCCTAAATTGTTTCCTCCTCATTTACGGCCCCGAATTGCCCAAGGAGCCTGGTTCTCAGCATGAATTTGGCTGCACGGATTGCGAGCTTAGGTGTGTTCAGGATTGCCCTCAAATTCCCTCCCCCTTCTAGTCCTCCGCCTGGTTTTCCCAGGAACTGCTCTCGAAGATCCTTGAAGATGGGGCATGCCAGGAGTACGTGCCGCACTGTCTGGGTGGCCTTCCCACAGCGGCAGTCCCCATCTGGTATATCTGGCACCCCACGCTGATAGAGGTAGTGTCGGAGCCCTATCTTTCCTGTGCGCATCTGGATGATGACTGTGCTGAGCGCCCGATGGAGACCCCGGTGCATCTTCAGGACTTGTTTTGTCAGGACTGGTGTAAGCTCATACACTGCCCGTCCATGTGGGCTTGTCTGCCAGTCATGTTCCAACAGCGTGTTTACTGCTTCCCGAATTCTGGATTCTACGGCTGTTCAGAGAAGCCTCTGCTGAACTAGTCGGGGGGCTGTTGCTGCAGTTATGGCTTCTCCCATCCTGCCTCAATGTCCATGGGACTGTCGCCATCCTGTCGCTTCTTTTGCTGCCCGGTCCGCCCTTTCATTCCCTTCGACGCCACTGTGTGAGGGTATCCATCGGAAGCTTATTGTGAGCTTGCTTGTGCATGCTCTATCAATAGCCGCTAGCACTGTCTCCAGGATGTATTGTCCTGACTGCCTGCCTGGGTTTTCGATTGCCTGCAGTGCTGCCTGATTGCCAGTGAAGACCACAGCGTGTTGTATTTGGCAACGTAACATGATGACCAGAGCTAGGAGGATCCCTTGCAGTTCCGCAGCATATACTGTGGCCTCTGACTGTTCTCCCATGTACGCTGATCGCGTTTCCTGGTGCTTTGGGCAGACTGCTGCTGCTCCCACTCTGCCATTGACCCCGCTCCCATCTGTGTATATTGCTGTTACTGGCTGGCCATGGGCCATTATTGTGTTGTGTTCTATGATTGCATTCTCCATGTTCTCAGCGATGATCACCTCCGGCGGGCTCCAATACGGCACTGTGATGTACGACTGGATACGCTCCAAATCCTGGAATCTGGTCTGTCCTAGTCTCCGCATGGCGAGTTCGCTGATTCTCTCTAGTGGACTCCACTCCCAGGGGCGCCAGCCAGGGCGGATGCGTCCACTCCCTATGGCTTCGCCTCCGCGTGCTCTCCTCACCTGACCTCCAGACTAGCTTGTTTCAATATGTGTTAGCGCTTCCAGTGCCTGTTTCTCCAGGAGACATTTCATAGGTAGCTGATGCGTTTCTATGTCCAACACTGCTGTCGCTGTGGCTCTGAAAGCGCCTGTCATGGCCGCCATGGCTCTGGTATGGATTTGGTTTAGAATCCGAAGGCGTGCCTGGCGATGATCGCTGTCTGTCTTGAGGGTGTGCCACGCTGAGCATCCATAGAGGAGTGCTGGAAGCACCACAGCTTGGTAAATCTGGCGCAGCTGTATCAGACCTGCTCCCCATGTGCTTCCTGCAAGCGTTGCCAGCGGTTTCAGGAGGGGAGTTGCTTTCTTTTGAAAATTTCTGATTTGGTCGTCCCATCGGAGTGCTGGGTCCAGGATGATACCCAGGTATGTGGCTGACTTGTTGGGTTTGACCTCTGTGTCTCCGATTCTCACAGTTTGCGTTACATCGAATTTCATGCTGGAGCGGGTGAAGTGTATGAGTTGGTATTTCACTGGAGAGAATCTTGAGCCATATTTCCTTGCCTATGCTTCAGCTCTATGGTGTGCCCGCTCAAGGTTCCGGCAGTTCTGTTCCACTGATGTGCTCCTTGTGAAGAAGTAAACATCATCAATCCATCCTGCTGTCTGCATATCCTTGTCACCAGCGGTATCCAAAAGATCCGCATTGTAAAAAAGGTACAAGATTGGTGATAGTGGTGAGCCTTGTGGGATTCCCACGTCCACCTGGTACCATGTCGGATTCTACGTCACCCATCCGTATGGTGGTCGTTCTGTTACCAAGAAAGCTCGCTATCCACCCTACTGTGTCATGGTCTATCCTCCTCTTTTGTAGGTTGTGGAGCAGTCGTGCATGTGAGACATGGTCAAATGCACCCGAGACGTCGAGAAACAGGACACTAGCTATATGGGATGGGGTCATTTTCCAGGTTGTATGTATTCTTTCCAACAAGATATGGATCGCCTGCTCTGTTGAGACTCCTCTCCATCCCCCCAGGTGCTGTGTTGGTAGTAGGCCATATTTTTCAACTGCATAGCTGAGCCGCTTTGCTATAACTGACTCCATTACTTTGCCCAGAGTGTTGAGTAGCGCTACCGGTCGGTAGGATTTCAATTGTCCATAGTCACTCTTTCCTGGCTTCCTGAGTGTGACTGTGATAGATTCCCGGAAGTGCTGGGGGCAGTAGTGCAACCGAAGACAAGCGTTGTACAGGCTCTGCAGAGCTTTTGCTATGCATTGTGAGATGCAGTGTAGTAGGTGACTTGGGATGGTGTCCTTCCCTGGCACTTTTTATAACCAGAATATTTCAACCACCAATAGATATAGATGTTTAGTCATAAGATAGAGGCATGAATACATAAGCTAGAATAAGGTATATTACTTTCTAAAGACTTTGTATCTTTTGTAGCCATAGGCGCTCGAATATTGAAAATTACAAAAAAATACAGCGGTAATTTATATTACTTGGGAGAAATATTAATCTGAAGAAGCTTTCTGCTCAGATTATATAATTTAAGTACCATGATACACTATATTTGAATTTTAGGCTCTGTATATATTTTGTTGCTGAGATATTGAGGTTATAAAAAGTGCCATTTATATGGAATACAGAGCCGCGCAGCTCGGTAGTTGATTACGTTAAATTGCCAGATAGGAGCTTTACAGTAATTCAGACCTCTTTTGCGATTCCATTGGTTGAGCCATATGTCCACTACACCCTGAAATCCAACATAATGATAAGGATCGATCGGATAAATGGTTGACCCGAGTAGCGAGGTCAGGATTCTTATAGTCGACGTGTGCACACATACTGTAGATTAAGCACTCAATCAGCTGCGTATGCGCACATACGTTCGATAGGCAATATACCTCTTCCGTTAAACTAGTCCTCTCCATGTAGACCTCGTTAGTCCAGAGTAAATCGACTCCCGATTTCCCATTTGAGCTACAATCCGAGAGACCCCGCTTCATGTAATATAATCACCCGGCCCCTCCTTGCAACGCACAAAGATTTCTTCACTTCTTTTCTCGACACCAACATGGCCTATCAACTCACCGAAGACGATTTGGATACCCAGAAGGAGTGGGGCTCAGCACCAGTCCGCGCTGCTCGCAATCCCAACCCTGCTGTGCTGCAGGCCCTCATGGCCTACTATCAAGAAGGACTCAGTCGCTGGGAACAGCTGTCACAAAGAGAGCGAAAATTCCTGCAATATTATGGGCCCAATGAAGGTGTATGTGGGGCCATATGGGGTACTTATGAGTCTCCTCTAACTGCAGCCATCCGAGCGAAATTAGCATGCAATGTGAACTTCCTTCTGGCGTTGGGCGCAGATTGCAATGGGATTTCAGCTCATGATTTGTCTGACTATTCTGTTCGGTTTCTGCGTGGTCGTGACGCCGGGATTGACGTCTCCAGCTTTGCAAGTTGCCCCCCAAGGGCAGAACTCCTTGCGACCGCAAAGGCCAAAGGCATTGAAAGCCAATTGGCACCATTGACCTCAGCTGAATTAGATGAGCGCCGGGTCGGGTTCCCACGATTCTGGACAGAGCCTAATGTACCCGGTCAACGATTGCGCATGAACACTGCATTGACTGCTCTTGAGGTCGCGGCGCAGTGTGGTTATGAAGAATTATTTGATATTGTGCATACTGCAGGTGCTGAAGATTCCTCATGGCGATCAACCTCAGAGACCCAAGAGGACAGCCCGCTGGAAATCCCCAGCGAAGCTCCATTGTCAAAGTTGTCAGTTTCGTCACCAGTACACCAAGCAATTGCCTCTGGCCACCGATCAATGCTCAATAAGCTTTTCAAAACATATAACTACTGTCCTAACTACCGTCCCTTGGTGGCACCTACAGTGGCCCTTCCACCGCTTTCCTTCGCTATTGCCCAGTGTGATCTGGCCAAGCCAGGTGTGCGTGAATGCATCAGTGACCTGTTTGCACACCCACGTCTTGCCCCCCATCTGCGCACGCCTGTATTTGAAATACACCCGCTGCACTTTGCCACAGCAAGACACGATCCTGAATTCCTGGTTTGGATTGCAGCTTCCATCCCTGGTGGTCATGCTACAGCCGGACGCACAGCTCTGGGCCATACACTGCTCCACGTGGCTGCGCTTCCTTTGACTGGTGACCACACAGCAAAGACTAGACCAGCTGTGGAGCGCAGTATCCACTGCGCCCGCACATTGGATTATAAATGGCTCCAGCACTCTCAACCCAGTCCGCGGCACCTCAAATATCCTAGGGGCAGGTTTCCTCGGAGTACAGCGGTGACCAATCCCCTTAAACAAAAGCCCATGACAGAGGCCGAGCAGGCTGCTCAGTTGGCTACCATCAAGCTGCTACTGGAGTGGGGCGGATTCGATGTCCGAACGCAGGATATTGATGGAAATACCGCGTTACATTACTTGGCGGCGACTTTGAATGTTGGTTCTGAGACTGTAAATGTATTGCGAGCAATGGATGGTGGCGAGGAAGTCTGGCAGAGCTCGAAAAACTGGTGTGGCCTGACGCCAAAGCAGTTGATGGAGGAATGATAGGTGCATACAACAGCTCAGTAGCAGGGGTGATCATCTGCATCAAGTATTTGGTGTGATAGGGATCTATATTGGAAGGTTTGTTATTGTTAGAGCTCGTTTAACAGCCTTCCACTCCTCATGTCATGATTTGTTCAGGGAAACAAGGAGCTTTCAGAGCACCCAGTGCTCTGTGAGTCAACCAAGGCGCGATATTCGTATCAGGAAGCTGGAGAGGAGATAGAAATTCATTACAGTTACAGCCTCTATCAACTTGTGTTCCAAAGCGCCAGTCGTCGTAAAAAAGAAGAATAATGAATCCCATGTGAAGAAACTCCGGTTCACAACACCTATGACCTCTGGAGGGGGTGGACCGAGTAAGGCTATCATTTCGGCGATGTGTAGTCTAGCATCGTAGTGACCTTGTTGATCATGGATATGCCGAAATAGCTCTTTGCCTTCGATCATATCCCACAACTGGTCTGGCATTAGTGGATGCAACAACTTTGGAGAACAACGGCACAGATAGATACTTGGTATAGACAAGATTCGTGGGTGGAGGGTCAGGCAGGATTTGAACCTACAAACTGTCTGGTGATGTGCGCACCTACAGTCTAGCCAGGCTAAGTGTCTATACCACTGAGCCACTGGCCCATGATGACTCACTATGATAGGCTACGCCTAAAGCGGTACTCAGAACAGGTCCTCGCAAGCACGTGACAACTCCGTTGGACGCTGAAATGTGAAACGGATAAACCAATAAGGCGGTTAACTCCGAGTCGGGGAAGTCGGGGAGTCGATTATCCGGACTGCACGAGGCTATATATGAAGAAGAAACTTAGATTACACGGAGGGTGACAATGATATCTATAGACACCGTAGATGGTAGAATGAGTGCTTGGCTATCTAAACGAGTGTGTGTGTCCGTATATGAGGGATCTGTCGGCCTCGGTAATCGGACAAACTATTGATCCACCTCGACTTTCATCAAAATGGGTTCCGTCGGAGATTCAGGGGAAACCGGAGGAGTCGATCATCCGACTGCACGAGGCCTATATGTAGAAGACCCAGTTAAAACGAACGATTGATATACTCTATCTAATGTAGCCTAGAGTACACGACTGCTTGAGTGCTTGATGAGTGCTTGATGAGTGCTTGATGAGTGCTTGTCTATCTATATGTGGCGAACGCTGGCCATATATCAGAGGTTCGCTAGTCGGACTAACGTTATCCCTTTGATCCGACCTATCAGATCTCATCAGACGCCTCCGACGCGTCGGGCATACATTTACACGAGCCTTTATATACTAGCTTCTCCTCTCTCCTTCTTTCTTTCTTTCTTCATCGAATCCTTTTTGTATATAGCTAAACAATAGCTTTCGGGCATAGCCCATTACACTCACCCTCTCTATAGTGCACTCATCCAGGTTCATGGTGAAGAACAAGCTTTGATTGTTCCTAGGGAGGCGTCATTCGATGCTGCTCAGGCACTAAGATAGTGGTCCGGGCGATGAAGTATTCAAACCTCCATGGTGTCTAGATGTCACAGGCTGCGCCTGTAGAATAAGCGATATGTTATTCGGAGGGATGATCAGAAGGGTTACCAGGCTACCTACCCCGCACGATGTACATTTGTATATAGCGCTGTCCGATCGAACGTCTGTCCTTCTCTTCTTCAACGAAATCTTTTGTGTGATAGCTAGTCATTAGCACTGCGGGCTTAACCCTTAACATAGATCAACCTTCATCTACATTCATCGCATGTTTGAAGTCACTTTCAACCAACTCGTTCGGTTGTTGTTTGCTTGTTTCCCTGGCTATTATTTAAATAATAATAGCCATGTTCATGCTCTATTCATGCTCATCCGACCGAGGCACGTACTGTGACGGTCTCAAGCAATGGAATCTATTAGTAGACTATCTGACGAAATCTAATATAAGGAAAGAGGCAGAGACTGCCAGCGATGAGCTACCTAGTGTGTGTGAGGGGTTCGTACCCTATTTTGAAAAGACCAAAGCAAACAAACATGCTATATAACAAACGTCCATGCTTTGTAACATGTACAATCAAAACGTAGATATCAGAGCAAATCATGCAAGATCACTTAAATCACCAGGAAACTAATGGATTTACGTCAAAAGACACTGCTAGAAACCAATGAGCAGCTTCCAAAATCAAAGAGAGGACTACAAACCCTTTTCAATTCTTCCAATAAGCCAGTGGACGTTGTAGCAGAGAGAGCTTCAATAGCAGCTAAGCAACTCCGTCAGCTATCAAATTTGTCAGTACCAACGATCCTATCATCTTTGGCATATTTCTGCATCAGCTCCATCATCACACGCGCAATGGAAGCCAAATCATTCGATTCGCTTGAACCACCTCTGATTTCGACAACAGAACACATTGATGTGGCATAAATGCTATAGCCTAATCCATGCCCTGGGCGCCTTGAAATTGCTGCTGCATCCCTATCACTCTGGAATTGAGCTTCAATGCATCCCAGAATGCTAAACAGTCAATGGCAGGATCAACTAAACATTGCCCGTATTGCTCAAAGTGAGGTGTGAAATCAGCATTATGGTCATGAGAGCACGAGAGCATCGTGCACGTCATTTGCCAAGAAATTCTGCATCAGCAGATGATTGTTCTTGTAGCATTGTCCTTTCCACAGTAGCGTGTCATGGGACGTAGCAGACCAGAAATTTGATGACAGAACTCCAATCTTTCATCACTTGGCAGTGAGGTTTGGTTCCAGACTTTACAGAACCGTCTCTGCGGGAATTTCACCGGTGTCTGTGGCAAAAATAACCAACAAAACCACAGGTGAGGCATTTATGCCATTGGATTTGTTTCTCCCGGATGCTAAATCATTGTCATCTGAGCGTTCCAACCGCATACGCAACACATGGGATCGGCGTGGTTAGGGCGAAAGTGGAACACAGGACGGGCACCGAATGGGGTCGATTGTAAGCTGTAATCAGCCTTGGGAGTCTGTCAAGCCTAGAGTCGATATCTTTCCTTTGATAAGGGAGTCGAAAGGGCGGATACCATTAATGAAGAGCGGCCGGAAAAGCAAGACCTCATGTAAATTCGAGTTTTATTAGAAGATAGGGAAGCAAAGGATATGAACCAATTTAGTGTACAAAAAATAGAGGGAGACAGAATCAGCTCGAAACACCGGTCAACGTAAACGAAAAGGAAACCAGAAGTGGAGGTGAGAGGGCGCAGCCGCAATTTCCGGAAAAAATAAAAGAAAGGAGGTGGCGAAGTTCAAATTGCCAGGAATATGGGTGAGTGCAGAATATTGGAGGGAGTTTGGGAAGAGAAAAAGATTTGGGAGGAGACGAGGTCAGAACAGTGAGGGAAGGCTCTTTTATATTGGGAAGCCAGGTGGGCAGCGTTTACAGTACGGCGTATCAGGAGACTATACCAGAAACAGTAAAACTAGCCGGAACAGGGAATTCACAGGTCCTGGTTTTACAATATGAATTTTATTTATTCAAATTGCTTCTAAAAAGAGCTGTCATTATATGTGAATTCAAATATTGCCGATAAATGCCTTAGGATGATGCATCATCCTATTCACTTCCTTCTTCCTCGGGGGTAAAGGAGTGGATTGAGTACCCCTCGCTCCGTTCATATCGTGTTCTTCGGTGGAATCTGCGCCCATCTCCAACAGTAGCCGCACCATATCCCAATAGCCGTTATTAATCGCGTACATGAGAGGCGTCTTGCTCTAGAAGCCTTCGACCTGAATGTCGGAACCGTAGTCGAGCAACATCTAGACCATTTCAAAACGATCATTTTATATCACCTTGATGATAGTTGGATACGAGTTGAGGTCGGAGTCGGAGTCATAAGGGTCCTGAGCATGGGCCAGGCTCTCTTCAACATAGTCGTCGGGATCTGCACCATGCCGAAGTAGCTCATCTAGAGTACTGATGTGATCACTGTCAGCTACCAAATCCGACGCATTCGTGCTTTTCCTGAGCGTGACCTCTGCATAATCTTGCAGCATAAACTCGACCATGTTGGTATGACCTCCCTGTGCAACAGCCATTACTGCTGTCATGTCCTTTTCAATGTGATTGATATATGTGCCGTGCTGAAGGAGAAACCGAGCTGTATCGGAACGCCCTGAACCAGCCGCGAGGATCAGGGGTGTGGCGATACCGTCATCCAGGATATAAGATGAGTTATACGTGGTCACTTCAAGCCGGATATGAAGGCAGAAGTCATCAAAATGGTTTGATATTCCCGAGATGTCTGGAGGAGAACTGCTCCATTAGAATTTATGATCTCGCCATGCTCAACAGCATCTTGCATGATTTTCATGTTGCCATAAAACACACCCCATGTTAGTGCAGTATTCTCATAGGCCCTTACATTGGGCCTGTACATAAAGTCAATGAGCGTGTAAGACAGATGGCGATTGGTTCAGCAAAGTGCAAATGTATCTCCCTGCCAACCCAACACATCTACAATGAGCAGGAGCAGTTTTGAAGGAAGCTAACCCATATCCCACCATGGCTAATAAGATGAAGTTAAGGACTAAAACGAGAGGTGGAATGTTTCTCATAGAAGACACTTTGGAGCACTAGTAGAACTGAGAGAAACCTGGTGTTCTTTGTCGTGGAAAAGATGCAAACTGATCAGTTGATCAAAAGAAACAAACTGGAAAGATTCTGCGAAGTGCAAATTTTGACAGGTCAGCATATTGATGAGTGCTTAACTTCTGAGGGTCCGGGTGTTTTGGACGATTCTAAGAGAATAATTTGGCGCTTTTACTAGCACATTTAGATACATATAGCTCTTCGCAATCTGATTTTAATTGGCTCTAACATCTTCTAAGTAGACTGTATATTAAAACGACCACACTAGATAAAGATCAAGAAGATTGTCCCGCACTCAATCTTCCTTACCTGTACCAGTTGTGTCCGCACCGTATCTCAACAGCAGTCGTTTCATGGACGGATTGAGGTTTTGCTTTGCGTGCATGAAGGGCGACTTGTCGTTAAGGTCCCTGACCAGGATGTTGGCACCATGATATAGTAGGGGTCGAGCAACGTCAATATAATCATTCTATTCCGCACAAATCAGGGTTGGATATAAAAGTCTGCCATTGGGACCGGCTGCATGGCGAAGTGACAATTTAAGGGCGCCGACTTGGTTACTGCTTGCCGCTAGATACACTGAATCCATGCGTTCATCAATCCTGACGTCCACGCCGCTTGTAGCAAACATTCGACCACAAAAGTATGTACCCCTTGTGTTGCGGCTATCAGTGGTGTCTGTCCTACATAGAGATCGATATCGACGTCGTGGTCGAGTAGGAAAATGACCCATATCGAGCCGTCCGAGCCAGTCGCCAGGACCAACGGCATGACCGTCCTGCGCTCTGGCAGAAGTTGTTGACTCAACAGGTCGTCTCGATCTTGGCCCACGAATCTCCATCCTGGTGTATACATTTGCACCATTTCTCGCAGCGGCTTTCACAATACTCATGTGACCATAAAAGGCTCCCCACTTCAGCGCACTGCTTCCATAATACCACGAGTCACACTTGTATACAGTCGTTGAGAGTGTCATGGAGATAGCAGGTTGGACCAGCAGAGTGCACTAACATGTTGCTGCGACTCTCTACACTCCAAAATAAGCAGCAGTAGATCCCCGGACAGCTGAAACAGTATCATGTTCTTTGAGTGTATCAAGTCAGTGTATAGAATAAATCAATTGAAGATACGGTTGTATTAGCAACTATAAAATAATTAATTCTTCTACCTCTACATCTTTTTCTACACAAATTACTTGACTTGTATTCCATCTAATTTTTTTTTCCGCTCAAGGTTCTGGCTTGAAAGTTGCATTGAAGACTGTTCTATTGCAGTAGACAGGTTGCTCTTGATGTTTATCTTCATCATGTCGTAGAATGGCAATGACGTTTGATGACTGCAACCGTGCTCGATACATCACAAACGAGGTCAATGGAGATAGTCTGGAAGACAGAGTCTAATGGAAAGGATGGGCGAGTGCGTTCAGATACGCAAACTCACAGATTCAACCAAACTAACAGAAATGACATCACAAGCAGACGTCTTAGCACGCTATATATATTGACAAGCGCATCCAAAATATCAGTCCGCTCTATGTCTGCAATCTTCGAAATCGTCACATACGTCCTCCATACGGAATACGCTAGTGAGATACAATTTAGCCGATAGCCGAAGACGAAGGGAGCGCTTATAGAGCAGGACAGGGCTAGGGCTTAAAATTTCCATTCCAGTGTCCTTCTAGATTGCGACATTCTGCTATCTTTCCTTTTCCTTGACACCATCGGCGTCCCAAAAATAACCCTGGGATATTCTTGCACAAACTTACTACTCCGCACGTGTCAAACTGAATGGGATGACTACGACAAGCAAACATGGTCCGGGCGCGATACTATTGATGCATACCGATTGATCGCACAATGTGCCTCGTGCCGGTTCCCAAGGACCGAGTACCATTTTTACTTTTCCGGACAGGGATGTTTGCTGGTCCGGGTTCAGCTTGCAGGTACTAATGCACTGCGTGGTGCCAGGATCGGAAATTGACAAATAGAAGCGAGATAACTAGCCAACAAGGTTCAATATTTGCAGGAAGAGCCTCAATATTGATATGCTGGGCTGGTGCGATCCAGGGTGATACTCAGTCTCCAATCCGGACTCGAAGTTTGCTATCCATGGCGTCGGGGTCTGTGCTACTTGTAGTTGTAAATGCTGAGAAAGCAAAGAAGAGAACAAGCAAAAAATGGTACCCTGAGACATTAATGGTTCAGTTGGCAAAGAAGAATGCACAGGACACGAAATGCCTACAGAAAGAATGCCGCGGTCAAAACAAAGAACCCAAAGGTCCTTATTTGGCCAGCTCCATCACTATAATCCCAGAAACACTGAATCATATAGAAATCGGGATAGTTAACTGGAAGAGACTAAGCCCCTGTACAAGGTGAGCTTTTGATGTCGACGCTGGCATGTTTATTAACGCGTTAACCAGGTTGAAACCGCAAATCATCGGGGTAGTAGAAAACGAGATCGCATGAACTGGCAAGACGATGGATAAAATCAGTATCCTGCCGCTAGAATTAATATTTATAATCCTTTCCCACCTCTCTCTCAAGTCCTTGCTCGCCTTCGGCGCAACATCGCGCAACAACTATGAACGCCATATCCTGTGCGTCCGGCATCTTCGATTAGCCGTATTCCAGAAGCGAATACACTCTGTCGTATCCTTCCTACAAGTTGGATGGGCAGCTCCAGACGAAATAAGTGAGTCAGGAGACGTCAAAAGCACCAAAACACAACCCTCCATGTACACCGTCAACATTATCCAACCGCGTCTTCCTTTTGCTTCGACTGGTTCATCATCGCTCCACGATAAATATGACACCAAGGACAGTCTCAAAATACTCCAGAGATGCAGCCGACCCAACCTTTTAATGGATCAAATGATCCGCAACCAAAACGAAATTTTCGCCCAATTCGTCAACCGTTATGGGAGCTCTCTTGCAGAGCTGGAATTCATGGCATACGACCTAGATGCTCAAGGTGCTCAGGCTTTAGGCCAAAACTGCCAGTACTCACTGCGCCATCTTGCACTGCGATTTGAGCATCCGCATATCCGCGATGGTTTTACAAAGCCGGCAATGTGGTTCCAACCAGCACCGGGGAGTACGGCTTGGAATGCACTGATCGGGATCGGACCTCAATATAAACCCTGCGGCAAGATCACAGGACTGGAAACCATTATCATGGAGCGGGCAGGTACCACGCCGTGGCAACTGTCAATGCTTGTGCAGAATAATCCTAATCTGAAGACGTTGAAGTTGAGGACGTGTAGTGGCGCACAACCGGAATTCTTGAACTGGTTAGGAGGTATCGACAAAGGATCAGACTCTGAGAGTATGAGCGGTGATTGTGAGCATGCACCTGGTGCGCAGCTGGAGATTCTCTGGTTGGAGAACTGTCAACAAGTCTTGGATAGAAAAGTCGAAAAGGTTGATAAACTGCCGGATGAGATTTGTGATATCGGTTTGGAGTGGGTAAGGGGGTTGACGGGCTTGAAGGTTGGTTATTTCTTCACGATAATTATTTTCAATCTTCGTTGACGATATGTAGTCCCTCTCTTTCAGCGAGTGCGCGTGTTTATCACCAGAGCATGTCGACAGAGCAAACAAGTCTATCTGGGGTATTCCAGAGGTTATTTTGCCACATTCTCCTCTGTTTGCAGATTCTGTCTTGGAGGTTGACCCGTTGTTTCGTAGACCCTGAATACATACAGAATACAACGGGCGTGGCATGGGTAAAATCTTAGCCATTACCTGGATATGCTGTGATACAATATAGAATGGAAGTAGAGTAAGCCAGATGCACGTCAAGTATATATTGCTTTTCTAAGCCCGTTACACCAGATCAAATCGAAACGAAACCTTGGCATCAACCTCAGTCGCCATACCATGTCCATGTTGCTTCTGTATACCTAAGCTTCGGCTGTATACAGCTGTGGATGTTGAGCCTTCAAAAACGCATCCACAGCTCTGTACTGCTGGTCTTGCTGTGAATGGTACTACCATTCACTTTTAGAAGTATAGGAAGATATTTTTCTTTCATTCATCACAGTGCTCTCTTCTCTGCTGACCTATTTTCTATGTTTCTTCTCTTTCTCTTTCCCTTTATTTTCTTTTATCATTTTCATTTTCTATACCACTCCCATCGACAAAGCCACTTATACCTCACTAGCCCTCACAATCCGTAATCACTTTTCGATCAACTCTCCCAACCCCAGGTCTTAACCCTAACACCCACGGAAGCATCTCTCCCGCCATGAGAAATTCCCGCGCCAACCATCTCTGGGAAACAGCTTTCTTTAAATTCTTCCCCAAGCGTCACTCTCGAGAAAAAGAAGAACCGCCAAGACCCCTTGAACCTGCTACTGAAATCAACGAACTCACCGACGGCTTTTACATGTACTCGCAGTCTCTGCTTGAAGAAGAAGCAAAAAAGAGAGCAGCAGCCATGGCGCACCAAAAGGAAGTGTCTGATAGTTCAGATAATTCTTTTTCTTCTGCTTTGGTGAGCCAGTCCTTACTTTCTTCGTATACGGCAGAGGAAGTTGACTGATGAGATAGATGTCTCCTATCGAGCGTCGTATCCGTCCTTACTGTATTGATAACCCTGACTGGGAGCAACCTGGGGCGTTGGTGGAGGAGATCCGTGACGAGAATGGCCTGGACAAGGTCAGCAGTATCATGTCTGTTTTTTCCAAGGTGTACGGCATTGCCAAAGTTGTGTATGTTGCATTTGTGAGCTTTGGTGTCGAGGTAAGCTGTACCCCCTAATAATAGATGAAGGGCTAACAGCGAAGCTTGACGACTTCCCCATGGGCTTCCTGTTCCACATCAAGCGTGCTGAAGACTATGTGCGTTCCGTCTCTTTGGCCGAGCTGAAAGAAATGGTCGAGAACCTATACTATGCCGTGTACGCCCGACTCATCGCCGAAATGGCCAATGTCGAACTCTGCTCTTCGTTCACCGTCGACATCCGTCGTGCCTCTGCGAAAGACACAATCGTCCTACCCGAGCCCAGCCACATGTACAAGATCTTTCTGTCGTGCAAGGAAATTCTCGACTCGCCCAGCATCTGCAGTGAACTCAACAAACATACCATCCAAGCCTGCCAGGAAGGCTTCATTCGTCGCATCGCCAACCGCATGTCAAACGGCGGCTTCTCCCTCGACGACGTCCTCGGTTACCGCCGCCACATCCTAACCGAAGTCTCCAACGAGCTCTCCCCCTTTTGCCAGAAATGGCACCGCCTCTCCGTCGTCTACCTCATGCCAACCGCCGAGGTCCTCGCCATCCTCTCCGAGAAATACCTCGCCATCATGCCCAAGGCTCCCGTGCCCGGCGAAATCTCCGTCTCCGACCTCCCCTTTATCAACCCCGACACCATCCGCCCGGACGTCTGGGAACGCCAGATCATCCTCGACCACCGCCAGGCTACACTCGCCAAGCTCGAAGGAAAGTCTATTGGTGATATCCGCCGCGAAAACAACGGCCGCCGTCTGTTGGATTTTGTCAAGGAGCGGAAGTGCGTGTGTCCGTCGACCTGCGATTGTGCGCATGATTGCACCATGAACATCGAGCGCCCGTGTCCCTGTGCGCCGCGCATGATGCGGATAATGGTTGCTAAGCGTCGTCGGGGTCCGGGTGTGCAGCCTCTGAGCGATAGGTGTAGCGGCCTGGCTAAGGCTATCTTCGACGGTCTTGCGGTAATTAGTCGTCACGTCGGGGACTCGCAGATGGTTGATGAGCTGGGTCTTGCTCTTCAGCTTATCGAGGAGGAGATTCAAAAGGAGCGCATGGCTGAATGAATTGTTGCCGGGTCGTACCCTTCTGGATTCCTGAGGGGAGCTAGACGGACATATACGTTCGCTTCTTGCTTTTTGAATGTAATGAGTAACGAGAAACGAGAATTGGATAATGCTTACTGTGTTTTTCCCTGGCTGGATACTAGGTACAGGGCTAATCCGTCATTAGATTATTTGGCTAGGATAGAAGTAAAAGAAGACCATAAGTAGTTCATTCTACAGACCTCGCCAAATACGGCATAGATGTCCGACCCCTATAGGGCTGACCCACAGAGCGGGTCCAAAAAAAGCTTCGGTTTCCCGACCAATGTGGACACGGAGAATGTAAATGCCTAGAGACAGAATAGGTGTACAGTCTGAAGAATTCCTCCTGAGTAGGACTGTATCAACATGATGAAAGGCGTATATACATGATTTTAAAGGTACCGATGATCAAATACCGCGACATAATCTTCCCATTCGAATATCAGCCCAGTCTCTTCCAGGCGATGCACCGAGATTAAGCAAATAATCGACCGAAACATTGTCCACCAGCTTCCATACTCACACCGCTATCGATTACACCCGACAACACATTTTACTATATCTGATCAGCGCCGTGGTTTAGCCGACCCTGAATGGAGTCTGTAAGGCGCCAGTCAGGGGAAGTGGATCCGATACACGCAGCAGTTTTTGTGCCAAGTGTGCTTCCTCATTTGCGTTCTCCGGGTATTTGCACAATGATGGAACTTCTTGTGAGATAATTTGCAAGCAAAGGATATCGAGTTCGCAGAGTTGAGGATCGTGCGTTGGCTATCCAGCACACGGCCCAGATGAGGATGAAGACCAGGTAGAATGATAGGACGATCAGTCGTCGGCGTTGCCAGTGCATTGTGAGTGAGTTAAATGTTTGTGAGAGACTGCTGTTGGCATGAGTTTATGTGTAGTTGAGGTAAAAGATTTACTTACGGTCGTGTACGGTTGTATAGTCTGCATCCTTCGTCTAGGAGACGTTGAAGTTGTAGAAACGGCGTGACAGTTCGAGTTAAAGAAAAGTAGAACAAGGCTAGAGCCTTGCTCCAGTTAGTTCAGGCAACAGTTATGTGTTTCAGCAACCCAGAACCTTCTGTGCTGCTGTAGTGGGACCTGAACCGTAAGGCTGACGCTCTTGCCATATCATTAAGAGCCATCCACTCTATGAATACTTCAACTGCAGGGAAACGAATTGCCAGTATTCAAGCGCTCATATATGTGCCACTTCTGGTAGGAAGCAGTCGATGATGGCTACAAGACTGTCTTCCACGTCGATGGATGGTGACTATATTCGGTAGCGAGAGATTAGGGGTCCAAATCAGTGCAATTCTTCTCGGTCCGGGAAAAGAGCATGAGGGACAAAAAAGCGACGGCTTTTCTTACTCTTATTCTTATTCCTATTTCGACTTTTGTTTGTTTTTGCGATGTGCTCTTTAACGAACCCCGGGCATATGGATAGCACTGTACCATACCGAGGAACAGCGCGGCGCCCGGCGCCCGGCGATTTGATGTCATGCAAACTTTAGCCCACTGGAAAGACTAGGGATTCGACGGATTTCAAGGCCAAGAGAACGTTCTGTCCTCTCAGAGAACCGATATAACAGGTCGGAATGAGCAGTGGACGTGCAGGCCAGCTGTACTCGGCGCATCGCGGTAGTCATCATCATGCAAATGACTCCGCCCTTTTCTGTTTCGTCGCGCGGAAATGACTTTACGACCTCAAAGAAAGAAGGACACAGATAATTATTTCTCAATTCATCCGCTGCGCTTGTTATTTCTCTTATCGCGGACGGCATGGTCATAAAAGTGGCGGCTGCCGTTACCCCTGTCACTTCCTCATCTACGGTTATAGTCCGGCGTTATAACCTAGCAACAACGACCATCAGCACACAGAATATCACGGCGAGATCATTCAGCAGCCCCCGGTGGATCAAAGCACTGTGGAGCGGACGACAGACTCCCGTGCGGTGGTATCGCGCCGGGCCTTCCTACGGCGTCATCACCCCCGGTTCCGAGAATCATACCCAGATCAAATCTAGCACAAACACGACTTCTTCTGCCAGTCTTAATAATACACACCACAAATTACCGTTCTGCTTCGAGACGGGCTATGCGCTTTGCGCCAAACGGCCTCCGCGCCCATTCCCCCCACCGTTCTTGTCCCCGCCGTCGTCCTCGTTTTCCGAGCCCCTGACCACTCATAATCATAGTCAGGATAAGAGATTATCCATCAGGGGGGAACATATCCGGGGGCTGAATAATGGTGACGATGCTGTGTTGGTTGCTGAGAATTTCCTCGGGGTGAATGATGGGGTAGGGGCTTGGGCGACTAGGTCGCGAGGCCATGCTGCGTGAGCATCTTATCCCAAGATTCTAATCAGTATACTTTACTGACTTATGTACGCTGAATAGGCTTTGGTCGCGACTTTTATTGCACTTCTGGGCCCTCGAAGTTGAGCGAAACCTCGACGACACTACCGCCCCCGACCCGGTCGAATATCTACAACGTGCCTACGAAGAGACCGTCGAAGCGACAACTTCTCCGAGCGAATGGTACGGGACAACAACGTCAGTAACCGCACTTTTACATTCGACCCTCGATGACACAGGCGAGCACAAACCGATACTCTACGTAACAAATCTGGGAGATTGCCAGGTCCTTGTTATTCGTCCCAGCGAGGAGAAGGTCCTCTTCCGGACGCAAGAACAATGGCATTGGTTCGATTGTCCCATGCAGCTGGGGACAAATAGCATAGACACCCCGCGGAAAGACGCAGCACTGGCACAGGTCGAGTTACAGGAGAATGATATCGTTTTGGCTCTGTCTGACGGCGTCCTTGACAACCTCTGGGAACATGAAATCTTGACCATCACCGTGGAAAGTGTCAAGAAGTGGGAGCAGGGACGGGATGAATACGAGGATTCTGAATGGGCCCCTCCGGCTGCCCTGGCTGATGAGCGGATGGTCTTTGTGGCGCGGGAGCTGCTGAGAGCTGCCCTGGTCATTGCGCAGGATCCTTTTGCTGAGAGCCCGTATATGGAAAAGGCAGTTTACCAAGGGTTAGCTATTGAAGGGGGTGAGTTGACCGATTTCGGCCGTTGAAAATTACTATGGACATGTGCTGACCGTCTCAGGGAAAATGGACGATATCAGTGTCGTGGTTGGGTCTTGTAAGAGAAGAGAAAGCTGACAGTCCACATTGCAATTGCTCTTCCACGAGCTTATGACCCTGATTGATGTATGCCCGTTCGCTGAAGGACCGTGGCTGGAACTCATCATCTCGACTCAACATCTTGATATGAAGCGCCGACTAATTCCCACTGGCGTGACACTAATGAGCATCAAATTCTGAGTTCCACATTGACACGATACCTTTGCTGAGACATACACACATCTATCTACCAGTGATTTTTGGCGTTTCCATGATACCAGGTGCATTTGCATCATGTTCATAAAGAATGTTTCGGACATATGGACCCGCTTGGTGATGCGGGAGCCAATATAATTTGTAATTAAGCAGGGAGGATACATTTATTTGTAAATAATCAACCCATACAATTCGCATGAACAACCATATAATCTCTTCCATACTCCGTACCCTCAATCCCATAGAAAGCACGGACCATATCTAAAGCTCCGCGACACCGCCCGGCAAAAAAAGTTTCTCGAAGCGGACTCAATCAGCAAGATTATTTTCTCCTCTTCTCAGTGACAACTTCAATTCGCAAAGAAAATCAAAATGAGGGCCAAACGTTCAAAGAAGTACCGCAAGTTAATGCACCAGTATGAGCTGGCATTTAACTTCCGTGAGCCGTATCAAGTGTTGGGTATGTCGCAATTCAATCCGCGGACTGAAAAGATAATGGTAACATGGATACTAATGCTATAAACAGTTGACTCGAATTTCCTTCGCGCAACACACTCATTTAAGATGGAGATCATTCCTGCGCTCGAACGCACACTGCAAGGCCAAGTCAAGCCTCGTATGTGCTACCCGCCGACAACAATCTATTGCCGCTCATGCTAACCACTTTGCAGTATTGACAAAATGCTCTCTCGCAGCCGTCATGGCCAGCCAGCCCATTAATCCCAGAACCAACAGCCCCTACCGTCCCGATCACCTCCCCCCTCCTACAGTCGTCCCATTACGCCACTGCTCTCACAACAAAGACAATGCCCCCATCGACGAAAATGACTGCCTTCTCTCTCTCTTCTCGCCCTCGCCGGACTCCAAGAAGAACAAGGAACATTACATTCTTGCGACCGCGGATCCGCAATCCCCCGAAAAGGTCGTCGCCAGTACACAGGGCGATATGAAGAAGAAGAAGCGTGCGGAGATGGATGCCGTCGATGCTGTGCGGAAGTCGCGCGCGCTGAGGGCTCATACGCGTGCTATCCCGGGTGTGCCGATTGTGTATGTAAAGAGATCAGTCATGGTGCTTGAGCCGATGAGTGTGCAATCAGAGGGTGTTAGGGATGGGTTTGAGCAAGGGAAGTTCAGAATAGGGTTGGATGATGAGTCGAGTCTGGGCAAGAGGAAGAGGGACGGCGAGGGCGGTGGTGAGGGTGAGCCAAAGAAGAAGAAGAAGAATAAGGTCAAGGGGCCGAATCCGTTGAGTGTCAAGAAGCCGAAGAAGAGGGAGCCGGGTGCACAGGGGAAGAAGCAAGAGCAGAAGCTGCAGAAGTCTAAGGAGAGTGAAGGTGATGATGCGCCGGAACAGAAGGAGGGTGAGTCGAGTGCACCAAAACCCAAGAGGCGGCGTCGTCACCATAGCAAGAGGGAGGGTGGTAGTGATGGTGATGGTGATGGTGGTGAGCCGTCTAACGATGGCCCCGCGGATTCAATGAATGTTGAGTGACTTGACTACTGCAGATACATCATGGAATGGCGTTCCGGCATGGGTTTGTATATAAAAGTTAAATTGAATTCAATCGATGGTCGCAAAGAGTAATTCCCATAATTGCGTATGTATATACCAGGGTATATCTAGATAATATACAGTCCACATGATCCCAAACGCCATTCCATCAATGCAATCATAATACACCCGTCCCATCATCAACTCACATTTGCATCCGCCATAAACTCACACCCGCAACTAATGCTTCTCCCCCTCCCCTGCCGCAGCAGCAGGAACATTCCCCTCAAAAACCCTCTCCTCCGCCCAAATTTTCTCAATCCGACTCCTGTTATCCCTCGCCTGGTCCCGATTCCGCTTTGCGCGCGCGTACCGCTCCGCCGCGAGACACCGGTTGACGTCGCGCTTGATGTCGTTGCAGCTGCCGATGGCTTTGTGCAGGAAGCCACGGGCGTGGCATTCGTCTAGGGCGGTCATGATTTCTTCGCAGTCTGGTGTTTGTTAGCAAGGTATGTTTGGATTGGGGTTCGGCGGGTTTTGGTTGATGGGGGATGGTGGGAGACGTACTGGCATTGTAGGGGGTGTGGAGGTGGGAATGCATTTTGGGTGTTTGCCCTAGCGTAGGTGTAATAATCAAGGGTATATAATTGAGAATAATGCGCGATGATGGTAAAACCGTCTTGATTTGAAGATTGTATGATTGGTGCATCGAGCAAATACCGGGCGGTCAAGAAATCGGAATGGATTCTGCCGGACGGAAGCAGGAAATTTCTCACTCCGCCCAAGAAAAAAAAAGTTGCACGGCCTCGAATCGCATAGAAGGTCTTGCTTCTACATTGTTTACGAGAACTTCTGCTTCTCATTCTATCTGGGTGTCGTCTGTTGATGGCCTGATACTTACCACTATTTTCATTGTTTATGATTCATTGAATTCCACACGAAACCAACGGATATCAACACCCCGCCGCATCACGGCAGAAAAGTTCTTCATTCGTATTTCATCTTATTTACTGCTATATAACTCACGATGTCCATGATCACGACCTCCACTTGGGTGCGCCGCGGCGCTGCAGCCCAATTCCCCACCAAATATGAAATCGACGAGAAAGAGATGAACCGGATATCCAACCTTGCGCGGATGCAATTGGAGGAAGCGCAGGGCGACCTGAGCGTTGCTCAGGAGGGCAAAGAAGATGAGGCTATGGATGAGGATGAGGAGAAGGAGGGTGCTAAGGAGGATGATGGTATTGAGAATGGGTCGGAGAAGAAGGAGTGAGTTTGATGTCAGATTGGATGTTAGGATGGATGGAAATGGTGCTAACGTGGTTGGTAGTGACGATGATGATCTTAAAGAATACGATCTCGACCACTATGACAGCGACGAAGTTGATGAGGATGGCGAGAAGATTACAATGTTCGGGAATGTCAAGTCGCTGGCTTACCACCAACCCAACGAAGAGGACCCCTACCTTGTGATGCCGCCGGAGGAGGAGGAGGAGGAACGCGAGGAATTGCAAATCCTGCCTACGGATAACCTGGTGCTCGCGGGTAAGGTGGAGGATGAGGTTGCTCATCTTGAGGTCTATGTCTACGAAGACGCGGCGGATAATCTCTACGTGCACCACGACATTATGCTGCCTGCCATCCCTTTGTGTGTCGAATGGCTTGATATCCCTGTTGGCAAGGCTGCTGAGGGACGAACTTCTGGTAACTTTGTCGCTATCGGAACCATGGAGTCGGATATCGAAATCTGGGACCTCGACGTGGTGGACTGTATGTACCCTAACGCCATTCTGGGCCAGGGAGGAAACGACGAAGAAAAGAAGTCCAAGAAAAAGAAGAAGACCAAGGCCAACGACGAGTACCACGTCGACTCGGTCCTTGCGCTCGCTGCCAACCGCCAACACCGCAACCTGCTGGCCTCCGCCTCCGCCGACCGAACTGTCAAGCTCTGGGACCTGAGCACCGGAAAGTGCGCTAAGTCCTACACCCACCACACCGACAAGGTTTGCTCGCTCGACTGGCACCCTATCGAGTCCACCGTCCTGCTGAGTGGTAGCTACGACCGCACCATCGTCGCCGCAGACATGCGCGCCCCCGACTCCAAGGCCCGTTGGGCCGTCGACGCAGACGTCGAAGCCGTCCGCTGGGACGTCCACGACCCCAACTTCTTCTACGTTACCACTGACGTCGGTATGGTCTACCGGTTTGATGTGCGTAATGTCCCCGCCAGCCCACAACAATCCAAGCCTGTGTGGTCGCTACAGGCGCACGACTCGTCCATCTCCTCATTCGACATCAACCCCGCCATCCCCGGATTTATCGTCACCGGCTCCACGGACAAGCAGGTAAAGCTGTGGAACATTGCCGACAACAAGCCCAGCATGGTCGTCACGCGCAAGCCTGAGGTTGGCAAGATCTTCTCAACCACTTTCGCTCCCGACACGGACGTCAGCTTCCGTCTGGCAATTGCCGGTAGCAAGGGCGTCATGCAGGTGTGGGATACCTCTACCAACGGTGCCGTCCGTCGCGCGTTCGTCTCGCGCATGCCATCTCTCGAGGGCGATGTGCAAGAACGGACCGTTGGTGTCGCACCAGATCAGAACGATTCGGACGATGATGGCGATGCAGGTGAGGTCGAGGCAGCTCCTGGCCCTGATGGCTGGGAGTCGATGGATGAGGATTAAATTTAGAAGAGATGGAATATTGTTGAATAGATTTTTTTTATATATTTGCAGGAATAGAAAGGTTTAGATACCCCAGTGGACCGTGCATGTCAATCAATCTGAGCGTTGGCCGCCGATAATCTGCTCACCGCCTGTGTGTTACGGGGTTGCAGTATAAGGCGGTGACATGCATGTACCTGACATTCATGCACGACATTGTACATCACAGGGACTGTGCATTTGAATGTCTGAGTTTTTCATGCTAGAAATAGTTACTCATTCAGGGGGTACAGCAGCTGAGTCTGAACAGGCATATTCATGGTCGATATTTATAGTGACGTCGAACCTGCATGTCTTCTCAGTCTGACGCACCGAGAGTTTGAGACAGATTCTTCATAATGTATCTGAGTTAAGGCTAATGATCATCTGACGTCAAAGGGCATCTACGGAGTATGTGATATCTGGAGATCGTTTTAGTCGAATATTCATGACAGCGCCGGATGTCCCGAAAATTCATGCCGGCGAGGACGACCAAGTCACGACGAAAGACCGCCAAGTATTGTACCTCAAGTCACTGCACCGTGGACTACCAAACCCGAGAAACAGCCGGTTATCCGGCGTGAAAACGCGTACCCTTGCCGGTGGCTGTCACGACAGCTGATAGCAAGTGGCTGGACGCCACGATGGTAAAGTTGGTTCTACAACTGCGAGTTCGCCGTTCGCCGGCTTCAGGGTCCATCGACTTGGTCTGGATGCAGACGCAGGCGATCGATCGATCAGGGTTAGTGGCAGCTAACGGGTACCTTACTTAATAGTGCAGAGTACCACTGATGCGCATTGCGTACATGCGTGTTCTGTCCATGCGAATCAGTCAGTCCAGCCAGACGCACACCGAAGGGAGATGCACACCCAAGGGAGGGAGCGGGAAAACGAAAGTCTCGCTTGCCACTAACTGTCTAGACCAGATAGTAGCCTCAGGCATGAAAAGGCGAGCCCTTGATAGATACGTTCCATGGTTGAGCGAATGTGGTGTATCCATAGTTCATCCGCGCTGGAGATGATGTGTACAATAGAAGTATCGTAGGGCGGAACACGAAGGGAGATGTGTCTCTATTGGGTATGGAAGTGCAAGGGCTTTCCTCACGGTACGAGTGCATTGTATATCTGAATAATGCCATTATTGAACTTTGCTTGTATGTTCAATCCTACGGAATGCCATACAAAATGTATGAAATGCTGTAATTGTAGATTGTGGATAAGATGCTGAGTCATTAGTCTGGATCGGGCATTTCCCGATGGAGAAGTGGGGTGGTCCACTGAGCAGAGTACACAGGCGTGGGATATTGTTGAATACCTGCATACTGAGAGTTTCCCTTTCACATTTTCAGGGGGAAAAAAACAGAGACAGCAGGACATAGAAGCATAGTACTTGTAAACCAGAATCGATAGCACACTTTATCGCTGACAGGAGTCAAGTTGAGACGCCGCGGGCGTTTCATCTGGAGGATGCTCGGCCGGAGATGCCATGATTGGCCAGTGCATCAGGCGAGCCTCCTGGATGCTTGGGATAGACATCGCAGAGGGCTCCATACATGCACGAATATGTGGCATCCAGGGTACTGTTAGAGGGTCTACTTGCCTGCCGGAACACCGGAGGTCAGCCCCTAAGTACATACAAAAGTAAACCATGGGACAAAATCCCAAAGAATGGACCACGAAAAACCTTGTCTGGGCCAATCTCCACGGTTCACGGACCTCATCAATCAATCAAAGCGGGCAGAAAAAGTGGCATTTCGCTTTGTCTCCTCTTTTTCTCCTTTCGTCTCTCCCTCCCATACTTTATTCCTCCCACATTCCTCTCTCTCTTTCTTTTGCCTCTCTTGGGGTTCTTCGCCTCTGGAATTGATCTCTGCTGTGCGGTGATTATATCATTTTCATTCCTTGCCTTCGTTGCCTTTTTTTTTTTTTTTTTTTTTTTTTTTTTTTTTTTTTTTTTTTTTTTTTCAATTTTATATTTTTACTTTTTCCAGGGTCCCCGGCTGGTTTCTGGACACTGGTTAATTCTGTTAGTATTGGACGTGTTCGCGGTTGTGCGCTCCTTCTATATTCTCTACTACGGAGAATAATCATTACAGGAAGGGAGTAAAGAGAATTGGATTTTACAGTGGTCTTCTCTTGCTGTGCAAAGACACACTCCGACCACCGCATTCATTCACAACTTCAATACTACCTGTCACTCGAGAGTCACTGCATTCGTCGCTGATAACGCTCATTCCGATCATCTTCCATTCCTTCTGCTGTCATCGCTATTTCTCCACTGTTTGAGATCGTCCAGCATTGCTGTGTCCAATTTTGATACGTCAACTCGACCCGCAACGATAAAAAAGGCGAAACCCAGAGGGTTTATATTCTTAGTTAACCTACGATTCACGACAAACCAACAACCATGACCAGCCTCAGTCGTGCGTTCACCAAACGCCACAAGCGTCCCGAGGTGTCTGCCCCTATGCCCTACCGTGAGGGTCAAGTCAAGTTCTCGTCGGGCACTATTAAACGGGGAAAGATATCGGGCCCTGTGCAATTGGTTTCGACCACCAACATGCTGGCTTACAATGCGCCCGATCTGGGCTCTGCAACATCATCTTCATCCTCGTCCATACGATCGCCAGACGACTCGGAGATGTCGTTCTCCCAGCAGAGCTTCGGAACGCCCATCACTTCGCCAGATGACTCGTCCCGGGATGTTTCGCCCATCGAGCCGAATCAAGCATCATATTTCCCCAAACAACAATTTATTCCCAAGCGATCGGCGACAACAGTCAGCCACACTCGGTCATCCACTTCGACTACTTCTTCTACAGATGCACCAATGGTCCCAAGACGGGCGCTATCGCACACCAAACGATCCCATCAGGAGTTGGCCCGGCAGCGTTCGATTTCAAGGCTAGATCCTCCGCCACTGAACGTCTCTCGCACCCCGTCAGTTCGTCAAGCACCCGATCCGTCCTTCAAGACGGAAGCGCATCCATTTGGCAAGGAGCTGGAGCAGGTGAATGAGGTGGCTGAGGAGTTTGGTGGCACCACCCGGCGACTTGACGAAGAAGAAGCTGTTTTGCTCAGCAAGGGCCTCAGGAAATTCACCGTAGACGATTATCTCGTCGAGGTGAATGATCTGTACGGAAGCATTTTCGACGACCAGCTGGGGCCAATCAGTGTTGCTCATTGGCTGTGAATCGTCGGATCCGGAATCGGAATGTCGCTCAATACGGAAGAGGAGAACAGGCTATTTTCCCTTCCTGTCAGGCGTCATCAGTGTACACCACCGTGTGACTTTTCCACTCGTTTTTCATTTGTACATGTTTTTTATGCTATTTAATTGTTCTGTGTTCGTTTTGTTATATACCATTTGGGTACTTGACTGATTACCCCTGCGTTTGTTATCGGATCGGTGGCCTTTTCTGTTTTTGTTATTTATCAATGGGATTACGGAACATTTACGAGACAAAGATATCTGGCGTGAATGGAAATGGACTGAATTGTATTTGAAGTAATTATATTGAAATCATAATATTCCGTAGTGAAGTCGCAATAATTACATAGGGTGGGAAACCATGTGGCACCACGTGATATGACCACTAAAACGGTAACGCGTCGCGGTCACGCGATGGTCACGGGTCTGGAGCCTCAGGCCCCACAGCCGACGTAAAAAAATTTGCTCTCCCCGGCTTTGCTCCTCGACGCCAGAGCAGCATCCGCCATCTGTGTTGGGCTGCAGACACATCGTTCTTTCTTCAGACTTTATGTTGTGATATAAGTGGCATTTATTCCCTATTATTCACTCTCTTGTTTACCTATTCTTAATCCTCTTGTTCTGGTCTGACCGCTCAGCCTGATACTGGTGTCGTGTGCTTGGACCAATCTGCTGTCACTCGACCACCAACAACTCCTACGAACAAATCCATGACGAGACCCGTAGCCTTACCTATTTTGCCAATCCCTACGATCACTTATTATTCCTCACCATAGCCATGGTTACCTTTGCCACCTCTGCTTCGCGCCCAGCTGCGACATCATCCAAGCCGAAACCCAACCCCTCCATGTTAGCGGCCTCTTCGCCTGTGCCTATTCTCAAGACCTCCAAGACTGGGACCTCGACGCCTTCACTGAAACGGAAGATGACGGATATGGATTTGTCGCTGTCACCATCGTCAGCGGCATCTGAGGGAAGCGATGCAGCTCCTAGCCCAAAGAAGCGAGTTCGAGTACAGTTCGATAAGGAGGTAGATATGCGCGAGGTACCGGCCAAGGAGCCTAAGAGCCGTGAACACAACATTGGTACTGTAATGGAGAAGAGTGCGGCTGTTGTTCGGGAAGAAGTTCGCAGAGCCCTTCAGCGTCACATCTCGGGTGCGGATAGTGAGGCCTACGATCGTATTAAGGAGATTTTCTCGGTCGATCCGAAACGTCAAGACGAGGATGGCTCGTCGTATGATGTTCCCTCGCATAGTACGTTAAAACACCATCTTATGGGTTTGCTGTCAAATGTTGCGTCATTGGATCGCAGCTGCAATGGGTTGGTGCATGCAGTTTTGAGCAGTGAATGGCTCGGGCGGGATGAGTCGTATGTGAAGCTGTTTATTCGGTTTATGGGGAATCTGGCTGCTGCTCAGGGAAGCTATCTCGGATCCGTGCTGAAAATGCTGGTCAATAACCTGGGTGAACTGCCCAAGGGTATTGGAAGGATCCCCGGATACGCTCCTGTTCAGGCTTCGGAAGTTTACACAAGAGTTCATATGGCGCTTCGGTATTTATTGCAGTTGATTCCATCTGGGAGTGGGTCGTTGTCTCCGATCTTGTCAATGAACTTTCCATTTGACACGGACTCGGCTAAGGCGAACATTGCCTACACCCAGAATATCCTTCGTGTAGTTAGCTACGCTCCTGAACTTCAGGCCGATGTTCTGGCGCTTGTTACAGAGAAACTGGTTAAAATTGATGTCCAAATCCAGGTCGACATGGAAGACTTTGAAGATGAAGTGGGCGAAGATCTCTTGCATGATACGAATTTCGACGAGGATGACGATGATGACAACGCTTCGGTTCAGAGCGACGACTCTGCCGATGATGAGTCGCGTCGCATGCAGACTGTCAAGGACAACATCCTCAAGTTGGATGGTATGATCGATCTGCTCTTCGAGTTCTATGCACCTCCGTTCACGTCGGGCACACTGGACGAGAAGGAGAATGCCTTGGACCTCTTGCTCAGTCACTTCCAGAGTATCATTCTTCCTACATACCGCTCTCGTCACTCCCAGTTTCTTCTCTTCCACTTCTCCCAGTCCTCGCCGATTCTTGTCGATCGCTTTGCGGCGACATGCGTGCAGCTCTTGTTTAACAAACTGCAGCCCGGTATCATGCGTCAATCGGCAGCTGCATACCTGGCCAGCTTCGTTGCCCGCGGTGCGCATATCTCCGGTGACGTGATTCGCGACGTTTTTGATCTCCTCACTACTCATTTGGATAACCTGCGGATTGAATACGAACCCGCCTGCCGCGGCCCTGATCTTCGTCGCTACGGTCCATTCTACTCCACCGCACAAGCCCTCCTCTACATCTTCTGCTTCCGCTGGCGCGACCTCACCACCGCTGCCATGGAAGGCGACACCCCTGATCAAGTCGACGAGCTCGAACCCGAAGAAATCGAATTCCCACCCTACATCAAAGAAACCCTTCACCGAGCCATCCAGTCCAAACTCAACCCCCTCAAAGTCTGCTCCCCCGCCATTGTTTCCGAATTTGCACGGATATCCAACCACCTCGACTTCCTCTACCTCTTCAGTATCCTCGAGACCAACAAGCGTATCCGCATCACATCGTACCGCAGTCTATCATCCATGGCAGACCCGCGCTTCAGCCAGGTCGAGCGGGAGACTCGCGCAGGCGATGATTTGGGATACCAGCTTGACGCATATTTCCCGTTCGATCCGTACCAGCTCCCGCGGAGTCGACGCTGGTTGGAAGGGGATTATGTCCACTGGCGGGGTATCGCTGGTCTTCACGATGACGATGATGGGTCAGATAGTGAGGCTGGGAGTGATGAGGAGAGCGTGAGTGATGATATGACGGAGACGGACGAAGATTAGCTGCCGTCTTCTCTTTCGTTGTTATCTTTTTATTTAGATTTTCGTGCTCAATACCCCGTGCTTATGTTTCATGTCGGAAAAGTTGTGATTTAGCGTGGCGTATGGTTGGATTTATGTAAAATACGAGTAAATAGAAATGGATTGCATTATCAACAAATCATCTTCCCATATCAAACTAAACACTCCCCGGGGCTAGCCTATTCCTCCCGTCCCGTAACGCCAGCATACTTTCAACCCTGTCTATAATCCACAACCATAGCAACGGTGTTAATAAATCTCGCCTCAAGCCCTAACACCCATACAATGACATACGACACAAACAGACAAATCACAAGAAACCGAAGCATTGGACGCGCGTTTGCCGTTAGATCTTCCTCACGCACGTCCGAGAAACCCGCTTCCCGAACAATTGCTGCTAATCCTCGTCCATCCTTCTCACTCCCCGTAGTTGCAATGGTACCAGTAGCAGTAGGATTGATCCCTCCATACTGATGCACCTTGCTCATTTCCCCCGTCTGCAGAGGCGAACTCCATCCAATGGTCATAGTCATACAAGCAATCCGACCACCAGGCTTCAACACATGATAAAACTCCCCAATAAAAACGGGTATATCAGTTGCGTGCGCGAGTGTTTAGATCGTATATACCGCGTCGAATATGTCGCTGGGAAATATAGGACTGGGGTCGTGATAATCACCTTAGATTGATAGGTACTCGAGACATTTCGCAGTCGTAGGGCTGCCAGTTTTGTAGAGCTTTCCGAGTTCGCTTTCAGCGTTCTTCCTCGAAATAGACACCTTACCAGGTAGTAGATCGATAGCATGGACTTTCAATCTCTGTTTGGCGAAATCAATTGCCATATCCCCCGTCCCACAGCCTTCATCTAGCACTTCTCCCTCCCGCTCTCCTTTCTTTCCTCCTTGTCCCTGAATCTTCAACGATTCAAAAACCTAATCTTCCATTGAAATCAACGCTGGATATATCGGAAATGGATTCAGCGATTTTATATATTGCCATAATCCCGCATTCGCAGGGAGAGAGTGGTAGTAGGAGAGGTGCGAGCGGCCGCCAAAGAATAGGGCATTGCCGAGGTGGGTTTCCAGGGAGATATAGTATGATTCGACTGTCATTTCATTTTTTCTTGGTTTTTTTGGGTTTAAGGCTTGGAGGGGAGCGAGAGAGAAGGGGATTAACTAGATTTGGAGATTACATTTGAGTAAGGGTGGTGTTAGCGTTGCTGTTGTATTGATATTGTTGTAGTTATATTGTTCTCAGTGGTGGGACTCTTCGTGTATGGAGTTGGATACGAGTTCGTTTAATCTGATGCGCCAGAGATAGCAAGACTTTACTTGTAGTTAAGAGAATAATCAACAGAAATCACAGAATATAGGCGATGTATAAATCAATTGCAGCTTTAGTACTCCGTACATGCTGTTAAGGGTAGCAATTTCTGATTTGTTCGATTTATACCATTCAACTAAACAGATACTTCAACTACCAGTCGTGAATTGATTTAAGGTAACATGCTAACGACATGGAAAGGCAACAAAGCAACTAGATATGGTGATCAGAACACGCAACCCCAAATCAATCAAGGAGCGGGAATTCAGGCATAATCACTTCATTATTACGGTTGAGTACATGGGCGAGAGAATAGTCTTCATTGATAATTACATTCCAGAGTTTGTATCAGAAGCTAGAATATTTAGATTGAGCTTGCTAAAGGAGTAAGGACCATACCGTATCTCTCTGGGACTGTGTGCCCCTAAAGTCCAACATCAACAACCAGTCATTCAGAATACCCTCTGAGATCCATCCTTTATAACTGCCCTCTGATAAAAACCCCTCATAGTGCTCGTTAAGCTTGTCTCCATCTTGAATTATCTCGGCCCCCCCATCCTGGCCCTTTGATCCTAAAATCGATACGACCCTCTCCAGCGAATGACCATTCACTGGAGATAGAAACGCCACGACCAACCAAGGAATTGAACGCTATATACCATTCTTCATAAAACTTGGATTCTGGTTTACTGAATACCGATGGTTCATGCGTCCTCAGAAGTCTCGTTCGAGAGAAACGACGCAAAACTGCTTCGCTCAGAGCAGTTACCGACGGGAATTCAGACGATGGGAACGGCTTGGGGTTGTGCAATTGCAAGAAGTACTCGATATATCTGCACACCAGCACTCGCATGTAATAGAGAAAATGAGTGGAGCCTACTCTCGTGCAATCTTGTGGGAAAGAAGCAGACAGTCTCTTTGCCATCCTTGTCTATGTCCTCCGTGCATGATCAACTTGTTACTATAACAATCATTGCATCACTGATCCTCCAAGTTAAACTGGACTGCCTTTTGTTCCAGTATCTACCAAAGGAATTCCATTGCTGAGGCTGTAATTTTCCACATACGCGGGAAGAAATAGGCGAACGGCTTGTATTCGAGTCCCTCGAAGACGGTCTGCTCGTCAAGCAACAAGTCCACCATGCGTTGCTTGGTGATTTGAGGAATGCTTTCATTTCCTAGCTCAGAACGGTAGGTCTGAAATTAGCCTTGAACAACAAATCTTATCATCGAGATCCATACTTCGAAAAAGTAACTCATTAATGAGGAAACAGCGCCTGGATGCCCACTTGCGATAGAGTAGAGATAATCGCGAGCATCGGACGTAAACCCCCAGGATATCTTGTGCAGTACACCTAGCCTCAGCATTGCATCGTCAAACTTCCCGGTTATAGAATAGTCAAACATCAGGAGTGCCGGGTACGCTAGATACTATTAGGGAAACCCGCTGCTCTGAACTAAAGTATGTAGGAAAAGACCCCTTTAGATATTGCGTAGGCCCTGTTAGTGAGCTTCCAAAGGATACAAAGAGACACATTTTTGCTCCGCGACGAAGGCGACTTTGTGTCTTGATAAAACCGAGCCAGAATGCCGAGTCAGTGTACGAGCACTGGGCTTCATCAAGTACGAAGACGATGTCTGAATCGCAAACGTTACCGGCAGTCACAACAATACGCCCGGCTTTTCTGCACTGCTCGGTCAGATACTCGAGTGAATTCGAGGTGTCTGGCCAGATGAAAAGGGACACCATGGGCTCTCCACGTCTCCAGTAATAACATTCTAGGAGATGCGCCAGCCAACTCTTTCCGGAAGCAGTGGTGCTTCTATCATGTACGACATTGTACTCCGAGAGTTTAACAAGTTTTGCAATAATTTCAATGTGTGGTGTTATGTCAAGGGCAACACGGAGGTCAGTCAGGGGAGCTGATAGTTGTAGTTTGGAAGAAACTTACAACTGTATTCATGGTTGGAAGTTGAATGAAAACAGCCATCGCAAAGATAGTCAGTGGATGGTTTGAGTAAAGGACACAACCCTGACTTGCAGGGACATTTTCCATGGCCTGACATGTCGACAGAGCAGCGGCCCAAACGTATCTTTGTAGGTGAAGCCATTTTCAAACACATACGTAAAGTTAATGAAGACAATGATTAGGTGTGAAAGAAGAGCAGTAGCGCCAACAAAACAGAGTAATGTTCTGTTTATTGGTCTTTGACAGAAATACATATATTCATTAAGATACAGAAAGGATGAAAGGGGAGTTGAAATAGCCGAAGTGGTTTTATGATGATGACTTGATCACAATTACAGCTATTCGTCTCATGCAACCATAGAGAATATCATTGTATTGTTTATTCTATAAAGGGTGTATTCTGTAAATATATACCGAGCAACCCTAGAAAAATCTTTACCGATGTTCAACGTCAATTCTCATCGGTAACCAACTACCATAAGGCCCAGCTGCGTGTTTTATAATCCTCGTCAGCTGCAAGATCCCTACCTACTCAAACTGCGAGTACTAGTCTAATGTATGCCATGAGTACTTTCCTACCAGTCCTATTCCGGTTCAGAAAGAGGTGTAGGACAGGACATACCTGAGAATCATTATTGATAGCTACAAAGTGAAACTTATACCCATCTGTAGCAAGATCGTACGCTGTACAAACCCACTGTCAGGTTTATTTCCTTACGTGGTGGATCGTACCTACCCTGTCAACACTTAGCAATCAATAAACCTAGGCCAGACTCACTTACAATCCCAAGAACCTGATCCAGACTCCCCTCTCCACCCAGCACAGCTGTAAAATCAAACGTCCTATCTTCCCGTCCATATCACAACACATTATCACTCCCAACCAAACGAATCATCTCGTTCCCATACATCGCGTTCACGCCGATTTCCCGTCTTTATCCCACGCTTTCGATCCTCTACAAAGCCTCGTGTGAATCGTATTGCCATTTTGATAAGCGGGCTTGGTCAAGTGTGAGTCCTATGATTGTGCTGAGGCAGAGTTTTGCGCGGAGGCTGCGTAGGGATAGGAAGTGTGTTATTGGGTTATGGGATTTAGGATGCGTTCTTGTTTGTTCGTTTTTGATACAGTATAGTATGATGAATAGGTTGAGGCGATACCGATGCCATCTGGTTGAAAGACTATTTCTTCTTTGTCTAGGAGCCAGAAGGTGGTGCTGGGGTTTGCTGGGCTTATGTCGAAGATGGTCGATGTCTGTTTCTGAGAAGATGTGTTGGCGTCTGCATCTGGGCAGTAGTTCTGGTAGTCTGAATCGGGCATTTGGGAATCGGTGGCCATGTTTTCATGTCGGATACAGAGATTGTGAGAGATTGTGAGAGATTGTATGTGTGAGGTTTATGGATGTTCATGTGAAAGTTGTTAGCTGCCTGAGTGAATGAGTGCTATTTCTAGATGCTATGTACATATCAACCAACGCCATTTATCCCATGTGAAAAGCAAGACGCTTCCTGAGCGAGTAGAATACAATAATAGCAAGTGAGCGATCAACGCTCAAAGATAGTTTTCATGTCAGCACAAGCATCGGAATACAGAATATCAACCTTGTCCTGGTCGCGGAACGGGTTAGGCGACTTGTCCCAAGCATGAATGGCTTTCTCAATCATCATGGCTCGCACGCGTTTACCTAGATCCTGTAACCGCCTGACAAACAACTGACCTTCATTCAGTAGCATGTCCCATTCACAGATGTACAGGTAGATATCGTGTGGAAGGGCATCGGCAAGAATCGCATCGGGAGCACGGATAGGCGACGCATAGGGCGACTTCCGTTCCTCGAAGTCTGGCAGATACGCCTCATCGAAGAGATTGGTGAAGAACCTCGGGAGGGTCTTATCGGGAAAGGCGCTGCGAGCACGGCGGTGGTCTCGTGACTCTTCGAAATCCAGAATGGGATACCAGCAGAACAACCCGACAATATGTAGATCGTTAGACATGTCCACGAGTTTCTGTGTTGAATCCGCCCGGCTCAGATTGCTAGTGCTGGCCGTCGAGGCTGGATACGGATATACCTCCCGCACCATGCGGTCGCGGAGTCGCAGCGGAACCGTCACGGCCAGGTTGCCACCGGCCGAGAAGCCGCTCAACACGATCCGGCTGACATCCAAACCTAGTTCGCCTGCATGTCGCGCGAGATACTGTAGGGCATCAACGCCATCATCCACTGCAGCAGGAAAAGGGTGTTCGGGGGCTCGACGATAAGCCACGCTCACCACGACCGCTCCGACCTCATGAATGACGCAGCGAGCCCAGCGACCGTCGTCGGTAGCACAACCCAAGGTAAAACCTCCGCCATGGAAATTTACCACCACAGGTAAACGACGGCCTTCTTTGCGAGAGCGGTAATACCCAGGAGGACAGTAGAAGTGAAGAATGGCGCCAGTGCCGTAGGTCGAGTCGTCGTCGCCGGAGGGAATTGAGCGGGTAAAGGACGGACTGGGAGGACGAGGAGACGCGATATCGTGGATAAACATGCCGATGCGCATTAGAAACCGCCAGAAGACGGCCTGGGTGAAAAGCCACCAACGAGAAGAGGCCATTCTGGTTATACTTCAATATCTTGTGGAATACGAGTTGAAGCAGGGAGGAAGAGAAGAGGAGAGTCAACCGGAAAGCCGGAGATAGGGAGTCGGCAAGACACGGTAAGTATGCGTAAATAATAATAATTCTAGTAGTAGTAAGGAGGAAGCTCAAAAGCGCATTGTTTCGTCATTAGCATCTCGCACCTCGCACTCTGATATCACATTTTAATTCTTTGCATATCAATAAAATTCCCCGATTCAGGGCATCTTCAGGGCCGTTTCTTGATTACTGGCGCATTCGACCAATGACATCATCTCCCGTGACATCGGACTGGCTTCATTTACCGGGCTTTCACTTTCCTTTTTCTACTTCTGTTTCTCACAGCCTTATTCAGATTATACAGATTGCCCCTATTACATTGAGACTACTCTGATATCCTTATATATATTTCTTGGATTGTCTCTTGGGAACTATACTGAACCCACTTCCGTTCGTTTCCGGCAGTACATAACGTCCGCTGATCAAAAAGCTTACCTGCCCCCCTCAATTTCACGTTCCTCTCTGCCTTACGGGTATATATACACACTCACTTCCGGTGTCACCTTGCTCTAATAACAAGGCTGACCCTGTGATTCTCTATCGCTAGACAGACACCATGTCAATTCGACGGGCTTTATCCAAAATTAAACCGAGAACCAACCACCATGAGGATGAGTCTACAAGTAGCGCCTCGAGGGTTGCCTCACCATCCCCACGTCGCAGTTTTCTCGGTGGCCTCCTGCCAACCCGCGATTACGTTTCGTCCTCAGATGAAGGGTCCGATGACTCTGCGTCTGCAGGGACTTTGAGTAAGAACCAACAGAAACGTATGGCTCGTCGTCAGCGTCGACAAGAGCGGTCGCGCCAAAGTGAGGATCAACGTTCGGAGGATTCGGAAAGAAGACGCAGAGACGACATCGCTCTTGCGGCTCAGCAAGAAACTCCCGAAATGAAGGCGCGGTATGGTGATTTACCGTTAATGCAGTCCCGCGATCGTCCCCGCGATCAGCGCACTCGACTCGAGAATGTCTCCAAAAGCATCGAGGGGCAGGAGGTTCTCTTCACGGCCCGTTTGCATATTGTTCGGCGCATGAGTGCAAAGCTGGTCTTCCTCGTGTTCCGCCAACAACTCTTCACTTTCCAGGGTGTACTACATGAGCAGCCGGGGTCCAAGTCGCTGGCTATGGTCCACTGGGCTGAACACCTGCGCCTTGGTTCCATTGTCCGTGTTCGCGGCCACGTCCAGACCCCAGATGTTCCCGTGCTGGGTTGCACAATCCATGATGTCGAGCTGGCTATCGATGAGATCCACGTGGTCGTGCGCCGGGACGATCCTGTTCCATTTAGCGTCTACGAGGCCGAGATTCGTACCACCGAAGAGGATCGTGTTGAGGGCCGTCGCAGTCGCATTCCGGATCGCACTCGTCTCGCCAACCGTGTACTCGACCTCCGGACACCTACATCTCAATCTATCTTCCGCCTTCAGTCCACGGTGTGTAATCTGTTCAGATTCGCCTTGGACGAGGAGGGCTTTATAGAGATTCACACCCCCAAGCTACAGGGCTCTGCAACCGAATCTGGAGCCAGTGTCTTCGGGCTCAGCTACTTTGGTCGCGATGCTTTCCTCGCGCAGAGCCCGCAGTTGGCCAAGCAGTTGGCCATCTCAGCTGATTTTGGCCGCGTCTACGAGATCGGTGCCGTTTTCCGTGCAGAAAACTCCAACACCCACCGCCATCTGACTGAGTACACCGGTCTGGATGTTGAGATGTCAATCGATGAGCATTATCACGAGATGCTTGAAGTCTTGGATAATGTCATCAAATCTATCCTGAAAGGCATTTACGGCCGTCACCGCCGCGAAGTTGAAACTGTGAAGCACCTCTTCCCCTCCGAGGATGTCGTTTGGCTTGATGAGACCCCCATTATCCGTTTCGCGGATGGAATCAAAATGCTCAACGACTCTGGATGGCGGGATGAAGAGGGGAACCCCTTGCCTGATGATGAAGACCTCCATACTCGCGACGAGATCCGACTGGGAGAGTTGGTCAAGGAGAAGTACGGCACTGACTACTACGTCCTTGACAAGTTCCCTGCCAGTGCGCGTCCATTCTACACCATGCCTGACCCTGAGAACAACCGATACACCAACTCGTTTGATATCTTCGTGCGTGGACAGGAAATTGTCACTGGTGGTCAGCGTATCCACGACGCCCGAATGCTCGAGGAGAGTATGCGCCGCGCGGGCATCAAACCGGATAGCATGGAGGAATACATGGAAGGCTTCCGCTGGGGTGCTCCGCCGCACGCGGGGGCTGGTGTTGGTCTCGAGCGTCTGCTCATGCTCGTTCTCAAGTTGGGCAACATTCGTCTGGCGTCTCTCTTCCCGCGTGATCCCAGGAGCTTCCCGAGCAAGCCACCGGTTCTTGAGCTTCGACACCCCGAATCGTCCACCATGGAACCTCCATGGCACCGTGAGAAGAGGAGCCAGCTCGCCGAGAGAGATAGCGACCTGCAACCCCTAGCGCATCTGATAGCCAACTATGGTGATGCCACCTCCACGTCGTGGGGTGACGAGCGGTACAAGATCTGGCGTGACATGGCCACTGGTGCAGCAGTCTCATACGTGCCCAGTGTCAACAACCACGTCGTGGTTCCGGGCAACCCGCTCTGCGACCCCAGCCAGTACAACCGCATCATCACCCAATTCCTCCACTGGTTGCACCGCGAAACCAAGTACAAGCCTATTTGGCTTCTGTGCTCCCCCGAAGTCGAAGCCATCCTGGGCGACAAGCTAGGCTGGCGCTCCATGAGCTGCATCGCAGAGGAACGAGTCGATCCGCACCGCAATCAGGCGGCCTCAGACGGTGAAATTGCCCGCAAGATCCGCCGCTCAGAGAATGAAGGTGTCAAAATCGTGGGCATGAACAAAGGCGAGATTGTCTCCGACGACGTCCGCCAGAAGATCGACCAGCGCATCAACGACTGGCTCTCCAACCGCAAGGGTACCCAGGTGCACCTGTCGGAAATCCAACCCTGGCGTGATCACGAACACCGCTGGTACTTCTACGCTACCGAAAAGTCCGGCCAGATCTGCGCATTTGTCACACTGGCCACTCTCTCGCCTGTCCACGGCATGCAGATCAAATACAGCTTCGACTTCCCTAACGCTCCCAACGGCGTCATCGAACACATCGTCACACACGCAATCCAGACAGCCGCGCAGTCGGGTGTCAAGTCACTCACCTTCGGCGCAGGCGCGACAGCTTCCCTCACACCAGGCCACAACATGTCTGGCGCAAAGGTCAAGTTCCTGCGCAACTCGTACGAAGGCGTGGCCAAGCAGTTTAACCTCGTCCGGAAGAGCGAGTTCCGGGCTAAATTGGGCGCCGAAGAGGATCCGTTGTGGTTGGCGTACCCGCCACATGGTCTTGGGTCCAAGGGAATCCGGGCGATTCTCAACTTTTTTATGGATTAATTGGTAATATCCTGGTGTTTTGTCTTTTTTCTTATTCTTCATCTTGTTCTTTTTTTTTTTTTTTTTTTTTTTTTTTTTTTTTTTTTTTTTGAATATTGTGTACGAGGCATGAGCAATATGTGGATAATGATGTGCTATGTTTGATTTTGGCGACGTTGATAGAGGCATTTTGATTTTGTTTATTCCACTACTACCCCTGCTCTAGTTTTGCTATTTATTTTATGTCAAATATAGCTGGTCTGAATCTCTGCTCTACTATTGTTCCTATATCTTGCATAGTTCGGAAATATTACTAGTAATATACAATCACTGACCCTTTTTCTCGGCACTGCCAGCAGCACTTCCAACCACTCTCCCAAACTCCTTCACCACCCACCTCGCAATCCCAATAGCAGCAATACCAACAATCAACCCCCAACACGCCGTCGGCACAAGAGAATTGGGAAACACATTCCCCCAAAACGGATCTAAAATAACATCCGCAATAACCGGCGGCACACTCTCCATCAATCCCTGCTCAATTGTAAAGTAATCCGCCGCGGCATAAATGCGCAGGAAAAGCACGGAGTCAGAATCGTGTGACCGGGTACGACGCAAAGGATTTCTAGGCGCATGATGCGAATTCGGAACCTGCGGGATGACTTCCCTGGGATTATTCACGTCGACGGAGGCGAGGCGCGCGGAAGAGAAGTGGCTGATTGACGCGAGGAGTGATGGATCGTCGATTATCGCATCGAGGGGGTATGTTGATAGTGTGAATGATGTTGGTTGCTAGATATTATCTGTCAGCCCCAACCAATCCTTTCCAATGCAAACCCAGGGTAGACTAACAGTAGCCAACCAACAAACCCGCACCTCATACCTCTGGCCCGGGTTCAGCCCCTCAAGCAGAAACCATGATTCTGCTCCGTCGGGTTTCGCAGTGGAAGGGAATGAGGCGTTGAGATTTGTTCGCAGGATGTTGTTTTCGGGGGAGAGTAGGTCTAGGCCTAGGTCGGAGAGGTCGGGAGTTATGTTGGAGGAGGAAAGGGGGGAGGGGGTTGGGGCGAGGAAGATGGTTTTTTCGACGTTGGCGTGAGCGGTTTGTAGAAGGAGGGTGAGGAGGGGGGCCAAAGTGTAGAAGAGGGATTGGAGCATGGTGTTCTGGCGTGTTGTTGAACAAGCTATGTCATGGTCTGTCTGTACTGGTTAGCAGTCTAGAATGACGATGGTGGTCGAGGTGAGATATATCTCAGTGCATTATGGTGCACTACAGGGTCAGACGCAATCCCATGAATCCAATCTAATCCTGCGTAGTATACACGCACAATTGACCCTATAAAGACACAGCAGCAACAACAGTATACATACCTTATCTGAAGTGATGGTAGCATGTGATATCAGTCCCGTGACATTAATCAGCGTTGACCGCCTGATGGCCGAGTCTCGTCCAGATCCCGTGACCTGACAGCGGGAAGCCAATCAGAAGCGATGCTACCCAACGCGACCCAGCGGGGTTCATTGAAAGACCCCGTACGGTAAGGTAATTACCGAGTGCCGGTATTGACAGCGCACTCACCCACCATAACAATCAACAATCAACAACCCGCCGGAGAAGAGGACAACAAGACTCTCGCGACTTCATATCTCTCTATTAATTCTTGTGTAAGGTACGTACTATACTAACTGTCTGTGTCCTGGCACTCTACGAACTATTCTCTAGCTCTTTTGCTTTTTTCGTCGGGGGTTCATTTGCTTACCCCTGAAACAAACCGTACAGATCGTCCGAAGCCTGTTTTTTTCTTTTTTGATTTTTATCACCTTTCTCTTGACCCTCGTCTTCCCTCTCTGACCCTCTTCCAGCCCTTTTAGATACCCAATCTCGTCGAATCCGCACCGTCAAAATGAGAGAAGTCATTAGTTTGAACGGTGAGTCGCCTCTTGTCGATTCCTGCGTGAATGATCTTCGAAGATACCCGGGACGCGTTACTAATGATTCTCGTCTACAGTCGGCCAGGCTGGTTGCCAAATCGCCAATTCCTGCTGGGAGGTATGCATTGACCACTTAAACCCCGTGGAGGGTTGAACAAGATGAGGAACAATAAGGAACAACGCAAATAGAGAAAGAGGAGGATGAAGATACAAAACAAGGAACCAGCGGGGAAGAAGGCAAGGTGGCATGTTCTGGAACGTGGCTGACAGTTATTCTTTAGCTCTACTGTCTCGAGCACGGCATTCAGGTATGTGGAATGACGGATGGCCCCCTTTGATTGTTGATTTGAAGAGATTGCATGCTAATACCTTGATAACCCACAGCCCGATGGATACCTCACCGAGGAGCGCAAGCAGCAGGACCCCGACCACGGATTCAGCACTTTCTTCTCTGAGACTGGTACGTTGATGCACTATACGGAAGAAAGTGCACTCTAACAAGAACAGGCCAGGGCAAATATGTCCCCCGTACCATCTACTGCGATCTCGAGCCCAATGTCGTCGATGAGGTCCGCACCGGTACCTACCGCAGCCTTTTCCACCCCGAGAACATGATCACCGGCCGTGAGGATGCCTCGAACAACTACGCCCGTGGTCACTACACTGTCGGAAAGGAGATGATCGACCAGGTCCTCGACAAGGTTCGCCGTGTTGCCGACAACTGCGCTGGTCTCCAGGGTTTCTTGGTTTTCCACTCGTTCGGTGGTGGTACTGGTTCCGGTTTCGGTGCTCTCCTCATGGAGCGTCTCTCCGTCGACTACGGCAAGAAGTCTAAGCTCGAGTTCTGCGTCTATCCTGCCCCCCAGAACGCTACCTCCGTCGTGGAGCCCTACAACTCCATCTTGACCACCCACACCACCCTGGAGCACTCCGACTGCAGCTTCATGGTTGACAACGAGGCCATCTACGACATCTGCCGCCGCAACCTCGGAATTGAGCGCCCCAGCTACGAGAACCTCAACCGCCTCGTCGCTCAGGTTGTTTCCTCCATCACCGCTTCGCTCCGTTTCGATGGCTCCCTCAACGTCGACCTGAACGAGTTCCAGACCAACCTGGTCCCCTACCCCCGTATTCACTTCCCTCTAGTCGCCTACGCCCCCGTTGTCTCCGCCCACAAGGCCGCCCACGAGTCCAACTCGGTCAACGAGATCACCATGTCCTGCTTTGAGCCGAACAACCAGATGGTCAAATGTGACCCTCGCAACGGCAAGTACATGGCTACTTGCTTGCTCTACCGTGGTGACGTTGTCCCTAAGGAGACCCACGGCGCCGTGGCTACCCTCAAGACCAAGCGCACCATCCAGTTCGTCGACTGGTGCCCGACTGGTTTCAAGATTGGTATCTGCTACCAGCCTCCCCAGCAAGTGCCCAACGGCGACCTCGCCAACCTCAACCGTGCTGTGTATGTTTGCCCTATTTATGAGATGTGGAAAAAGATTGTACTAACTTCATTAGTTGCATGCTGTCCAACACTACCGCCATCTCCGAGGCCTGGTCCGCTCTCGACCACAAGTTCGACCTCATGTACTCCAAGCGTGCCTTCGTTCACTGGTATGTTGGTGAAGGTATGGAGGAAGGTGAATTCTCCGAGGCCCGTGAGGACCTTGCCGCCCTGGAGCGTGACTACGAGGAGGTTGCCAGCGACTCGTTGGAGGAGGAGGGCGAGCTTGAGCCGGAATACTAGATGGAAGATTAAATCACTTGGCGGAGACCCCCGGGACCGAGGCATGGCGCCGCTTGTGCCGATACTAATACCCTGGATCCTCGGGTGTTTATTCTCTGTTCGGGTTGCTGGGGAACGGCGTTTTCACCTGCACGACTTTTGGCCTCATGCAAATAAGAAAGATTTGATTTAGCCCAGACTGTTTATTCCCTGTGTTCTTTTATTATTGTCTCATACTTGATTTTATTAATATCCCCGGAAAGCAGCGTGGTGAATTTACCGCTCGTTCATATCTTTTTGTTTTTCTTTCTCTCTCTTGAGTGTCTTTTGTTACAACTATAGGATGTTGTAATTAAATTAAAAAGAAATCTACGGTGTTGGGGTGTATTAAATGCTTTATTATTGTACATATTTAGTACAAAGTAGCTGTCAGTCGTTAGTAGTAAATATGGAGTACGTGGAGGTTGTTGACCGCCCGGCAGAACCAGTCCTCCCCGGAGCCAACAGCGAAGGACCTCCCTCTTTCCACCCCCAGCAAGTTCCTGGTGCTTTTCATTGCTCCTGGTCAAGCGTTGATTGTTTGCTTGAACTGTTTGTTTATTGCAAATTGTCTTTTAATCCACTGCGACTACCCCCTCTTCCATCCGCTGGACGGGGCGCTATCTATGCCGTAGCTTCCTAGAGCTGACGACAGCGCCCATTTCGTCACCTTACTTACAACCCCAACTATCAAGCATAACAACTTCCATTTGAACGGAGCGCAAGTCTGCTCCTACACGCGACCATGGCTGAAGCAGGTGAGCTTAGCATTCCTTTCGACGGTGAATTGTCGTTTCTACAAAAAGAGGAGAGGAAACCGTGTTGCTGGATCAGGACTCAGGAGAACAGGCATAATGCGGGCGGAAGCTAACGGGGTCTCTTTGAATTGCTTCCAGGGTCACGACAACCCAATCTGAACCTCACTCCCGAGGAGAAACGGGTCTTTTTTCAGCTCTTTCAGGCCGCAGACACGACTAACCTGGGTGTTATTACGGGTGAAGTCGCCGTGCCGTTTTTCGAGAAGACTAGACTTCCTCCGGAGCATCTTGGTTTGGTACGTTGCCAACTTTCTCAATTCTTTCTCTGGATTGAATAGTCGCGTTGTGCTTGCATCCTTGGACATATGAGGCTAATCGCTGTTGGGCTTGGTTGTATAGATTTGGCAGATCGCAGACAGGGAGAACAGGGGGCTTCTGACCCCTTCTGGCTTTGGAGTCGTTTTGCGACTGATTGGACATGCTCAGGCTGGTCGTCCACCGACAGAGGAATTGGCGGCGCAACGTGAGTGCAATCCACAGTATATTGCGATCGGGAAAGCGCTAACACTTTGTTCAATTTTCTAGCTGGACCGTTGCCTAGATTCGATGGCATTGTGGTAGACACTTCCATGCCCACTGGCCGTGATATTGGCGCCACGAGTCCTCCGCCGTCTGCTGGTGGTCCGATCCGTGTGCCTCCGTTGAACCCCGACGACGTTAACAAATTCACATCGTTGTTTGACAAGTCGGATGTGGCAAGGAGTGGCATTCTCCCGGGTATGTTATCAGTGCGGCATTGACTTGCACCGAAAGCTAACGGGTTCTCGTACAGGCGAAACGGCCAAGCAGATTTTCGAGCGCGCAAGACTACCGAATGAGATCTTGGGACGGATATGGAACCTGGCGGACACGCAACAACGTGGCGTTCTCGATGCAACCGAGTTCATTATCGCCATGCACTTTCTTACCTCCTACAGATCGGGCGTCATGAAAGGCATCCCTCAGACGCTGCCTCCAGGTCTGTACGATGCAGCCGCACGAAGAGGATCGCGGTCATCTATGGGCTCACGGGGCTTGGACGTCCCTCCTGTGCCCACTATTCCCAGACAGTTCACTGGACCGCAGCGCACTCAGAGTCCGCTCAGTAGACAAACGTTCCCGCAGCCTCTTACAGCGCAAGGCACAGGTGGTGGTGTGGAATGGCTTGTCACTCCTCAAGAGAAAACACACTTTGACAGCATCTTCAACACGGTCGATACCGCAAAACTTGGGATGATCACCGGTGACCAGGCTGTTGCATTCTTCATGAATGCCCATTTGCCTGAAGATGTTCTGGCCCAGATCTGGGATCTCGCAGATATCGATGCTGATGGTCAGTTGACGAAAGATGAGTTCGCGGTTGCCATGTTTCTTGTCCGACAACAGCGCACTGGACAAGAACCGTTGCCGCAGACACTCCCGCTTGCCCTGATTCCTCCCAGTATGCGTCGTCCAGGTACTGCGCAAATGGCTCCCGCTGTCGCACAAGTCCCGGCACCTGCTCCGACTCCCGGACCTCTTCCTGCTGTCGCGGCTGCTCCTTCGCCGCGGTCTGCTGCTGATGATCTCTTCGGTCTTGATTCGCCCGCTCAACCTGCGGCCCCTTCACAGATTCCTCAATCTACCGGAGGATCCAATGTCCCGTTCCCCGCTCCTGCATCTCCGAAGACGTCCCCCCCGGGTACATCCACTACGTTCAAGCCTTTTGTTCCAACATCGTCCTTTGGTCAGAGTTTGCAGCCGCAAATGACTGGTGGTCCGCCGCCTGTCCGGTCTCCACCACCGCCAGCTGATGATCTTCTGGGAGACAACGACCCGGAAGAATCGAAGAAGCTGACCAACGAGACTACTGAACTCGCAAACCTGTCCAATCAGATTGGTTCGCTGGCGACTGAGATGCAGAACACTCAGACGAAGCGTACATCCGCCGAGCAGGACTTGTCTCAGAGCTCACAGCAAAAGCGCGACTTTGAGGCACGGCTTGCCCAGGCACGGACAATGTACGAGCAGGAGGTCAAAAACTACAAGGCTATAGAGGAGCGTTTGAATGCCTCCAAATCAGAGACCTCGAAGGTTCAACAGGAGTATGCGTTGATTGAGGGTAGTAGACAAGACTTGCAGAACCAATATGATCAGGTGTCTGCTGCACTCACTGCTGATCAGCAAGAAAATACAAGCTTGAAGGAAAAGATTCGTCAAGCTAATGCCATCGTCGCTCAGCTCAAGCCTGCCCTCGAAAAGGCCCGTTCTAGCGCACGTCAACAGAAGGGTCTTGTTGCTATTAACAAGAAGCAGCTTGCTACTGTGGAAGGCGAACAGGATAAAATCCGGGGTGAGATCGACAACCTCTCCAAAGACTCGGAGCGGGAGTCTGCTGCAAGCCCGGCTCCTGAAGCTGGTGCCGCCGCCGCTTCTATTCCCGCAGTGCCAACACCACCGCCCCAGGTGTCAACCCCTGCAGAGTCCACCACAAGCCAGAACACAAACCCATTCTTCAAACGGACTGCGACAGGATCGAGCGGCAATGAAAGCCGTCCTATCTCCCCTGCAGTCTCGAATGACCAGCGAAGTGCGTTTGATAACCTTTTCGGGCCTTCCTTTGCACCTCCTCCTGGTGCTACTCCTCCCCCGCCAGTTTCCTTCGGTGCCGAATCCCCTTCGGTGCAACAAACCACTGCCAAGTCCCCTGTGGAATCTGGAGCTCCTACTCCGTCGGTCTCGCCACCCCCTGCCGCGCTGACTGAACCTCCAGCGCCAGCTGAGTCCAGACAGATCACCCCCAGCGCTCTTCCCCTTGGTGAGCCCCAGTCAGTGACTTCTTCGACCAAGGTGTCGCCCCCGGGAAGCCACTTTGGTGGTTTCGATGCTTCTGGTTTCGCAACTCCTCCGCAAGGCAATATTTCACCCGCCCCCGTTGAACGTACTGCTTCGAAGTCGCCCTTCGATGAAGCAGACACACGTTTTCCTGACATCCAGAATGCTCCCGTCCCTAATGCTGGAGAAGGAGCAACCAAGGATCCAAGTTTTGACGAGCTCTTCGGTGGCCCCGCGCACCAGCGATCTCAGTCTCAGAAAGCTAACGACTTTGACGAGGCATTTGCTGCTATGAAGCAAGGCGGTGCTGATAAGCCCAACGGAGCTGCGGGTGCGGCTCAGTCTGAGTTCCCTCCCATCCATGAGTTGGACGATGATGACGACAGCACCGACACCGAAGCTCCCATGGGTTTCGATGACAACTTCACGCCGGTTGCGGCGGCGCAGGGTCAAATTGGCGAGACGAGTTTCCCTCCCCCGCCCGCAACGGCAGCAGCTGCGCCTCAGCCCCCTCCCGCCGGAGCCCAGACTAGCCCGCCAAGCTACGATCAATCTGTCCCTCACCAGGAGCCTGGCGACTTGCCAGCCGAGTACAATGGCCTCCTGCCAAACCGCGAGGATCCCACTCATGCAGCTGATGCGCCCCACTCGGTCGAGTCTAGTACCGGTGCACCTGTGGTTGGCGGAGAAGCCCAGCGAGACACGTCGAGTAAGCCGGGTGGGACCGATTTTGACGCTGCCTTTGCTGGTCTCAACCTGGCGCCCGCAAAGGAAACTGAAGATGACGAAGATGACTTTGAAACAGGTGACCAGAAGAACAACACAAACTTTGATTTCTCCTTCGACAACCCATCTCAGCAGAGAACTGCCTCTCCAAATACCAATAACAACGTCACTTCCTCGGACTTCTTCAGCTTCGACAATAACATTAACGCGCAATCCTCGGGCCACTTCTCCCAGCAGCCTACCACTACCTCACCCAGTGGCGGAACCCCTAAGCCTGACTCTCATGAATGGGACGCACTCTTCGCCCCTCTCGACAACATCAACTCCGAAACTCCAGCCCCAACCAACGGAGGGCAACGAGCACCCACCGACTCAAAGGAGCCTGGATGGGCCCTGCAAAATGACACCGGGGAGGATGATCTGATCCTTCAGCGGTTGACCGGCATGGGTTTTCCGCGTAATGATTCTCTCGCCGCGTTGGAAAAGTTTGATTACAATCTCGACAAGGTGAGCTTTCATTAAATTGCCTCGTTAACTGTTCCGTTGAGCTAACTTTGAATGCTAGGCTGTGGACTTCTTAACCTCCAAGGCATAATTATTTCTGTGCTTTTTATCTTGTTTTCCCCTTACTATTGCACATAGTTTTCTTTTGTCTTTACACTATGTTCCCTGATAGGCCTACAATCTTTGTATCGTTTTCCTTTTTGCATATCTTCGTTGTATATTCCATTGCGTTTCGTTTTTCTACTCCAACCACGCCAAGGTGTGCTGCTTTGCCCCATCGTCAACTCATTCACACCGCTTCATGTACTCTAGATCTCCCAAAGACAGGGGAGAGGCGAGAAAAGGAAAGGATAGGTGCCAGGGCAACTTATCTTACTATCCAGTTTAGCAGGATAATTCATAATCTTCTTAATTTCTTTCTTTTTCGGATGACAATTTGAGCAAGTAGGAGCCACTATAGTACCATATCAAAAGACTAATCCGACCTGCGGAAATTTATTAGACTAATGTAATACACAAGAATGACACTGCACAGTTTAACAAATGCGACAAGCAAAAGTGAACACTCGAACTGGAGCGGAAAGCATCAGGTAGGATATAAAGTGGTCAAAACGATGGTAGAACATCGGTGCAATATGGTCGTTAGGGTTCCAAAGAACTGTCGTACTATGAATTTTTCTCATGCTGGGTCGATACTCGCTGCAACGAAACGACTACATAAGTTAACTAGTTGTTCAAAAACAGCAGATGATCCTCAAACTTACCAAAATCTTCAAGAGAGCGTTGCTTTGCATTACCCTTCGGACTCTTGCCATGCATAATGTTGTCAAAACCCGTCGAGCCATTCAAGAGATAGTAGAGACCGCCCATAATACAGAAAACCCCAAATGAGAAGATCCAGACACGGATAACGGCGACGATGGAAGTTTGACCACCGACGAACCATCCGAATAAGCAGAAAAATGTTGCCAGCAGGTCAACCACAAAGATCGCTGCCGCCAGCTGCCAAGAAGGAAGTGATGACCAAAATGGCCCGTTTGCACGTGTGATAAAGATCAGCCAGTTCTCGGTCAATGTGATCTCGAGGAACAGGACCTCATCGCGCCGTCCGAAGTTTTGCACGATCCCCCCGTCTTCACCAGCCATCATCATGGTGGACAATGTGATCCACGTTCCCGCAGCCAGTACGATACCGAGAAGAACGGACATGCCCCATAACTTGGGAAGATTCCACTTGACGGGTGTCTTCGAGTAAGGAGCATTATCGTAAGCGATAGCAAGTGTCGCGATATCTGCAAAGATGGCGATGAATACCACCAGCTGGAGATTGAGACTCTCATTCATAAACACGATCCATAGGCCTAGGAAGATCTCGAGATGAAGCGATAACGCAATCCGATAAACGACGTATGCGTACATGCGATGAAAGATCTGGCGAGAAGTCTTAAGAGCGTCAACGATGGCGGACAATCCAGGAGCTAGGAAAACAATATCGGCAGCTGAGCGGGCTGCATCCGAAGAACCCTCTACTGCGATTCCCGTGTCTGCCTTTTTGAGGGATGGAGCATCATTGACGCCGTCACCCGTCATTGCAACAAGATATCCACGCTGTTGTAGAATCTCAACGACATTGTATTTGTGCTGGGGGAAGACTTCAGCGAAGCCGTCGGCAGCCTCGACAAAGTCATAGACTTCAGATCCAGGCATAGTGCCGCCGCCGCCCAGGCCAAGTCGTTCTGCGTTGTACACGTTTGTCCCAAGTCCTAGCTGACGCGATGTCTCTCGAGCAATGCCAACCGCGTCACCTGTCAGCATCTTAATGGACAATCCAAGAGTCTTAGCCTCATTGATAGTCTTCGCAGTATCATCACGCGGGGGGTCGGAGCATGGCATAATACCAAGAATCTCCCATTGGGAATCGCCACGCTTGCGAGCAACTCCAAGAGATCGGAAGCCGCGAAGCGCGAATTCAGCAACCTTATTCTTGTAATCGGTGTCGACTTCTTCGGCAAGTGGGTGACTTTCCTCGACCGTCCTCAAAACGAACAGTGGAGCCCCCTTCATACAGGTTATACGCTCGCCTTCAGGTGACTCGACGACAGCGGTGACCTTCTTGGAGACAGGATCAAACGGATGGAATTCGAGAACTTTGTATTGCGTGAGAACAGACTTGACATGGGGATAGTAACGAAGTGCTTTGAGGAAAGCACGGTCAATAGCATCAATGCCCTTTTTCTTCCGTGAGGCAGCCAGACAAGCAGTCAGCATGAGGTCTTCTGGTTCGACGCCGGCTACCGTATAGGGCTCTGAGAGCGATAATTTGTTCTTCGTCAATGTACCCGTCTTGTCTGAGCATAGAATCTCGACGCCAGCTAAGGACTCAATAGCCGAGAGTCTCTGAACGATAGCCTGTTTCTTGGCGAGATATGCAGCCCCGACAGCCATGGTAGTCGTGACAACGGCAGGAAGACCGACAGGAACACCGATAATAGTAATTCCCAGGGTGAACTCCAAGATGGTCAAGATGTTATTAGAGCGGTAGAAAGACGAAACCCAAATGACGAGAAGAGTGACTATGACGAGAACCAGGAGAACAGTGCCAATTCCGTTGAGGACATCAGTGAAGTGACCAGAGCCGGATGAAGCAGCGTTGACCATTGCAGCAGCACGCCCAACAAAGGTGTGATCACCAGTGGCTGTAACGACTACCATTCCGCCTCCACGCTTCACAGCAGACGATGCAAAGCAGCAGTCACCGAGTTGCTTATCAACCGCTAAAGACTCTCCTGTGATGGAGGATTGGTCCACCTGAAGAAAGGCGTCGTCGGTAATAATTCGACCATCAGCTGAAACGATAGTACCCTAGTGCTTTCTTTAGTAAACATTCTGGATCATGATGGGGAGCTGTTGTACCTCGTCGATTTTCAAGATATCCCCTGGAACGACTTCGGACGCGTCGATTTCAATAAGGTCTCCGTTTCGAGCCACGACTGCTTTGAGAGCCAAAGTTTTTTTCAACTCTTCCACAATGGAGCCTGCCTGGAATTCCTGAAGAAAGCCCACGGATGCGTTCAGCAAAAGAAGTGCACAAATAACACCAAAGTCGACCCAATCTTGGAGACCAAGAGCCAGTATCGCAGCAGCCTGCGTGAACGGAAATGTCAGTTGAAGTGCAAAGGAAAGCAACAGAGAGAACTTCGTACCTCCATGACAAACTGGATTGGACCAACGAAAAAGGATAAGAACTTGAGGTAATGATTCGGCTTATCCTCCTTCAGCTTGTTGAGACCGTATTTCTTCCGGCGAGTCAGGACTTCTTTGTCGTCGAGTCCCCTCAACGGATCAGTTCGAAGCAACTCTTCGGGGACAGTGCCAGTGTATTCAGGCTCGTCTTGCGAGTCATCTTCTTCGTCGTGGATGCCGCGTACTGACTCCAGCTCTTCGATGAGGATATCCATATTCTCCTCATCATCGTTAAACGACGGCTTTGGCGTGTCGTACGTGCCATTGGGGAATATTGGAGTCAGGCTTCCCTGGCGGCCGTAGTCCACGTAAGAGGATGGACCTTTGTATTCAGCCGTCGGCATGGTGGGATGTCGTATATAGGTACACAGCGAATAGTATACTGAGTATGTATGTAACTGTAGAAGTGAAGCTGTAGAGAGATAGAAACAAGCTGGAACTAGATGAGCAGCAGCAGAGAGGTTAGTGAAGTGAAAAAGAAAGGAGGTGGAGGTGGAGGAAGTAGTAAGAGAAGGGGAAAGATAAGCAGGAAAGAGCAAGCAGGAGGGAACAGTGAGACTGGAAGGGCTGCTTACCGACGTCTATAGCTGCATAGTAACCAAACAGTTGATTTCTTGATGATTATACCAAAGAAAAATGTAGACTGGATAAGAAGGTTGAAGAGAGTAAGATCAAACGGATGATCGGGAGAAGAAGAAAGAAAGAAGACCAGCAAAAAAGGCAACTGAAAGCCGTATCAAGATGTCGAGAGTATCTGTTCTGTTATGACGGATACAGCCTGACACCATATTAGACCGCCATTATTACCTGTCATTACCTGTTCTATTCTGTAAGTTACTAGGGCATTGGTCGTGCCTTCCAGATTCGGAAACTGGGAGAACTTCTCCCCACTATAACCCCCCGCCCCCAGAATTGGCCATGATTAGAATTAATTTTGGTATAATCCGGCGGAAATTTTGGAGAAGCACTCTGCTTCTGACGCTAATACAGTGCCCTACACCAGACCCAGCCATTGATCTGACCAGCACATCGTAAGCAAGTCCGTGCATAGTCGGACCGCTTGTAGAGCTGTCGACAAGGATAGGGTTTACCCCCGTGCTATCTTTCAAATACAAGTGACGAGATATAGGCAGCTGATTTCCTGTGTCCGGGGCCAGGATCGGGACAGATCTAAATAGCAGAATGAGAGGACAGCTGAAGGTTAGCCATCCAGTTAGTGCCAGCAGTGTCAGCACTTGAGGTTTCATCAGAGTATTTGGCACTGGCCCGAGATACCCCGGACAGCGATAATACTAATTCATAGCCGCAGGCATGATAGCAACACGAGCGCTAAGAGTATCAGACAATGCCAATTAACTAGCGATTCCAATTAGGACTGAGATTATCTGTGCACCGTACCTTCGGCGCTCTGCATGCTGAAATCGACTTTGGATCATTCAGCACGCTGGCCACAGCACTCGAAGGAATGATTCCCCACACCCTAGCCACCAATTGCTGATCTTGTTCGGAAATATCGTTTAGTGTCTCTGTTATGGATACCGAGTTATCAATGTCAAGTTTTCTTGCCTGGCGCCCTGGCGAGATCCCGTATAAAATTTGTGTTCCCATTATGCAGTGGTCCATCTTTTGCAATTGCTGTACTTAGGGCCAGCCCCTGGGTAACAATTGAAAATGGCAGTCTGGAAGAGAATGCTTGTCCCACATGATGGAATATATATAGATTTCGTACAGACATCACAAGCAGTTGAATCTCCGAGCCTACGGCATGTACAGAGTAGAGAAAGCAATAGATCTCACAATAGACCTCATATATTCATCATAGTAGCACAAATCGCATATATGTATGTCCAACGGCTCAGAAATGGTTGCAGTTGAATTAACCTCGACGCCGTCCAAAGGTACGTGCTTATATAATCACCGCATCGCGACGTCATTGCAACCGAAAATGTTTCCGCCAACATGGAGAAAGCATTCTTGCGACTATTGGATAATGATATATTTCGCCATTCAATAGAATTTTATTTTTAGTCTCCGTGGGTAGTTCATTGCGTACCGGACTACATAGCGTATCGAATTGATTGTTGCCGGGCATCTGGGTCTATCACGATGAATCGGGAAATACCAGGGTTCTACTACGGTAAGTCTTCAATAGTTAAACACCTGTGAGCATGATCACTGATGCAACAACAGACCCCGAAAAAAACAAATACTTCCGCATCCAAGCAAGTCACAAAGCAGCACCGGGGGCCCAGTACTCAAAAGATGCCGTGAAGCGCAAACGAATCGAGCAGGAGGTACTCTCCCCAATTATCCCCAACTAAGCACAGAATCATCTAACAGTAATAGAAACACGAACACAAAGCCCGCCAAACAAAGAAAATCGCAAAAGAAAAGATAAAAAAAGCCTCTTTCCTCTATCATCCCCTAATCGGATGTGAAAGAGAGATTGGCGCGCAGAATGCCACTCACCCTGTTCGGAAAGAACATCAGGGCTTAGTGTATGCAAGCCAGATGCGGAGACGAGAATTGCATCGGTTTGAGCCGTGGCCGGATGAGTATTCCATTAGGCATGTGTTGAGGAACAAGCGATCCGGGGTTTTGGTTGCGGGTGCGTTTTCTTTACGGGTGCATGTGATGCAGCTGATGATGTTTAGGTGGGCAGCGTGGTGGGGAGTCATCTGTTTCGTGAGTATCACTCTACTCTGTACAAGTTGAAGCTAACTGGTATAGAATATGCTTCCCAGACCTCGACCAGGACCAATTGTCTTACAACCGTACAATGGAGAGAGTTCTTTTCAAAGAGGCCTATCGAGTACGTCTCCTTCAACCCGTATAAAATAATACTAATAACAACAGCTCTCATCAATATCCCTAAGCCACACCGGCTATCTCCTGTACGTTCCCTCTTCTCCCCCGGGACGACCAACCCTAACAAATACAGTACAACAATGGACAGCGGCCCAAACGGCGACTCCTTCCTCGCCCCCCGCATGCTTCCAGACCCTGACGAAGGAGGCGATTATCGCTGGCCATCAGCTTGTAGTCCCCCTCTTTGCTGCCTGATATCAAGAAAGCTACTAACAATACCAGTCACCCACCCCATCCGTATCCTAACAAGCACAACCCATTGGTCCTCCACCTCTTGCCCGACACCAACAGGCCCAAAACCGCTCTTCGCAATTGGAACCTCCGACGGTCTCCAGATCCTAACAGGACAGGGAAGTCACTGGTCTCTAACCAAGGCGCCGTTCCCTGACGATAGAGGACACCGGCGGCCACAGGTGAATGCTGTTGAATGGCTGTCCGGTGATGTTATCGCGGCTGGATGTAAAGATTCGAGTGTCTTTTTACATGATACCAGGAGTGGAGGGAGTGCGGTTAGGTTGTGGCATCCTGGTGCTGTTGCGGTGGGGGGTATTAAGAGGGTTGATGAGTGGAGGGTTGTTGTGGGGGGTTATAATTCGGTATACTCCCTATCTTACCTTATCTAGACATTCACAAACGAGGTGCAGAGATGCTAACTGACTAAAAGCTACAAATGTACGACCTACGCTTTCCGCTAACTCATCAACACAACCCGAACTCGAACCCTACGCACCCTCACCATAACAAAACCAGAAACACAAACAAGCGAAAACATAACCAAAACAACCATAACATCTCAACAAAACCATACCTCGTCTTCCCCGACTACTCACCACCCTACGCCCCCGAATATGACCTCAGTACTGAATTAGGGCTGTTGGCCAGTGGTGCGTTCCCCCTCAATTACTCACCAGGCTAATTATGTTAACCTGGGTGCAGTATCTGACGAAGACAAAATACAACTTTTCTCCCTACGTAACGGGGAGTTAGTCTCGCCATTCACATCATCCGTGTGCCGGTACACATACCCCAAACCCATTTCAGCCGTTCGATTCGAGAACGGAGATGCCGGTGCCAAAGGCCCACAGGCACCGGCGCTACTGGTTACGGCAGGGGATAGGGTGGATGAATGGTTGTGGTAGTTTATTAAATATCAGTATATAGGTCTAATGCGATCAAAGTACATGAAATATCAATCTAATCCACCTGCCAGCCATTCCCCAACCTCAACACCAACTTCCTTCGCCACCTCCCCTATCCAATCGCCTGATACATTCACGCACCATTTATCACCCGCATCGGCTGTTGTATTCCCACTGCTCAGACTCGTTGCTCCGGATGGTCCTCCACCAACACGGCCACTTCCGCCACTGCTATCCCTTGCCCCCGCGGGCACGACTAGTCGTAGTCTTCGTAATGTAGCCAGCTCTGCGTATATCGCATCTGACACTGCTGCTGTTTTAATCGGGTTCGCGGGTGGGTTAGGGTCGATGGCGTGGTAAATCGCAACAAGTCGTTCAAGTGGGAAGGGTCGTGCGGTGAGGATAGTCGACGGACCTGTTACGCCCGGTGCACCGCCAGGTGCGGATGTTGTAGCGGAGGAGCTAGCGAAGGCGGATTCGAGGGTGGATTTCGTGATACGCGTTTTCTGGCGCTTGCCCTTGCCTGGCGTCGAGGGGTTGTTGGCTTTCTTGTCTTCTGCCTGTGCGCGGGAGAGAAGCTTTAAACGGCGACGGTGGTGGGCGCGCTTGTTTCGTGCGGATAGTGAGGATGAGGAAAATTTCGAGAAGAAGATTGTGTCGAGACGTTGCGGGATGTGCGAAGCCAGGTATGCGGATGTGAGGATAAGAGTTGCAAAGTATGGTAGTGACGGAAGAGGTGATGGTGCGGATACAGCCTTCAACGACGGCTTTGCTATCGCCCCAGCCTCCTGCGTAGGTTCTTCAGGAACGATATGATGCACCAGCGCCGCTTCACCCTGCTGTCGGAACAGTGGTCGATTCCGAACGAGCAGCCGCATGAAATCCCATTCTCCAGTCCCTCCAGGTGGCGTCTCACCGTTCACTATCGGCGCCACGAACTGCGGCCACAGCTTATCGCATATCGACCGGAAAACAGGGATCGAGCTCGCCGTAGGCCCAACCAACGAGTCGAAAATCGTAGACACAAACTGCGGGTATACCTTAGTGACAACCTCCACCGGTAACCCGTCGACAAACGGCGAATCTGCGTTCAAAATTATCCTGGTTGCTTCACTCCGCGTATACGGCGGGAAACTGACATGCGGAACCGCGACAGCTTGCAAGAACAGTGGTCGAGGCGTAGAACTCAAAATCAACACCACACAGAGCGATGGGATCACCTCCCCTAGTCTCGCCAGCGCAGCCAACAACGTCTGCGGCGCTTCCCTCTGTTTGTCAATGCCGTCTAGAATTAACACGAACTTCCCATCCTCGGAGGACGCTAGGATTTCCCCCAGTAGCACCACAAGTGCACTAACGTGCTCGCATCGTCCTTTTCCAAACTTCTCCCATTCATTCTTCCGGCTCAATGCCTCCAAAGTCGTCCATAGGATCTTGGTTAGGAGATGGCGGCCTGTGATGCACTCTGTGCTGCGGACGATAGCGTGCGGAACTTGTAGGGTGGAAACAACGGCGCGGACGATGGTGGATTTGCAGGTTGCGGATATCCCGTGGACGACTAGTGTGGATGGGCTAGCGGTGTGAGGCTGCCATTGTCGTTCGAAGATGTCAGTCAAAGTGAACAAAAGCAGAGGGATAGGCTGTAGGCGGATAGTTTGTAGGTGGCTTACGCTGAAAAGACTGGCGAGTTGGCGGCTTTGGAGCTCGCGACAAGGCCATTGTTGGCTAATAGAGCGGGATACCTCTGTAGGAAGCATTAAGACACGATATACACGGCTTCAATATGGTGACTCAAGAATAATTACCGCAGTAAAGTTGGTTGAAAGAGTCGCGAATCTCGACGCGCGGGATTTAGATCACGTGATCGTGAACAATGGCATATTCAAGTTAACTACTACTCCGTACTATGTCCTGGTATTTGGACTACTCTCTATCCTGAATCAGTCTGACATCAATAAAAAGAGCAATGCAATTGTAGAGTACAGCTATCCTAATGAGTGGTTTGAAAATTGGGCCATAATCATCATTCCGGAAATCATAGTACAATCAACGGTGACCCAAAGATGTCCGATTACATTCCTCCTCATTCTGTCCAAAGAGCCCAGGAAAGCATTCATCAATCCAACGTGGCAATACAAAAAGTGATTTCCGAATGGCATTAACATAAGCAAACAACACACCAGGAGGATAGGGGCCGGGGGGAAGTAAAGAAACACGGCACAGATGAGGAAAATTAAAAACACAGTCGAGGGGATTGGACATTAAGCAAGACGACATATACAAAAAAAAAACCAAGGTTTGGTCGCTGAGAGGCATTGCGAACAGCGAGCCTAACCCAAAACAGTATGAAGAATACAAGACAGTTGCCAAGTATCGCATCATATCATCAAATAAAAATAGTAATCCAGAAAGAAAAAATAAATAAATAAAAAGATGCAAAATTGCATAAGAATAACGGATCCTCGAGATGGTATCAAAAAACGAAATGTGTTCCCCCGATTCGCTGACGATTGGTCAAGCTGGCCGTGAAGTCATGAAGATCGTAAGCATCATCTCAAATATGGGTACATGGAACAGGAGCTGACAAGGCTCTTGAAAGGGAACAATGCCAGCGAGATCAGAAATAGGCATACAGTGGGCCCTGAGCCCCATAGTTACCGGTCGACTGCTGCGCCGTCGGAGTAGTGTAAAGACTTCCAGAGCTGTCGCTGGCCCCACCTGAGGACGCGTTGGAACCAGAGCTTGAGCCCGAGGCCGGGGTGTAGTTCTGGTTGCCAAATTGACGGCCAAGACTGGGAGGTGCGAAAGCGTTCTGTTGGTACATTAATGGCTTCGGGGCACCCTGCAAGGGTCCAGGAAGCTGAGCTGAGTTCATCTCATTGGGTGCCACTTGGCCGCTGGTGGCAGTACTGCCCCTTCCTGAACCTTCAGCGGCCATGATCTTGCCCGCAATGCGACGTCCATGGGGAGTCTGGCGGATAGCAGGTAGGATTGGGCGGATGGATTCCACGACGTGGGCGCGCATCTCCGGATCGGAAAAGTCCATAGCGGTCTGCACAACGTAGTTGGCAAATGAGTCACGCAACATTCTCTCCAATTCATTTCCGGCGAGCATTTCTTCAATTAATTGACGACGCATTTGGGAATCAGCAGTCCGCAGGCACTTCTCGATCACATTGGAACTGAACTTCTGCTTGGAAAGGGCAGGGATATGGCCACGGAACGATTGGCAGAGAGGCTCGGTGAAGTGCGGCTCAGCAAGGTCCAGAATGTACTGAACGACATAGTTTCCAAACGGATCCTGGACCAATGAGAAAGCGTTGGCCGTGATTTGCGCAATCAGGCGAGCACGCTGCTCTCCCGAAGCATGATCAATACAACGCTGCAAAACGCAGCATCCATGGCGGTGGGTGCCAACGACAACGCAGTTGCCACCAACAGCATCATAGACAAACTGAGCATCCTCAGCAGACAGCCGGTTCAGGCACTTCTGGATCACATGGTTTCCGTTCAGGTCCTGAACCAATGCCACAACGTGGTTCTCGAGGGAGCGGATAACGGTGCGAGTCTGCTCCGGAGTCGAAACGAATTCGATCATCTTCTGCAGCGCACGCGTACCATGCTGGTTCAATGCAATCTTAACGAGCTCGGGAGCGGCGTTGTTGATTAAAGCTGTGCGCTGCTCATCATTGGAGTATTCGAGCAGCTTCTGGCAGAGGTAGTTTCCAAAAGGATCGGTCATCAGCTCGACAACGTGGGGATGGGTCTCTTCAAAGATCAACTGAATGTGCTCAGGGGTACGTTCCTCCAGTTTTCTCTGCAAATACCGGCAACCGTGCTGGTCCTTGCACAGGCTGTACAGTTCACCACGGTAGTGCTCCAGAGGAAAGTTTGAGAAGCGAGAAAGCTGGGACGACTCCCCGTCCCCACTTCGCCGCGCGCTAACAGCACCCCTGGCCGGGGTGTCATTGACCCGGAAGCCACCGTATGGCCCATAACCCGCGAAGGAGCCAGGGGAATTGTAGTTGGGAACCTGGTTATTGACTTGCATGGCGTTACCAAGATAGGGTTGCATGCCGTAGCCGTAAAACGAATTGGGGACATTCGCCAACGGAGCGGCTGTGGTCGAGCCAGGGACAATAGGGTTGGAAGTGGTCGTGTTGAGCTGAGGACCAAATGGGGCGGCACTAGCCTGCAGCGTGGTAGTTGAGGACTGTGAGCTCGGCCGCTGGGCATCCTCGTGGTCGGGTGAATCCCTAGTCTGGCGGAAGCGGCCTTGAAACACGTCCGCATGAGCTTTGGGTGGCGTGATAGCGGGATCAAAATCGTTGTCCTTGACAGTGGGGAGGTCATTGGTCGAGTACGATGACTGCAGGGAAGTAGGACGGCTGGAAGCCGTTGATATCGCATTCTCCCGGGTGTCGTCATTGCCATAAAACAGATTAGCTTCGAGCGAGTGCCGGGCAGCATGACGAGCAGCGTTGACACCGGTAGAGCGGTTATCGCCCGAGGGGCTGCTCAGCTGATGGTTCAGGCGGAACATATTGAGCGTACTTTGGGGCATGCTTTGATGCGAGGCACGGTGACGGTTATGAGCGTTCCAAGACTCTGGATTTGGAGTACGCGAGTTGGCCAGATCCAAAGCGTCCGGGTTTGCCGACAACTATGTTTATAGGTTAATGGTCGATCGATTGAGAAATATATTCTGGATCTTTAGTACTTACCAAACCAGATTCGTCTCCGCGAGATAGAGTGGGGAACTTGTCGTCAGGCTCGGTCAACTTGAGATAACTTTTGATGTCAGGCGTGGGGATTCTGTCTTCGTCCCTAAGGGTGTCCCTGTCGTCGTCGTGGGGGAACAGATACTTGGCTGCAGAGAAGGAATCGAGGCCAGGAGGATTGTTAAAACCAGGGGCAGGAGCGTTAGCGCGAAACTGCGACAAGTTTGCGGTGGGCATGGAGTAACGGTGAATACTGGAAGAGAGTCAGTGGGTGAATGGTAGCAACAGAAATGAAGAAATGACGGGTGATGTTTGAAGTGAATGCAAAACCAGGAAATCATAGGCGGAAACTCCAGCCTCAGCCGCAGGTAATCCCAAGCCCAGATCTGTGTTTGGTTTTCCTCTTCCAAAGAGCATGTCGTCATACAGAAGGGTGCCAAAGAGATAAGAAACTTACGTAGGTCCAGGGCGGAAAGGAGAGGACAGCGGCTCGTTACCAAAGTCCTCCTTCTCAGAATTTCTTCGAGATCCAGGAACAGAATGCACCGAGAAGCGGTTGGTTGGCGTCTGTGCGCCGTTAGGAGATGAAGTCATTTGATTAGATGGGGCAAAGACGTTGAAGAAGCCTGGGGATGAAGTAACGCTGGAGGTAGAGAAACGGGTTGGGCGCGAGAAACCCGCCGAGAAGCCATTGTCATGATACTCTGGCGGAGTTGTTGGTTCACTGACAGGGCCTGGGATACCTGCCTTGGCTAAATCCCGTGCTAGCTGGTCCATCTCCTGCTTCTCTCTCTCGTGCTGCAAGTCCAGAAGTTTCATGTCCTCTTCGAACCGCCGTCTTTGTTCGCGCATGTATTCAATGTGCTGACGCTTCTTCTCAAACTAGAAATCGATGGTCAGTATCGAAAAGAGAATGAGATCACAGCTAGAAAAGAAAAAAAAAATCAATGTCACTGGATCAACAACGGGAAGCTCACAAGCTGGGTTTTGTAAGAATTGTTTGTCTGCAGTGACAGGTCAGCTACAATAACGGAGCGATGCCAAGAAACAAGACTGCAAGGCAAAAATGCAATGGAGAAAAAGGCGACTTACCGATGACACCAGTTCCTGAGGATCTGTCACATGAGGAGTATTCCCCGGCTGACTGAAATGGTTCCACGAGGACAGCTTGCTGGAATCTGTGGTGAAACGGCGGTGCAGATTGGCGCGCACATCGCCCGACGGGCGCGAAAAGGCCGATGCCATATTGGGATGGCCGGCGGGAGCCATGGTCGTATAACCCATGTAAGGGGACTCGGAGGGGGGCGAACGAGGAGAAGGGAAACGCAGTTCATCGAGGCGCTCACTCAATCCGCTTTTGAAAGCCATGATGGGTGATCAGGGAAGAATACCCTATCTGAAGATGCAGAGGGAGGAGTCAGCACGAGGCGAGATATATATATATATATAATTCATCAATATATCAGAGACAGAAACAAGGGGGGGAAGAGAAGGTGAGAAAGCGGCCAAGGAGACAGCGACACATAGACATACGCATCCACACCGCCAACCGATTGACGATTGTACTCTATCTGCAGAACAGGGAAAGTAGAAGAGAGGGAGTTTGTGTATGTTTTTGGGCGCCTGGGAAGGTGTTGCAAGTAAGGAGTTTGTGAGAGGGGCTGGAGAGGGGAGACCAGAAGCAAAGTGCAGCGGATGATCTGGCGGGCGATCTGCGACAAAGGGAGTCGGACTCACAATGAACGCCTCGGAAGGTGTTATTTCTTGCTCTATGATCTGGTTGTTCTTCGGTTTTCTTTATTCTCGAAAGGTTTCTCGCCTAAACAGGGAGGAGGGCGACAGAGGGACACGAGGAAAAAGGGGGGCCGGTTCGCAGATATGAGGCAAGCTGTTGATGTTGTTCCCTAACAGCCATGCGGAGATCTCGATTAGCCCGAGTTGATGAATCAGAAGAGAGAGCAGGCGCTGACACTTACAGAGGAGCGAACAAGTACTCTGTACAGCCCGATTCTCGTATTGACCAGAGAAATCCAAAGTTGGCTTAATGGATAAGAATAGCTGGAGAATTGTTGAGTAGAATTGGAGGCCTAACAGGCGGAAGAGACAGCTGAAAAGGCAGGAGGGAAAAGAGAGAGAGAGAAAAGAAAAATAAAAGAGGAATCGGACGGAAACGAGAGACGATGCGACGATGAATCGATACTTATTGGGGATTGTGATAGAGCGAGCGATGGCCAGAGAGCGACAGAACAGAGCGGGGAGAGATTGACCAGACCAGAGGGAAGTCGAGGCTGAATTGAGCTGATCGGGTCTGTATCTATACCGTATTACAATACAGATATTACTACTATCGACTACACTATTTAATACGGTTATTGGTCTCTTTTCTTCTTCTCCTTCTTTCTAATCAATTAATTGATATCCTGTTAGATCGATGGATCTTCGGAGCGCGATTCGGTGTTATTATGTAAGCCATGTAAAGTACGATAGTTACAGTACTCTTGATCTTCCACTATGTACTACTACCACAACACTATCCTAAGACTTGAATATACTTGTACAGAGTTCGGAGTAACAACTGACTTGTAAGAAGCTATCAAACACCTGCCCTGATGGTGCGCTGGCCTCCATGCATCTCTGACAGGCCAAGTCACTCCCGCCGGTGCCTGGATCGTCTGTTTTAATTTGCTATCGCAGGCTAACGGCTGTAAGCCATCCGGCCATTCTGACAGTGCCTGATGCCATACTCGTAGCCTCTATGATTCTCGACCAACAGGGGTATGTGCAATTGGAATATCAACAGATTCTATACCACCGATTTTACCGCAAACTGTGCTATCTTTTGTCCACGGTTCGTCAAACCACGGTTGACCCCAAGAAAAGCCCTTCAGTCCCGCAACGGGTCAGTTCCGTTCTCCATAAGAAACGTCGAAGAAACCGAGAAGAAGAACCCCCGAGATTAGCTTTGTTTGGCCCATGGTTGCCAATCCGTGCGAAAAAGCGGTGTCTTTGCCTCTCACACCAATCACTGCCAGCCACCTTGCCAAATTTTTTGCATGATCTTCCAGTTTAATCTGCAATGTTTCATGCCTGACTGACGGCGCAGACGGAATGTTCTCTTTAAAGCCCGCGGCTGACTTGTCACTCTCACCATATTCTCGTTCCTCTATTATCCCCACTGGTGCCAGCAGCAGAGCACGGTCCACTGCTAATTGCATCATTCAGTGTTTTTTTTATCCTGTCCGTTTGACTCAATTCCCCTCGTTCAGTCATTTCAGTCCCTATTAATCAGCATCGAGTCAGTGGCAAACAAATGGCGGTCAAACATGAGACTTGTTATTGTCCAGGGTACCGAATCCCTTGTCTTGGTTCAAGCGTGTTTGATGATTTGAATGCACGGATAAGGTGTATGATCGTACCCGAGTAAACTTTATGACCTACATGAACAACGCCATGCGGTGGGTAGTCTTCTCCGCACGGCCATGTAGGTCAGTACGTATGTAAATGTATGTATGCCTTGCGGAAGAATCAGCATCAGTGCTCTGTATATCATCCCACGCTGCACACGGCACATGCACAGCGACAGAAGTGAGCATTACAGAGTACTTACTTGTACAGCGTGCAGCTTCATCCTGTGACATTGGTGAATTGGACGTATCAGACGCATATCGGATGTTCATGTGGAGTAGGAACACGGGGTTCGATAAGATGACTCGCTGCTTCGGTTGTTGGCATACGGTCTTCAGGCAATATATACTTTGTATGCCCGAGTTCTACGTAACTGATTATCATAGGACCATAAAAAGTAATCTACTCTATGGTGCTGCGGAAAATTACACATCTGTGTTACTGCCAGGCACAGCTCTACAACCATAACTCTTTTATTAATGTAAATATCATCAGATGTACTGTCCTCTACAGTGTAGTTCTATATAGAAATTCTAGACGCTATAAGGCCCTCTGAACAATCATCCTTATGATCATCTTCGACATATCGGGGAATACCGCTCCGATCAAGTTAGATTTTCTATCAGCAATTCGCACAATCGCTAAAAAAATTGAGCGACGGACTGATCTTTACAAATCGATAACATCCCCGGAGTCTCCGTATACCTGGGGATATCTTCAATTGAGGAATTGTACCTCACTCGACTTCAATTCCTCCACAATCGACAAAAATGGATCTAAAACCGCCCCGGTATATCCTTGCCAGCATCCTCTGCTCATGCGGTGGTCTACTTTTCGGGTGCATCTAACTATAATCAATTGGAAGGCAACACTCTGACTCTAATAGAATGGACACGGGCATCATCGGTCCCGTCACCGTCATGAAGCCTTTCGTCGCCCAATTCGGCAACCAGTCAGCCACCGTCCACGGTCTGATCGTCTCGTCCATTCTCATTCCCGCTGCGATATCCTCGTTTTTCGCGGGCTATCTAGCAGATAAACTAGGACGACCTACGGGGATTAGCATTGGTGCTTTAATATTTGGTATCGGGGCTGCTCTGGAAGCTGCCGCCGTTCATTTGGCCATGTTTATCGTAGGGAGGTGTGTCGAGGGGATTGGGGAGGGGCTGTATTTGGGGACATTGGTTGTGTGCGTCTACATATCTTCTACCGATAGAAGTTTAACTGACATCTCTAGGTATATCTGTGAAATTTCTCCGACCAGCGTCCGCGGTGCGCTGACAACCGGCCCACAGTTGCTCATCACACTTGGCTTAGTGACGGGTTTCTTCACTTGTTACGGAACTTCACGTATCGAATCGTCATTCTCATGGCGGTCACCTTTTATCATCCTAGCCTGCTTGTCCGCTGTCTTCTCTGTTGCTACGTATCTGTGGCTCACCCCCTCACCTCGATGGTTGACCCTCCACGGCCGAAAGTCCGAAGCCGCTGAAACCTGGGACCTTCTTGGTGTTGGTCTGGCAGAACGAGAGAAGGTCGAAATCGAGGAGATTCGGGAATCAGGATCGAATACGCATCAAGCAGAGCTCGAGCGCCAGCATGCTGAGGCTGCAAGGCCTCAAAAATCAACCAAGCATGGCTTCCTCGATCTGTTCTCTCGGGACGTGCGGACACGCACTGCACTTGCAGTTTTCCTCATGGGGATGCAGCAGCTCAGCGGGATTGATGGAGTTCTCTACGTAAGTTACTCCTTTACACGTAAGAACGCATAACTAATCGTCCGACAGTACGCCCCCCTCCTCTTCGAACAAGCTGGTCTGGCTTCCTCAGAGGCTAGCTTCTTCGCCTCCGGTGTCTCTGCCATAGTGATCTTCGCCGTGACCATTCCTGCCCTCATCTGGGCCGACAAATGGGGCCGCCGACACAGCATCATCTACGGCGGGCTCGGGCTTAGCATCACAATGTTCCTAATCGGCGCACTATACGCTACTCAAACTGTGCACGGCTCTACCGGCGCCGGCCGCTGGGTCGTCATAGTCTCCATCTATATCTTCGCCGTAATCTACTCCCTTAGCTGGGGGGTTGGAATCAAGATCTACGCGGCTGAGATCCAGCCACAGCGCACGCGCGCATCTGCGACGAGTCTTGCGCACGGGAGTAACTGGGCGACTAATTTTCTGGTTGCATTGACGACGCCGATTTTGTTATCGACAAGTAGCTTTGGGGCGTATTTTCTGTTCGCGGGGTGTACACTTCTCACTGTGTTTGTGTGTGCGGTGTTCATGCCGGAGACCAAGGGGAGGTCTTTGGACGATATTGAGGAGGCGTTCAAGTGGAAGGTTATTGGAAAGCAAAATCTGGCGAAAGTAATTCCTCTTCTTAATAAAATTGCATAGACAGTGAACACTTTGATAGAAAAGACAATCTAACCGTATTCGGAAGCCCGCTTACATAATTTGTCCCTCCGCCATGGCCGTTGATAAAAAGATAAAAATTGCTCACTCGCCGTCGCCAACTGTCCCTCAACCAGCGATTCCAGTTGCTTCGCTGCAGATTGTAACTCTATACTATTTACGTCGCCAGCGGCCATGCCCCCTCGCAGGAGGCCCCAGGCTTCCGCAGCCGCAAACGCAGAGGTATGACAAAGTTCTCCGCACAGCTACCTTTAGATGACTAGCTAACATGCGATGATTCTGTTGGAACAGGCTGCAAGGAACGCTGTGCCAGGACGAAAGCGACCCTCGCAATCCAAGTCGGCTTCTACATCAGCACAGTCTGCGCAGGCCCTCGAGCAACAGCAGCAGGATGGCCCGACAGAAAAGCACGAGCCGTACATCCCCTACCCGTATCGCCATCGGGACCCGTTCGATGCGCTGCTCGAGCCTTTTTACTATAACAAATCTTTGACGGACCCGATCAATACGGCCAAGGATAAATGGAATCTGCTCCCGGCGTTCCTGAAGGTGAAGGGGCTGGTCAAGCAGCACATCGACTCGTACAACTACTTCGTCGAAGTGCAACTGAAGAAGATCGTCGAGTCGAGTTCCACGATCCGCAGCGACGTCGACCATAACTTCTACATCAAGTTCACGGATATCTATCTCGGATCTCCGCGACGCGCAGACGAGCCGCAGGATGCCGGGTTCAACGTCGAGTCTACTGTATCGCCCCAGGAATGTCGACTTCGTGATACTACTTATGCTGCGCCGATTCGCGTTGATTTTGAATATGTCCGTGGTAGACAAAGGGTTATTAAGCGGGGTGTCTCGATTGGTCGAATGCCTGTCATGCTTCGGAGTTCGAAGTGTGTGTTGGCGAACAAAACGCCGTCGGAGATGACTGTGCTTAATGAATGTCCGCTTGACCCGGGTGGTTATTTCATTGTCAACGGTACGGAGAAGGTTATTCTCGTGCAGGAGCAGTTGAGTAAGAACCGTATCATTGTTGAGACGGATGCGAAGAAGGAGATTGTGCAGGCTTCTGTTACCAGGTGAGCTTTTTTTTTTTTTTTTTTTTTTTTTTTTTTTTTTTTTTTTTTTTTTTGGAAGAGGACTCCCATTTGCTAACAGTGCACAGTTCATCGAACGAGCGAAAGTCTAAAAGTTATGTCGTCTTCAAGAAAGAGAAGCTTGTCGTTAAGCACAACGTCCTGAATGAAGATATTCCAATCGTTATTCTTCTCAAGGCAATGGGTATCCACACGGACAAAGAGATGATGCTTCTCGTCGCTGGTGTTGATAAAGTGTACCAGGAAGATTTCGCCATCAACTTTGAAGAGGCGATTAAACTGGGCATCCACACGCAACAGCAAGCTCTCGAGTGGATCGGCGCGCGAATCAAGATTAACAGGAAGCAAATGTCATACCGTCGAACCCATGTTCAGGAGGCAGTTGAGGCCATCGCATCTGTTATAATTTCGCATATCGAAGTTAAGAACATGAACTTCCGCCCCAAGGCCCTGTATGTGGCGCACATGGCACGTCGTGTGCTGATGGCCAAGAACGATGACACTCTGGTAGATGACCGTGACTACCTGGGTAATAAGCGACTGGAACTGGCTGGTCAGTTGCTGGCTTTGCTGTTTGAAGATCTGTTCAAGAAGTTCTGCTTTGATATCAAAATGAACATCGACAAGGTCTTGAACAAGCGCAACCGAGCAGAGCAATTTGATGCCTGGAGTGTCATGAGTATGCACGGTAATCACATCACCCAAGGAATGAACCGTGCAATTTCCACGGGTAACTGGAGTTTGAAGCGTTTCCGTATGGAGCGTGCTGGTGTCACCCACGTTCTAAGCAGATTGAGTTACATTGCGGCACTGGGTATGATGACCCGTATCAGCAGTCAGTTCGAAAAGACAAGAAAGGTCAGCGGTCCCAGAGCGCTTCAACCGTCACAGTTCGGTATGTTATGTCCGGCAGATACGCCCGAAGGTGAAGCGTGTGGTTTGGTCAAGAATTTGGCTCTTATGACTCACATCACGACCAACGACGAAGAGGGTCCTGTGCGGAACTTGATCTTCATGCTTGGTGCGGAGGATATCCAAACTATCGGTGGTAAGGAGTTGTATGCTCCCGGTTGCTATACGATTTCAATCAACGGTACGCCGACGGCACTCACACGGCGTCCGAAGTACTTCCTCGACGCCTTCCGACGACTGCGCCGAATGGGCAGAATCTCTGAGTTTGTCAGTATTTTCATCAACCACCACCAGCGGGCGGTGCATATAGCAACAGATGATGGCCGGATTTGCAGGCCTCTCATCGTCGTCGAGAATGGCAAGTCCAAAGTCACGGCGCATCACCTTGAGAAACTCCGTGATGGAACGATGCAATTCGACGACTTCCTCGCGCAGGGCTTGGTGGAATATTTGGACGTGAACGAGGAAAACGACTCGCTCATTGCCATTTACGAAAAAGACATCAGCGAGACCACGACACATCTCGAAATCGAACCGTTCACCGTCCTTGGAGCAGTCGCCGGTCTAATTCCTTACCCGCATCACAACCAGTCCCCGCGTAACACTTACCAATGTGCAATGGGTAAACAAGCTATTGGCGCTATAGCCTCGAACCAGTTCCTCCGCATCGACTCAATCCTCTACCTCATGGTGTACCCCCAGAAACCAATGGTCAAGTCGCGGACAATCGAACTGACAAAATACGACCACCTCCCCGCCGGTCAAAACGCCATGGTAGCAGTCATGAGTTACTCTGGTTATGATATTGAAGATGCCCTCGTCCTGAACAAGGGTTCCGTCGACCGTGGCTTCGGACGTTGCCAGGTCTTCCGCAAATACGTAACAAATCTGAAGAGTTACTCCAACGGTACAAAGGACCGTCTCGACCCCCCACAGTACGAGAACGATGCGCCCATCCGCAAACACGCTCTCCTCCAAAACGACGGTCTCGCCGCGGTCGGCGAAGCAGTCAATGCAGGCGAAGTCTATATCAACAAATCCACCCCAGATCAAGCGCACTCCTCGGGCATCACAGGCTCCGACCTAGGCCGCCCCGTCAGCTTCCAACCGACCCCAATGACCTACAAACTGCCCGACCCCGCACACATCGACAAGGTCATGGTCTCGGCCACAGAAGGCGAAAACCAACTTATCAAGGTGCTCACCCGGCAAACCCGTCGCCCAGAAGTCGGAGACAAATTCTCTTCCCGCCACGGTCAAAAGGGTGTTGTAGGTATCATCGCCGACCAATCCGACATGCCCTTCACAGACTCGGGCATCAACCCAGACATCATTATGAACCCACACGGTTTCCCCTCCCGCATGACAGTCGGGAAAATGCTCGAACTCGTCGCCGGAAAGGCAGGTGTGCTAGCCGGCCACCACGGCTACGGCACATGTTTTGGCGGAACACCAGTCGAAGAAACATCCCGCATCCTCGTTGAAAAGGGCTTCAGTTACGGTGGAAAGGAATACCTGACCTCTGGTATTACAGGCGAGGCCCTTCCGTTTTATGTGTTTACAGGGCCAATCTACTACCAAAAACTAAAGCACATGGTCCAAGACAAAATGCACTCTCGTGCCCGCGGTCCCCGCGCAATGCTCACCCGGCAACCCACCGAAGGTCGTTCGCGAGATGGTGGTCTGCGTCTAGGAGAAATGGAACGTGATTGTCTCATTGCGTACGGAACATCCCAACTGCTTCTCGAGCGGTTGATGATCTCGTCCGATCGCCATGAGATCGACGTCTGTGAGACGTGTGGGTTCATGGGGTACTTAAACTGGTGTCAGCGGTGTAAGTCGTCGCGGGGGGTGGTGAAAATGGCAATTCCATATGCGGCAAAGCTGTTGATTCAGGAATTGATGAGTATGAATGTCACGGCGCGGTTGAAGTTGGAGGATGAGTTTCCTGAGTCCAAGGGGCGGTAGTCTTTCCCCGGTTACAAAAAATAAAATAGCATAGCGTGATTTTGGCGCTGGTTTGTATATATCCTTGCATTGGCGGCGATCTGGTTGACTAGATAGAATTGACATTTGATTCCAACATGGTGAACACTCGTGTTATACGAACCCTAATAGGCAGAACCCAACAAAGACAACTGATAATCACAGGCAATTTATCCCAGCTTCCACATCCATATTTATCTGTCAAGAACACAGTGGGAGTTAAATATTCACCTTCTTCGATTCCCAAGCAACATCAGTATACTTGGTAAACTCAATAACCTCTTTAAGAGCCTGAGCATGCCATCTCTTCGCCTCACTCATCGAAAACGGCAAGTTCGACTGGCTCTGGAATCCCATAGACAACTTATCCAACGAGATATTCAAATTCAAAAATTCATCATAATCAGCCCCCTGGAACGCCCAATCTAGCCGCTGCGGAGGCACATTAGCAGTCGACGTAATGCGAATATTCGGATCGACGAGGAAAAACGCAAACGCCTTCACGGTGCCGGTCCTGCTGTTGTCGATCAGCTCCATCGCTTCGTACCGATGCTGCACGGTGCTCGGGAACATGACCATGCGGTTGATGAAGCAGCGGATCTTGCCGGGTTCTTGGATTGCTGCGTCGCCGGGGCTCAGGCCGAAGACTTGTTTAAGCCAGACGGTGTCTGCGGGGTTGTGTTCGACCTCACCGAGGGTGGCTGTTTCGGCGAGGTGACGGAAGGCCATTAATGGGATGGTGACGTTGTCGAGGTCGATGGTGACGAAGGCTGAGGCGATGACATGGTCGTTCTGGAATCGTTAACGTATGAACAAAGGGAAGGAGGAGGATAGGGGGAGCGGATACCATCTGGCCTGCGCCATGCCATCCGGATTCAAATGCCGGCTTATCAGGCGACAAGTGGATATTGAAAATCCGTACAATTAACTGAAGGCCATGCTTCGCGTAGTCCTTAGCAAGGAGAACTTCTTGCTCAACCCGAAGAGGCGTTGACAAGTCCATGGGTATATTGTTCATCATCCACTGAGGAACTGCCCAAGGAATAAATTTTCCACAATCAGGCTGGACGGCCTTCAAGTTTGCCATACGCCAACTCTGCAGACGGTCCTCGAACTCGATTTCGGCTTCCCTTTCACCGGGTTTCGGAGTCTGTTCCTCTACCTCCTTCGGCAGAGGATAGTACTCTGCTTTTCTGTATTCGATCCGTGCTCGTGAATGAAGCATATCCTTCAGGGGTGTTAGTGTGATCTCGAGTTGGTCGGTCACTTTGTTAAACAACTCCTCGATGAGCTCGTATAGTTCGCTGTGTTTGTTGGGATGCACGTTGTTAATGTAGCTCGTAATGTGCCATTTGCCATCCTCTCCCAAGTTCATCTCGAACGGAAGCATTTGGAATCGCCGACTGTACGGTCTGGTCGCGATGTCAACTTGGGTCGCAACCCTTGTTGTGATATCCTCTCTAGTAATCCCGGTATCTTCAGGAACGGGAATTATTTCTCCCTGGCCGATATATTTCAGCGAGTCCTCAACACCGATGATCTTGTCCGGCAGAGCGCGAGATCGGCCATAGATCAGACAGCAGAATGCCACAGGGACAAGGTCTTCTTGTTTATAACCAGTCCCGGGGTTGTAAAACCGCATTTCCTGCGGAACATCCTGAAGGCGATTGACGGCGTTCAAGAGTCTGAGGCGGAAGTCATCATCTACGTTGATGTCGGACTTGGTGACATCCCCATTATACAGGGCGATTGCACCGCTGTGTTCATAGAGGGCGGACTTGAATCGGAGCTCGTCGATGATCCAATTCGCCATATTCTGGGTGATATCTGGCTCCTTCTCCATTGCGTCCTTCTTCCATGCTTCCGCAACATCATATTCATGGATCTAATTTGATCAGCAAGTTAAGGTCAGCATCAGTGGTGATTCACCAACAAACCCTTTTGTACCATTCGGGCGTATCCGTGATTCCTTCCATTATTCTCAACATGTTGAACTCGCGAAGTGTCTGAAGAGGTTGACTGGATTTTATGTCAACAAAAAAGATCCCTGTAGAACGCAGCCTGAAATGATGAATGCCTGGACATACTCTGCATTTCCTTCTTTGATGTCACGGTCATCATTGGCGTTTGGGAATAAACTCCTGTTATGGATGCCGTATACATTCTGTTGCATCGGTGCAAAATCCAATGGCAATCCAAATCCAGGCCGCAGGAATGGGTTATCCTGTACATCAGGGTCATTCATAGGGGTTTGCTCCTTGAACGATTGTTGAAACATGATGACCACTATATTGAACGCGGTTAGTCCTGGAACATGGGGTAGACTAGGGATAATGGTTAAGAAAAACAACAACTCACCAAAGCCAACGAATCTCCAAACTGATGGGTAATTGATTCGTGAGAGTTGCGGCGTTAAGGCTCCTTGAGATGATTATTGCGCTTATTGTGGCCAGAAGTCTTCCGCGCGAAAGATCTGATGTGAGAGAAGGGATAGCAAGGTTGAAAAGAGAAGAACATCGACATATGGACTTCATCAATGGTCATGTCCGGAGTCCACGGCGATGAGCCAGGGGTGCCTTAATTCACGGAAGAGGTAAATATGAAATAAGCCATTCCGGAAGGAACGGCCCAGGAACAAACATGCCCTTACAGACACCAGTGCTAAAGTAGAACGAGCCATGTAATGTCAAATCTGTTTTGAAAGAATCGCGGAGGTCGCTTCCGAAGTATACTGGCGGACCAGAAACGCGGGAACCATGAGATCACAATTGCAGAATATAGATGAACTAAGGGATCAAATTCCGTAAAACTATCGAGAAAAATTGGGCTTGCTTTATGATTTTGTTGTGAATAAGCACTCATGCCCTGGTGAACAGGTACTTCTGTACGATGCCCCAATACCGCTCGGGATCAGCCCTCATATGGCTCACATGAGGGGAACCGATGAACTTCTCGCGACGCACATAACACCCCATAGACTTTGCCTGATAGGCATGTCTCTCCACGTCTCTCCATTCCACCAAATCATCGGCGTCTGAATAGATATAGCACCTTCTGGGTCTGCCTTTCGGATCGATACCGTGCAGTATACGGCTATCATTCATTGCATCCCGGGCCGTGGTGATAGCGTCTTTCGTGCCGGTGAATCTTCGGAAAATTGAATTTAGAAATAGGAACGCATATAAGGCAAGTTTGAGGAGAAATCGCAGGATCAACATTCCTGGAAAGGCGAACGAAAAGGCTTTCATGACGCCGCTGACGGTTGTTGTTCCGGGTGCGCTGTCAAAGATCATTGACGCAACACGCAACGGGTTGCCTGTCAACTCTTCATATGCCGTCAGCATATTTGTCGTCGAGGAGACTCCTCCGTTAGAGAACATGTGCAGAAACACTGGGTCTCCGGGGGACGAAGAGGCCCGAATGGCTTCGACAGCCGGCATTACCCGGGTCTGCTGAGCATCTTTCGTGGCACCAAAAAGAAAGTCATTAGAGGAGCTCAGGATAAAGATGATCTTGGCTGCAGGTGCCAGGCGTCTATATTCGAGAACGTATTTGGCCAATGCTCGTGGAGGAGCGTTCATCCAGAAAGCGAGAACGATCGTCTTTGGATATTGCCCCTTATATTTGACGGTTTCATCTGGCTCCTGAAGGTATACAGAAGGGGAGAGCCGGAAAAAGGATGCCAAAGGATGCTGCACGTCCAAGGGTTTACCTGCCATAATGAAATTTGATAACGAGGGACTGGGTTTAATAGGGTAATAAAAAGAATGTAACGAGGTATCACCTCTTAGGGTATCCCAATGCAGTAATTAGAGCTACTCGGAGTATGAAGGAGTTCTTGAGCAAAGCACGATAGTCGCACCTTCCCTCCGGTTAATATAGAAACCGCCCCCTAACCCCTGGCGGTTTTATGGTGCCTGAGGCATTAATACCTCCGTCGCGCAAGGACATCACTATAAATAACTTTACACCGTTGGCTGCTAGACAATTTTTAAAATAAAGAACTACAAGGCAATCACTATCTTGAGTAATTAGTAGATCTATAGTTCAAGAGGGACAAAGTCTGATTCGGACACTATGTTCTAGTTGTGGCTACTTAATTATATACTACTCCACGACCTACCTTGACCGTTACCGTTAGGATAATGAGAGCCTAAAAGGAGAAACTAAAGAAACATTGCTTCGATATAATCAAACGGTAGAGTATGTAAAGGATGTACGAGGCTCTTCGGAGATGATATAAACAAAACGACCCTAACCTAACTGCATAGTAGTAGCCCTCAAAAGAAACAGCACAGAACGCTAAAGATCCACCAACTTGTCTGGCGTATAACATTGCGCGAGCTGTGGCATTTTTGCTTGCTCGATCCGAAAAACCAACCGGTTCTCAAGAGCCTGGCGTTCTTTCTCACCCAGGAACCCAGCAAGCTCTTCGATAGACATAAGTGGCCCGTAGTACTCGGGGTCAATAAAGGTCCAGTAAACCTCATCGAACATGGAATTGGACCTTGCTGCAAGACACACTCAGAACAATTCATCACCAAAGAACTGTTCCATAGTTACCAGAGCTAAAACTTCAGATACTGGGATTGAGGTATTCTGGCGCGATAGTTCATCACGGCCACTTCGTTCTGGACATTTCCGGTGCGAAATATCGCTCTTTTCAGCGCAGCGAGCCATATGATTGCTTCAAAACCGTCCTCACACCTGATTTAGTAGCATAAGTTGATTGTGCCATTCTTCAACCGGCGAGCGTCTTTTGCTCTCATGTTTCCCTGGCGACGTTTGTTGACAAGGCCCATTGCCAGTTACTCAGGATTTCTTTTAGCAGAAAACGAACCCATATCATATAGCTTTTGTCTTGTTGCTCTTTTTCGACATGGTAAAAATGCATGTTATGCTCTACCGGTGATTGGAAGCAGATATCCGAATTGATTCGCGAGCATTCAGGTAAGAAGAGAAGGTAGAGTAGTGCAACTCACCAGAAGACAGCCCTCTTCTCGTACACATATTGACTTCTGCCAGGTTCAGGAGCTGAAGTCCAGTACCATTTATTAAAGGACCGGAATACGGAAGAACCAGTGTCCCTGGCGTTCTATATTAAGTGCAACACTAACGATGTCCGGGGATTATCATATCATTAACCCCGCCAAACTCTAAGTAATTCCAGGACACTGTCAAAATGGCACCTAATACTAGTAGGCACTACCTCCCCCAAAGCCTAAAGCAATAACTACTGACACCAAGAAGCGCCCCGGGACCGCCGACCTATAGTCATATCCAGTCCCTCAGGCGTCGGCAAAGGAACACTCTCCCAGAAACTCCTTGACTCACACCCTGGCACCTTCACATTTAGCGTATCCCGCACCACGCGTAACCCACGCCCGGGTGAAGTCGAGGGAGTGAACTACTACTTCGTCCCCCTTGATGCTTTTTCCTATCTTGTCTCTCAACATGCATTCGTCGAACACGAAGTTTTTGGTGGCCATCAATACGGAACTAGCAAACAGACTATCACAGACCAGACGGCAAAAGGACTGATAGTTGTACTGGATATTGATATGAATGGCGTCAAAAATTTGAAGGCAGACTCTGGTATTGATGCACGCTATGTCTTTATCAAACCGTCAAGCTTTGAGGAACTCGAGACGCGACTTAGGGGTCGTGGCACTGAAAATGAGAACGATCTACAGAAGAGGTTAAACTAAGCTAGGATTGAGCTGGAGTATGCGAACACGCCGGGCGTCTATGATAAAATCATTGTCAATGATGATCTTGAGAGGGCATATAAGGAATTTGAAGGGTTTGTGTATAGGCCAATGTCCTAGACAAGCGTTTATTACCACGAAAGAGCAAATAACTGGGCTTTAGATCATTGTCGTTGTCTTTTTTAAACCTCATACCAATTCCATGTCCTAGCTGTGGCCGGTAAATTATAAATATGTATTCCTTGGCCCGTATAGTAGCCAGCCATACAAGCTAGGAATGACAAATGATCATCTCTACCATCCGCACACACCGATGATACTCAGAACCTCAGCCTGCATCGTCTGGATTTAATCTCACCGCAAACTCCAACTCCAATCTCTCCCCAGGATTAGGATCCGCCATCAACTTGCCCATCATATCGCAGCCGGGGGAAAATCATGCTTCCAGATCGGTTCTCCCTCTCCCCTCATGTTTGTAAAGATTCTCTGTCTATAATATCATCTAAGTAGTTCTCATGACACATGACGAGAGTCATCCAGCTTTCGGCAGACCGGGTCCAGCATGCGGCCGTCAACGCCGAAGGGATCGAAACCAAAAGTAATGATCTTCCAACCATCCTTTAGAGGAATGTATAAGCGAGTCGAAGGGGGATTAGAACAGAAATAACTTACGTCTAGGTTGATCAAGATCAGATAGTTGTCGAAATTTTTATATGTCTCCCTTTATGAGTAAACCATTTTGCAGTGAGTTTATGCAGACGCATCGGTGACTTATGTCCGTAAATAAATATCGATCCAAACGCTTTCTTGTTCAACTGGGAAAAAGTGGACGACCTCAAAGCCACTCCAGGTAATCGGGACATTCCTGTTGACCGTCCCCGACACGGTGCATCTGTCATCGCGACCTCGTATACCATTTCTGAACTCGTTGACTCTATCGCTCCGGCCATAGGACATCACTCTCTGAAGAAAGGTTTCATCGGCCATGCGGATCTGGCCTATGTAGAGTAGTTAGTATTCCATCGTTGCATCTTTGGAGAATACTTGCTCTCACACTAAACGTCGAACTCTCCTTCTTGAGGGGAGCCATCGGTTGATGATATCACCCGACCTGATGTTCTCTGTATGACTTGAATGGGAATGCAGTAATCGGCAAGACTCGACTAAGCATAAACAAAGAATTCGCCTCGGTGAGGGGACGGTTTTGTCGTACGCCTCCCAATAAGGCACCGGTGCTAACATTGAAGATAAAGATGTTACGAGAAGCGATTGAGTCCATAGGGATAGGATATGGATCTGTAGTCGTAAGTACGCTGAAGAAAAGTAGCAAATAGGCCCAAGAAAGTTCCTCAAATAAAAAGCCGGAATATGATGTAGTCGTGTGTAGTTTAGTTGGGCAAAGATGCAAAAAAGATCATCGGCAGAAAGACCAGAATCTGTACGGCATTCTATATTTTAAAATCTATGATTCTATGTGCTCTTAAAGAAAATCAAACGTAATTTTCACAGGTACAAGAGGGAAGAAGGCAGGATGTTCGAATGGTCATTGACCTGAATTCAAACGCTACATTTCCACATTCACTAGCTTCTCTAATGGTGCAGATATGGCTTAATATAGTGTCGAAACATGAGATACACGAAGTGAATTCCCATTGAACGCCGGCCGAGTCTCGCTATGCTCCTAAACAGTGTGCCGACCCTAATATTGGCCTATCTATGTAAAAGTATAGGCAAGGGAAGAAGAATCAATCCGAAAAACCCGTCTAAGAAAATGATGATTGCAAAGCCCACATAATCCCATGACATTTGATTATATTCGTTACCTATAGCTTGTCCGTTCAGCTTCCTGACGCAGGTGTTTCAGAGCGTCCGGTGTCTTTCTTTTTTCCACGCAGTGTCTGACCGGCTCCTTGGAATCGGGGTTTCTCCTCTTCCTCTACAACCTGTCCCTTATCATCACGCTTTTTCACAGGCTTGATCGCATAGCCGAAGAACAGTTGATTGGGTGGCAGTCGTAAGGGCTGAGGCCCATTTGTTCTGCGAGCTGGCGGGGGATGCTGAGAATTCGATGTCCCCGGAGCAGGTGTGGAAGGTTGTGGTGTCGGAGTTTTGCTACCCTTCTTCGCATTCAGACGGTGACCTCCTGAAAGGAAGTTCGACGAGACTGCCTTAGCGCCTGCGGCGGCTTCGGTGGACTCTGGCGCAATGGCAGCATAGTTGATCGATTGTGCCATCGTACCTTGGGGATGAAGTAGGCCACCAGATGGGAGCTTTCCGCTCATGCCACTGCGAGGGGTACTTGTTCCGCTGGGCTTCTGAAGCTCTTCATACCCAACAGGCGGTGCAAAATCGACCTCCAAATCTGTTTCCAGAACGGATACGGCGCTTTTCCCGTCAGGCTTGGTCTCCAAAACAGCCATTTCGTATACTTGGTCGTTGTAGGCGAAGGTGAAAACATCACCCTTGGTAAGACAAGAGAAGTTGCGGAAGGCATTTTCGAGGACTGCTTTAGGATCGCTGATGTCAAGGAAGGCGGTTGACTGGGCTTGAAGTTTGATGAATTGGCCGGGTGGGAGGTCGGTGGATTTGATCTGGAGAAGATCACCGGGTTCGAGAAGTAATCGCTGCATCAACTAGATAGCATCACGTAAGTCAGCACAGTCACAGAAATGGGTCGAGAATACTGAGCCTACCCAGTATGGCAAGTAGATCTTCCCCTCCTCAGCAATAAACTCCAGCACACCAGCATGTGTCATCAGCTCCCTCGCACCATTATGGAGCTCGAACATCATTGGATATGTGATATGAAGGCGAGTCAACTTGTCCAGGGCGCTCGGAGGCATGATGACCTTGCCGCCATGGTTGACGTTCTCTCTCTCGGGCCCGGGCATCATTGCGACGGGGTAGCAGCGGTAGTACTCATCGAAGCGACGGTTAGCACCTCGAAGCATGGAGGAGCCAATGTCCATATCATCATAGCGAAACTGCAGAGGTTAGCTCCGAGTCTTGATCCTGGATGTGGTGTGAACAGACCATATTGAGCTGTGGTGGTGGCAATAAGTCAGATTCCGCTGACGCTCTAGGAATGAAGATTTTGTTTCTGAAGCAGAATAAATCTGTATATAAGTAACGGAGAACGAATTCCTGAAAATGCCGTTAAGGAAGAACAGCCAACCGCTGTCTTATCGCCCGCGGTGACGCAAGTAGGCTCCGCACGCATTTTTCCGACCCGACCCCAGACCAAGACAACATTACTGTGAGTTTTCAGCTCAATTTTTCTCACCAGGTTCTTTAAGCTATCAGCTTTGTGGCTGTCAGATACCGCAGCTGTAGAACTACAAGTCTTGCTATTGTTCATTCCCAGCCACATAAATGTCCTCCGCGCGCCCCAAGCGGGCAGGTGAAGACTTCACCCGCACCCACCACCACGACGAAGACGACCCCAATGGCCCAGCATCTCACAAGAAGCCCCGATTCGACCTCCGCAACCCCTCAGCACTAGCTCCCGATGCGCTCGAGGATGATGCAGTCTTGGACGCAGACGAAATCGGCCGCCGCGGACAACAAGTGCGCCGGAAAGCAGTTAACCTCGACGGATATGACTCGGACAGTGACAACGAAGGGTTCTCGGCGCGCATTGAGAAGAAACCTGAGAATCAGAGGAAAAAGCACGATGCAGATGACGATGATATGTTCGCAGAGTTGCAGGAAGATTTCGGGGCTGAAGAAATCGATGCGGACGAGGCTATGCGGAAGAATAAGAAGAATGTGCGGTTCTTACAAGATGATGAGATTCAGGGACAAGTCTCATCTTCGCGCGGTGGACATGCCTTGCACGCAGATCTGAGCAAGGGCCATGGTGAGGTCGACGAAGACGAAGAAAGCGAGGAAGATGTTCCAGAGGAAGACCGCGCAAAGGTGGATGAGGAATTGGACGAAGAAATAGGAGCCGGTGGGAAGAAAAAGAATGCGCCTTTATTGGATGCGTTCAACATGCGCAATGAACAGGAGGAGGGCAAGTTCGACGATCAAGGAAATTACATTCGAAAAGCGGCGGACCCCGATGCTGTTTATGACTCTTGGCTTGAAGGCGTGTCAAAGAAGGATATGAAAAGCGCAAAGGAGGCCGCAGAGAAACGAGAAGCTGAGCGGAGAGAACGAGACCGGCAAGACGATAGCATCCTAACAGGCGACGTCCTGAAAACCATCATCATGCATCTTCAACGTGGAGAGACGATTCTCGAGGCCCTGGCGAGAATAGGCAAAGGCGTGCAAAGAAAGCCGAAATGGCAACAAAACAAACAACGGAACAAGAAGAAACAAAACAGAACCGCAGCTGAAGATATCGCAATGACAGAAGACGACCCTAACGAGGCCGTTTGCAAGCAGACAATCGAAGCCATCACCGGTGCTGCCGACGTTCTCATGACCAGGGGACAGGCAGAAATCTACAATGCAGAACGTGAACTGCTTACGAGGCAATATAAGCGCGAGACAGGCGAGGATTGGGTTGATCCCACGGAACCTACAGAAACAGGGAATGGTGCTGGCGAGCAAGAGCCAGTTATGTGGGAATTCCGCTGGGCTGATGCTCGTGATGGAGGCAACATTCACGGGCCATATGTTAGTGCCATGATGGAGTCATGGAAGGGCGCAGGGTATTTTGGTGAAGGTGTCGAGTTCCGGGAAGTGGGCGACACTGGCGAATGGAGACAAGACGTTACTTTCTCATAGCCCATGAAATTCGCGACGTGTACATTATTCTACTAATTTTCTGATATACCAAGCACATCGTTATTCCTCGGGTCTATTTGAAATCCAATTCGTGATCTTGTGTCAATTACCCCGTAAAAATTCTCAGAAAGCGCCAGCCTTTACCATACATAACTCGATGCCATAGAAGGACGAACATGAATAAACAGAAAACAATCAGGAAATTATCGCGTTTTTCTTTCCTTGAAATGCAAAAGGTAGGTTAAGTGAACATCTAGGAGATCTCCATAGCATCTCCTCCATTAGCAGTAGAAAAGTCCACGTTGCCTTGATCACTAATGAATCTTTGTTCAAACTGACTCACAAACTTGATACTCCGGTTGGGGTCGAAGAACAACCGGAAGCTGCGCTGCACATCATCGATGCTAACCTCCTTCGCCTTTCTCTTTTGGCTAAGGAGATTGGAAGTGGTGATGATATGGCTCGCGTACCGTAGGCCCGACTCCTCGCCAATCTTAGTCAGGAGTGCGAGAGCGTCGGGGGAGAGGTCAATTTCTTCCTCTTGGGCACGAATAGCCAAAATCTGCCGGAGCTCCTCGGCAGAGTAAGACTGCGTGCTCACAATCACGACACGGTCAAGGAAGTCGAGAGGGAGCCCGTGGGGTGAATTGTATGTTGTGCCACGGATCCGGGCATGGCCACGGTTGCTGGCCATGATAACAATAGGAGCGAGTTCCGCCTCTAATGCACGGTTGACGTAAGAGAAGCACTCAATGTCCAGCATATGCACCTCGTCAATGAACAACACGCCCGGAATAATCTCTGCTTTGCCTTCTTCCTTCCACTCGGCCACCTTGGTGTTGATTTGGTCCCTAACCTCGCTCCGGATCTCACCTGTGTCACCCGAGAATAGTGCCAGGAAGCCCTGTGTCCGGGAGTTGATGACATCGATCTCATGGAGGCTCACGGTGTGGACAATCTCCTTGCGGACTTGCAGTTCACCCTCGGGACATTGGACAAATTTGGTATCGGCGCCCATCGCATCATAATCCCGAGAACGAGCGTACGAGCGACCCAATTTTGTGATCTTCCCCGAGGACTTGTCGATGGAGATAACATCTCCAGCCATCACACGCTCTTTGGTCATCGAATCGATCATTTTCGTTCCCATGTCGTAAATGGTCTCCATATCGGTGGTCTTGATGGTAAGTTTGCCTTGTTTGTGGCCCTTTTCATCGAATAAACAAATCAGAATTAGCCGCTTTCATCGTACAAACATGTGACGGTGTGCACCTACGCCAGTAACGCTCCGATCAATTTGGATTTCCACAACTTCACCCTCGATGATTTCGCTCTCTTCCTTGATGCGGACACCGATCGACTTCCGGAATGCCTGCGTAAGTGCCTCTGTCTTGGACATCTCCATTGAGAAAATCTCCGAGGAAGCAAGCATTGTGAACGGCACATCAGGTCCAAGCGACTGTGCCATGCCCATAGCGATAGCTGTCTTTCCGGTGCTGGGAGGTCCTGCGATCAACACGGCTCGCCCAGCAATCTTCCCTTCCTTCACCATCTGCAGAATCACCGCAGCAGCCTTCCGTGCCTTCTCCTGGCCAACGAGTCCCTGTGAGGACGTTCTCGGTTGTAAAGAGTCTGCATCGACACCAAGACCTCGGATATGCGAATGGGCAGCGATGAGGTTGAGTCCGCGGAGCTCCTTGCTCTCCGCGACGGTGGAAATTGGCTTGATAGGAATCAGCAATGAGACGAGAATCGCAAACAAAAGAAGTGAAAGCTCACCGCAGCCATGGTAAATCCCTGAACCTGCAAAAAAGACCGTAATTGAGACGAAAAGCACTGGATTGAGTGCAGCAAAAGACAACGTCGCGGAGGTGAGAGAAACAGCTCTGCGAAAGAGAAACCCAAAAGTTGCTCACCGCCCGGCAGAATAAGCGTTCGCCCACTACAAGATTGTCCGTTTGCTCGTTTGCCCTTGGAGAAATTTTTCTTTCAATTCTCCGTTTACATGTAAAGTCGAAATCTCAGGACAGATCTCTGCTCCCATCTCTCTCGCCTTTCCGTTGCTACATTGATTGCCGAAGTTCCATCTCATTGTCGAGTGCAATACCTCCGCATATCTTCCCGCACGCGCGTGCGCGCAATCGCCAATTCAATACTCTGAGCGGAGAATCGTTTGTCGCTTTGATATTGACCACTTGTTTAGTTGGTCTGCATCGCTGTTGCTGATTGGGAACAGTTTTATCTGTCATAAACCCAGTCAGGATCAGGAACGGCTGCTAAATGATGTGCACCTTTCGCCCATCGATACAATAATCTCCTACCATGTCGGATAAAATAGACCTCGATAATCCATCCACGCGCGATCCACGTCTAGCCAGTCGACTAGCCAGATTCAATATACTCCCGCCGATTAAAAAACCGTCCTTGGAAAAACAAAGCTCGCTCTCGCTTGGATCACCTAGCACACCCAAACCCGCCGTTTTACCTCCGCCGAACGAACCTCCCAAGCCGGTCGAGGAGCAGGATAATTGTCGTGATGGATTGTTTATTCAGTCAATCTCAGAGCTGGTGCAAGCCGCCGTTGCTACGGCCGTCAGCAGGTCAGAGAAAGAAAGATTGCAGAAGAAGAAAGAGATGACGGAAGGTCTATTGAAAAAGGCAAAGGCCCATACGAACTTTCCTTCAACTGCGGCTTTCTTTCAGCAGACCAGCAATGATGAGAGTGACGACATGACTCGGATGGACGATACCATAAAGCAGCATTTGTCGAATTGCAGCCGAATAGAAAGGGATCTGGTGACTAAATGGGGACTTTTATCACCAAATGGCCCCAGCTCTTCTGCATCGGAAGAGACGATAAAGAAACTGCAGAGGGAACTTCAAACATTCAGAGAAGAGGCCGCTAATACAAAAACTGAACTTGCTAGGCTCGCTGATAGCAGTCCGACACGAACTGGGCCCATCGAAATTCTCCAAGATAGGGTTAATCTTTTGGAAAAAACCATGGGAAATCAAACCTCACTTCTATCCGAACAGGCTAAGACTGTCAAGGCTAATAATGAACGCTTAACGTCGCTGAGCTCGGAAATGAAGAAGGGAGCAGTATCATTGCCAATACAAGAAGCACCGTCTACGCAATTCGAAAACGACATTGGAGAGTTAAAGCGGAAACACACAGAGGCGGAGGGGACAATGAAGGCACTTGTCGAGTGCCAAGAAGCGCTTTCAAAGTCGATCCACCAAATAAATGGAGATATCGAAGAACAACGGAGAGAATTGAACGATATCAGCGCTGGTTCTATAAATGCAATGAAGGCGAGAATGGACAGCTTTTCCAATCATTTGAGCTCATTGGCAGGTAAAGTGGTAACAGAAAGCCCGACTGCTCAGCCGATGAACGGAGATGTTGATTTCACGGGTGCCATCAAGGACATGGAACTGAGGTTGCAAAAGCTGGAAGGAGATCAGGCTACACCTCAAACCAACAAGGACCAGATAAATCAGAGTATACGAGCATTAGATGGTCGGATAGACGAACTATCGCATCTGCAGTTCATGAAAGATGACTTTCAGTTCTCTGAGATGGAAGAAATCAAGAAGATATTGGCGCAACAGAGCGAGGAGTTCAAGGGATTTAGGGATGGCTACGGTCAGGTGTCGGCAGAGATCAAGGCTATGGCGCAAAGCAATCCAGCGGCAGCTTTGCGACAAATCCAAGACCTTTCTGGGTCGCTATCAGTCACACAGCGTGTGCTGGAGAGTGTGAAGGTCGGGTTGCATTCTTTGGAAACGCGTTATAATAATATCTCAACAGAGCCTATCGTCAAGAACATGGTGGCCGCTATGCAAGAAATGTACCCATCGGCATCCCAGTTGACGGAGCAGGTGACAGCACTCAGAAACAGCCTCGATAAAGATATCCTGCCGCTCAAATCGAAGGTAGAGCAATTGTTCAAGTCGCATTCTTCGCATGTCGCGCAACTGCAGAAGGATACAGCCGTGCAATTGGAGGAAAGGAATCGATTAAAAACTGAACACGCTCGTATGGAGCAATCGGTTGCTGGCCTATCGGAGCAAATTAAGTCCCAGACCTCGATGCCAACTCAGCTGCAGTTTAATCAGCTGCAGTCAAAGGTCGATTCTCTTTCGAAGAAAATGAACGAACAGACATCCAACATCGGCGAGCAATTGAGATCGAAACAGTTGTCGAACGAATCCCTAGTAGAGAGCTTGAATTATGAGCGCGAGCAATTCAACGAGGAGTTCCAGCGACTGTCTAGCGGGCTCAAGGGCATGTCGAGCAAGCTTTCTCAACTACAATCCACAAACACAACCAACATGGAAACAACAAAATCCCACGCGAGTGACATTGGTTCCTTGCTAGATCGCATGAGGCACTTGGAAGAATCTGCGTCGAACAATCATGAACAACTACTCGAACAATTTGATAATATAAAGAAAGCCGTGGAGAACCAGGAAGGCATGTTAATGGACGGACAAGCAGCTGAAGAGCCACAATCACCACCACAAAAAGTTGAGGGTGATGAAGAACCCGAACCCGAGGTCCCTGAGGAGCCCACCAAGAGCCCGGCCAATGGAGATAGCACTACTATCAATCAAATGGCCGAAGCTAAACTTGCGCTCGCTCTACGAGAGAAGAAGAGAAAGAAGAAGCGCCCGCGTCTTTCGACAAATGCTTCAGATGATGAAAGACCGGAACCGCATTCGGAGTCCAATTCACCACGAATACTCACTCCTGGACGCGACGGGACGCCGTCTATAGACACGAAAAAGAAAACCAAGAAAAAGAAGAAGAGAAAGCTCATCCGAGATACGGAACCCATTACGCTAGACTAAGCGAATAATTTTTGCTTTTCTTTCCCCTCGGCTTTATGCGTACTGGATCAGTGTTCTACCCTAGATCTGGACGCGGTGACGAAACTCATGACTGTAATAGAGTTTGTGTTCCTTGATACTATATTCTGCGTTGGCGTGGTGTGGTTACCGTTCATATGTCTGTTTTTATGAGTATTATTTACAAATACGTCTATGCATAATGTTCCCAGCGAGGTATACACTTCTTTTGCTTAATCAATACCCCATTGATCCCGCCACTATGGCGTATTCTTCAAGAACTTAACAACCACTTGTCGGAATGCTTCAGGTTTCTCTGAAATGAGCCAGTGCCCGGCCTCGACATCCGCAACTTCAGAGTTTGGGAAGAACTTCTTGATAGCGGGGAGCGACTCATCCGAAACGTATCTGCTCTTGGTGCCCCGAACAACAAGGGTTGGCCCGTCATATGTTACAGCCCCCGGTTCACGGAATGGGAAGTCAGCCATGTCTTCAAGTGAAGCACCCAATGTCGACAGCGGAACGCGAAATTTCATTGTCTGATCCTCTGAGCGGATCAGGTTGGTCAGAAGGAATTGTCGAATGGGGAGGGCCTACCAGGTTAACATAATGCCGTAATGATATTTAATGAATATCAAGACATACCTCTTCATAACTCTGCAGAATCTTATCCGCATCGGACTGCTTCGTCACCTGCTCGGCCTCGACATGCTGCATGCCTCGGACATATTTCCCAAAATCACTCTGCAACCGAGCATTAATGGGTGCATTGTCGACGGGCACAAGGCCCGACACACGATCAGGAAAGCGCAGAGCAACAGCCATGGCGGTTTTGGCACCCCTGTACAACGCCTATTAACATAATGTCTCTAATGTGCACTATAAGAAGACGTACATAGAGTGCCCAATCAACACGCATTTATCTAGCTTCTGCTGGTCAATGAACTTCTCCACGTCCTCAGCCATAATTGTATAGTTGTGCTCCTGGGCATGGAACGAATGTCCATGATTCCGGAGATCCTGTCATTGACTCTTAGTCTTCCTGCCAATCATCATATGCAGGGCGCACGCACCAGGGTGTATATTTGACGCTTCAAGTCACGTGCAAGGGCCCTACACTAGTTAGCTCTGGGTTCCATATCAAAGACAAGAAGTTAAGGCTGGGACTTACCGACTAATACTCCGATTATTCTGCTTCGATCCAAAAAGTCCATGCAAGAAGAGAATCGGACTTCGAACAGCCTGTTCATTCTCAGGACCGAAGATCTGATGTGATAGCTCCTCGGACCGCAGCACGCGGGATGTCGAAAAGGAACGCAGGCCAGTTGCCCTCCTCGGGGCTGTTCTTAACGGCAACATCGTTTAGAGTGGAATTGGTACTACGCAATTCCCAATGACGGAAGTCGAGGATTCTTTGTGGTGATGTATTGTGGACCCGTTATCTCCGGTATTTCCGTTGATGCGGTCTCTGATTGGCGAGGTTTGATTAGATAAGGCCCTTTCCGCCTGGCAGAATCAAACCAATAAATGACGCCCTACGTGGTACGTTTAATAAGCTCTGAATAATCTTACGTTTGCTTGCCAGTTGGCTTTGGGATTGGCCATTTCACCAGGTTTTGAAGTACATTTGATTCAGTTGAAAACACCCAGTTAATCTCCACCTATTGTAGTATTTACAAGCACATGACCATCGTCCAATTCACCCAATATACTTTATACATATACCAACATCAACGGCGAACCTGAGGCACTTAGCTGTCCAGCAGCGGCGGCACCTTCTCGCAGAGATATTCGACAATAGCATCTGGTCCTCTCTCAACTTGCAATCCAGTAGGAATGGCATGCAGTTTGATATCGGGCTTGATCTCGCGGGCCGTGGCGTGAATCTGTTGAGCTTCTTCTGCGGTCCACATGGATGCGCTGAACTATGCGACTGTCAGAAGGGGTAGATATGTAGATAGCGAAGTGGCAGCTTACTAGGATATCCGGCATCAATTCCTGGACTTTAGGGCCGACTTCTTCGATTTCTGTTGCGGTCAGTACTGGATATTTCCGTTAACGACAAACACTCGCGATGGAAACATACTCGAGCAGTTGGCCTCGTGGATGATGATATACTGGTCCTTGAGGGTATCAGCGACTCTTCCGATCAAGCGTTGCGCTCTCTCGGGGGCTGTATTGACCGTGACAAGACGAAAAGGTCCTTTGGGGCTGGCCATAGTGAATATTGATGAAATTAAGTTGTAATACTGTGAGGGCTTGTCGCAAACGTTCTTTTAAACAGCGGAGTGTGCTGTTTTTATCAGGCCCCCTTCCCCACGCCGTTGTTCGGCATCGTTCGTGGGGACGAGAAAATAACTGGGTCTGTCGGATTTAACCCGGCCACTCTTTCTAGCTTGTACTTAGTCCATTTCTGCCCATATAAGTCAGGGAAGAAATAAAGCGACTAGTCCCTTCCCCCACTTGTCTTTTCGGGGTAGAAATAGTCCGCGACATCTCCGGTAAATAGTGAACAGTCTCGTCCATTTCACCCAATTAACCAATATCAATTCAGTTTACCATGTCCAAAATCGCATCCACATTTTCGCGTATGTCAACCTTACGCTGGTTATACATGCATGCTAACTCGACCAGGCCTTGTGCGCTTCATTCCTAGGTCCAACCGCTTCAGCATCTTAATCGGAGAGCCGGTAGATCCCAAGTTGGACGTTGGATTGGCTCTATACCAGGGCAAGGATGTTCCTGTTCACCCATTCTCGGGGACGTCTGTTCTCAACCCTGGCCAGAAAACCGAGAAGACTGAGATCATTGAACGGCTTTTGTCTCCGCTAGCTCAGAATGAAGTTGGATCTATCCGGTGTATCGGGTTAAACGTGAGTACTCCAAACAAATCAATCGAATATCTGTGTTGACAAAATGCGCAGTATGTCTCCCACGCTGCAGAAATGAAACTATCCATCCCCGACGTCCCAACCCTATTCATCAAACCGCCCACCTCACTTGCAGACCCATGGCCAGCTCCCACGATCCTCCCCAGAATCACTCAACAAGACAACACGGGTGATTACGAATCCGAGATGGTCATTGTAATCGGCCGCGACGCAAAGGATGTCAGGGAGGAAGAGGCACTGGATTATGTGCTGGGGTACACGGCTTCGAATGATATTTCTAGCCGGACGTCGCAGATGAACCAAAGTCAATGGTGTTTTTCGAAAGGATTTGACACTGCTTGTCCTATCGGTGAGCACACATTCTCTGCCGTGCCAATTCATGAATACTAATGGAATGACAGGCCCTGCGCTGGTTTCTGCAGCACAGTTCCCCGAGGCCAGCCAATTCAAGATCCGCGGTTTGAAGAACGGCCAGGCTCTGCAGGACTGTCCATTGACGTAAGATACTCCCTTCAATCTATTCTACCTACGGAAGCTAACGCCAAAACAGCGACCTCATCTTCAGTGTCCCCAAGCTCATTAGCTTCTTATCGCAGGGCACAACTCTTCCTGCCGGAACTATCATCCTCACTGGCACCCCACCTGGCGTTGGAGCCGCGAAGAACCCGAAGGAATTCTTGAAGGCTGGGGATGAATTTGCAGTTGAGTTGCTGCCGCATGTTGGGACGTTGATTACAAAGTTCGAGAATCAGCAGTGATTGCATTACATTGTATACCCGTGTGTTATATCTTATACGATCGCATTGTCAGGACATGCTGTAGCCATATTGTACACGATTCCCTGTGTATGGATTACTCCCGGATCCCACATCTCCACTGATATCATCTCCACAGACATCTGTTTTCCCCACAATCCGGATTCCGTATTACTCGGAATTTCCGCTCGGAATCTCCAAATCAACGGTACTTTAACAGCATCCGAATACCGAAGAACTCCCGGATCCTTAAAAATATAATTGACGAAAAAATAGGTCGAATGACGAGATTGTACTGCGCCTGAGAATTACACTTTCAGGACAACACATTGCCTTTTGAGTGCTCTGTGCAAGATAGTAGATTGTACCAAGTCGCTGATTGGCTGTTCGGAGTTAGGGCGGAATTGATTTTAACCTAGCGGAGTATATCTACTCCGGTTTGTCTTTGCCCTAGGAATGCCAATGCGAGCTTATTCTAAGACCATATACACATACAGAGCATAGAGTACGGATTGGTATGTGACATAGGATATTGTTTATGGTACCGATGTATTCCTATACGTTTACATTAATTGTAGCACAATACCATCCAGTCGGTACAAAAACTAGAGCACTATCACTATGTGCTTCATACCTGTACTGCATCGGCAGTTTAAACCATCAGAACCTCCGACCGATTTAATCAGCTCGGGACTTCCCGTGTGTCAAGATTGGTCGTTGGCTGATGGACACAAAATGGGCTGACTTATGGATCATGAGACGTGCCGGTGAAAAGAACTAAGGCTGCTTGGGATTTAAGGGGCGGTTACGAAGCAATATAAGTCATGGGCTATTTTCTATTTCTCTTCTATTCCTTTTTTTTTGGGGGGGCCTGACCAACTTCTCTTGTTATACATACACCCTCGAAATATCCATGATTGTTGGAGTGTTGATGTTCTTCATTGACCTTATACCTAGCTGAAAATGACTAACACAGAAACAGAATAACGCTTATAACATAAGTCATAACAGCATTAGGAATATATCTTCTCCTTACGCCAAGCATGTCCCTTCCAATGAAGGAAGATAGTCGGAACTACGCTGACACCGACGATGAGAGCAACACCTACTCCGGAACTCGCTGCGATGCCAACCCTTTCGAACATTGACGGAAACCTATATTCATCAGCTACTACCCGGAAGCTTGGAGGGTATGTGGGCAGACTCACCAGAACGGCCCGAGAAACCCCCAAATCTGACGAACGAACGTAATAAATACGCCAACACTCGCAGCCTCCTCTGGATAACAATCAACCGCGTACGTGACCAGCACGGTGGTGATGACCTGGTTTCCCACGGCCCCGATAGCAGTTCCAACAATGGGGGTAACCCTCCAATGACTACTTGGTGCTGTTTGAGTGCATACAAGGAAGACAATAAGACCGATAATGGCGAGGGAGAAGCCAAAGTAGCTCAACCACAGTCGATACTCAGGGTCTGCTTTGCGTCCTATCCGGCGTTCTCGTTGGCGCATCCAGAAGTCGGACATGACCCCGCCCAATTGCTCGCCAAGAATGGAGCCGATTATGACTCCCAGGAACTGCAGTCCGACTTGCTCTTCGCTCAAACCAAACTTTTCTTGCAGGAGGTTTGGAATCTCCACAGTAGAGAGGATACTGGCGAAGAGAAAGACCATGGCGTATGCCACAGCGGGGACCACAATGGATGGGCGCTTGACCATTGTTAATGGCTTGATGAACTCGTACCATGAGAATGGCGTTTTATCGATGCGTCTGATATAAAGGTATTCGGTTTTCCAATTTATCTGGCGGTCGGCACCTATGCCCACGTAACGCGTTTCGGGTCCAAATAAGAGGTATAAGATAAATTGGCCTCCGTTGATCTGCCATAGAGACAACCGTCAGTAAATTGCTATGTGCAAGGTTATGGTCAGGATATAGAGAGGCCCACCATTGCAAGTACCCAATAGATCCACCGATACCCTGCCCAATAAGCCACAAACCCGAATATAAACGGCCCGCTAGGAACTCCTAGTGTGACCATCAGGGTCCAGACTCCCATATACCGAGCTCTGTCCTTCTTAAACGTTGTTTCCATTACTACCGCACTGCCAATAGCAGACGCTGGAGAGATAAAAAATGCGGCCAGCGCTCGGCATGCAGCGGTTGATGCATAACCGGGACTCTTTGCACATCCTACATTACAGATCAAACTGCATATCAGGGATAAAAGGAAAATGGGACGACGACCGAATCGGTTGGATAGGGGTTTCCAGAACAGCGGTGCACCTCCCAGGATCGCGATTTGTAGTGATGTGAGATAACTTGCTCGCTGCAAGGAGACACCAAAGTCCTCAGCGATGGTTGAATATGCTGGAATAATGGCGCTCGCCATGAAGGTTCCCATTAATGCGTGGAAGGCGACTAGAATTAAGTTCATCATTTTCTGACTTGTCAGCACTTCGTTTCAACTTCTGAAAGTACTTCCTTGAATAGAAGAGACGACCAACCTTCCAAGTAGGCCAGTTATATGGATCCGTAGGACTCATCCCGGGAATAGGATCTAGGTCCAAAGTCCCATGGCGTTCGATGAGATAGTCCCGATGACCCTTGGAGAGCCGAGAAGCCACGGTTTCAACATAGATAGCTGACATGCCTGCCTCTGCACTCTCTATAAAGTCAATGTCGGGTTTGCTAGTTGGATTAGACTCGTCAATCTCACCAACCGCTCGTGACGGCTGCATCTCGAGGGATTTCATGGTGATTCTGTTCAGCCTGAGTTGTTGATATACTCCACCCCTATACCCCTGATATGATTGAGCTGAAATAAGAATCCAAGAAAGACAGAAAGGGTCAGATAATCATGTTTCCCCTCTTGACAAACGCTGCATGAATAACCGGGATAACCGGAAGAGGAGAAACAAACCGACTGCATCATTCCAGACCAGGCCAATCCAAATGCCCTGTGTATAGGCATAGGTCTTCACTCCGGGGATCATACGTAAGCACCCGTCTCAATTGATGGTGTATTGTGGGGAATATGCGGAGGATGTACTAACACGGAATGAAGCCATGGACTCAGTATGTCGCAGATTATGGACCAGACCCAATTTCAGCAACCCCGATAGCTTCAGCTAGTCCCCACAAAGTTGAAGAAATGAAGTGTATCACATTGGCTAGCAGACTAACCGAGACCGGCTTGGCTCAACGGTGATGGCGCTGGGTCTCAAACATAGGGTAAAGTCTTTTTCAGTAATGCGATTAGTACGTACCTAGCCATATCGGGGTAGGTTGGACTTATTTTTATGCCTTCAGTAACTTGTGTCACCCATGCAGTGTACTCTGTAGAGAGAAAGTAGGCCGAATAAGGAGATTCCCAAAAGGGCTAACGCCGAAGCCTATCTCCGGTGGTTGCCACGTGCCCCACAACCTCTCCCACCCCCGGAATTCCCTCTTTTGTCTTTCCTTTCTTTCTTTAGTCCCACGATGCTATTCTGCACTATTCTCTAGCTGATGCAGTCCGTCTATTACAATACAGAGATAGGAAGCCCACCCACACAGTGGTTGCATGATGGGGGAGACAACACCAGCCGGGATTAAGAAACTGGCCTGTCGAGTCTGCAACAAGGCCTTTTCCAAAGCTGAACATTTGAGAGTATGCAAACACCCATTCTCCCACCGTGGGGATGGCCTCATGCTGGTCAATAGCTCAAGTGCTAACGTATGCTATCAGAGACACGAGCGATGCCGTAAGAACACCGGTTGATCGTTCTGTTTTTAGCAGTAGATGATCTACCTATTGCAGAGCCAAGAAGCTGACAATTCGATGCCGCCTTGAAGACACCGGATCCAAACCTTTTGTTTGTAAAGATTGCGCGCGGCCTTTTGCCCGTCAGGATGCCCTCACTCGTCATGAAAAACTGCACATGCGGAATCCAACCACCAAAGATGTCCCTCAACCTACACCGTTGGCATCCCAGACTACCTCGATAGAGGAAACGCTGCCTGCGTGGAACTCGAATCCTCCCTCAACAGCAGCTCCTACCCCTCCTGCTAGCACAACATGGGACACCTCACAGTCTACGCAGCAGTCAACCCTGCATGCGGCACCTGACCTCGATTTCAGCTTAATTTGGCCCGACTCGGAGAATTTGTTTCAGAGTATCATGTCCACGGGCACGACTGATCAATGGCAGATGCCGCTAGGGGCGCTGCCGTTTTCTCCAGTTGTGCACGATGTGAACACAATGAGCTTTGGTTCTCCTAATTCGTTTGATAATCGAAGTTCGTCTATTGGCACTATTCCGTCTGGGGGGAGTCATCAGGCTGTGCGGGATGTCACGGAGATGGTGACGAGCTCGGTGAGTCTCGGATTTCTTGACAGTATCCTTGATACAGGCTAATCGCTTCACAGTCTTCGAGTGTAACGGCGGAAGTGAAAGCGAAATCGATTACTTCAGTCTTCCTCGATGAATGTCTTCATATGTTTTTTGTCAGATTCATTCCGACGTTTCCTATCTTACATCGAGCAACGTTTGTCTTTCGAGAATGTACGCATCCGCTTCTGTTGAATGCAATAGCAATTGGGTCGCTGTATTTGGGACCCAAGGACTCCGTAGCGAAGGTAAGTTATCCGAGTAAGTGGATGATACATGTGCTTATAAGTACAGGGAGAGGCTTTATGGCGCCTAGCACACACTGCAGTTGCGACATCGGTAAGTTCATTTAACCTCTAGAAGAGGTTTATCGCTAATATTAGTAGTGGCAATTGATGATAACGCATCGTGGTCCGTACGATGCATGCAAAGGTGTGCAGTTGTTGATAACAGCTCTTCTGGGACAAATATACGGCGCTTTGTCAAAGGTCAAAAGCCTCATTCGGGCGCATCTAGCAATTGCTAATATTAAATAGAACAGGAGCATTCGCACCACGAGTCAGGTTTTCCGTCCTCTTGGTTTCTTCTGGGCAAGACATTGCGGAATGCTGGACAGTTCGCCGTTCCCCCCGGAAAACTTGCCGTTCCATGATTCCCCAATTGCAGAGAAAGAACACCAATGGCGGGTTTGGGCAGCGAGAGAGATCCAACAACGAGCATTACTTGCATATCATATCTTGGACGGTCTGGTCGCGCAAATGTCTGGAGACGGTGCTTCGGCCCGACATGTTGCAAACCCGCTTAACCTCCCCAGTAGTGAGGCAGCATTCGACGCCAGTACCACTGATGAATGGCTGGTCCATATGCGCTCACTGAAGCCAGATCAGCCGTCGTTTCGCCTGGTCTTCCGCTCCCTATTTCCTCCTGTTGGCAGCTTCCGCTCGCTCGATTACCAGTTCTCGGCTTTTGCCCTCCGCGTCGTTTTGGAAGGTCTTCAATCACTTGTTTCCGATTCTGATGAAAGCGATTTAGCATCAGTCGGGGTTCCCGACCGCTCAGACGTGAGGAGAGCCCTAGCCCAAATCCACGAGACAATCGCAATGAGCATCCATCTCTCGCCACCTGAAAGACTAGAAATACTCCTTCGATGGCACACAATATGCCTCGACACAATGATAAACTCTACCATCCTCTGTAGACACGTCTGCTCACGCTACAACATCACCCAATCCGTCTCAGGAGGGTCCCGAACACTAAAATCTGGATTCGACATGGTTAAATGGATCCACACAGAAGACGCCCGTCGTGCCCTCCTCCACGCCATCGCCATCCAAGATATCATTGAGCAACTTCCCCGTGGCCGTGCGCATGTTATTCACATGCCTAGTTCCCTTTTTGCTGCGGCCACTATATACTTTGTCTTCTCCATCGCCGGGGTCGCGACCGTCCGTCTCCCGAGTAGCGTTATCTGGCAAGACGCGCTGCTCACACGCTCTGACTTGAATCTGGGAAGTACAGATATGCGGCCATCTGGCTCGGAAACTCGACGATTTGTTGAAGGTGGTCGAACTGATTCTCCGCCGTCTGTCGGGGCTGTGAGGAATATGCTGTACGAGCTGAACTCGATACAGAAGTTGTTCCGGTGCCTTTGCTCGCAGTGGGGGATTGCGTTTGATATAGAGGAGATTATTGATCAGTGGATTACGTTGTGTCATTAGGTGGTCTTGATTTCGTATTGCTTGTTATTTTTGCATTTGGTTAAAGCATGGATGGTTACTGGCGTTCTTGATCTCGTGCATATCTAGTGGATAGTCCATATTATTAAATTTCTTTGTTTTAAGACTAATTGTCTCTATATGTAGAGTCTCACGTGTCTACTTACTACTTATACCTAACATTCTTTATAATTCCCAATCAAGCAGGAGTACATATGTACTTCCCCACACATTTATGCTCCCCACATTCCCACATTTTCCGTGCATACGGAAAGCGACCATGTGGGACAAGCTAAATATATTTGCATGTAGCTAGCTACTCTAGCTATTTACAGATTGTCGGCCTAGGCTGTTTTACATATTACGTATGATACGAAGACTACTTGCGAGTGTGGGTATAAATGCAATGCATCTATTTCTATTTCTATCTATGGACGTATGCGCAGTGAAAAGAACATACATGCAAACATAACTCCTTAGATTCAAGCCCAACCATGCAATGCAATGGATATATGAAAAAAGATACACAAACAGGGAATGTAATGCAGATAGAAAAAAATGCAGAGGCAACAAAGGCATCAATGCTGGGGTATCATGCTTGGCCGATTGCCAATCTGTTGCTGGACAATGCCACCCGAACTGAGAAAAGAACAGAACTTGAAATAAAACATGAAAGGAAAACAATAGAGATTTAAGTGAGACTACTCCATTGGAAAAGGAGGAGTTGGCAGGCCTGCAGCAGCCAGGAGTTCGACGGTGATTTTCGCCATGTTCCGGAACAGGGCGTAACAGGCGAGGTTTACCGCCTCATGTTTGTTTCTGGCTTCATCGGTATGGCTGGGGTAGGCTGACCGGACCAGAGGATACATGTGGTTGGCAATGAAATCATCAGCAAGGTCGTCAACAGTATCTTCCAATTGTACGGCAAGGTTGGATCGCTCGCCGGGGGTCATTTTTTTCGGGTCGTTCTTGGGAAGAGGCTGCTTAGCCCAGCCTGTCTGCTCGTTTTTCACTGCGTCCTGTTCGCGACTGTCACGGGGATGATCGGGTTCGAAGTAGCGTTCGATTTTGCCTGTTGGGGTCGAAGTGGGCTGCGGGTCTCGACGGCCTAGCGGAGAACGCTGGCGGTATTTGGCGCCTTCACGACGAGGGGATCGAGATCGGTCTCGTTGTCCAGATGCTGCGTTCCGTCCCCGTTCGGTGCGGTCACTATCATCCAGCGCGGATAGCATTTCCCCGGGGGGAGGTAGACTACCGAGCCATTTCCAAACTCGGTCATGCTTGCGTTTGTGATAGTCTCTCTCCTGCTGCTTTTCTCCATCTCCCCCTTCAGGTCGTTGTTTCTCGAGTTGTCTGTCCGCCCGCCGCTCCCCCAGGGCCTTTATTTTGCCCAATACATTTTGCTGCTCGCTTGGTACGGTTTTATTCATCCACTCAACCATCTCCGAACGCAACTCATGAGGTAACTGGCGAAGATCACGTTGTAGACCGGCGTCTGCAAATTCCAGGCGATCCGCAGTACCGTCCTTGAACAACCGGCAAGCACACAATAACTGCTGCATGCGACGCTTGCATGACTGCCACGAATAAGACCGGGCGGTCCGCGCATATAACAAATCAGAAGTTTCAGTCCACCATTTCTTCGGACGAGTGTTGATTTCGTCTTCCGTTGTCCGTTCCATGCATAGCCGCACTAAAACTTCCACCTCTTCCCATGTCAGCCGCTTTCCTCGACCATCGGGAAGAATCCCCTCCACAATGCACAATCCGTTGACCATGACACCCTCCGATTGATTCGGTGTAGGAAGTTGTTCTGTCGAGCCTGTGGGCAGTACAACGGAAACTTGTTTGGAGGCAGGCCATGGTGATGGGTTTTCGGACTGCGGTGTGGGAGCTCCGATGTCTTTGGCCATGGTGTGGCTGATTCAGGGGTGGTGATTTAATTCGATAATTCGGTGTGTGCGTTGGATCGGGATCCCTGTAGGATTGATATTGATAATATGTTATGGTGAGAATAATTGTATGGTGTGCTCCGTAATAATTGCAAAGAGAAGAGATAAAGGTGAGACGGAATCCGCCCAATTTTAACCCGAAAGGAAATTCGCGGTCCGCCGCGCCGCGTTCGCGCCGGGCACGTGACCTGGCGGCAATTGGGCACGAACTACTGTATTACTACCTTACTGGAGTAATACAGAGTACTACCAGCAGGAATTGGGTAGAATACACCTAGTTGTACGGCATATTTGCATTTGTCGTTGCATCTCCCTGTTCGCACTCGCATGCACAGTCGGTCACGGGATAATGCCTCAGGCAGTCATGCTTTCTCCTGAATACTCGGCATTCCTGAAAGCTGCAGAAGATTCTCGCCGTCAAATAACTAACTTAAAAGCAATCTCTGACACTATCGACACTAGTCTGTCTATCAATCATTGTTCGCCGGAATGGGAACAACCTCGGTTATTCTATGTCTCCTCCCATGGCTACCCCGAAGTCTATCTACCCTCTACCCATTGGGCTCCTTCCCATCCACCGGTTTCTCCTCCAGGTGTTCGTACCGGCAAAAGCACGGGCTCGCCTCCAGACATGACATGGAAACCATTTGCCTCCTCACCTGACAATATGGTATTGACAACTGCTGCAGCTGCACTCCACAAGATCGTCTTTACTAGCTCAATTGCTCCATTCTCGAGTGGACCGTCAATGCCGACAATTGCTCTATCAGGAGCCTAAACGTGGAACCGAATACAGGTCGACTCCTTGCCCGAGTCTAAAAAGTACTTAACCCGGCGTGCCACAGCTGAAAGTTTGTGTTACCGTCGTCACTATCGAAACAAAACCTCCGAACGTGCTATAATAATCCCCGGCTTCTGTTGCAACACAAACGCAACGCACGCGGCCGGCCGTTGAGATATGACGCAGCAGCAGTCCTCTCCTTTATTGGAGGCATTGTCCTCTTTGTCTGTGGAGCATGGGTCGCGCAATCGTTTTACGGCGGATATATCGACGGATTGGTCGACGCAGCTGTATGTTGAGACGCATAACAATTAGACCGAGGCTGACTGAAACAGCGCTGTGCTGGGGGGGTTTCTCAATGCGTTGATGCTCTCTGCGACTCAGAAATACTTAGAACTCGAATTCGGACCTGGACGATATCCTCATCCCATTCATGCCTTCGTTCAGTTCCTTAGTATGGTCCCGGCTGGGGCGGTGGTTATCACATGTCATACTTTGCGTACCTCATCTCGACAATGCGTGGTAAGAGTCGAGTTATCCCGGAATATCGAGTCTCAATCGCCCACCACAGTGGCCATCATCACCTGCGGTGACCTCTCCAAGGAAAAGGGCGTCTCGCAGGATACCAGGCCCGTTATCACGACACTCCCGAACAGACACACAGAATGCGTTCCTATCGACGACCCGGTGGTCGATGCTACACCTGTGACGCGGCAGTTGCACTGGATTGCCCCTAATGCCAACGGTCTCTGGGGTCACCGGCTAGGAGGTCATTATCGCGAGGTCTGGTTGTCACCAAGAGACGGATCGAAGATGTCTAGCGTTTTTCACCTGGCAGTCATGACGGATATGCCGCTGCAGCCTCCGGCCACGCATGAACTAGGGTTCTACACGCGATACGCACTGTCCACGCTCTGCTTATCAGTCGAGTTCAAGAAGATTCCGCATTCTGATACGCGGTGGGTGATGACGCGATCGCATTCGAATAAGGTGTCCAACGGCCGATACGACGTGAATGTGCAGATTCTCGACGAGTCTGGGGAGCTGTTGGCTCTGAGTAACCATGTGGTGTATATTGTTCCGCTTCGACCTCCGCCAAAGCCCAAAGCTTCGAAGATGTGATATCTATTTGGGGGAGGAAAGAGAAACTTGTACATATTCTTACTGTAACATATTTGTATTCAACACCGTAGCGCGGGAGCTAGCAATGGCATATAACTCTAGCAAATACATCGTCATCGGTAGGCATGAGCCCCAGGCTGGGGCTCCGGATGAGCATATACACGGTTATCAACCACCTCAATTTCTTTTGACAATCAGATCATCACGAAATACAAGACAGCCAACACGTAACAATTCCAATTCCAATACCAGAACCAGAACCGCCATAACCACAACCTCGGCACATCAAGCCGCTCCCTCATAGTAATCCTCATCGATAAGCGGGTCTGACATGACAAATGTATCCCCCATCCCAAACACGAATGAACCCGTCACCTCCCGACGCTCCGCCTTTCCCTGCGGAGTAGGGCTGTTCTCTACGTCCTCGATACCCTCAACGGATCGCTTCAGAGGAGTGACACTTCCAACAATGAGGCTCTTGGGCTTGACAGGGGAAGGCGTAGCCCGCGACAGAACAGGCAGAGAAGGAGAGCGGGCTATACTGTGTTCTGGGTTGACGTTTTCCATCTTCACGAACAGACTGTCCGCCTTTTTTTTTATCTCTATCTCGGGAGATGCGGACGAGTTGTCGAGACAGATCACGTCTGCATTTGTGCCCATGGTGTTGCCCAAGCTGCTGTTGGGCTTTGTCGGTGTCTCGGGAATATTTTCCTTGTAGCCTACTTTCTGCTTCTTCGGCGCGGATGAGGGGGTCGGTTTGGATTTTGAAGCAGAGGCAGACGCTGGAGCGGGAGCTCTGCTTCGCGACCCACGGGGCGTGCGCAGGACGCCATTGTCGATATTAACCCCTCGGGCCTGTGCCTCTGCGCGCAGCTCGTCTGCCATTTTTCTGTACCGGCGGAAGCGGCCCTCAATGGCGTCGTAGGTGGCTTCTTGACCGTAGATGGCCGCTATTGTGTGGTAGTCTAGCTAGCAGGCGAGGATGCTGGGTTAGTATGCAAAATGGTCGTGGTGTTTGAGATTAAGGGGTTATGGACGCACTTTGAGGCCTGAGTTGCCGGCGATGAGGGATGCGAAGAGACGGTCTGTCGCATCGGCTGCTTTCCAATTGACCATTTTCTATTTTCCTTTGACTGGTGTATAGTTACGAGGGGGTTAACAGATAAAGGAAGTCAAAGAGGAACGAAGAGGGGCAATGAGGAGAGGGGGAAGTGTTGATGTTGTTATGGCAAATATCACAGTGAATAATGGAATTTACCGTGTCTTCACTAGGGCTGGCAATATACAGCATAAGCACCACACTTTTCCTGCCTTTTCCCCCTCTCGCTCTTTCTTTTTCTCTCTTTCATCCTCTGTTTTCCTCAGCGCCTTCTAACTCCCGCTGAACTCTCCATCGCCAAAATGCCTGTAAAGTGGACTCCTGAAAATGACCAGCTGGTACGTCTCTCCTCTAGATACTCAGTCTCGACTAACAGCAACAGCTCCTCCTGAAGATCCTGGAGACGCACGACCTCTCCGTCGATACCAAGAAAGTAGCTGAAGCATGGCGTAAGTCCCTCATCCCTTCACCATCTACACCTTCTAACCCCACCGCAAAATGACATAGCCGCCACCGTCGCAAAAGACAAACCAACCCCCCGTGCCATAACCGAACGCCTCGTGCGCATGCGCCAGATAGCTCGCGCCTCTGGAAACGCCGGTGGCTTCGCTATAAAAAGCGCCCCAGCCACGCCCAAGAAATCGCGTAACACTACTACTCCGACTCCACCATCCGGCAAGGCCAAAGCCCCAGACTCGAACAAGCGCGCTCGCATGCAGAATACTGACATCACCGAAGATGAGGACATGGCTAACGTTGAGACCCCCAGTAAACCGAACAAGAGCGTGAGAATGGAGTCTGAGTCTAAGGCCATTAGGCTTGAGCTTGCGGAGTTGGATGGTGTTCACGTGCCTGCTAAGCGGGTTAGGAAGAGTAGTGCGTTGCCGATGGGGATGGTGGAGTATGATGGCGATGGGGAGAAGTGGGAGGAAGATGAGACTGTTTATGATAGTTCTGCTTCGGAGTTTGTGCCGGAGGATGGTGTTAAGCGGGACGAGGAGAGCTAGTTTGTGTACTTGGTTTTTTAGTTGGATAAATGTTGAGGATTGACTTGGGATTGGGATGGTCTGTTATTATCTGTCAGGGAGTCCTTCCAAGTGGCACTTGCTTGGAATATCTGCTCTCCTTACCATTAACAAATTTATGCGAACGGATTCAATCGTCGCCAATAGAAATACATAACTCTGATGACCCTCCGATTCCCCTCGTACGACCAGAATAACACAACCAATAAACTAGGCCTCAATCATCCTTCTCAACCTCCATCTCCGTATTAACCTCACCAACTTCTTCCTCCTCTTCATCCTCCTGCTTGTTCTTGGCCTTCTTTGCAGCCTTCCCGTTAGCCTTCCCAGCCTGCCCACCTCTCCTCTTCTTGGGCGAAACAGGCGCAGACGCAGACGATCCCCCCCCAGCATCGTCATCTGCACCAGAACCAGAAGCAGGCGCAGAATGATTGATTTTGAAGTCTTTGTTTACTTGCTCGCGGAGGCGCTGGATGCGGCGTTGGACTGCGATTTTGGTGCATTCTACCACAGCACAACATGGTTAGCTTCTTTGAACAGAGTTGGGTGAGTGGGTGGTATGAGCACACCCGGTCCCATCCATTCGGCAAGAGCTTCGTAGTCGACTTTCTGTGTGCTTAGGTGGAGGATTCCGATGAGGAGCTTTTTGAGACTCCGTGAGTTATGTTTTTCGGATGATATAGGCGGGAAAGGTGCTGGCTGGTTGGCTTACTTTTGCATCGGCTTGATCAGTCCAGGTCATCGGCATGATGGCGATTGGGGAATGTTGGTTTGGTAGAGGTGTATCTGGAAGAAGGTAGAAGGCGGAGTAGAGAGGAGAGGCTTGGGGAAGAAGAGAACGATAGATGGGGGTATTGCGGAGAAAGAGGAAGGGTGGATTGTATTCACTCTTGGTGTTATCTGCTTTCAAACAACGAATACCAGACCTTTGTTCAGTCAGAACATGTCTCAATACACGAAAACGACCCTATCGTTATCCAGACCAGTGAAATTTAAAACAGGTAAAGTCTGTCTGCTCACGCCAATTCCTATCCCAGGCCCAACATCGCCTTCTAACCACTCTCCTCAGTCTCGGTCTCCATATCCTCCTTATCCTCCTCACTCTTAGCCTTTTTCGTCGGCCTCTTCAGCACATCTTCATCTTTGCTCTTAGAGCTCGCCTTAGCACCCTTCTTTCGTTTTTCAGGGGTCACCGGCGTAGAACCCTCATTACCAGCACCAGCGGCAGCAGGGTCGGAAGCGTCGTGAACCTGCTTCTTGAGACGAGTAAGGCGGGTTTGGACGGCAATTTTGGTGCACTCTATAGTAAACGGTGCATTAGTTTCGGCTTGTGAGGGTAGAGATTGGGACGGCGTACCTGGTCCCATGTATTTCGCGATGGCGGCGTAATCGAGCTTCGCGCTGGTGGTGTGCAGAATCGCGACGAGGAGCTGATTTGAGATTGTTAGGGACGTGGATATATTTGAGGGTGCTGGTCGGCTTACCTTTGCGTCGCTCTGGTCATTCCATGTCATGGGCATGTTGGCGGTTGAGTTGATACGCGATAGTAATGTGAAGATGTGTGATTTGAAGGTATGGAGGGACAAAGTTAATCTAGAATCAGAGAGGGCATGTTGATGAGAAGTAAAGTAGAGGGGAGAGGCTGGAGGAGGTGCTTATGAAACCACTCATTCTGTGTTGCAATGAGGTGAATGAGCTTTGTATACAGCTTATGTCTCAACAGAGCACAGATAATCTTATTCCATTCCTATCTCTGCTATTGTCTAAACTATACCGCTCTTTCAAAAATGAAATCGGCATACTCTGCAGGATGATATCCTGAGAAATAATCATTCAACACAAGCTCCTCCGGGCTCTTCTTTCTCGTCTTTAGGTCACCGAATTGGCGCAATACTCGGCCAAGCGTAACGTACAGCTCACAGTACGCGAGTCTACTATAGTTAGCGAGCTTCACGTGCTGTCTGGAGTACAGAACGTACGGCATTCCGACGCATTGTCTCGATCCTTTCCCGAAAGCGAACAGGTATTTGTCCAAGGCCTTACAAACGACTGGATCGGTCCAGCGGTTTGGATCGAACTTGTAGGAGTCTGGGAAGATTTCTTCGCTGTGGTGCATTGTCCATGCGCTCATGCTAATGATAGTCTACTATGTTTAGTATATTGTCTTGCAGGAGTCAGAGAAACGTACACCCTCTGGAACTGCGTATCCGTTGAACTGTGCACCGCCTTTGGGAACGACTCGTGGGAGTCGGCCAGGGACACCGAAGGAGAGACTGATTCAGTTAGATGAGCCTTTAAACTAAATAGCAAAGGGCGACTACCGTAATGCCTCCTTGATAACACCCGTCTAGTGGTCGTTAGCACTGCTCAGCATGTCAGGACTGCTTGACCTACCAAGTACGGTAGCTTCTCAAGAGACGTAAAATCTATATCGGCATCTGGATCAGGAAATGCCTCCGTCAACTCGGCTGTCAACCATTTGTAAATGTCCGGATTGATAACAGTATTGTAAGTCGCAATCGTCAGTGCATTACCAGTGGTATCTGCCGCAGCCCCAAGGACAATATATGCCTCGTCCGCGAGAAAATCTATTGTTGGCTCATAGCCTTCTACATCATCGAGCTGAAGAAGGTGGTGGAATATAGTCCGCTTCGACTTTTCTCCTTTGTCCACTGCATCCTTTACGCGGAGTACCTGGTTGCGGGCATTCTATATCGATTAGCTTTATCCCGCGTCAAAGTATGGTAGTCACACCTGTTGATGCTGTAGCATGCTGCCCCAGGGCTTCTTTAGCAACATGGCTAGCCAGCTCGGCACTCACAAAGCAACATAGCGAATAGTTGGAAATGTCTGGAAGAACAAAGTTGCAGGACCAAAACCACGAATCACATCGAAGAATTCTTTCCCAAAATCTGGCGCATCCAGTAACTTATACGACTCGTCGAACGCATAGTTAGTAATGACATCCACAGATACTGCCCGAAAGGCATAATGGAGGTCAAGTCGTCCTGAGGTCTCAAAAGCCGACTGCATGCGCGAGACTATCTTTTTGGCTGTGCCTTGTACTACCTCCTCCAGGGACAGAACCTTCCTGCGCGAGAAGAATGGGTTGATTGCTGATCGTTTGATCCGGTGGGCTTCGGGACTTTCTGTGGCTAATGATGCTCTCTCTGAACCGACGGCGCGATAGAAGTCGCCGTGTTTGCCATATCGTGAGCCGATGCTGTAGATCTTTTCTAGGTTTTTTGGGTCGCTTAGATGGACTTCGTTTGGAGTGATACGAATGACGGGTCCTAACTATGTCAGTTTGGCATATTAATATATGGTAGATACCATACCATATTGCTCGTGCAGTTTCTGTATCTGTAAATAGAGCCTCCCACTGCGAGCATTATACCAATAGCAATAAAGAGAGGTCACTCCCGCTAATAGAGGCCCCGGGATGTGAGCTAGCGGATGGAAGAAGATGCGATAAACGACGACACCAATGACATTCACAGCAGCACAGAACAGCGCACTGGTAAACAGTTGCGGGCTCTCAGAAGTAAAGGTCCAACTGCCAATTAACATGGTGTTTGTGCGATGTCATGAATATCACATCAAGTCAAAAAGGGGCAGTCCTGATAGAAATGAGTCCGGCGATTTTCAACCGCCAGCTTATCAAATTGACACCCTGGTCGATATGACGCGGTGTTACATTTTTCACGGCGCAAGGCTCATTAATTTCGTTTGATTGTATTTGGAGATGATTCTATTGGATCTCGGTTAGAATATCGAGACGTACTTCGTACAAGCGGGTAAAACTTGCCATTTACTCCTCTTTTGTAGATCATATCGGCTACGGGAGCTTCGACAATATACAAGCGGCCTATCACACTGTAAAGTAGAGCATGAAGCCGATAGGGAAGAGTAGCGTATTTAGATGTAAGACGCTGCAAGAGGGAGACGGTTGCCAGAAAAGAAGGTTACGGGGCTTGGCTTTCTCACCTTCAATCCTGTCAATGCTTATATCTTTCTTATTGGTATCTACTTGTATGTATAGCATTACTCCATGGCTCCCGATAGAATGGTCACATAGCTTTGTACCGGATCGAGTTAGATATCCGCTTTCACAACGAACAATGTTATTCGAAGCAAATACTCCAGTGCAGCTGAAGACACCATCTTTGAAAACAACAACAGTATATCACGGTGAAAGAGTACTGTGCAGACGGGGACGCTAAGAGTGTATGGGAAACTTCCCATGGGGCAGTCGGGCCTTCGGCAATAGTGCTAGGCATGTTAAGTTCAAGTCAGAGGACGGCAAGCCTATTCTCTGGACACTGCTTGCGGATGCTGATGGGACACGGCATGGCACTAGCATCGACCTGGCTGAGCGCCTTGGGAACAACGGGTTGTAAATTTGAGTTCAAATAATCGGTATGTCAAGATGTATGGTGTGCTGGCCCTGCTGTGTGGCAGCTAACATGCTCGGTACTATGATAGATGATGATAGAGCTCTGGGGTGCTGAGTGTACTCTTATGATAAACGAAACACATGCTTGGTAGTGTGGATAAAGTGTTCTTGTGCAGGTCCACTATCTGTACATAGCACAAGGCAATACATAACGATGCGATGCGCGAAATGGCTGCCAGAACTGGTCGAAGCAGGGATTGGGGTTCATTACCGACGCATGCGTCCCAGGCGAATGGTAGGAAGCTGAGAATGTTCTTTTCTACTCTGGGAAGGTGGGATATTGGTGACCCACCGGGTTTTCATGCCGCTCTAATTGACTGTCGGTACTGGCCCGCACGGCTTTTGACTGATACGTGCAGCTTCCAGGTCTGAACGAGAAGTCCCACGAGGCTCAAAAGACTCTGTCTACATAAGGAGAGAAAGTATGGAATACATCAGACCAGTTTAGTTACGGCCTCCTAAGCAACATACTTGTACGAAGTACTATGTAAATAAATTTACTAGTACTTGGTAGGCGTTGTGGTGGATCATCTTCCTTACTGAACAAGATCACTCGCTCTACTATGTCCATCTAGATAATGCATATCTCAGGTCAGCGGCCCCACGCAGCTGAGTTCATAACAGACGGCAAGACGCCGTCTAGCTGGTAGGAGAAACAGATTCTCCCTTTATGGCATAAAGAGCTTCTACTGCTGCTAGTTGTGTCCATGCCGAGGACAGTCATGTCCTCGTTTCTCAACTTACGGCAGGAATTTTCTCTTAACCTGAACACTGTAATCGGGAACAACGACGGCATGACAGTTTTAAAGGGCATAGTGTTATATACTATCTTTCAGATTGCGTTAGTTATGTAAGAAATTCGGAATGGGGCGCTACAGAATTCAGCGAGTCCACCAAGGAAGTTGATTTTTACTGAGGATGATGATACTCCCGTTCGTTCAACAAAGCTCGAGCAGAGGATGGTAGCTGATGTGAAGCTATACTGACCTGGCCAAACATATTGCGAACATCGGAGGTCAATTCGTGTTTGTTGAGGTATGTCTCATATGCGATATCGGAATTGTTGGCAGCTGATGACCCGCAGCAAATGTGTACATAAACGAAAATTGCATAACAATCGGGAGCCACGGAAGAACGACGGACTCTAATGGACTTTTCTCAGAATCCCACAGGCAAGGCTTCCATGCGCGATGCAATCATTGTGCATAACCCCTCCATGGCCCACTGCCAAATGCTGCAGGACACCTCCATAAGAAGGGTCCTGTTCACTTTTATGCAGTTGCCTGGCAAGGCTAAGCCCCTGATTGCCCTAAAGGGTTCGAAGGAATATGCCGAGATACCCACTGGTTTGGACGAGCAAATAAACAGGAGCCAAGCGGTGGGCGGCTGTTGAGGTGGTCATCAGGAAGGAGGGGAAAGTGCATATGATGTTGGCAGCCGGTTGAGACCCGGAGGACATATAAAGCAGAGGCGCCGCACAGCTCAGAGATGACAGACAAAACACAATCAACCGATTCAATTATACGACAACGCATTACCTTCCCACACAAGCACAGTCCACCATGAGCTTCCACCTTACCGCTGAGGACATTGTTATTGAAGACAACCACATCCTCAAGGCCCAGCTCCGCAATGAAGACGATGAACTTGTCGAATCAACCATTGACCTGAATGAACACCTTGGGAACAACGGTGGTATGCACTTTCACGGAGCACAGAGTACTCCGTACCCGGGATCGAAACTGTATTGCCGTCCATGGATGCTAACGATATTTTTTTTGCTCGATGAATAGGCGCTTTCGAATGGGACGGTGAGAACTTCAGCGAATCTGCCGAAAACGTCGAGTTTTCCATCGAGGGTGACGGCGAGGTTCCTGTTCTTCGTGCATTGCTGGGTACTGGAGACGATGAACCGGCTGAAGCTGATATCAACCTCTCGGAACATATTGTGAACGAGAATGGTCAATTTGTGTACCAATAGAGGGCATGTGGAATAAATTTTCTGGTGTGTTCAATAATGAGAAGGGACAGATTGTCATATTCTCAAAACCCCGCGTTGGTCGATAATCTTCCTCAGTAAAACTGATGCCACCGGTATTGCATGATAACCGGCGAAGATCACGGAATGCAAGGGAAGTTAGCGGATCAACAGCCCCCAAGTTACCTAGCATACGGGCAAGGCGTTTCTCGTATAACTACTCCGTACATACCAATAATGTACGAGTGATGCGACATCTGCCCCTCCAAGATCCACTCTGTAAAGTGGCTGCCAAGCGCTGCAGGTCACCGCTATAAGCAACACCACCATAAACCCCCGTATATGCGCCGGGATTCAATTCATCTGCCTGACCAGGCTGACACCCTGGTTTCTCGGGTGGGTTTCGTTTCATATGGGGGACAAATGATCGGGAGACAAGTGGTGCTCGGCGGTTGTTCTATTGAAACTGGTCGACAATAAAAGGAGGGGGAAGTTCCACATGGCGGTAAAGGAGGACATATATAAAGATTGACAGTCTGCTAGGAAAAGGACAGACAGAGAAGACATCCTCGATCAATCAATTCATCCAACCTTGCCACACACACACCCCCTTTCCCCCCAAACACTTCACAATGAGCTTCCACCTTACCGGTCAGGATATCCGTGTCGAGGACAACCACATCCTCATCGCCTCTCTTCAGAACGAGGAGGGCGATTATATCGAGTCCTCTATTGACCTAAACCAGTTTATTGGAAATGACAACGGTATGCTGTAACAGACTGGAAGGTCAATTGAAAACATGAAAGCTAACAACTAAACTGCGCTATAGGCAACTTCCAGTGGGACGGCGAGAACTTCAGCGACACCGCTCAAAACGTCCATTTTGCCATTGAGGGTGGCGCGGATGTCCCTGTTCTTCGCGGAGAGTTGCGCGACCTCGAGGGCAACTGGGATTCCCGTGACCTTAACCTCGCCGAGCGCGTTGTGAACAACAACGGTCAATTCGAGTTCCAGTAGAGTACGTTTGATATACATGTTCATGTCGGGTCAAAGGATGACGGCTAACGAGCGGGCCGCAGCGCAGCGTACCAATGTTCGGGAATGATGGATGGGAGCGATGCATCTTTGATATCGACTGGCTTTGGATACCAGTTTAGCTATGATCAAATTATAATTTTATGACGAAGATCTGTCCTTGAGCATAATTTGCCTTTCAAATACAGTAATACCCCTCCGAGGTCCACCGTACTCCATCGAGTAGTCGCCAAGCGAGCGCCTGTCTCCGTCGCGACTGGCCTTCACAAACCCACTCGCATGGGCAAATGACATGAAGATAAATATGTAAATGTACGCCCGGAAGGAGGGGGAGTTCCGGATAGCAGTACCGGAGAACATGTGAGAGACCGGTCACCAGTTGAATCCGAGGCCGAATCCTCGATTCGGGAGGAGAGGTAGAGTAGTCACGGAGAACACCATTGACGGCGGGGACAGCTCCTGCTGTCCGGGATGAGCTGGAAGGAAATGAAGACGGTTGTCCAGTTCCAAGTAATCGTTATTAGCACGTCCCCTTGTCCCTGCAGTATGTAACAAGCATACAGCCGCACAACCCCACTATCATACGTCCACAATGGTCTCCCCTTTGGCGATCTCTGGAATATAAATGGCAACACTGCAACGTCGGGAGGGATCGTGGAGAGATGGTAAGCTGAGCCTGGGAGAAAATTCTTGGACTGATGACCATGGAAAATTCTACTGCTCCTGTCCCGGTTCCAGTTGGTGGAAGGTATGTTTGGTGTGCGGTTGTTGGACCGGCTGTGATGGCTTGTGTGCAGTGTTTGGATACGGTTTGGGATGCCGGCTTGGCTATGATTGCATAAGTGCATCCGCCTGATATTTAAGTAACCGATCTTTCTGAATCCAACAAATACCTCCCATACGGCGAACACCATGATGCTATACAGGAACACATTGTCACCACTCCCACGTAGCACTGAGTCCTGTTCTGTTGAAAACACTCCACGGGTATGGAGTACATGTATAGTATCAGTACACCCCTAAAGAGGGGAAGTTACATGGCTGCACAAGACAGATGAGACCAGCTGGGGGCCAAATTGTCTATATAAGGGTGGGAGAAACGCCGGTTTGCTTCATTCCAATCCATCAATCAATCAATTCAATTTTACTGTTCTCTATACCAACAGAGACTGTCTCTACGACATCACCATGAGCTTCCACCTTACCGCTGAGAACCTCCGTCTCGAAGAGGGCCATATCCTCATTGCTCAGCTCCACAATGCAGATGGCGAGCTTGTTGACTCGTCTATTGACTTGAATACTATCATCGGCAATGTTGACGGTATACCCTTACCCGCTGTCTCCAGATAGATAATTGAAGCTAACCGCTATAGGCCGCTTGGAATGGGGGGGTCAGAACTTCAGCGAGAGCGCCCATGAGGTCCAGTTTGGCATCGAGTCCGAAAATGAAGTCCCTATTCTTCGGGTTTTGCTGAAGAATGCTGATGAGCAGTGGGCTGCTGCGGATGTCAACCTGTCTGAGCGCATTGTCAACGAGAATGGTACCTTCGTGTTTGTTTAGTAGTATGGTGCCATGTTTTGGTATACAACTGCCCTTGATCAGAGGCAGCTGGTATTGAATAAAGTCATATGACGGGGATTTTCATTCTGAATATAAGTTGAGATTCATTATTGTAGTATGTAACATTACCGAATATCAAAGTAAACACTGTAAGTCCCGACCCAGCCTTTCCGAACCAAACAAACTCCTTCCATGGAAGCGCCGTAGATCGCCATAGTTGAGTTTATTCATCATAAAAAGGGTAATAAAATAAACCAGTGAGAAAATCACCAAGCATACCCCCCTTCGGCAACATCCCAATCATCCCCATCCCAATCCTCGTCCCCACTGATCTCATCATCGAGAAAATCCCCTTCGCTGAACTGCGTTTCCGTCGGACGTTGATTGTCAATTCGGACCATGACAGCGTCGCACATGCCCTGAACCTGCATTGCACGAGGTTCCTGTTCGCCGAATCCCTCCGCTGCAGTGCGACTTGGCGATGAACTACCTTCAACGTCATCATCGTCGTCTTCGAGCTCCATGATTTTGCGCTGCGCGAGACGGGCGCTTTTACGCTTCGATGGTGTTGATGGGCCGCTATTCGGTGTATCAGAGTGGGGGCCAGCAGTGTCTTCTGCAGTGCCTTCAACTGGATCGGGAGGTGGCGGGGAACGCGGAAGAGTGCGCAGATTGGGGTCCGGAGGTGCACTGCGTCGTAGAAAAACATGCTCCAGTCGTCCAATCCATTTTTCTCGGAACGTTGCACGGTCGCGCCAGCCAATTTTTAAGATTGCACTGATGACGAGCCGTCGCAAATTAGGTAGCTCTGGTGCGGCATTAATCAAAGATGTGAAGAAGACCTCCGCAGCTGCGTCGTCCCACCTCCGAAGCTGGATCAACTCAATGTCTTGCAGTGTAGATGGCCATGTTGGGACTTCCGACGAGCGAATGAGTTCCGGGAAGTGAGGTTCCACGTCGTGATAACTGGACCAATCGTGGATCGAAATGTCCATTTTGAACCTTTTAAGGTTTTTACACGATCCACCAAGTCCGACAATGAAAGACATGCTCAGATGACGGTTGTGGCTCAAATTGAGTTCACGTAGATGCTGACCGTGAGAGGTGAGGAATGCGCCAAAGTTCGCCGTCGTTACTTCGTCACAATTGTTGAGGGTCAGGGATGTGAGTGTCGTCGGGAGGTGGGGCAGGAGATGCTCGTTGACGATGGAACACTCTATAAACACCAACTGACGCAGTTCCGGCAGTTCCTTGAGGGCTGTTGCGAGAACGACCTCCCGTTCGTTAGAGATATATGCGTCACCCTCCTCATCCCACTCCTCTGACGCAACGTGCAAAAAGCGCAGCTCTTCTATGCCCTGAAACGCAGGCTGCAGATGCTTTGTCAGGGCATGCGGTGCCAACTCTGGCGTTTCCATAAACCGACAGTTCCAGTCCCAACTGCGAAGCCGAATGGCACTGTAGGCAATCGACTCAAAAAGACCCTCTGGGTACCCCCATTTCGAGCGCGCACGTTGCCATGGAGGAATGCCCACGACGTAGTCCTCTGCGTGGTACAGTCGCATCTTTTTCACTTGCGGCGTGTTTTCAATCAATCTAGGCAATTCAAAATATCCCAAGGTTGGGCCGCTTTTGTATAAGAGTAAGGCTTCTACGTCAACATGGAGTTCCTTAATCTTGTTGGTGTAATTAGTAGAAAGAGAGTCCTGAGGCTGAGACAGTAGGCTAAGCAGGCCATGGCACTTGGCAGCTGGTATCAAGGGCGGAGAATAGTAGAGAGCTGCCAGTGCAGGCTCACAAAATGCATGGCACAGTAGAGCTACCTGGACAAGCCACTGAACAGAGCCCGTTCTAGTGACGCTCCTCTCATCCACCAGTGGTCGTGATGCGTAGAAGAATATGTCGAACAGTATGTGGTACGGCAAGTGCTGCCATGGAGGTATAACGCCTGATGTGAACAAAGGTATCTCATCCACTTCCACCTTCTTTCGTTTGCTCCGGGGTCTGCCCAAATCCATCCGCGAATTGTTCATGGGGCGTTTTGAATGTCTGGTCTGAGAGCGGGTCTTGACCGTCCTGTCACGACGAGGTCGAGAGGCGGTGCCATTGCTGCTCGTTGGGGCGGGCAATGGATCAGGCGAAGTACCAGGCGCTTCCATTACATTTTCGTCGCTTGCGTTTCTTTCGAAGTTGTCATCCGATGACTCCTCCCTGTATGACGGTGGCATACGATTCGAACTGCGGGGCCGCAACGATAGCGATAAGCGACGCAACTCGCCCTCTTCGGAGTCCCCATCACCATTGCCATCGGGCGAATCATCCGAGCTGCTGTCTTCATGATATGACTGGACTTTCAATCGACTGGACCGAAGCGGGCGTGAAGGATCGGAGCGTCTCGAGGTTGCCATGACAGATATCCGCCCTAGCGAATACGATTAGAAAGGGAGCGTGGCAGTTAATCGAACATGGTCAGCAGTGTCCGTTAAAGCAGGCGTATAGCCAGGAGTTATAGAGGACCGAGTATATCAGCAAGAAAATATATTGATCACTGGCAGCGGAAGAGAATCAGTGAAAAAGGAAGAAGACATGGGATGATGAGGTCAACTTCACTGTCAGGTTTATCGATAAGGCGAAATGTTCCTGCCTTATGCAGCCTATTCTCTGAGGCATAAAGAACACCGGATGTGGCTAGCCTGCCACGTGATAGCTCAGTTGCTCAGGCACCAGCCCCCCCCGCCCTGAGGCGCCAACGCTAGTCCTAGTCAGGAAACGCGGGGATTTCGTCCCAAAATAGCAACGTCCAGCGGTCGATCAGCCAATCACCAGTCATGATTCAAGCGCCGGCCATCCTGCAGCCTCTGGCCCCAGCACACACGACCGCCATGTCCAGATCCTCTCCTTCTCCTTCTTTTTCTTCCTCCTCTCTCTCTCGCCAGTGTTGCTGGTGATGTGAGCAGAGACGGCGCTATCTCACTGGAATCGCGATTGTCTGTTTGTTGATGTATTCCCCGATTGAGGTGGCCCCTATTTACCGGTCTTTTTTGCGCCATATACAAAGGGACTTGACCCTGTCTCATTGCGCCGGGTGATCCGGAGGCCTCTTTTTTGTGCATATATTCGTCGCATTCGTTTGTGATTGGGTCTTTGGGCGCGCACTATATTAGGTCCGATTCTTTCGATCATCCCACGTGCCTGAGGGTCCGATATATCGGTCTGTCCTCAGTAATGGAGGGCTCGTTTTCCGGCGTGATGAATCAACCAGATCGGGGGGAATTGGGAGGGAATCCGATGGTTGTTCAGCAGTACGCGAGATATCCACCAGCGATGGAGCCTGCGCTGCCCAGTGCCTCGTCCATTGATAGCTCTCGCAGTCGAGTGGCTGCCTCCAAATCACCTTCACTTCAGCATAAAGAGACCCCGCGCAGTCTACAGACATCCCCGACAGTTCAGCGATCAATGATTCATCGACCACCGTCGGTGCGGTCGGGGCCGTCAATGTCCCCTCCAGTGTTTGATTCAATGCGCCAGAGACAATCGAGAGAGTCAATGGACCAAGCAGAGGCCCGGACACTGCCTCCACGAGATATTACGGATCAAAATATTGACGATGCATATGTGGCGTTCATTTTCTACTGCAACCCCAATGTTCCCAGTTCCGTGGACTCGTCTGAGCTACGGAAGACGTTTCGATCGCCTCCTCGCAGTGATGGAAAGAGCTTTAGCATCTTCAGCTTGTGGGAGCTGATCCAGAGGTTTGACGCCAAGGAAGTGAAAACGTGGATTCAATTGGCCATTGAGCTTGGAGTTGAGCCTCCATCTATTGAGAAGAAGCAGAGCACGCAGAAGGTGCAGCAATATGCTGTTCGACTCAAGGTTTGTGCTTTTATTCAGCATCTTCTGGTCTGATTTGGCTAACTATTACAGCGCTGGATGAGAGCGATGCATGTTGATGCTTTTTTCGAGTTTTGCCTTGATCATCCTCATTCATACTATACACAGCGCCCCGCCGCCAATGCATTGGTCAGCGATAGTCGTGACGGGGTTCCATTGGAAGAAGATCTTGCTTTGCGGGCACTTGTCCCACAATGGAAGCCAAAGCGAGGCAGGAAGAGGGCAGAAGACAAGGAAGACGACGAAAAGCCAGCTAAACGGCCTCAGTTGGATACTTCTGTCGGAATCTTACATGGTGGCCCTTTTCAGCCACATTCTGCTGCCTTTCCCCAGAGTGCAATTCCTTTTAGCGCTTTTCCAGACGAAGTGGAGTCTCATGACCCGTGGATGACAGCAACGTCTGCATTCCCGGCCGATGCGCCGCAAACTCAGCAGGGACAGGATTTAAGATGGCGCGCCCTCGAACGCGATGCGTCTCCCGCCAATTACCCGCAATCAGCCATTATTCCTCGAGGGCATCACCCCTCAGATGTCTTTCTCTCTGCTGAGCCACGATCAGCAATCACGCCTCCCCCTGGTGACAAGGCACGATCACGCAGACGCCATGGGCCAGCTGTGTCGTCCGCTTGGCCCAGCAGCAACGGTTCATCCACCGGAAAAGCTCGAGGCCGACCACCAAATCGTGGAATTGTTTCGGGTCCATTTTCTTCGTTCCCTGTGAATCCGGCGCGTGACGAGTCATCTCATGGGGAGCATTCCGCTCGACCGACCTCTGCAGTGGGAATGGACCAAAATCCTTTTAATCAATTTCACTCGCCTACCCCTTTCCAGCAAGGTGCTAAACCCGGAAAACTTCAACTACAAGTTCCGCAGAATACAGGTGCACCTGTCCGTCTAGCAACACCGCCTACAGTCATGGTGAACGGAACTGATCCATCAAGAGCTGAGCCTGCGCCTGATACTTTGGGTGCACAGCCAACCGACATTAAACCTGATAACCTGTATGAGGAGCTCGTGCGGGTGTTCGCGGATGAAATTCGGCGCGCAGACATGGGAAGTAGACATTCGCCATTTAGACCTGATGAGGCACGCGGTCTAGCAAGGGCTGCTATCAAGCAAGTCACGTCTTCGTTGCCAAACCTGTCTCAAGCAAGTTCGACGCGCTTGGTCGCCTTTCATCTCGGATTCGGGTCACTTGCTGGTTATCAAGGGCCCATTTCCGGGTCCACGGTGGTGCACGGGCATTCATCATCCATGGTCCTTGGAGCAAATATACCTTCCGGGTTTATATATAGAGTCGAACGCGAATACACCTATGGCTCTGGCCTTGTAACAAAGGTCACCTGTCGCGGGCTGCGCATTGAGCCCGACGATAAAATAGACACCGCATCGCAAACCGAGGAATCCAATAACATAAACGAACTGGATGGTCATAGTGACGCGGAATTCGAGGTCGACGGTTCTGAGAACGGCGTATCAGACGCTACATGGAAACAGCGGTATATGCGCCTTCGAGCGCAAATTCAGAAGAAGGAGAAATCTTTGTCGCAGTATAAGCGCAAGATAATGGAGTCTGTCATGGCGGAAATTTAGCCGTTGTGAACATAGTACATATGGATTGTTTTGTTTATTGTACAGTTGGCTTTCAGATACCCCTATCGCGTTTGGAATTAGGACATATCATAATGGATACAAGAACCTTCAACCAATCTTAAAGCAAAATACATCACCGACCAGCCTACTCGAAATCCTCACTCTTGCCCTAAGCCTTCGCCAAAGTCCCCTCTTCCATATCCTCACATTCATCCTCGTCATCCTTAACAGCATCAAGACCAGCCTTCTTCACCATCTTTCCCGCGCTCTCAGGAGCCTTATACTTCTTTCCTTTCTTCGACGCTTTGGGCTTGCCATTACTATCGGTTTTGGTCTCAGAGTCAGTAGTCTTACGTTTGCCGTTCGCCTTTTCCTCGCCAGTGGTGTTCGTGCTGCCGGTAAGGGTGGAGGTGGTTGTGGCAGTGGTATCGTCACTATTGTTGATTCCGTGGGCCTTCATGAGCCTGGAGTATCGCTTGGCACTATATTTATCAGCTTCGTTCTCTGTTGACGATTGTTGAGAAGGAAGTGTAGGTGGTGGAGGGGAGGAGGATGTACGCCGCTCCACGGGAAACGATGGAACATTCTTTCGCTACCTCGGTGTAGTTTATCTGCGTAGTCACTGTTAGTATACCGTGTTGGATATTTCACGACAGGTGAGATGGACAGGAGAGTACTTTTCCGTTGTCTGAGTGCCGGATGCAGCTTATGAGAAACTGGAACTGGTCGTCGTTGGTAGTGCGGGACATTTTGCGTTGCTGTATGTGAGATTGTAAGTCTCTTTGGGGTAGGGGAGTGCTTTTCTGGGAGTGGATGGTATAGGAGATGATAAGAGATTTACCGATAGAGGAGCAGAGGTCGGGCGCCAGTATTGTTGATTCACTAGGTTGTTGTTATATGACAATGACTTTGATTCACTTGATAAGGAACGAGCAACAGGATAGATAACGGACATTCAGTGCCTTTGATGAAGGATTAAGCATTACATATGTACCATGGAAGACCAGGCGTCAAACAAAGGGCACATCAACCTGCATCCTCTAGATATAAACACAAACACACAAACATGTAGTCGCAGTATCGCTGTTCAGTCAGTCAGTCAGTCAGTCATAAAATAACCACTGCAGGGATAAAACATACTCAAACCTGCAACTTGAAAACCAACTTCAACCCCGACCTCATTGTCTCCCTATTCAATAACCTCCGTCGTTCCGACTTCGCCTTTCCAATCGTCTGTGCTGCTATGCGGAAGATTCGTCTACTCGGCGTGTCCAGCTTCCTCCTGTTCGTTCTTGTTGTAGTTGTTTCCGCCTGCTTTTTGCGCTTCTTAGATGGTGTTGAGAAACGTGGGAAATGGACTGCGCGGAAAGTGGTGGCTTTACCTAGGCCGTGGACGTGACCGTGACCGTGACCGTTGGTGGTAGCTCCACATTCTGCGGTAGTGGCAGCAGTAGAGACGGTCTGATGAGAGGGTTTCTTGGAGCCATCGCCGTTGTTCTCCTCATTGTTATTGTTAGTGGTGGTGGTGTTCTTGTTGTCATCCTCGCGCTTACGCTTGTTGGTGACTTCGACAGCAGCATTGCCCTTGGGAGCCACATTATTCACGCGAGGACGACCCCTTTTCCTTTCTGGAGCTGGGGCTGGAGCTGGGGTTCCCACTCCCTCGCCAGATACAGCCTTACCGGTGATCGTTTTTCCCTCGAAGTTGGCGAAGCCATAGCGGTTGCGTAGGCTACGGAGACGGTTGCCGGCAGAGAAGACGTTTCTGTAGCCCAGGGTTTTGGCGACTTTGTTGAGATTGATCTGTAGTCATTGTATTAGTTAGTATTTCGCTGTGCGGCTGGGTATGGGATCTGGGAGAAGAGAAGGATACCAATCTGTCTTCGTCAAGGTTCTTGAGACATTCGATGATGAATTGCTTGTCATTTGTAGATATTTCGTCGGTGGAGGACATGGTCTAGGGGGTCTTATTGATTTTTTGGGGAGAGTAGAGGTTCTCCCTGAGAGGGGAGTGGGTGGATGTGTTTTTGTAGTGTGCAGTAGAGAATATTGAAGAGGCAAAGAGCAAATGGCAAACTTATTCAGGGATAGCGCAGACAATGTAGGATAGAGAGGAGAAGGAAGTTGCACTACTGGGAGAAGGAGAGAGTAATATAGTCAGAGGCTGGAGGGACATTCACAGCGAGACAAGTAGTGGGCCAAGATGCGAGAAATATGGCCTGGGCAGAAAAGAATCGATTCTCACGACAGATTCTAAATAACAACACTCCAATGTAATCCAGCATACGCCATAGCAATCAAAAAATATCCAAATAAACGCCGATTCCAACGTAGCTAAGTCTCCTGCTCTCCCTCCAATTTGACCGGCTCATTTGATCCTCCATCCCTTCCCTCACTCTTCACTGTCCACGGGGAAGACACGCTCGATGGCATCTCAAATCCTATTGACATTGGCGAAGAAAACGGCGACATACTCGTGGATGTGGTCAAGTCCGTTGGAGCAATAGTCATTGGCGAATATGGTGTGTATGTAGTGTACGGAGAATATGCGTAGGACGGGTATTGCTGTTGATAGAACTGCTGCTGTGGACGATACGGCTGCAACGGCCTCGTATATAACGTAGTCGGCAAAGAAGCATCCTCCAGTGTTGGGATCTTCTGCAAATACGGTTCTGCCTCCGACTTGATATACGGACTCTGGCTTGGATCATATGCCGTCTCCGTCCCTGTTTCCTGCTTGACTAGTGGTGCAGGGGGGGGCGAAAGCACTCCTTTCTCTAGACCAGGCTTGCTTTCCTTCTCGCCACCGGTTTTGGTGGTTTTCTTCGGTTTCGAGGCGCGTGGCGTGGAGGTTATGCCTTCCATCTGCTGCTTGAACCGGGAGAAGCGCATTCGGGCGGCGTGGCCATTGGATATTTCCAGTTGCGAGGCTACTAAATTCCAGTCAATCTAGTTCGTTAGCTTCTATTCCTAGGCCTGTGGGAGAGAATACCTACCGACTTCAGGTCTAGCTGCTTGATAATGGTGTAGAGGAATTTGGCCGTCGGGCCGTCAGTGGGCATCGCCTTGCTGCGACGAACGGACATTGCGTAGAAAAAATCAGAAAATAGACAGCTTCAAACAGGGAAGTGCGTGATAGAGAAGAGAGAAGAGAGAAAATTTCTTGTGCTGGAATGAGAATATGTGGTGAAGTGCACCACTAGACAAGGAAATGGTATATATATATACATGTCCAGCTGTTGTTTTCAGAACAGTTCCCACTGCATCTACCACACCACAGCTTCTGGACAAAGAATAAAGCCGAAAAGAAATAAAAAATGGTATATGCGGTCTTTCTTCTGTCTCCACTTGTATAGAGAGACCTGCATTGGATACATGGATTCCTGCAGCAGCAATGGTCGAACGCCTTTCAGTCTACTTTCAATTTTACTCTTGCTGCAATTTTTTCTTTTGTTATTTCTATCATACGGTTCAGAGACTTATAATTGAACATTTTAACAGACCAAAACAAACCTGGCTCTGTTTTCCTGTTTTTCAATACCCTGGCTTATGCAGAGAACCGACAGAAAGAAACCAGGCAGAGAGGTATTTTACATTCATACAGCAGAGACAAATACATTATCTTGACTAGATTCCCCAAGCATCCATACAATCTCATGTCTCCGTCGTTGTGTACTCTCGTCCTGAAAGACTACACCTGCTACTCTCGCGACAGTTAATTCTCGGGACATTTGCCTTTGGGCAAGCTCCCCTCTTCGGACTGACGCATTATTGCTAATTTGGTCTTGTTCTAGGAGGCAGTATGATGCCTTCGACATGAATCAAGGGTCCGAAACAAGACCGAAGCAATCTAGTCGTCCCATTGCACGCGCAACAAACGATCCCACGGAGCTCCAACAGCTTGTAACACGATAAAAACTATGCATAAATACTAAGACAATACATTCTCGATAAATTGGGGATTGTGTATTGTTCAATCTGAACGTTTATCGCTACATGTACCACACGGGTTCTTAAGGTCACTTTACAAGGACACATTGGAGTCGACAGCCAGGCGAGCTAGGCCTTTTTATGCTACCTCTTAGCTCTCTTGCTATATATTCGACGATCGCGTGTCTGGGAGGAGAGAATGGTGAAATAGGCTGCTCAGTCGGTCGCTGGCGCCCGTGGATGCTTTGGGGATTGGAGGGGTTGCCTTTGCGCTGCACTCAAGTAGTGCACACATACGACAGCAAAGAGCTATGTGGAAATATGCTCTACTTTGGTACTATGATTGCGTATTGTTCCAGCTTTGGGTAGGTATCGTAGGTGCTAGCGCTGCTAAGGCCCTGAAACTTGCCTGACCGATACTGTCGCAATGCTACCTTTTTTTACCAGAACCGACAGTCACTAAGTCTTCGAATACTCGTAGACTTGATCTATTATTCATCTTAGATGCTCAGTGCATGCGCTCACAGAAAATCATCTAGGGCTGAGTAGACGGAGACAGTTTATCCGAAGCCGGTGATAAAATGCATGTAGACCACCTCTTTCTCCTTCTGTTCTTTACACTTCGACTTCAAAGCTATTGGACATGAAAGCACAGAAAAGGACCCCAACTAACTCTGTCTAAGGTTGTATTATAATAAAGCTACAAGGTACGTCTATCTACAATGTTCATCGCTTCTATACTAACGACACCAGACTACCTCTCCGGCCGCATCGCAACGTTGTCTACTTAAGTTTCATCCCACCCCCCTTTTTTCTTCCTGCTACGCTACCTTCGAATGTCCTTTTTCGAACTGCCTAGGGTCATTCACCTCGAAAAGCCCGTCCTTTTTGTCGCTCAGGCGACGACAAAGGCTCAGTAGAGGATGATTGGGCTTCATAAACCCAAGAGACCCGCGTGCAAGATCATTTTTCAGGTCTTGTGAGACTGAGGCGGGTCTGCATTCACCTTGAACTGGTAAAAAAGAGCAAAACAGGGCAGAATAAGCTGGGTTGGTGCCATTTGCATGCAAGCCAGGCTCGGCGCTGGACCTTATAAAAACAAAGTCCTCACCTGGCGTTCTCTTTCTTTCTTTCATTCTCCTCATCTATATTTCTTCTTGATTTCCTCATTGTCTGCTTTATTCAGCTCCAAACGTTCTCTCTTTTCACATTTCCATCATTCTTAGCTTAAGCCTTTCTTTCTTATGTGTCCTGTTTACTGATTATGACTGCACATAACCTGTCCTCGGGCCATGATCTTCCTGTCAATGGTATTCCGGCCGATACCTACGTTGACACCCCCGCGACTGACGCGTTCAACGAGTACGTCCATTCGAGCAACCTCCCTGGGAGCTACGAATCCATGATGAATGGCATCAATGGTGTCAACATGGAGTCGCCGTTCGTCGATCCCGTCCTGGCTACCATGCACATGGCTGGCACTCAGTTTCCTATGGCTCCCCCTCCTTTGCCCCAGCAGTTCGCTCAGGGTCAGAACGTGTTGAACTCTGTTGAACCGTTTGTGAGCCACCAACAAGCTTATCCTGGGCTTTCCCAGGACCAGTCCCAGACCAACGGCGACACTGAGAGCAACGCGGCTACTGCTGACGAAGCCAGCTCTGCTCGGGGCCCTCTCACTCCCGTTGATGACTCCGCTACCAACGACAGCGCGTCTCAGGGTAGCGAAGACTCCCAGTCCAACTACGAGGCCATGGCACAGCTTGCTGCTGGAGGCTCTCGCCGTGCCGAGGACAGAGAGTCTCGTGGTGGTGAGCAAGCTGCCACCCAGCGCGAGCGCAGAACCATCTCCTGGACCCCTGAGACCCGTTTCGAGCTGCTGCTCCAAGTTGCCTACGAGCGTCGCCACGAGAGTGTATCCGAAGGGGCATGGCACCGCATCGCTGATGGCTCTCGTGGCGGATTGTGGAAGGGCGCGTCGTGGAACGGTGTGCGGTAAGTCTCATTCCATTAACTTCCAACTGATATTAATCGGGGGCAGTCTCGAATTCTCTCGCCTCATGTCCGAGCGATTCGGTGACTATGCTTCCGCCGATAACGCCCGCGCCCGCCGTGCTCAACTTGACGCCGTTGCCCTCGCCCAGCGTGATGGCCAGCCGACCACCGTGATCCCAGAACTCATTCACCCTCTCCTGACTGACGCGGACTTTGAGCCGGCCCCGCGCCGCCGCCGTGCAGCTGCCGAGCCTGCTGAGGGTGATGACCAGAGTACTGAGAATCGCGGCCGTGGGCGTGCTCGCACTTCGTCTGCCCCGAGGACTACTCGTGGTCGTGGCCGTGGCCGTGCCGCCCGTAACCCGCGCACTCCACGTACCCAACGCACCCGCCGGGCTAACCGCACCACCCCCAACGGCGATACTGATGCAGAGAATACTGAGATGATCGATGCTGAGACTAGCAACGCTGAGTCTGGAAACGCTGAGAGCCCTGCCGCTACCGCTGAGGCTGCTTGATTTTGGTAAGTACAGCTTGATCTTGCATTCTTGCCTCCATGTTGTCGAATCAAGCTAACGCTCTCACGGATCTGTTGTTTAAAGGACTTTACGGCTTCACTGTCTAAAGGACTATTTTTTCTTCAACGACTTGGGTACCCTTCGATATCGATTCAGGATCCGGATAGGATATGTAGACCGCAAGGACAAAAAAAAGTTTGAATATTCAAAACAGGATAAAGCGACTGGATATGGCGGATGTGAATAATATGGAAGATTGTAACTACTTGATGAGATAGTCTAATATCTAATGTGGTTCCCTCAATTCTGGTATAAAATCGACGTCGTCGTTAGATGACTAATCCGCCCCTCATTGACTTCATCGTTGAAGGGTATCTCTTCATTTCCAATTGTATTTGTTGCTGTGTATCAATTGCCTTGATAACTATATGATACCCAAAATGTCTCTCGTCGCAGTAGGAGCCTGTTATGTCGATACCATTCTAACGTGAGTCGACCCCGTTCATCCGCGACCAAACAATTAACATACTCAGAACACCCCACTATCCCGGCGAAGATGAAAAACTACGAGCATCAAGCATCTCCCGGCGACGCGGAGGCAACTGTCCCAACACATTAGAGGTCATCCAACAACTGACAGCAAGAACCACGGATGCTTCATTGAACCTCGTGGCCATTCTCCCAGAAAAGTCCTCCGTGGCATCGCAGCAGATCAAGACTGCGTTTGAGCCGGAAGTAAACTTGGATCGATGTATTTACAGGGAGGAATTTAGTGAGCCTGCGTCGAGTTATATTATCAAGAGTTCTGGGACGGGGAGTCGGACGATTGTCAATTATAATGAACTGCCGGAGATGAGTGTTGATGAGCTGAAGAGGGTTATTGATGAGGTTGGACCGAGGACGACGTGGTTTCACTTTGAGGTTGGTACTCTTTTAGCCCCATGGTAGTGAATGTGAGTGATATTGACGTCTCAGGGCCGTATACCCGATGTCGTTCTGGCTGGTATCAAGTATCTCCGTCAACAGTTCCCGTCGGTTCGGGTTAGTGTTGAGGTTGAGAAACCTCAGCGACCGGGGTTGCAGGAATTAGCTGTCGAAGCTGATGTAGTATTTTACTCGAAGAGCTGGGCTCTGGTTAGCATGGTATCCTTTGATGCTTGATGACTCGCTGATGATTACAGGGAAATGGTTATAAATCGGCTGAAGAGTGTCTCCGGGAGCAAGCCAAGTTGACGCACAATGCGTATGACCCCTCATTAAATTACGGCGTGTTCTGACTAACTCTCCAGGACCCTACTCTGCTGCACATGGGGCCAAGACGGCGCCGTCGTTCTAGAAACCAAATCTACCATTCTAATCCACAACCTGGCTTATTCTGCACCTGACTTCGAAGTCGTTGAGTAAGTCCACCCCTCCTCCTCTCAAGTGATTCCTGCTTATCTTGTAGTACAATTGGCGCCGGAGACACGTTTATCGCTGGAATGCTGTACGGCCTGCTTTGGAAGGATGACTGGGATACGACGAAGAAACTGAGCTTTGCGAATCGGGTTGCTGGGATGAAAGTGGCGCAGGATGGGTTTGCCGGTTTGGCACGGGCGCTGGATACGTAGTTTCTGACAGCATTCGGCTCTGTATTCTCTTTAAACAACTTATATATCTGTAGCTGAGAAACTTCAGATCGGAAAGCTCCATTCCTAATCGGGAAATAAAAACACGTGATAAGGCGGTGAAAATAGAAATATTCTGCCCGCAATTTTTGCGATTTTTCGGAGCGCATTCAGCATCGCAAATTCAACCACTCAATTAAACACATTAAAAATGGCAGCCGTTTACAAAACAGTTTCGAAGAAGAATGCACGGCGCGCTGAGGCCGAAGAGGATTCGGAGGATCTCGAGATGGAGGACTTCATCGATGATGCCGACGATACTACTAGCGAGGAAGAGGAAGAGGACGAGGACGAGCAGGAAGATGGACAGACCTTGAGCTCTGCGCAGAAGCAGCTGGCCTCTGGAATGATGCCTAAGACCCGAGTTTTGATGTTGACTTCGCGGGGTGTCACATATCGGTATGTTTTCTTCACAGTGAGAGGAAGAAGGAAAAAAAAGAAACTGACAACAAAAAGCCACCGACATCTTCTGGCAGATCTCGCCGGCCTCCTCCCCCACACCTACAAAGAGACAAAGCTCGACAGCAAGAAGAAGCAAGCCGGATACAACCTCCTCCTCAACTCACTCGCAGACCTCCATTCCTGCAACGTCATCTTCTTCCTCGAAGCCCGCAAGCGCGGCCAAGACCTTTACCTCTGGCTCTCGCGCCCCCCTAACGGCCCTACGATTCGCTTCCACGTGAACAACCTGCATACCATGGGCGAGGTCAACGCAGGCTTCAGCGGGAACTGTCTGAAGGGTGGTCGCGGAATTGTGGTGTTCGACCGCTCATTCGATGAGCAGGGACCTGTTATGAACGGCCAGCCGGGGACGGAGTACCGTTCGCTGATCAAAGAGATGCTGCGCGGTGTGTTCTGTGTGCCGAAGCGGGGTGTTAGGGGTATGAAGCCGTTCGTTGACCGGATTATCGGTATTTTTGGTGTCGATGGGAAGATCTGGATTCGTGTGTACGAAGTCCGTGAGGCGGAGGGTGACAACAAGAACAAGGAGGGTCCAGACGTTTCGCTCGTTGAGATTGGACCTCGCTTCGTCCTTACCCCGATTGTCATTCTGGAGGGTAGCTTCGGTGGTCCGGTTATCTACGAGAACAAGGAGTATGTCAGTCCTAACCAGGTTCGTCGCGAGGTTCGCATGGACAAGGCTGCTCGGTACGGTCAGCGTCGCGATACCACGACGGACCGGGTGACCAAGCGGACGACCCTGGGATTGAACGAGGAGGCGGGCATCAAGCCGAGTGCGTTGGATACCAAAAAGATCTTCTCATAATCTGTTTTTATTCCTTTGTTTCATAGTATATGGTTAGGCGTTGGTTGCATAAAAGTTATACCGTATTATTAAGCTGTGCAATAACCTTCAACTTGACTCATCTCCATCTTTCAACATTCACAACCTCATGGCTTTAATATCGCAATTCGGCCCTTTGTGGCTGAATGCTCTTTCCTTAGAATATTGCTTGGTTTTGACAGTGTTAGAGCCCGCATCCTAGAATTAACAAGCATTATTACCCATCCAGCATCATTGGATATTACTCATCGCATACACAGCAAGCATACAATACGAAGTATAACGCACAACGAAACGTGATGCAATTCAAAACCCTCCCAACCGAACTCCTCATTCACATCTTCCTCTCATCCTCCTCAATAACCGACGTCCTGTCTCTCGCCTCCACCTGCCGCCGCTTCCACCGCATTCTCAACGCAAATACCTCCAACAAACTCCAAATCCTCTACACTGTTGCCTCTTATGAATTCTCTCCGATTGACGATATAATCCAACTGGTCACGCAGAACGAGTCCCAGTCGGTGCATATTCGGCGCGAAGCACCCCTTTCGTTCCCGCTGCTCAAGCAGATCACGGAGGTCGGGCAGGTGGCAAGGAAGTGGGAGGTTATCTACCCGTTCAAGAAATGGAAGCTTGATTATGAAAATCGGCGGTTGTTGAGCTATGATGAGAAGTGGAGGGTGCGGAGGGCCGTGTATCGGTTGTGGTTGTATAGCCGTGCGTTCCACACGAGGACGTTCGACAGGTATACGCGGAATCTATGGCCGGTAGTCCTAGAAAGGGCGCAGCTACTGCATAACTGGTCGAATGAAGAGCTGGTGGAGATTGAAGATTTGCGGGGTGTTATGCACGATGTTGTACGGAATCATATCTGTCCTAGTAATGGGACGATTGAGAGGAAGTTCCGGAAGAGGAATTCTGCTGGTAATGGGCAGTTGACGTTTAACTTTCTGCCGATGTCGGGGGAGGTCAAGTCCCCGGGTTATTATTTCACAGATCAGTACTTCTATACACATTCCACGGACCCCGTGAAATACCGCTCTCGCTTCCGGAACGACATCTTCCATGATCCCGGGTATGAAGGCTGGGGCGATGAGATACCGCATTACTACGTGGTCGAGGACATGATGAAACTTGATCCCGGACAGGTACTGTGGCTACGGGAGCACGCGCCGTTGAAGGAACAGGTGGAGGCGTTCATTGAGTCGCTAGGGGAGTGGTTCCGGAATAACGGGGAGACATTTGGGGAGACGTTGGAGCGGGTTATGCTTGAGAGGGGGGAGGATGTAGAGTATGTTAGAGCTGCTATTTATGATAGAGATATGGGGATTGCTTAGACCTGGTTTTATACACGTGATAAGTCGTATATTGTCCTTCGCGGTATTGAATACAGACTCGAGACGACCTCGTTTGGCTCTTCGCTTCGGATACTTATATCAATATGCAGAGCTAAGGAGTCCTTATCCTGCCGTATCCAATGTGTTGGTCGGTTTTGGAAATTGTCTCTCAAAAATCTTCTATCTTGGGCGCCGCATATTTCGGTTTCTTTCTCATCCTTTCAGCAAAGTGATTACTGTCGAGATCTTGCATTCTGATATCAAGGCCTTTGATCCTAGGAACAGGACCTTTCCTGCTGACCGACTGATTCAGTGGACTTCTTACAAAGTAGAAAGCCCCAGAAATTGGGCTCCGCTCAAATATTTGATAAGGACCTTTCGTTGGGGAATTGCATCGTGGCTTGATATCTGATATTCCCGTGCCAGGTATTATGCATATGGCTGGGGTTCCCTTATTTTTGTGTCTTTGCGCAGCAGGTCTTTGTGTGCACCATGCTTCTGTGCACACCTAGGGGCCCTATTTAATGCGAATGTGCTTCTTTTCAAATACAAGTTTCTCTTGCTTCCATCGCGTGTTCAATCCGGATTTTATGACCTTCCGGAGTCATTCTGTCGCTTAATCTCTCTCCGAGAGCTGTCGACATTTTGGCTCGAAGCAAAACCAGTCAGTCAGAGTGAGGTTCCACATGATTTCGATCCTGGATACCGGAATAGCTTGTAATTCAGGCAAGGAAGAGGATTGTACTCGGCATACTGCCTTTGACTATGACTCCTGTCCAGCTCACAACGAGAAATAGCTATGTTGCTATATCCGCAATTCTTTACATTGCTGATGGAACGGTTGGGTGACTTTCCGGTTTTTTTTTTTTTTTTTTTTTTCCTTTCTGCAGCTTCCATGGAGTTATTTCATCAACTTATTCGTGTACCAGTCTTGTTTCCGTGGGTTGCAGGTTGATGTCAGTAATCAGCACGTTTATTTATATGCAAATACACCGGCTTGACCGAGCCACGCATTATTATTATTATTATTTTTTTTTTTTTCAAGCGCATGGAATTGACTCTCAGATCGAGGGTTTTGTCTTATTGGATATGTGCATCTGTTTTGTTAGCTTTTGGGATTAATTGTCGTTAGTAAGGTTTTCGAGTTGTTTTTCTTGAATATCGGACTATGGACGTAAATGGCATTCTCGAGATAGGGCAAGAAAGGAGCCTGCAGTGTGCATGAGTAATGGATGAGAGAAGATACCAAAGGAAGAGAGGCGAAGGGAGGAAATAGTCAAATGCTCTGAAAGTAAGATATACAGTCTATTATTACTATACAGTCTATAATACAGTGAATCAACTCAAACTCTGCAAATTCACCAACTCGCAATACCTCCCTCCTCTCCTCATCAACTCCTTATGTGTCCCGCTCTCAACAATTTCACCCTGTTCAAGAACATATATCACATCCGCACGCTGAATGCTACTCAGCCGATGCGCAACGGCAATCGTCGTCCGTCCACGAGAAGCAGCGTCCAGCGCCGTCTGCACTACTTTCTCAGATTCAGAATCGAGGGCTGAGGTGGCTTCATCGAGGAGGAGAATTTTAGGGTCGCGGATGAGGGCACGGGCAATAGCGAGGCGTTGCTTTTGGCCGCCGGAAAGCATCATGCCTTTGTTGCCAACGGGGGTGTCGAAGGATTGTCTTAATGTTGTGGTTAGTCTTTGGTACAGGGAAAGGATGTGGGGAGGGACGTACGGAAGGGAGATGATAAAATCATAGATATTCGCGTCTTTACATGCTTGGATTAACACCTGCTCTGGCACATACTCATCGCCGCATCGGCCCAAAAGAATATTCTCTCGGATCGTGCCTTGGAACAATGCAGGCTCCTGGCTGACCAGCGCCAGGAAGCTGCGGTATGATCCCAGATCCAGACGGGTGATATCCCTGCCATCGACGCAGACCTGTCCGGAAACCGCATCATAGAATCGCTCGAGCATGGCAATAGTCGTGCTCTTTCCGCTACCACTTGCTCCAACCAAAGCGACGTATTGACCTGGTTTGACCGTCAAGTTCAGATGCCGCAAGATAGGCTGCTCAGGACGGGTGGGATAGGTAAATGAGACGTTCCTGAATTCGATTGCGCCTTTCATGGATGTAACGGGCTGGTCATGCTTCTTTTCCTTCTGCTTCACAGTGACTGGTTTCGATTCGAAGAGACGCTTGAACTCAGTCGCTGCGTTCTTCGCCTTCCCCATATCCGGAGCATGCGAGAATACAGTCCCCGCCGCTTGAGAGCCAAAGATTACCTCGCTAAAACAGACATAAAATGTGAATAGTGAGTACTCGTGGCGTCCCAGCAAGCGTCCACCATACCAGAATCCCAGCGCCATACAGAAGAATGGCAATGCCTGGGATGCCCCGTACAAAACTGATGATTTGATAATCGGGATGATATCCGCGCGGAGCTGTGCTTGCAGTTGTTTCCGGTAGGATGCCAGCACCTCTGTCTCCATGGTCAATGAGGCGACAGTGCGGATGGCCGAGGCAGCTTCACAAGCTGAGCTGGCGGACGCCTGGTATGACTTTTTCGCACGAGTTTGTAATTTATCAAGTAGCCAGACTCGGAGGAATCCACATGCGAGAAGGACAGGCACAGCTGAGATACAGACAAGCGCCAGCTTCCAGCCCATGATTAATGCCACTGTTAGCGAAGCAACAAGGTTGACAGTCACGATCAGTAAGGTGCCCAAAGTAACGCCGCTGATACCAGTGAGGTGCTTGATCTCAGCTGATAGCGATGTGGTCAGTGCCCCGGTAGAATTTTCTTCACGGTCGAAAAAGGAAATATCCTGTCTCAACAGCGCACGAAATGCAGCTGTGCGCGCACGATAAATCATCTTCTCTGAAGAGTATGCAAATGATGTTCCCTGAATACTGTACAGGAGGAACGTGGCGATACCGACAGCGAGGAACATAAGTGACCAGAAGTTGGCGTCGTGGCGCAGCTTTCCATACTCCGTCGACGGCAGGGTCAATGTGGTGACTGCTTTGGCGAACAATACAGCTTGCGAGGGCTGGATGCCGCCGGCTGCGATCGAGGCGAGAAGACCAATACTCATTATTGGCCACTCGGGGCGGTTGAAGCTGGCGATGAATTTGATCAGTTCAGAAAGGGAGTAGTAGGATAATTGCTTTGGCTCCGGGGTCGACGGTGGGGACGGTTCTGGGTATAGATCGGGCAGCATTGAATGCCGCACTCGTGGCTTCTTCTCATCCAGACTTGAATGGTAAGAATAGCAATCAGAGTCAGATAGAAACGTGTCTCTGGATGAATCAGCGTCGAGGAGGAAGGTCATTTTCTCGAGATGCATCGACTGCCGGATCTGTTCAATCCGCTGGGCTTGGACTAGATCGAGATAGATACCTTGTGAATCAATAAGTTCTTTATGCGAGCCCTGCTCGACAATTTGTCCGTTCACGAAGACGACGATATTATGCGCATTCTTAATAGTCGACAATCGATGCGCAATGACAATTGTCGTACGGCCCTCAGCTGCACGATCCAGCGCCGCCTGTACGATGCCTTCAGATTTGGTGTCGAGGGCTGAAGTAGCCTCATCAAGGAGCAAGATCTGTGGATCTTTGACCACAGCCCGAGCGATGGCAATACGTTGCTTTTGTCCACCAGACAGCGAACATCCACCAGAACCCAGGTTGGTCTGATACTGTTCCGGTAGGTTCATAATAAATTCATGTGCGTTGGCCATGCGAGCAGCATCCTCGATACGATATTGGATGTCTTTTTCGGATTCGTTCTCCCATTGTGATCCCAGTAGCCCGAAACGGATATTTTCATAAATGGTTGTAGCGAAGAGGCGAGGTTCCTGACCGACCAGGGAGATTTGCTGTCTTAGCCAGCGGAGATTCAATGTCTGGATATCGCGGCCGTCGAGAAAGACCTTTCCAGAGATGGGACTATAAAATCGCTCGAGCAGGCCGATGATGGTACTCTTTCCGGATCCGGAGGGTCCGACGAAGGCTGTTGTTTGTCCAGCAGGAATGGAAAGGGTCATGTCGTCCATGACCAAGACTTCAGGACGGGAGGGATATACATGGCTGACGCGGTGCAGAAAAATATTTCCCTCGATTTTGTCGAGTCTCTCGCCTTCATCAGATGAGGGATCGATGGGCGACTCACGATCGATGGTGCTGTAGAGCTTTGAAGCAGCCGCGATGGCACTACCCAGTGCCTGACCGTTAGGTGCGACGTTGCCCAGGTTATAGGAGCCGAGGATGATAGCCATGAGGATGGTTAGGATATCCCCAACCTGAACACTATCGTCATCATCAACCAGGAACCGCGATCCCATCCAGAATCCTAGACCGTAGTTGAGATACATAACGCAGAACAGGCCTCCTACCATCAGGGCAAAAGCAATCTGTGCCCTTTTTCCCGGATTCTCCGATTCCTTGAGCAAAGACTCATATTTCTTCGCGAGTGTCTCTTGTGCATCGAACGCAACCACTGTCCGCATAGCGTCGAGAATCTCTTCTGCCAGACTACTGCTGCGACCAGAGCTTTCGAGGGCACGTTTCGTGAAGATAAGCATACCAGTCGAGCCCGCACCCATGATAACCAGCAGGGCGAGTAATGTAGCCGTACAGACGAGCGCCAGCTTCCAGTACTTGATGTAGGCGATGATAAATGCAGTCACGAACGTAGACAACCCGGTCAACACCAACGCGACCTTTTCTGAAATACCATCTTGAATCAGATTTGTATCAGCCGTGATTCGCGTGGTAATCTCCCCAGAGCCAATCGAGTCGAAGAAAGCGATATTCTGTCGTAGAATGGCACCGAGGTACTCGATTCGGATCTTTTGCACGACGTGGTCGCCGGTGTAGATAAACCCGACCGTGGCTATGGCGATTGTTGCAAGCTCGCCGGCTCCAAGTATGATAAAATAAAACACATTATCCGTGAGCTCCTGGTCAAAGTGCTCAAGGGTGATTGCATTGATCGCGATCTTGCGAAAACTCGAGGTCAACTGTCCGAACAGTACGGTGAAAACAGGGAGTGCAGCACCACCAACAATGGCAGCGAGACTGGCAATAGCCAGTACGACAAGATCGCACTTTGAGGCATAGCGATATAGCGAAAAGAAGCCGATTTTCTGGGCAGGAGGGTTGGCGAGTTGGCGGGCGAGGATGTCCTTCTCGTGGTGGGAGAGGGTTATTGCCATGATTAAAACATTGTTGAAGTCAGAATTAGGATTTACAAGTAGAACGTGCAAATAGAAGCAATGTTAAAACAATGTTATAGAACGCGGCATATAGTTTGGATGATTAGTTTGATGCAAGAATAAGGGCGCCGCGGAAAGTGGACACCTGAAACGACCCAAAATTGAGACTCAGCCCTAACCTAAAACTTCGCCGGCTGTCACAATTTTGGTCAGAATGAAGGGAACTCCGAACGCTTATTGTTTGACGCTCGGTAATTGTTCGTTTAGACGCATATTCTTGACTGATTGGGTAAAATAAACTTAAGGAATAAACTTAGGAATACAAAATAGGTTGGTCACATTGTATCATTTATCTGCCGGAGTATATACCCAATATGTAACGATGTACAAGAAGAGAAAACAACACAAAAACAAGGCAGGAATTTAACTAGACTATTTCAATAATCACGCACGTGTACTCATCTTGACCCGCAGGTCAGGAAGCTCCCAGAAGGCGTAGCACTCGCTCTGTCGCTGCCAATCCTTGACGCGGCCAACATACTGGCCATCAAACTCCAGGAAGAATGCCCCCAGTGAGAACTGCATCATCTGCATCGCAAAGTACTTGGCAACGCATGACCGGCTGCCAACCAGGAATGCCTGCACTCCTTCTTTACGGTCAGTGTTGCTAGGATTTGTCCAGCGCTCGGGGATGAATTCGTATGGGGCGTTGAAGTATTCAGGGTTGTGGTGAAGGGCAAACAGAGAGGTACAAATTTCAGTCTGTCAAAGTTAGCAAAGACTTCCTTTTCTGTAACTGTTGGGGAACTTACTCCGGCTGGGATATAGGTGCCGTCCACGTATGCTCCGGGCGACACACGGGGTCCTCCCACCGGTACGGGTGGATACAACCGCATAGCCTCGGTGATTACCGCATTAAGGTATGGAAGTTTCTGCACCTGCCCATCAATGTCCTTCGGGGAGGAGTAGACACTGTCCAATTCGGTTTTCAACTTGGCGTGGGCTTCGGGGTGGGTCAGGACAAAGTAGATCGCCGCACAAAGCGCGTTTTGGGTCGTGTGGAAGCCAGCCAACATAATGGCGGAAAAGTTTTCAGCGATTTCGGCCTCGGGGAGGTCAGTCATGGGCGCTCGTTCCATGATTTCGACCATCATGTCCCGCCTCGTATGTTGAGCACGGAGTTGTCTGCTCCATTAGCAATTGTCAATAGCCTAAAGTTAAGCGGAAAGAGCATACTCATTAATCAGACGCATGCGGGCATCTTCGGCCCTCGTCCGGATACCCTTGCGAAGGAATCTGCGCAGAAGCCACTTGATCACCGTGGGCACTCCTGAGCCCTGGAATTGGTCCCTGATAGTAGCCCAAAAGAAGATTCGCGGGAGTTGCTCGGTCCAAAAGTAGGGCCGTCCTCGGTTCAAGCAGCCCAGCGATTTACCAAGAAGCACTTCGGAAACTGTATCTACCGCATGGCAATAGTACAGGTCGTTCAGAACTAGCGTGTCATTGCGCTGGAGTCTAACCTTCAGGGCATCGTGCAAGCGCAACACACAGTCCCGGATGACTCCGTCGTGCGCTTGAACACTTCCCGGGCTCAAAGATGGGCTGAACAACTTGCGGACGGTAGCGTGGTATGCTGGGTCTTGCGCTGTAAAAATGTTGCGACGGGAGATGCCTTTGTAGAAGGGGGATTTGAGGAAGACGCTGCCTTTGCCGACGGAGGCATAGATGTTGCGAAGGGCTTTGACGGTGTTCGTTGTTGCTTGACCGGGGGCGAAGCGGACAATTTTTCCTGCAACATTAGTATACATATCAAGACTAGCTAGTAGTAAGAAGCATACCATATTTCAAATGCAAGTCGTTGAACTTATGGGCACTGCGGCCACGAAGGAAGGCAAATTTGGTACCAAACTGTGGAATCAGTACAGCCCACGATGAGGAGACTTGAGTACTCACACCAGCAAGAAGAAGATCAGTCCAGCTACCAGGGACACCCCTCATGGTAGGGCCCTTTGGCGTGAGCGCAAAGCCCAACAGGACCAAGCATGGGATCTACCGTAGCATGTTAGTATCACCAAGGCAGACCGAACAAGGATAAGCATACCAAGATAATAGCAGCAATCATAGTGGCACTTGTCTAACTATTGATTCAATGCTCATGTCTATGCTGTACGAACGAATCTATTTATCACCTGGCACGGTATAGAGGGCTCTGTCAAACTCCCGGATTGAGACGCCGGAGATTAGGGCAGTTTCAACTGTCTCAAATTTGGCTCTAATGCATTTTTCAGATTTGATTCAGAGTTTAATTAATCCAGTAGATCTGTCTAAATTGTTTGAATTGTCGGACGGTTTTTTTTTTCTTGTCCTTGTCCATTTTAATGTCTCCTAGTTGTCTACCAGAGTACTACATATAAGTCGTCGGTTCCATCCTATGAAGTAAACCCATCTACCTCACGCACCACATACCTGAATAGGTGTTAATCCGTTCAATATGAAAAAAATACTCTTCCTGGCCAACAGCGAACACGGCCAAACAAACATCATTCTTGCGCTCTCTCATGAACTTCTCCTCCGAGGCAATATCGACATCCACATCGCCTCCTTCCCAGCTCTTGAACGTCGCGTGAATAAGCTTCTCCACGACAACGCTCCTCTCTACGATGGCTCATTTAACTCTCGCATTCATTTTCACCCCATTCGTGGGCCCTCAAATACAGATGTGTTCCTCCGCACCGGCAAGCGCGGGGCATTTCATCCCCCGGGTGCCACAGGAGCTGTCCTGGGTTTCCAGTCCTTGATCGAGGATATCTGGGGATGGAATGAAGAGGAGTATGTGGATGTGTATGAGAGCTGCGTGGAGACCGTCAAGGCCGTGCAACCAGATATTGTGGTGTGCGATTTCTTCTTCTTGCAGGGACGCGATGCAGCCTGCAACACCGGACATACCGCAGTGCTCATGAATACCACTTCGCTTAGCCATATTGTGCTCGGGTTGCAGAAATATTCCTCACCCTTGTGGAAGTATCCTTTGTGAGTTCCCTTTTTTTCTTCAGTTCAAAAGACACATGTTAATGAGCTGGTAGACCCGGAACCGGCTTCCCATACCCCCTCCCCCTCCACCTCATCCCAGCAAACGCACATGCCCTCCTCAAAACAGCGAAAATGTACCACGGCAGTGGTCGCCGTCGCGAGATCCGCGAGTGGCGCATCAAGCACAAGATCAAAGGCCGCTTTCCATTCGCCGACGCCTGGCGCCCAGACCGCATCCATCTCTCTCCGGCATTGAAAGAACTCGACTGGCCAATGGACGTGCCAGACAATGTCATTCCGTGTGGCCCCATTCTTCTCCCCGTTGCATCTGTCAAAGATCAGGATCCCGAAATGGACCGGTGGCTGCAGAAAGCCCCGACCGTTCTCGTAAACCTGGGAACGTTGTACGCGCCAGACCCAAATGTGGCACGCGAGCTCGCAACCGGTCTCAAGACATTCCTCGATCACTGGACCGATCCGTCCACTCAGATTCTTTGGAAGCTTCCCAAGCATCCCTACGATCAAGGCGATGTGTACGCCTCCGCTGTCGAACCATTGAAGGCGGAATGTGAAGCAGATCGCGTGCGCATCCGCGATTGGTTCCAGGTCGAGCCCATGGCTATGCTGGAGACGGGTAACGTTGTCTGCTCTGTTCACCACGGTGGTGCAAACTCATGGTACGAGGCTATTCAGAACGGCGTCCCGCATGTGATTCTCCCAGCGTGGCAGGATTGTTATGAGAATGCTGCGCGTGCGGAGTGGATTGGTATCGGGGTTTATGGGAATAAAACCCGCGCGCCAGATGTCAGTGGTAAGGAATTGAGCCAGGCGCTACTCAAGGTCATGGGGAATGACTCGTATCGGGAGAAGGCTGCTGTACTTCAAGAGAAGTGTCGTATTCCTGGACGGGTTGTTGGTGCTGATAAGCTGGTTGAGTTATTGGGAAACCCTGAGCGGATGAATATGAATATGCCTCAGTTTGAGGATAAAGAGGTCGCTCAGATCAGCAATGGTGCTGGAAAGACGCTCGAAACTGTCCCGTCGCGGGGAAAGCCATCCAAGTAAGTCTCACTCTCAATCCTTGTCCTCCTCCAACTCCATCTAACAACAATAGATCATTCGCGAAAAGCATCGCAGAAACGTTCATCATCTCGCTCCTCTGTAACGCCTGGTTTATCCTTCCAACTCTTGCTTACGCCGCCTTTCTGGTTCCCCGAATCCGTCTCTTTGCTCTGCTGTACACCATATGCATCAAATTTTTCGCCAAATCCCACGCAACCGGCAGCCTCTCATTCCGCAGCGACTCCTTCCGCACCTCTTGGGTGTGGGGGCTCTACAACTCCTATTTCCCGCTTACCCTTTACCGTACTGCACCGCTCTCCCCGCAGAAGAAGTACATCTTCGGGTATCATCCGCATGGTGTTGCTCTGCGCGGGGCCCTCGGCGCGCTCGCGTCTGATGCAGCGGGTTTCTCGTACCTGTTCCCGGGAATCACGAATACATTGCTCATGAAGGATGCGGCGTTTTTCACTCCGCTGCTTAGAGAGTATCTTCTTGCTTCTGGGTTAGGTGGTGTTTCCCGCGGCTCCTGCGTGAAACATCTCATCCGCGGGGGCCACGACGGAAGAGGCATGGGTCGTGCAATTACCATCACCGTCGGAGGAAGTCGAGAATATGCGATCGCTCAGCCAGACACGATGGAGATTGTAATCCGCATTCGAAAGGGGTTCATCCGTGTTGCTGTTGAAACCGGTGCTGATCTCGTCCCCGTAGTTGCATTCGGAGAGAACGAACTCTTTTCGCCCGTGGACGTCAACTCCTCTCTACTCAAAAAAGGGATCGCCAAGATTTGGGAGGGCTTTGTGGGGCATCCCGTGTCATTTTCAACCGGACGGTTTGGGATGTTTATCCCGTATCGCAAACCGGTAAGAGTTGTTGTTGGAGAAGCAATTCCGGTAGTGCAGCAGCGCTTTGAGAAGGATGAGAAGTACATTGATACCTTGCAAGAGAAGTATATTGACGGATTGCGGGGTTTGTATGAGGATTGGAAGGGGGTGTTTGGGGATTCGGCGATCAAGTTTGAGATTGTAGAATAGGGTTCGGCGCTGGGATACTTTTAATTGGAATAGGCTTCGGCTGTGTATTATAGTTTAATCTCATTTCGTTGTGTTACTTATTTTTCCGGTAGTCTTGATCTTAAATGGCATGGTTCAGCATTTTAGAGTTGACTTAGTTGAAACAGCTCTAAACCCAATTTTGAGTCAAGATGCTTTTCGGTATACGCTCCGTGACTGCGGTATATCAACCCGGTATATAGCCCTTCAATGTTATTTCACCTGACACGATTGTTTTATGGCAAGATGATCTCTCTCTTAGTCCTCGGAGCCGTTGTTTTTCTCCTCTTCAACCTCAAAGTCCTTCCTGGCGCATGGCATGTCCGTGTCCTATGGGGGATCTACGAGCAAACCACTGCGCCGACGGTTTGCAGAGAGAAGAACAGCAAGAATGATGCCAAATCGCTGTTCAAGTACCTAACCACCACCACCCGCGCCGCGCCCCTGGAATGCGACTACAACGGCCATAAGTCGAATAGCACCTATTTTACCGATCTTGACGTCAACCGCACCCAACTGCTTTGTCGATTATTCAAGCTCGTCCTCTCTGCATCGCATTATGACCGCTCCAAACGGAATAAACATCTCAATATCGCGTTGGGCAGTACCTGCTGCGTGTTCCGGAAAGAGATCCAGCCATTCGAGGAGGTTGAGGTTTGGTCAAGAGTGTTGAGTTGGGACGAGAAATGGGTGTATGTTGTTAGTTATTTCGTCCGAAGAAAGCCCGGGAAGAAGGGTAGAGTGCCCCGAGAAGAGGATATCCTGGCCTCGGCGATTGGGCGGTATGTTTTCAAGGATGGGCGGCGGACGGTGCAGCCGATTGAGGCATTGAAAGATTGTAATCTCCTACCGCTAGAGACTGATCCAGATTGGAAAGAGCATGAAGCCGAGCGCATCAAGGGAATGCAAATCGGGGGTCTGTTGGCTGGATTGGGGGAGTTGCCCGAGCTCTTGTGTCCGGAATACGGCTGTCTGAATTAGTGTTCGTTAGTTCAACAAGAGACACCATTCTTGAGTTTTCCATTTTCCGAATTCTTTCTGGAATATGAGGCTTTTAGAGGACCAAAAAGCGGCACCTCGGTCCGTCGCATCATGTGATGCACGTGAACCCAAGTCTTGACATTTCCCATTTGGGATGTAACGTGTAAGATTTGTAGATGGCTTTTTATCATTTTATCAAGTCCATTGTCTGTATCGAGCCCTAGAGCTATGATAGACCATATTTCATGAAGCCGAGGCCAGCAGCTACTTTGCAGCCTCTTCTCTCTATGATTTCCCGATGTAGCAGTGCTATGAAGGATACCGTCGATAATATATCGGATTCAGGTACTTGGATTGTCAAGAAGCATCCAACGAGTCAGGATAGTGTCAAAATGCCTGTCATGTGGGGAATCGTGCAGGACCCTCACTACCAAAAGCAAGAACACGACGTTTCATTTGCGGCAGCTCTTCATGCACCATAAAAATGGCGTCTTTCTATAAAATGCAGCCGCAAGGATATGATCGATTTGAATAAAAGGTTCAATTATCGACAAATATCGAGCTGGGTTTGGACGACTCACAGGAATCGAACCCCATCGAATCGACCCATAGAAGCAGCACAGGCATGTTCGGGTACGAGAGCAGGTCTTGATACTGGCTAACGGAATTCAGAAGACTGTAGACGCGCTATACGCGAAAACAGGCAATGCTGTGATGATTGTAAAACTCGCAAAAAGTGCAGGCGGTTTTCTAGTCAGTATATTGTCTCTCAAGCCCAGCAGTTTATTGTTTCTAAAACTAAAGGAGGAGCAATAGGACAAAAGGCTAATAAAGAAGCGAATTTCACACTTAGCACTGATGAGCCAGTCTGGCCCGGATCGTGCGGCTGGCAGTGGTGGATCGTCGATTGCTCCGAGGTCGAAGCCATTCTGGAGCTATGGGTGTAGTGCCTGGATAGTTTAGAAAGCCGGAGACAACTGAAGGAATTATAGGCGAGGAGAATCCTTTCTTTAGTCCCCGACTCCCAAGAGTGCCGTCTCTCGAAAACAGAGATTGAACTGTGGTTTGGACGAGAAAGCCCCGAGTTAGAGCCAATCTTATACATGAATTCGTGTTTATGCATGAACAGATTTGGGGTGAGAAACTTTGAAAGGGACGAGTTGAAGACATAACCTCCTTCTGACAACGGCATTCGATTCTTGGGATGGGCTAAAGTAGACTTCGCTTAACCTGCCAAGCTCAGGATACTTCATGTTCTAACCGGAAACACGCTGCTCACAATGCGTGCCCAGAAGATATATACAGCGTTCCTGCTTGCGGCATTAAGCATAGTCGAGGACATCGGTGGCTACATAGAAATGAGGGAAGGACAGAATAGTATTCATATCACAAACAGCACAATATCACGCATATCCCATGCCTTCACTGAGAGCGGACTCGGCTGAAAAGAGCAAGCCGGAAGTGGACAAACTTCTGAAAAAAAAAATTATGTTAAGTAATCTACGCGAGTCTGCCAATACCAAGAGCATAAACAAGGGAATTGGGCTTCTGAATAACGGCCCTTGTTAAATAGGCACTAAACCTGCCTCAGCGGGGTCACCTGTGAAGGTATATATCATTCAGCAGGGACTTGCCAAATCTCGAATTAACATGAGTCCTCAAAAGTAATGCCTCATGGTAGACACCAGTACTGTATGGTGTTCGTTCAAACGTAAGAGCTTAAATATAGCTGTCAAATGTGGACAATTGCGGTGAATGCAGTGATATCTGTCCTGGCGATGGAAAGTGAGTACCAGACTATATACCGAAAGTAGTATTGTTTCTCGAGAACAAGGAAAGTCGTTTCCACATCCCTTCTCACGCAAGGATTAATGGACAGCAACCCTGACTTCTACTTCAACGGAAGCCTACCCACTACTCTTCTAGATGTCTCTGTATATTCATTCTACATTAGGGTTCGACCTGCACTGCAAATAGATATCCACGTGAGAATACTGTACAAAAGCTCCCCCCGTTGTCTGATATAGAGACTGGTGAATGATGAATCAGGGCGTCTTACCCAGTGCTGTCGACTTCACCTTCTCGATCACAATCTTCCTATCATGGACATCTCGCTCGCCAATACCTCTTGAGATCGAAGTTCAAAGCTAGCAGGCACATCCTGTGGCTTCTTGTTGGATGAATGTATGTGGAAGATCGGAATATCCATTCACTATGGCCAACATATTGCCTTGATGGCTGGCCATGTAATCTCATAACTCGGAAATATCGCCGAAGCTGAATCGGGGGACCACTTTATTGAGCTAGTCATTTCACGAACTTTGAAGGCAAACGTAAGAGTGACATTCTGCGTGATTCCTTGTTTTGGTTCCACCAAAGTGGCTAACTATTGTTAGATCCGTGCACGAATGAGTCCAGTACTACTACTCGGATGTCATCGCAGAGGTCTTCTAAATTGGCACTCGGAACCAGAGGAAATGGCATAAATGAAAGCAAGATCCCTATGAAGTCAGGAAAGTAAGTGACCGGAGCCCAGAAGTCTCAGAATTCGACACCGAGCAGGATAAAGACAAACGAAAACGATAAGTTAGAACATTCAACTCATTCTTTGTGTACGTTGGAGATCCTGGCCGTAGTTATTACTCATATCAAACTTTGGTTGTCCTTTTGGGCGACTGATCGATTACAGGGCTTCACGTACACCCAAAGACCAGGCAAATTATTCGTGCAAAATACAAATTGAGGCTTTTTATGGAACGAAGAGTATCTGTATCCCTATATTTGGATTTAGCCAATCAAGAAAGTGTATTGGTTGATATGCCCAAGATGGCATCGCCAACCTGCTGGAGCACCATAAAACATTGCCGACTTGAAAGTATGCCCGAGGCTTGCCTTGTCTCTGTCAGGATTACTATACTGATATATATGGTTCAGTGACAGACCCCGACCATGGTCTGCAGAAAACGTGTTACCATGCTGCAAAGCAGTATATCAGATGTGATCTGCGGGCACGGAATCTATCTGAACTAACTGGGACCAGTTTTGGAGGCTCTCGACAGACGCGATTCTTTCCTTTTCAATCACCGCCATGCCATGTACGCAGACAGATAGTGTTGTCAGTAGCTGTAGCTGCGACACAGTCCAGTCATCTTTTCAACCTTTCCTGACAGAAGAGATAGCCTTCAATCCAGGCCTTCTGAGCCTGGGAATTGAAGCCCGCACGGGGTAGATATATATCCAATTTGCTCTAGTCACCTTGACATTTACGCCTTACCACTCCTCGAATCGAAGGCAGTTGCAGGGCAGTCCACGCAGAGGAACCAGATCGCCGCTATTATGTGGAGGAAGAAGAATACTGAAACCGGCATGAATACTGCACGCGCAGTGTCGATTTACCAGAGTTGGCCTGATGAATAAAGAAATGACAGCTGGCTTGCCTCGTGGTCACGACAGATATACGCAGGCGCGCCGTGGTAAGGTGGTGAGGAAATGGCATGAAGAATACGATGTCCAGATACGATGAACCGCTAAAGTAGTCAAAATAAACTAGAATACGATTCAATGATCCATAACCAGTATCACATAACATACATGAGCCATCAAGAGCTAATCATAAAACCGAAAGCAGAGGCCACGAACACAAGAAAAGAAAATAGTCCATTTAATAAAAGGATTCGATGGCGAATGATGAGTAAACCTCATAAAATGTGCGAGTCTGTCATCCGGAGGCTAAGACAGACCAAAATAAGACCATTCAATTATCACATAGCAAGAAGGGGATTTAAAAAAAGACAAAAGGAGAAAGGAAGAGAAGTCGTTTAACAGCAGCCCTGCTTCTGCTCCGAATCCTGCGACTCGCTAATGTTGACGACCTGGCGACGTTCCCCAAGCGGGTTCTGGGGCGAGTCACCCTCGAGCGCCTTGCTGGAGACGATGCGGTAGATTTCTGGGATTTTTGTGTCAGCCATGTGCGACTCGAGCGAAGTACGGCGGGAATACAAACCTGTCAGAATGTTCTGGAAGGCAAGTTCGACGTTGCTGGCGTCAAGGGCAGAGGTCTCAATGAATGACAAATTGTTCTCGCCTATGTTGCGGTCAGCGCGACCCACTTCTCACCCCCCTTGGGGAGCACAAAGAAAACATACTCGCAAACTGCTTGGCCTCCTCCGTGGGCACTGCCCGCAGGTGTCTCAAATCGCTCTTGTTTCCGACCAGCATGATGACGATGTTGGAATCGGCGTGGTCCCGCAACTCCTTCAACCACCGGTTGACATTCTCGTAGGTCTGATGTTTGCTAATATCGTAAACGAGGAGAGCGCCAACCGCGCCACGGTAGTAGGCCGAGGTAATCGCCCGGTAACGTTCCTGACCAGCAGTATCCCAAATCTGAGCCTTGATCGTCTTGGAATCGACCTGGATGGAGCGGGTTGCGAATTCGACACCGATAGTCGACTTGGAGTCCAGGTTGAACTCGTTGCGGGTGAAACGACTCAACAGGTTGGACTTTCCGACACCCGAATCACCGATCAACACCACTATGCGCAGTATAGCCGTTAGTTATGGTTCTGGTGAGAAGTCCGCTAAAAATAATAAGAGCAAGGGGCGAAGAAAGGAGGGACATCATCACACGAGTGGCAACGTACCCTTGAAGAGAAACTAGTATCCCAACGCCCGTTAGCTGTCATCTTTCTTGCAGAAAAAAATGATTAGAATAGAAACTCACGTCGTATTCGTCGTTAGCCATGAGGGGTAGTCGTGGGAGTTAGACCAGCACTCTTTTTAGATAGAAAAAACGGTACGAAATTCGACGTGGCTTCGAGCCGTCACGAGGAAGAATGGAAGGAAAGAAACTGGAAGAAGACAAAGCCGTTAGCAGCGAAATCGCGAAATTTCAAGGAGAATAACGACGGGTCAGGGGGGGACACATACAAGCACAGACACGGAACAGATGCCAGACTGGTCCGTAGCAAAAGGGAAGTTGAGAGTAGTTGTATTCATTCGAGGCCCCGGAGGTGGAGCGGCTTCTCCCTGGCCCGCCCGTCGTCGCTGAAAGGGACTTAGTGTAGTCACGTGGGCGGTCAGGTGTTTTTCCAGTAGACCTCAACACGGCTACTGTAAATTATTTACACTACTACTACTGTCTATCAAGGTATATAATATAACTGTGTGCTGTTCTTGCTCTTGACAGGATGCTCTACTGGCAGCCGTCTTGAGTGCTGTATTATCCATCAGCATGTAGCTCTGATTGCGCACAGCTGCCGGATAACTGCATCCAGAAAACACCAATCACTTCTACTTCACCAATGATACCAGATTGATCAGTTTACGCCACTGCTCAGGCACAATGACTGACGTGGAGATGTGCAATGTGGACGACGATGACATTTCGGTTACCTCCACCGTGTCCAGTGAGCAAGAATCGGAGTATGAAGTCGAAACCATCTTAACGGAACGAACTCAGGATGATCAGCCCATGTACCTGGTCAAATGGGCGGGATATCCAATTGAACGCGCCACCTGGGAACCTGCTGAGTCTTTTTTCAACAATGAAACCTTTTTGGACTGGAAAAAGAAGAGAAGGGCCATCGCAGAGGGGAAGCAACCCGAGTTTGATCTGGTCAGCTTTGAAAACCATCTGATTGCCTTGGAGGATGCACGAGAGAAGCGTGGACGCAGTCGCGAGGCCAAGAGGAGACGGTTAGGCCTGTCCCGCGAGCAAACAGATGCTAGGAAAAAGCAACGCGTTGACGGCGCAGCCTCGCCTACTTCCTCAAACCACCCTTCTCTGAACAACTCAGACTCAGGACCCACAAGAATAAATCCTCCATCTCATCCTACCACCGTGAGACACATCCCACCGAAACCTCCTATGGTTTTGTTTGGCAGTGGTCAGAACCGGCATGGACCATGGATGGCAGCTCGCAACAAAAACAGAAAGCCCGATGATCCGGATAAGCAATTTAGTAACCTTTCAACCAAATGGCGTTTTGAAAAGGCCAAAGGCTATGAACCACCTCCCGACATCAACCAGCTCGAGCTCATTCGTCCATCGGATTGGCCTGCGCGAACAGGTGCGCCTGTTGCTACCCCTAAGGTTGCGGACCATCTAGTTGAATCTCCCATAGGGAGCTCTCCTGTGGCCTCGCCAGTAGAAAGAAACAACTCTTTCTCGGATAGGTATCGTCCACCCGGTCCGGCAGCAGGTCCTCGCCGTCAGCTTACGTCGGACTTGTGTAGACCAGAATCATCCCCGCCAAGGGCTCCACGTATACCTGAAAGAAATACATTCCGTGACTCATGGAGACTGGAATCCCCTCGAACATGGCGCTCGCCTTTGCTGGAAAGACAAGGTTCACAAGATCCATGGAGAGCCAGTTCAGTTCACGCGCGAGATGCCTTCAACTCCGAAAGATCGGCACCCGATTCACGGAGGCCAGAGTTTACCTTCTCACGAGACCGTCCTGGCACTCCTGATGAACGAAATCCTTCTCAATTACAAATAGAAAATGACGGCGTTTGCAGGCAATGGTTCAATGAAGAGCTAATACCACCACTTCCTCCAAGACGGCCAATGGCAATCAAAGGTGCCAACTTCCGTCGGGCCAGGGATGAATACTCTCAAACCAGGTTTTGGAACCATGGCGAGGTTTTCGTCAACATGTATCTCGGACCAGAGAAAAGGTTTATAGGACCGGTTCGACTGTGCGGGTTGGGCCCCATGTCAAGGTCCAGGGTTATACAATCAAAGAAGGACAACAAGACAGATGTCTGGTTCCAACAGATCTGCACGCTCGACGAATACAGAGAGCTGTGCAACAGAGTAAGTGTGCCTATATAAATCATCCATAACAAACGAACAAGCAAGACTGATAATTGCATCATAGTCGAAAACCAACTTCCGGTACGATAACGGTTGGATCGAGGGGTACGATGATACGGAGCCAGATGTTTACAGGGCAGGACAGGCACTCCAACGGGGTAATTTTCTCGCGATAGCGTACCCCGACGAACCGACCTGGGGTAAAAACGTGCTACTTGCGTACTCGCCCTCTTCGCCAGATTTCGACTTCCTCCGCAATGACTTCAATTTTTCTCCGGATACGTTTCTTCATTTGACTGTTCGAAACCCTTTGGCATACCTGGGCAGACCGATGCCTCCGAACAGGGTTTTCCGAGAATTTCCTGCACGGATGACCGAACTGCAGGACAACGTCCCGAGCCCGACAGAACAAAAAGTCGAGAAAGACCTGCTAGAAGCCCAGACCGCCCAAGAACTGCAACTGCAGCTTCCTGCGGATGCAAGCAATCATGTCGAAACCCCCGTGCTTCCTCAAGAACAGCCCATGGAAACTGACGAGCTAGCATCTGTTCGGGAGAAAAATTCGGCCCAACAGCAAATCCAACAGCAGCAATTGTCCGTAGCGAATTTCGACGTAGATGACTACTTCAGCAATGTGTTCAAAATGACATTCGACGAGCTTGCGGCGAAGAATGACGTTGAGAAGGGGCGCGCTCCGGTTTTCTATTTGATGTGCCCACCAGAAAATAAATTGGCCCACGACGAATGCGGAATCATAGTTGAGTTTTTGAGAAAGCATGAAGCTGTGATCTTCTCCAGCCGTCTTAAGGAGGATTGGGAGCGTTTTGTTCGGACCATAAACCGTGGTGTTGTGCTGGTATGTTGTGCACTGAGCATTCTCTTTAATGTCACTAACGCTCGAACAGTTCCATGACAGCTTTGTCAATTATGATACCATGTTTAGTCTTCGTGGCCTTATACAAAAACCCTTTACTTTCTGGTCTTTTTCCCTAACCGGAATAGGAGAGGGCGACAACAAGACTTACTTCCAGCGGCTCTTCCCCCATGGCGGGGTCATTCTCTTAACGGAAGACTTTATGGTCCGTGAACCAGATGCCACAGTCATCATCCTTGCTTGGTTCTACGACTGGACGAAGAAAAAGTTTCCTGGAAGCTGGAAGATGATGCTACGTCCTAATGTCCTCGGATGGCTCTTGAAGCAGCCAGAGCCTGCGGAAAAGCAACGGCAGGGAGTGTAAGTGCACCAGCCCCTTTTTATATCACATTGAACTAACCGGAATACAGCTGGTTAGCAATGTATAGCCTAATCGCCCAACTCAGCACCACCGACAACGGTACCTTCCTTACCTACTCTGAACCCCTCGACGGCATCCACGACGACTTTCCTGAAAACCGCGTCATCTCACCACCCGCCATCCCCCTCTACGGCACCCGCACCGAAGAAAACACCAGGGGTCTGGTCACGCAAGAACAACGCGACACGAACCACCTAGCTGAATTCTTCGCCGGCTGGGCGCTCGTTAATAGTCATCGCTTTAGACGATTTACGATAATCACGACGAGGCCATTGAAGAGCTGGAATTTGTGGAATCATGTTGATGTTAAGGAGACAGCGATGGACTTTTTCAAGGCGTATGGGGTTGATTATCGGACGTATTGGAGTCAGTTGAAGAGGAAGGCTTCGTCGTCATATTCGAAGGACAAGGACAAGGAAAAGGAAAAGAAGCAAGGTGCAGAATCTCCGAGTAAATAAAAGAAGCGGGGTGCGGATCCGCCGAGTAAATATAATGCGGCTAAGATGGAGTCTGCGCAGGATCCGGTGTAATTTTAAATATGCTGCCTCTGTACAAACTAGTGTGGCTTGTGCGATGAAAGTTGGATCTATTATGTTCATTTTCGATTTGCTCAAATATACCCTGTTTTGGTTCTGACTGACTTTATTCCACTATTGTTTACTTCTGTTCATTTCGTCTCGTTTTGTACATGGCGCTATGTGGATAGAATACTATTTGTATCTGGATTTGATAATAATAACTGTATTTATAACTATAGTTTTACAATGAACTTATCGACAAGAAACGATCACAACAATAGACAAAAATTTAAGTAACCTGTGGACGCCCAGACTATACCCAAATGTGCCACCATTATAAATACCTGAATGTTAAATGCTAGGAATGACCGGAGGTCATTTCAATGCCAATATAATATTATACGCATCAAAACAGTCTATGAGCCATTAGGGCTCTCTGTGATCCCAGAAGCAGATGCGATTCTAGGCCAAGGGTGAAGATCAGGATCCCGAAGCGTGAGATTGTTCTTCGCGATAATTCGACGTGAAGTCAATCCCCTCCTTTGACTGAGCCTTTGCCTTAAATTCCTTGTCCTTCTTCTCTCGCTGAACCTTCTCTTCCCACTGACTCTCCTCTGTCGCAATCATCGAGTGGAACTTTCCACCCTGGCCGCGCGCCAGATAAATGGGCTTCTCTTCGCGGTCTGCGACGGCTTCCGTGACAAGCACGAATTTCACACTAGAGCCTGGCGCTTCGAACATCGCGTCGCTGAGGATCGTCTCCATTTCTGTACGGAGAGCGCGCGCCCCAGTTCCCATTTGGAAGGCGTTGGCGGCGACCTTGTGCAAAGCCAGGGTGGTGAAGCGGAGTTCGATGCCGGATAGCGAGAAGAGAGCGGTGTATTGTGCCAATAATGAGTTGCGGGGTTCAGTCAGGATGCGGACAAGGAGGGCTTGTGTTAGGGTGGCGAGGGCGGCTGTAACAGGTACACGACCTACTAATTCGGGGATGAAGCCATAGTTCTGTAAGTCGGTAGGGGTGACAAGGTCCAGCGAGTTGAAGTAGCTTGGTTCGCTATCAGGCGATGCGATTGAAGGTGGTGTAAAGAACGGAAGATGTTTCTTGTATAACTCTTCCTCCTCTGAGCCCGGCAGGATGGGAACGGGCTGGTTATTCCCTGAACCTGCTTCCCCGGGACGATCACCCGTGCTGGTTGCTGATCGAACGGGCTGTCCGAAACCAATCGAACCGCGTGATATCCGATCCATGATCACCTTGTGCAGACCAACGAACGCACCGGAGAATACGAACAGGATGTTATCTGTGCGTACGTTGTAAACCTCTCCCTTTGCTGGTTGGCCCCCCGAATTTGGAGGATTCCCAAGTGGACTGTTGGATGGGTAGGTATTTGGTGTGCCTCCAGTATGAGGAGAGTTGCGTTCTTGTTTCGCCTGGACCTGTACTGTTGTGCCCTCGATGATCTTCAAAAGGGCCTGCTGCGCACCCTCCCCACTAACATCCTTGCCATGGCTGACCTTGGCTGCTGCAAGCTTGTCCACTTCATCTAGTACAATTATACCACGCTCTGCTTGCTCAACATTATAATTGGAGGCCGCTAATAGCCTGTGGACGCACGCCTCGGCGTCCTCTCCGATATAACCGGCTTGGGTGATCGACGTGCAGTCGGAGATGCTAAAAGGGACAGAAAGCACTCTAGCCAGCGTCTTTGCCATCAATGTCTTTCCTACACCAGATGGACCCATGAGGAGGATGTTGGACTTTTCGAGTTGTAGCGGTGCCGTATCGACGAGCTCCGGTAGGTCTGACGGAGAAGACGATTGGTTCCGGTTCGTAGACACGCGAACTGTTCGGTTTTGACCGGGAAATTCATCTGATAAAATCGCATATGTTAGCTGTGCACGTGCTAGTCTCGATTTTACTCAGGCAAACACACCCTCTACCGGGTGGCCCTCAAGAGCTTCTCTCCGCTCACGTTTGGCTTGTTCCTCCTCGGCTTCCTCTCCTCGTCGTTGCAATTCTTGCACGCGCTGGTAGTGATTGTATACAGCAACACTGAGTATCTTCTTCGCACGATCCTGTCCCACAACGAACTGGTCGAGATACTGCTTCAATACTCGCGGCGTGATTCGGGGAGCTCCGAAAGCCGGAGTCGCGCCCAGGGGACCAGCTGTGGGAAGCCCGGGCTCATAGCTGCTAGACCATGACTGGTTTCCGAAATCTGACCGGTTAAACTGCGAGAATCTGGGAAATGAGATAGAACAGCTGGTGAAATCCCGTCGAGCTGCGCTGTATACTGCAGGCCGATAGCGGAGGACGCTATCGCAACGCAACTTGAGGGCGTGCGAAGAGGCACGGGTTCGTAGGGGCAGCCGCAGCATGGCCGGGCGCCTGTACTATCGATAGACTAGAAGAAAAGAAGGTGAAAAGCGTTAAGAAAGAAGGAAGGTGGTGAAACAGGGAATGAAGTCAGAGTAGTGGCTCCGATCCGATTGTTGTCATCTGATGAGATAAGATGGACAGCTTTCCCCGCAGCACGTGACATCTTATCACGAGATCTCCTCATCTCGACGGCAGCATTGAAGAGGGCCATTGCTGTGGTTTGCCGGTTATGATCATGGTCCTTTGGTCAGATACAGTAGTCAGGAGTCATAGACATTTGTCCTCTCCAGCCGGTAGTCTCTCAGGAGTAAAAGCATCGTACTGATGAGTTCTAGACACGCTGTTCTGCAGCGTGTGTTGAATTGAGTCGATGATGCTGCATCCCTCTGCCTGTTCGCTATAATTGATGATATAGTAGTGTTCGTTCCATGTGTGTCGATTGTGCTGTTGGCATTGCTCGTTTTGCTTTTAGCCACCGGAGACCAGCGATATATGTATGCTCTACGGAGTACGGAGTACCCCAAGCAACATCACGACCTCTGCACCTGCCAACTAAACCGCGGTGTGAAACCACTACAAATAAACGGCGTAGTCAAATCTTCCTTAAATATATGGCACGGCGATAATTCGTTGTTTCTGACCCCCGATACAATGTGTAAAGCACGAGCCGGCATCTGCCTCCCGGTCTCCAAATAGTGCGATTTTCGTGCATTACCCGGCGTATGTACGGAGTACCTCGCAGGATAAGTACATACTCGTGAGGAGTAAATGCAAAGTAAGCGTACTATTTCGTACATGAAATGCATCCTGAGCGGAGACTCTGCGGCCGTACGGATGACCAAATGAAACAGAAGCAGCTCCGCCGATTGTTTGCTGTAAGGAGAAGGTGGGCAAAACGGGGAGAATGGGTCAATGCCCGGTAAAGTCTCGGAGAATTAATCATAGACATGCATTGCATGATATTTTGGATGGTTCTGACATTTCTTATCTCAAACCATGCGCTATTGATCGTATGATATTGGTATTGATACAGACAATCAACTCTACTTGATTGTCGTTTCACTATCCTTCTGACCTGAGGATTGTGAAGTAGGCCGGTATTTAATCCTCATGGCCTGAGACTATGGCTCAGCGGTCCGGGAATAACCCGACAACTGTAAACACTGGATGGCTGTCGTACATGCCGAGATGCCCAAGACATGATAGAGGGCGCATGACAGCGTAGCCTTTGCAACTATACGAGATGCCCAGGCAGTCTGATATATCAGACATACCAGGGGGCAACCTAAACTATTATGGCGATTTGCAGGAATACATCTCACCAGCACCGCCGCTAGTTGTTTATTTGTTTGCTTTGAACACGGGCTGCTGCTCCATGGTCTGCGAGATAAAGCTGCGCAGAGCTGCCCATCTGTTCGTGGTCCCATTTGTCTCCTCTGTAGCTGTACTACTAGCCCCCTCTGTTGTGGTTGGTGCTACTGCTTCCTGGGCAGTGTCCATGGCCGTCATCTGCGCCATGTTTCTGGCAAACCGGTCGCGTTCCAACTTCTCCAGGTTCTGTCTGCGCTTCTCCGCTCCTGGTTTATGCTTCAACGTCTTTTGCTTGATGATGTTGACTTGACTATTGGGATCCTGCTGGTCTTCTTGGGTATCTGCGTCGGGGAGCGCGTCGGCCAGAGAATTCAATGTTGCAAGTTTCTTCGACGCGCGTCGCTTTTTGGGGGCCTTCTTCGAATTCTTTTCGATCTTGGAGATGAAACTGGAATGCTTGATAGTGCGCTTGTCCTTCTTCGAGGTGCGAAATTCGTCGCCAAAGAGACCGTCGTTGGACTTGGTCGAGGGAACCGCCCCTCGACCACTGGTCTGCTTCTTCATTATACTAGGCGCCTTTTGATGCGACATTATTAGCAACGTCCTCATCGTGATAAGACCATCACGGCGAAACTTACCATATTATGCGTACCAGCCACCTTCCGATTCAGACACTTTTGAAATGTTACGGATCAGAGTGAACCGACAGATTTCGCAGCGGGTCCCGAACGAGTAATTTTAGCGAAGCCTCCCACTTACCGAAAACAGCATGACCCGAAATTCTGCCACTCCTACTGGCCACACTAGTCCCCAAGACAGACTAGCGGCCGTCCACTCGTGGAGCCGCTTACCTCACCGCTCGCATCCGGGCGTTTTCGTCATGTTTTCGTGGTTGGAGAAGTAGGGAAGAGGTGGGGAGAATCCATACAGTGGTCTATGAGGGAAAATGAGCCAACAACGGGGAGTCGCCCGTCGGGATTGACGTTATCAGCATCATCGGTGTCTGGTTTAGCTTTGATTACTGTGGTTCCGGCTAACCTGTGAGGACTCCGGTGTATCTTGGAATAACTACAGGTCCACATTCACGGGTATCAAACCCGCTACGGGCACTGTTGTTACATCATTGAAGCGCTTTTCCCTCAATTCTTTCCAGGACTTCCCTACTCTGCTCGATATTATCGTCCTTCTCATTTGTCAGAGTGGATGCAGTGCGCAATTAACCGGACAGCCATTCCTCTGTCGTGTGCCACCTTGAGCGCTGGCGGCGTTATTTTTCAACTGCCTCGGTCCCCCGTCTTTTCGTGCTCTCCACGTTTTCAAACTACTACCTCTGTAACTTTCTCTCGGATCAGTACTCGATCGTCCCAAACTCTCCCGCTACGATTTTCGCCGAAGCCAATCCTTCCGGGCCCGTTTAAATTACATCGCCCTGTCGCTCCGGCTCCATTCTCTTCCAACAACTCGTCCTTATCTCTTGAATCTGCACATACGTCGACCTTCAATATGAGTTCTGTTTCCCACTACCAGCGCAAGCACAAGGTGACCGTGGTCGGTTCCGGTAACTGGTATGCTCACTACAACAATTGAGACGGATCGCAGAAGAAGAAGTGGAATGCTAACTGAACCGTAGGGGCTGTGCCATCGCCAAGATCGTCGCTGAAAACACTGCTAGCAACCCCTCGCTCTTTGAGCAGGATGTCCAGATGTGGGTGTTCGAGGAGAAGGTTGAGATCCCCAAGGACTCTCGTCACTACGACCCTTCGTCGCCGTTGTGCCAGGGCCAGCAGAACTTGACCGAAGTGATCAACCAGACCCACGAGAACATCAAGTATCTCCCTGGTGTCAGTCTGCCGCACAACCTGAAGGCCAACCCCTCGATTGTGGATGCCGTCCAGGACAGCACCATCCTGGTCTTCAACCTGCCTCACCAGTTCATCGTCAGGACCTGCGAGCAGATCAAGGGCAAGATCTTGCCCTACGCCCGTGGTATCTCGTGTATCAAGGGTGTCGACGTGAACGAGGAGGGTGCTCACCTCTTCTCCGAGACCATTGGTAACACCCTGGGCATTTACTGCGGTGCCCTTTCGGGTGCCAACATTGCCAACGAGGTGGCTCGTGAGAAGTGGTCCGAGTCGACCATTGGCTACGACACCCCGCATCTGGACTCCAAGGCCCCCGCCAGCTCTGTCGATTCCACCGCGGACACTGTGCACTTTGAGCACAAGGACGTCTCCGGTCAATACTCCAAGACCAAGCTCCAGCCCTTGCCCAACGAGTTCCCCCCTGTTGACCACGAGACTCTCAAGACTCTCTTCCACCGTCCCTACTTCCACATCCGTGTGAACAGCGATGTTGCCGGTGTTTCTCTCGCAGGTGCTCTGAAGAACATCGTCGCTCTTGCTGCCGGATGGGTTGACGGTCTGGGCTGGGGTGACAACGCCAAGGCTGCCATCATGCGTGTTGGTCTTTTGGAGATGGTCAAGTTTGGTGAGCGGTTCTTCGGTGCCACCATCGACAACCGGACGTTTACCGACGAGAGCGCGGGTGTTGCCGATCTCATCACCAGCTGCAGTTCTGGCCGTAACTTCCGTTGCGCCAAGCTCAGCGTGCAGAGGAAGCAGCACATCAGCGAGATCGAGAAGACCGAGCTCAACGGCCAGTCGCTCCAGGGAACCCTGACTGCCATCGAGGTCAACCATTTCCTCAAGAAGCAGGGCTCGGAGTCTGACTTCCCCTTGTTCACAGCCTGCTACCGTAAGTCACCCAATGCACTTTCCCCAAATACGACACATGCTAACTACTTGTAGACATCCTCCAGGGTACTATGCAGCCGGAGGTTATTCCTTCGTACATTGAGCGGTAAATTGAAATTCCAGCCGTTTCTTTCTCTTTTTGTTTTTGCTTTTGTTAATTCAGGCGACCTTTTCCTTCCATTTTCGTTTTCTACAGCAAACCTCAAGCGGAATCACAAAAGCCGAACGGAACCAGTGGGGTGAACTCCAGATTATAGAGCGGTTCGCAGTTATCATCATGATGTCGAAATGTCGTATTCCCTTTTTCCGTTTTTGTCATTTCTAGAACGTGTCGGCAGGCTTTGGGACCGGGCATGGATCACGTTACGTACATAAACAACAATAGATGGATGAAATGATTAGACTCGCAGAACTTGGGTTCCACGCGTGGTCTACCATGGTTACTTTGATGGCACGCTTTCGATCCGGCATTTGTTTCCTCGGATCTCGAACATTTCGTCCCAATGAATCATAGCTATCGTCCGGTTTCATGCGGTCTGCTGGTCATCCATACCATTGTTATCGCATGCATAGTTATCTTGAGAATCGGACAGATGGCAGTGTAGTCACCTGGTGAGCTGCACTACCAGCATCTACTAACCTGCCCTCGTAGGACCGCTTGTAGGATTGCTGGAGCTTTCTGCAGGACCAACGGCCAGGACGGAATTCCGGTACGAGGTGTACCCCAATCTCCACTTCCGTCTAGTTTCGGAGATAGCTTTCGACACCCCGCATTATGGTATTTTTTTATCATATCCTCGTCCCGACTGCCAGAGGCTTTGGGGTTTCAATCGGCTGGCGAAAGACTTCACCCGACTCTACTGCAGCATTCGGGACTGAAAGCGACCCGGGAGATCCCTTTTTGAACCTGCATTCCATTTGCTGGCCGTCCGGAAAAGCGTATTTCCCAGCTGTGCGAAGAATCCGGAGGCCGACACACATAAGTACCTGCTTCGACCGTGTTCATCACCTAAGGAATGGACGAAATTGACGGCGAGAATTTGGGTTGTGGAATATGCAATTATTGTTTGAAGGTTGGACAGTGATGTGCTTGTAGTTATTTCAGCCCAAAACATGTGATACTGTATGTTCTGCGTAGTACATACACTCTCCGTACCCCGTACGATTCATAGACAATTGTACCGCGAAGACAGACCAGATGCAATATGACCGCATAATGCAGCTATATTACTCTCCCAGGCACAGTACAGAGTACATCTTTTGAGTATCTCACCCACAGTTCGTACTTCTGCTCCCCCAGATATGTATTTAGAAGCTTAGTCCAAGAAAGAATGCAATTCAAGTGCTTTATCTCCAGGTTAACTTCTGATATTGCTGAAACAACCAACACACCGTCTCTCCGCTGACTCAGCGATGCACAACTCATCGCGTCTAACTTTTTGGGGATCAGGTGGACGAAGAAATTCTCGTAGCATGTACCTCATCTGCCTCACTTTACCAGGGCAGCAGTTGCTCTTGCATTCTCATTTTGTCCAGCCACTTAAGACACCGACATTCACTCTGTGCTTCTAACCTCAACTGTTATCCGCCCCTGACGTCAGTTCTGCTGTGAACGCAAGCCCAAGCCTACTCTCTCTGGAAGAGATCGTCCCGCCTCTCATGCTGTGATAAAGAAAGAGAAAAGGCAACACCACGATAAGGAGATCAATTCCATTGCGAACTCCGAAGAACCGGTTCACGCCGTGCGTGATACCTGATGTCCCTCGCCGAATCCGCCGCGACGGCGGTGCATGTTATCGCGACGAGTACGGCCACCAACCAGCCGGGGGGTGTGCATGAGCTGTGGCCGGATCAGACGAAAAGTCAGCGGGATCTGTATACGCAATTGGTGATAAGTAGTGTATTGGGATTGAGTGCTTTTCTGGCGTTTTGTGTATGTTGGTTCTTTTGAAAGGAGAGGATGATAAGATGCTAATGAATTAGGTGCTACGGCCAAGATGGACGGAGTTGTATGCGGCTCGAAGACGGCAGCGCAATTCTGCGTCTCATTTGCCGGAATTGCCTGATAGCTTTTTCGGTTGGATACCGGTTCTCTATCGGATTACGGATGAGCAAGTGTTGGAATCTGCGGGTATGGATGCTTATGTGGTGAGTGCCTTTAATACCAAGTCTTACGGAGCACGTCTGTCTAATCAGAATTCATCGTGCAGTTCTTATCATTTTTCAAATTTGCTATCCGCTTCTTGTCGACCCTCTTCGTTTTCGCCGTCGCGATTATCCTCCCAATTCACTATACATACGGTGGCAAGAAAGGTATCCCAGGGTCAGACAATGGAGATGGGGGAGATGACAATAAAAAAAAGGTGCTCTCTCCGAATTACCTGTCGATGTACGTGATTTTCGCGTACATCTTCAGCGGGTTGGCAGTCTACTTGCTCCTGCAAGAAACGAACAAAGTCATTCGCACCCGTCAGAGGTACCTTGGAAGTCAGACCAGCACCACGGATCGGACGATTCGTCTCTCAGGCATCCCGAAGGAAATGAGATCGGAAGACAATATCAAGGAGTTTATCGAGGGCCTACAAGTTGGGAAGGTCGAAAATGTCACTCTTTGCCGTGACTGGCGTGAACTGGATGGCTTGATCGACGAGCGACTTTGCGTACTGCGGAACCTCGAACGGTCGTGGACGAAATACCTGGGGTACAAACGACCAAGCAGAGCTAATGGGGACGTTATGCCCATGACATGGCAACAGGCCGGTGGCTCCAGCCTGGTCCTAGATGATGACAATGAGCGGACCCAACTTCTGCCGGACAGTGCTCGAGAACGCGCTGCCCACAGGAAGCGTCCGACAGTGCGTATCTGGTATGGACCGCTGAACCTGCGCTACCGGAATATCGATGCAATTGATTACTTTGAAGAAAAGCTGCGGAATTTGGACGATACGATTCTGACTGCTCGTCGGAAGAAGTATACGCCAACTGGATTGGCGTTCGTGACGATGGAGTCTATTGCTGCTTCTCAGATGGTTGTTCAGGCGACCCTCGATCCCCATCCGATGCAGCTTTTTGCCAGACTTGCTCCTGCCCCAGCCGATGTCGTTTGGAGGAATACGTATGTGTCGCGTGCCAGACGGATGATGCAGTCATGGTCAATCACTATAGCCATCGCATTCTTCACAGTTTTCTGGTCGGTGCTTTTGATTCCCGTCGCCTATTTGCTGCAATTGGAGACTCTGCACAAGGTGTTCCCTCAGCTGGCGGATGCCCTTGCTGAAAACCCGATAGCCAAGTCGCTGGTCCAGACCGGTCTTCCTACCTTGGCTTTGTCGCTATTGACGATTGCTGTGCCGTATTTGTATACCTGGCTCTCTCATCACCAGGGTATGATGTCTGGCGGAGATATTGAGCTGTCGGTGATTTCGAAGAACTTTTTCTTCTCATTCTTCAACCTGTTCCTCGTCTTTACTGTCTTCGGTACTGCGTCGACTTTTTACGGCTTCTGGGAGAATCTGCGTGATGCCTTCAAAGACGCAACGACCATTGCTTTTGCATTAGCCAGGTCCTTAGAATCATTTGCCCCGTTCTATATCAATTTCTTAGCGCTGCAGAGCTTGGGTCTATTTCCATTTCGGCTTCTCGAATTTGGCAGCGTTGCTATGTACCCGATCAATTTCTTCTATGCAAAGACGCCACGGGAGTACGCCGAACTGACGACGCCACCGACGTTCAGCTACGGCTTCTCCATTCCACAGACGATTTTCATTCTGATAATTTGCGTGGTATACAGTGTTTTCCCCAGCTCGTGGCTCATTTGTCTTTTCGGACTGGTATACTTCACCCTTGGCAAATTTATTTACAAATACCAGCTTCTCTACGCAATGGACCACCAGCAACATTCCACTGGCCGCGCTTGGCCCATGATCTGCAGTCGTGTATTCATGGGCTTGATGGTCTTTCAGCTCGCGGTGATTGGTGTGCTCGCCTTAAGTAAAGCCGTCACTCGCTCCTTGCTCCTCGTGCCTTTGCTCGGTGCAACTGTCTGGTTCTCTTACTGGTTCAGCCGCTCCTACGAGCCGCTCATGAAGTTCATCGCCCTGAAAAGTATCGACCGAAACCGCCCAGGTGGCGGGGATATCTCTCCCTCGCCATCAGCGACTTTCTCCCCTCCGTCGGGTCTTGAGCGTGATGCACTTCCTATACGTGTTGGCGGGCAGGAGCTGGGGTTGAAATTGAGTAAATATGTGAACCCGAGTTTGATCCTGCCACTGCATGATGCGTGGCTGCCAGGACGGAGTGCGGCGCCGAATTTTTCGGGGGCTTTTGCGGGTTATGAGGCGATGAACGGAAGTGGTGTATCCGTTTGATGGCTTGTGTGCATAATTCAAGCGGACTTCGTTCATATCGTTCCCGTCCTCTTGTTATGTTTTCTTTCCTTTCCCTTCCACCGAGTCCCTTGGCTTGACATGATGTTACAGCGTTGATTGACGATATACGACCACGACTACGATACCACCTTGCTCTTTGATATCTTGCATTCGTTCAATGTTATGCTTGGGTTGTTCTGGATAGACGTAGTGATGCCGCTATGTCCCTGTTAGTTCTCGGCTTAGACTGGTATGAACCGACTTTATTCCAAGTAAAATAGTCTTACAAATTGGACAATTACAAAGATCCGTCTTGCGTAGCATAAACATTTAGTTATCTGACCTAGAATTGGTGCCTCGTTATTCAGGCACTGTATAACATCAGCCTCCCATTCACCAGCACGACATCCAACGCCCAACGGCAAAAAAGCCAAAGCCCAGAGCAGACAGCAACAAACAACAGCAAATGCGATCCTTCAACACGCACTACTGCAACCTTCCTGCATCCGGCTCTAACTCTGTCGTCAGTCCGTATCCGACCGTTTCCTTTCGTCGCATCCCTCGGCTATACCTATTTTGTTATTGACTGGGATTAAAGCAGAGAGCTATCTGATTTGCCGGAGCGCATGTCCCTGCTGGCCTGGGTTGGTCTGAACGCCGGGATGGCATAAGAACCTAAGTCTGATGTGGATTATTTGTAGTGCTAGAAAATTCCCGTTGCGGTTGATTGATCCCGGATGGACCATTCCGTCCCGCTAAACCATCGGCATTCTGCACGCACAGTTCCGTATTGCAGAAGGAATAAATGGACCACAAGATGGGCAATAAAAAGGAAGCAGGAGTTTAATCATCGCGCAGAATCTTTCCTCTTGCCGTACGAATTTGCATTCAGAACCAATGATGGATGACCGGATATGTCAAGTCTGGGTCTGGTTCTCGCCGGTGGATCGACCAACGCATTTGGACGAATGATGGAGAATTCTAGAGACATTGACCCTGAGAATGGGCGTCATTCTCGTCCCTGGCCCCGGGACGTCGACGCCACGGCGCCACGGATGGAGATGATGGTTCGGTGCAGAAGTCGGAGGCAAATTGAAGAGACGGGAGGACAAAGAAAGACTGCATATTCTTCTCTTCTGCTCTCCTCATGCACCCGACTTGATCAGATTCCTTTCTTCATTAGTCCCGCTTCTAGCGGTGAAGCGTCTACTTCTCCAATTTCCATTCTTTCGTTCTATCCAATCGCTCTCTGATAGAGGCACTGGCACATCGACCGTGTGCATCTGCATTGCTACTTGTCCGGCGTGCACTACGCTGCTTTGCTCCATTCTTTGGCAAGCAGAGTACCCGCTGGCCAACTCATCGAAAGAGGCCTGAACAAATCAGTAATTAGAAAGGAATTGAGGTAACAACGCCTCCCCGAAACAATGGAATAGCCACCACCACAATTCCATCATCCCATGCTGCAGATCGGCATCCGAGCAGCGCTGAATGCTTTCCTTTCTCACAATCTCCACATACTTTCTGGCTTGATTTCAGCTGATCGTCTTTTCGTGAAGTTTCCATCCACTTTACCCCATGATTCAGTTGATCCTCTCCGTAGTCCGTTCTTCCGCTCTCGCTACTCCACAGTCTGACGTTACCGGTCTGTCTACTCGCTTCGCTTCGCTTTACAACAGCCAACCTACCTGTATTCTGTGTATACAGTTTGATCAAAACGACACAATTCGAATGTGTTGAACCGATCAACTGCATATGTTAACTCTGCTTCGATCACACTCACAATGCCGTCCCTGTGCCCCCCGCATCCCGGACTAGGCTGTATGCCTGAAAAAGGCTTCAGCTGGAACGAATCGACAGTGAGTGATTCGGCATCGGATTCGTCTGAAACGTCTAACGCAGTCGACTCTCGCGCAACGCCGGGGATCCCTCCGGCAGTGGCCAAACGGTTGCTCGATCTCGTTCCACCCCAGACCCGTTCTTCCCTGCGCTTGACATGCAAGTCGTGGTCTCGTGCCGTTGATACGGCGAAGCCCGTTACCAGACCCGCTGGGAATGTAGTCCCGCCTGAGGTTCTGCTGCAGATCTTCTACATGTTAAATCCTCGGGACTTTGATAATGCCCGGCGGATTTGCTCGCAATGGATGCGGATTAGTTTAGATCAGAATCTACTGGAGAGTATGTTGAAGAAGGCAGGTTGGTGGGATGCATGGCAGCATGATTTTCAGATGCAGCGTCCTCCTGCTTCAGCTGCGGAAGAGGAGAGTCTGGTGTGGAGGATGAGCAAGCGGTTCTCGACCGAGTGTCTGTTATCCGGCCGGAAACTGAACGTCGAGAAGCCTGGGTTCTTGACCACTGGCGTTATCGATTTTTCCAAACTCTCTCAACATCCTGCACAGAGTGTGCGAAGCGCGCAGGGTCCGTCTGAGGCAACCGATTATTTTAGCAGGGATGCTACGACTTCATCGAAATTCAATGTTAGCACCTGCGGCAACTATTTGCTGGTTACGTCCGGCTGCGTGATTTATGTCTACCGTTTGCTCGCCAAGAAGGCTGGCCTTTTGGAGTCAATGTCGTTGGCAGACGTTAGCGATAGGGATATCACGCTTGTCGCTAGCATTCCTTGTCCGGATGGAGTGGTTTCTGCTACAATTGACACCAGTGCACCCAAGTTTGTCATTGCTGCATTGCTACGTGATCGCGTCGGAATGGTCTGCGACTTGGTAACGCCTGAGAACCAGGAGGCTGTGGACAAGTCTGTACAAAATGACACGATTGATGTCTCGCAACACTACTACCACGATGTGTGTTCCCTGGAAGATCCACCCCGCAGCGTGTCCATCTGCCCCGGCCGTCGCTGCATCGCGTTCGGTGGTGGCACAGGTATCGAATTGCGCTGGGTCGACGAAGTATCCAAGCAAGACTGCAAAAAACACTTTCCCATGACTCAACCATCAGAAATCCTCCACTTCCTTCCCAACCGCGCCGACACCCCCGAAGAGCTCCGCCTCGTCTCCTCCTTAGCCGATCCCGGAGTGCCAGCCTGCCAATGCTACAGCAAGACCAAACAACCCTGCCAACTCCACCTAGAAGCAGACGTCCACTCCTTAACTAGCCTCGACCCCCGCGACAAGCGCAACCTCTCCCTCATCCGTGCAACGCATTGTCACCACTACCGCGCTATCCCGATAAACGACGGTTTGCACATCCTCTTCATCGAACCGCGCACGGGGTTCCTCTGCATAGGCTCTGACTCGCCTATCGGCGGTCCTTCAAGTCTGACCCGCGCCCTCGTCTGCGCACCCCCATTCAATCACGAACACCCTGAAACAGTTCCCACGCCCACCGTCTTCGCAGCCGGCTCAGACCTCTCCTGGGGTCTTCGGGTCGTCGCAGCCTACAAAGACCGTCTAGTTCTCTACTCCGTCCCCCTCGACGTATTCAACGTCATTCGCAAAGAACGCGAAGTCCAATCGCTAGGTGTAATGGGCGACTCCGACCTCGCACGCGACTGGTTCCTAGACGGTGAACGCTCCTCCAAGCGACGGGGTAGTCTCATCCCTAACCAGAATGGTGACTGGGAGTTTTTGTTGAGCGTATCCTACCGCCCTACGGCAATGATGTGGCCGCTCAAGATATACGGGAAGGAAATCGGGCGGATGGAAAACGTCGTCGAACTCGCATTGCAGTCGTCGCATGGTGGTGCGAGGGTATGGGCATTCGGAGCGTCTGGTGAGACTAATATCATCGACGTGGATACTTTCACATCCCCCACACAAAGGCCAGCAGACGTACCCTGCAAGTCCCTCTCCATCGACGCAGACGGCAGCGTCGAGAATGCGCAATTCGTCAATCGATCCGAGGATTCGGGATTGTTCTCGCCACGATCACCCCGGTCGGAGGTTTTGAATGACTTTAGAGGTCAGCATTCGACTGCTGCACCGCCGCATCATGCACTGGCGGGTTTGAATATGGATCAAGCAACTACCCAGTCTGCTACTCAGACAGCTGGCGCGGTTTCGCGACGGCGTCCGTCATACGCGGCGTGTATTGTTGGGTTTAATATTCCTGAACTTGGGGCGAGGGAGGGAAGGTGGGTTGAGAATGAAGCTTGACGATGATGTTTAGGACGTTTGGTATATAGTACGGCGCAGATTGTTTAGATCCTTTTTTTGTTCATTTTAGTATGCTACAAGTGTGGCAGGCTGTCTGCTCTCTGATTTTGTTTATATTTTGAATACCCCATGGTTTACTTTGTTTGATTTGTTCGGTATAGTGCAATTGGACCCCACTTTGTTTGTACTGCAGTACATATGGTGTCTCTTGGGGAATACGGCATCACGAATCATGAAATATCCAATTATCTATCCCGTACTCAATCTCCAAAACCATAGTTGAACATTCATAACTTTTCCCAACCAAGCGTTCAGACATTATTCGTAGACTCCAGTAAAGAGAACACGCACGGCTCATTAGAAGAAATAAACGACAAACCGAAAACAAAACACACGAGAATCGCTAGCTTATTTACCAGTCAATTTCTGTCTGCGAGTGCGAACGGCCTGTGCGAGGTTCTCGAGCGTAGACTCGGTGTCTTCCCAGCCGATGCAGGCGTCGGTGATACTGACGCCGTACTTGAGGCCAGACTTGCCCTCAGCGGGGACCTTCTGGCTGCCTGTGGGTTGTTAGCATATAGTCTTTGGCGATGATGTTGGGGTACGTACCCTCGTTGATGTTGCTCTCGATCATAACACCCATGATAGCAGTCTCACCGGCGGCAATCTGCTCGCCAAGAACAGCAGCGACCTTGGGCTGGTTCTTGTGGTTTTTCTCAGAGTTACCGTGGCTGCAGTCGACCATGAGACGGGCGGGGAGACCCTTGGCTTCAAGCTTCTTCTTGGCGTCCTGGATGCTCGCAGCGTCGTAGTTGGTACCTTTCTTGCCTCCGCGCAGAATGACGAAGCAGTCCGGGTTACCCACGGTGCCGACGATGGCGGCGACACCAGGCTTGGTGACGGAAAGGAAGTGGTGGGGGTTCTTGACGGAGCCGATCGCGTCGACAGCGACGTCCAGAGTGCCGTCCGTGCCGTTCTTGAAGCCGACGGGGAAGGACAGACCAGAAGCCAATTCACGGTGGACCTGGGACTCGGTCGTGCGAGCACCAACAGCACCAACGGACAGACAGTCAGCCAGGAACTGAGGCGAGATGGTATCCAGCATTTCGCTAGCGATAGGCATGCCCTTGTTGGTCAAGTCAACGAACATCTGGCGCGACGTGCGCAGACCCTTGTTAATCTTGAAGCTGTTGTCGAGATCCGGGTCGTTGATAAGGCCCTTCCAGCCGACAGTGGTACGCGGCTTCTCGAGGTACGAGCGCATCACAATCAACAACTCATCCTTGTATTTCTCCTTCAGCTTCAGAAGCTTGTCGCAGTATTCGAGGGCCATGGCGGGGTCGTGGATGGAGCAGGGTCCGATGACGACAAGGAGACGGTGCTTATCGGTGTCTGTGCCCTGGACGACGGCAATGGACTCCTCACGGCCTTGCATGACCGTCTGACGCGAGGACTCTGTCAATGCGATCTCATGCTGCAGGAGGTTGGGAGGAGTCAGAGGGTTGTATCCGCGGACTAGCGCTGTCAGCTATTGAACTGCAATTAAAGAGTATCAGAGAATACGCACTGCGTGAGTCTTCCAGATGGCTCTGGTTGCCCACATTGGGGTTCTCAATGAAGAACTGTGCAATTGAGTCAGTATCCAGAGGAGCAATTGGCGATTTTGTCATTGACTCACAGACATAGCGGCGGGGTTGAGATAGGCGTTGATAGAGGGGGATTAACAAAGAGACAACAGTGGCGGAGCGATGGTTTATATAGCCAGAAGAATTAGGGATTTACAGAATATTTTGAAGGAGACAAAGAATAAAAAAATGAGGAAAAGACTTGAAAGGAGTATCAGAGACGTCGTTTGCAACTTTTTGGAGAGTTGCGATTTCGGGCCGACGAGTCATAGTCCACCAATCGGTCATCATGCACGTGATTTCGGTGAGCCGCGGAGCCTATCAATAGAACAAGCCCTAAGGTGAATGATTTACTATTCGCTGCCAGAGAATCTAGTCTCTGTTTGCTACTAGAATTTTGATCTGTTATGGAAAAAAAGCAGAAAGCAAATGTGTTGTCAGAAAAACCTGTTTCAACTACCATCTTCCTAAAGCTACGGATATGACCCCAAAAATGACTATACCAAGCTCGTTTTGCTGCGACAATTAGCCATCGCTCGTATGCAGGAAACGACCGGATTACCTTGATTGTGCAGAATCAGAGGCGCATAGTCCCCGCTAAAATGTTTATTTTTTGTAATGAGAAGTCTTCTTTTGCAGGCCTACACTCGTCCTGGCATCGTGTTTATATGTATCTCCTGAAGTTGGTGGCGATCTATGATTGTCAACGACGCAGATCCAAAAGAACAAAATAATCCACACTTCATAGTATAGCGGCACCGGGCCAGTGGTGTGCCTGGCGGTTGATCAATCAACTCGCTTTTCAATTGCCACCTGCACTGAAGTAACCCTTTCATCTCCCGGTCCATCAATAGCGAACTGTTTGTGATCAAAGCCCTCTCCTACCTGCCAATTGAGCCCAGAAGTAACTTCCTTTTTACCATTGTAGTGGAAGTATAAGATATACATCGTGTTCCTGGAAATACTAATGTCAACCTGTGTCAGAGAGGAAAGACGACTTCCGTCCTCATCGCCGAAAAGGTGCCATGCAAAGGGCCGGTAGCCCTCGGCCAGAGGGTCAAGCCAGTATACTAAGCTGTCGCTGCAATGAAGCTTTCTGGTGGCTTATTTAAAAGCCACGATGCGTTCTGCACGATTTAGTCTGTCCATGTCGCGATTATCGATTGAAGCTTTGTGTTCGTTTTGCTGGCGAAGGCTTGGTTACAACCACAAAGCTGACTAGTTTTTATTTCAATCCTGGAATAAGAATGTATATCGTCGTTAAGCCTCCGGGAACGCAACTTATATCAAAACAAATTTCGAAAGCGTTGACCCCGTCCTGTGTAGGACGGCTCTTTACGCAGACTCAATTGAACTCGCCAATCCATGATAAATCCTGGCGGTCACCAGAGATTACCTCAACGGCATAAATGCTGGTGTTCTGCTATAATCTCGTGTATCTCTAAATGGAGGGCCCTGAAGATGTCGCCATTCGATTGACTTTCCCGCTGTTGAGTCAGGGCAGAGCTAGAATCTGGGATAGCTTTTATTCGACGCTTGCTTTTTCTCGAGATTGTTGGCTCACTAGGATCTTTTATCTTTTGCTTTAAAGGGTCAATATATAGCTCCTTGGGAATCTATTCTGGTCCAAGCCGGAAGATGTCCACAACGGGGTTTAGAGGCACAGGTGCATCGTGAAAGTAGGCCTTCAGGATCTTTCAGCAATTGTCATGGACTATGTATACTCTGTTTGGGCTACCCTAGTGCGTGGATATATCCTTTTCCCAGAACTTAAACTGGAAAGCATTCTCTTCGGACAGAAGCTTCAGGCTGCACTTCGTGTAATTGTATTCAAATTTCCCAGCATTGGATATGCGATAACCGTCGGAATCAGAATACATTGCATAAAACGCAACTCAGATATTGACAAGCAGAAAATGTATACATACACGCACAGTGATTACTCAGTCCTTTTGAATTACTCAACCATTTATGTTAGTTTCACAGAGCAAACATGCACTCATCTTCACGAATACCCCTTGGTTCTGCTTTCTGAGTAGGCCAACAACTCTCTTTCATTTTATATTCCCCGCTCATTGTATTACGTACATATAGATGATCCTGAACCATGGACTTGGTATAGCTTGGTGCCATTGAAATAATGGCACGGCGGCCTCATTATTACAGGCACTACTCGATAAGCTAGCCCCATTCTTAGATTTTATCACTAGGCCAGGATCCGGACATTCCCCGGAGCCAAAAAGCAAAATATTCATTAGAGAAGACCTGCCTTACAAATCACACTCGAAGCAAGTCTGGTATCCTACAATTTCGCTGATATAACCTCGAGGCTGATTGTACCAATCCAGTTCTGCGACAATTCAGTTAGTCCATGTCCAAAAGGAGAGCTTGAATAGCATGCCAACGTAAAATGAAAGCCGGTGGGCGTAGTCCCTGACGTGATTTTTACGTCGTGCAATGAGTAACCTTCTGGTAGAATATCGAATTTACCGTTGTGCCCTATCCAGACATGCCTCTCAAAATTGGTGGAGATCTATGATTGTCAATAAAGCCAATGTTTTTTTTTTTTTTTCGGGAAAGGAAAAAGAAAACATTGCAACGCTCTCACCTTGTAATATATAGGAGTCGGACAAGTAACGAAGCGAGTATTCAGCCAATCAATGCCATCTTTAGCCAGTATCTGCACTGATACGATTCTCTCCCCCTTTGGTTCGTCAATATCGAACCGCTTTGAATAGTACCATGAGCCTTCAGAGGACCTGGGCTCAGATTTATTGTTATAGAAAAAGAACATTTTGCTCAGTCTACCATTGGACTTAGTTGCAAAGCCGATCCGTGTGAGGGAGAGGTGGAGACTTCCGTCATTGTCTCCGAAAAAGGCCCATTCATAAGGTTGACACCGGGGGGCGACAGTATCAAACCGGTGAGATGTGCTGTCGTTAAGATATAAGTTTTGCGGAGGTTTCTCTGGGAGCCACTCAGCGTTCTGCCTAACATGGTCTGTCTATGAGAATTCTTCTTCCTTCGTAGAGACAAGCTTGCTTCCAACTGCTAGGCTAAACATTCTAAATTTCTGCACAAAGGTGAGCTCTTTCTCAAAATATAGAGATGTTGTTGTACTTACGTCGTCAAAGCTAGCCTCAAGAGCACCAACGTTGTTTGCTAGCTTGAGACGATCTGTTATACTGGCTCCGTTATAGAACTTGCCAACCCACATCGTACTTGGGACATCTTCATCAAGCATAAGTCTGACGGCATGGATTCCTCGCTGACTAGTCGCAAGCTCGAACCCCTTGAACAACTCGACCTGATATGTGACTCGACTCTCAGGGAACATGTGCCCCAGGCGGACCAGTGGTTGGCTTTTTGACATTAGCTCTATCCCCGTGATAAATATGTTGTGCACCTTTGGCCTTGGCATTACATTGAGTTCTCTCTCGTTGAGCTCCCAGAAGAAAGAAATAGACGTTATAATCAGCGATGACGGCACTTGTGCAGCATGCTTCACAAGAGGCTGTTTAACATGCGACTTCTGCGTTCGTGACTCGACCTCTTTCCACTTCCATCCCGAACTGTCCCATCTGCTCGAGTCCCCTTCGCTAACATTCAAGGTGTTTAACGATGTAGCCTTCATAGCCATATCTCGGAACCAATGACAGCACTCCCAGAGCTTCTTTCTCGCAGCCCAAGATTTCAAAAGATGCTTCTCATTAGTGGAGAAATACATAAGCCGCCACTTTTTTCGGCCCTTCCCTATATGGTCCATCTCGAGGAAACCGCGCTCATTATAGACGTGGAATCTTGTATGCCAGAACCCTTCGCTAAAAAACAGGCCTCCCATAGTGCAGTAAGCATAGCGTAAGCGGTAGAAGTCCTCCACAGGTAAGTATCCTGCTATCAGCTCACGCATTTCTGAGGGAAGCGTGATGAAAACATCCCAGTTAGTCGCCGCCCTCTCCTTTCGCTGTTGATCCACGGCACGGCTAGGTTCTTGCACATCCCCCAGGAGGCTCAGCTCATTGCTGCGGATTTTGATTGGCTCAGTCGGGTCTTCAAGGTCCATATCTTTCATAATCACGTCCTGAAAGTATCTGCCCCAGGTGTCTGACAGAACATCCGCTAGGTGGTCCAGCGGTATGGGTGTGTCGCAAGAATAACCCTTCAAGATGTTCCAACAGGCATCGTGGATTATGAATGGAACTCCCTTCAAATCGTTCACAGTATTCACATCTCGCGAAGGCTCAGGTATCTCAAATGTCAGGAGTTCGGACTTGTCTTCGTCAGTCGGGACCTTGATGTGGTCCAGATCCTGCTTGCAAAGATACATGCCAGCAGCGGATATGCGATGGTGGCCATCAGGGGTCAGATGTACTGTAAATATATGGACTCATCAGCGCTGCAAAATATCGAATAGTGAGAAAGCAATACGTACAAGTCCGCACCCTTGTCAACCAGTTCGATGCAGGAGGCACTCCAGTAACATATCTACAAAGTATGCAATTAACAATCTTTGTGAAAGAACACTGCTTCATGTTGGCTCTTAAGCATGGGAAGGTGCCAAGATCGAGAGTTCTGGGATTTTCTTTTCCCCATTACGTACATTAAGCATATGCCTAAATAATGACATCGATGCTCACCATTCAACTTAGAGACTCTAGTTGCTTTGATACAATAGCTTACAGATTATATTTAAACCATCTATAGCATTTTAATTTAACAAACATTTAAAACAAATATGAAACACCCGTTATACACTGCTGCAAAGTCGTTCTTGGATGCGTCTATCATTTTCTTTAAATCGCCGGATGAGATCTTGACACAAATCGCCGTGTTGTTTCCTGACCGACTGCATCTGCTGTCTATATACCTCGATTCGCTCTTCATATACCTGGAAAAGTTGATCCATCACTTGATGGCAGCTCTGCTGGTAAGAGTTCAGTACTTGACCGATTGTGCCCTTTTCATGTTCAAGTTGGTGCGTGAGGCGCTGTATGGGCCAAGACGTAAGATACTGAATTCCAAGTGTATCCGTATGTTTTGTTTCACTTACCTCGCTTGTATGAAATAGCAAATCATGCGTAGTCTTCTGGATAGCCTCCAGAGATGCTTGCCAGTTTGCTTTGCCTGGGCCTTCTTCAACCTGTATACCCAGCTGCGTCGGTTCTTGCGGTAATCGAATAGTAGTGGCTGATGAAAGACTTGTGTCAACCCCTTCTGCTCTATGTGCTGGCAACTCCGATACTGAATATGGTGTAATCATGCTTTCGACAAGTTGATCTGGATTCCATGTCGATTGTCCTCGTGTATTATTATCGGGGGCACAGGAATGGCTTGTTGGTCGCGCTTCATTGACATCGCCAGCAAGTATCGTGGACAGACGGAAGTTCAGCCGACCTCCTTTGAAGCTGCCAGTATCCCTTCTAGGTGATAAATGAGTACTAGCACTGTCGAACGTGGGAAGCGAATCATCATCGGAATCCCCGTGGTAACCAGATCGGCTGGTAACATCTTCTAGCGAATCTCGCCATTGTTCCAATCTCAAACGCCGGATCGTTTTGGTTTGGAAATACTGATCGTTACCAATTTGTCTAGGCATAAGTCGCGGACTTCCATTTTCGTCAACTATGCTCTTCTTCTGGCTCGATGTTGGCAAAGCTAAGCGGCTTCGCCCCTCCGGCGTAGTATTCTGCTCGCTCAGGTTCCCCTCCATTCTCTCCAGCATCAATTTAGACTCTGGATATGTCGCTGAGAGTGCTGAAATTTCCCCCATGGAGGCATTCGAGGCATTCTCGATGTCGCTTTGTCTACTCGTCCCATCTTGCTGGACCGCATCTTCCAACAAGTGTAAGTTTTGATGATCCGAAGTAGCACCAAAGATCAGTTGAGGCTTCTTATTCGGAGCTTCGTCCTTACTATTCTGTGTGGCGGCTCTCTTCCTGCTGCGCACTGGGGTTAATTCTTCTGGCTCAGTCTGGGAATCGTCTCCGTTTTCGTCTGTTGTTACCTCGACCGGAGTATCATGTGTGCAGTCTTTCGCCGACACAGAAAGCCGTCCAATCTCACTATCCTGTGAAACAAACAGAGCCTGAAAATTCCCACTCCCTCGAAGCTGATCGGATTCACCCCGCTGCTTTCTATATTCATTAGGCAACTCAAGCCTCTGCTCAGGAATGAGTCCTTCCATAAGAGCCTGCTCATCGTGAGCCTGAGAGACGCAAATGTTCTGATTGGTCATAGGTTTTGTCTGCTGTAGGGGTTTCTGAGATACCGTCATCTTGTTGGTAGAAGGCTGCTCGTTCAAACCCATGTGCGGGTTACCTTCACCGGCTCCTTCTTTTCTCTGCCCGGTACCCTTTGCAGCGTCTGCCTGTGCCTGGGTGTCTACTAGTGGACTCCTACTGCCCTGGACCCTTGACGGGAACTGGTTCACGTTGGCAGCGGAGCAATTGTCGGGTTTGGCTGTCAGTCCGGGCGTGTTCTCTTTGTCCTCGTAATTGTGTGGTCGATGACCTGCGTAATTTTCGGTTTCGGTATTTCCATTCAAGTTAATTGTCGTCTCCTTAACTTCATGGCCAGTTGATGCTCCCTCATCGCCGTTATTAATGTTGGGTTCCCTCGTCTGCAAAGGTAACCGCGTCATCATCCCCCTCCTATTAATACCTGCTCCTCTCTTTTTCGCTGACCGTCTGCCTTTCGCTGATGATGATGATGCTGCGTGGGCCTTCCGCTTCTTCTGTGCCGCATTAGACTTTCTGCTGAAAATACTGGTATCGCCGGGGGATGGTGACGGCACGGATGTAAGTTGAGAGCCGTCTCGCATTGCCCTCGCTGTATCCTGTTCATCTTCGGTTGGTCTGAGGTCTTCCTCCCAGTCAACTGCACGCTTTGATCGGGAAGTATAGATCTTCTTGCTGGGACGTCCCATGCGAGGGAACAATAGAGACTCCTGAGTGTTGGGTAATGCTGGTCGATCCTTCCTTTTGCTCAATGTTCTGCCCCTTAGACTGCGCCTAGGGGGTGGTTTTTTCTGGGTCGCACGTCTTTTGGACATACCGGAACACTTTGGTTGTGAGTTCCTCGATATCGCATTCGCGGTATCAGATTCCATGATATTCTCCACTGGTTTTGCCTCTATTTGGAGACTTGAAGTTGAGTGATCATCGGTTATGGGACTCGTGACGTATTCTCCCGGAGAAACTTTGGCATCGCATGGGAAGGGAACCTTCTTCTCTCGGTCAATGTATCGATGTTCTTGACTTGGAGAAACAAGAGGGGTTTGATCACTTTCGCTAAGTGCCTCTGCCAATATCTCCACGTCTTCAATTGCCATTAGTGAGCTCTCCTCCAGCCCTGATGGCTCTCGAGTCACATCTGAAATAGCACGTAGCTCATCTTGCTTGCTATCTGATGTGTCCACCCTCGATTCGCCGGGATGATTATGGTCCCTGTCGGCAGAAGAGTTTATCTCGCGATTGGAGGCCTGAGATGAGCTATCGCAACATTGACTGGACTTTGTTGCCACTTCTTCCCCTGTGTCTAGGGCCACGATGGTTGATGATATCCTTCGGGTAACTCGATTCTGCTTCTGAGCTTTTCTTCTGGCATCTGCGAGCGTGTTTCTAAGTTCATCCAAGTCTTGTTCAGAGACAATAGAGACGCTGGCCTCGCTGAGTCGTTGTCTTCCATTTAGTAGTACGCCACCAGTCGCTTTAAAAACCAAGCACGGAGTGTCGTTCCGTTCCCTTTTTCTTTTCTGGACAGGATGAACAGGTTCTGAGATATATTGCATTGGGATTTCGATGTAGTCGCTGCTGGGCAGTATGAATGTAGCGAAATCAGGAGTGGACAGCGCAAGTATCGCAAGGCCCGAATACGTCTTAAGACCAATTGCGACGGAACTGAGGTAATATGAGCTTTTTTTGATAATTGCAGGTCCCGCAACCCTCGAACTTGCTCTTGTTTTCCTTGATTCGTAGTGCTCCACCTCGCTGGTATAATGATGGAAAGACCGAATCCAATCATTGGAATATTTCCGCAAGCATTCGAAGAAAATACTTCTATATTTCGGTTCGCGAGATTTCCAGAGTTGGTCTTCGTTTGTGCCTGTGGTATGTAGAATGCGGATTATAGTACCGGCAAAGAATTTCAGCGCGATGTCCTTCTCATGGCAGACAATAGAGACGATCCTAGGGCTAATACCATGTCAGTAAATCTGTATTCTTTTCAATATACTTTCTGTCTTACCAGTAGTTTTTTAAATCTTTATACTGTAGTATGTGTGGGCCGGTTTCGTTGGACTCATTCAAGAGCCCGACTATTAATCTCCCAGCCTAAAAGTATGAGCGTAGTCAGACGAAAGGTTGGGTTCACGCTCACCACTCGTCGACACTGTATGACCCGTGTTTTGTCGACAAATAGACGAAATAACACTGTGATGAGGTTATATAGGATTGACGGCACATGATCACTGAACGATAGAGGTGCCTGATCTGCTTGAATAGGTCCATCCTTAACAAGTCAGCTTACGTCCCTCCAAGTATGTAGACTATCATTGAATCAAACCAGTATAAGGTATAGCCCCATCTCCTGCCCAATTGTATTATCAGAAACGAGCAACACATATGCCAACAGTCGAAGACAGTCTCTGTGCAGGACTTCACGAATTCGTTCTCGGTTTTGGTCAAGGCTCGAAACCAGGCGATTGAGATGTTGAGAGTCGGCGATAACGTCACAGCGTAGGAAGGTATCGAATATATGACTTGGAAAGCTATCACGAGAGAAAGAAGTCAGTAAAGTAAGGATATGGAAATCTTATCACTCACGAAACAGCCTGGTGTTGCGTATTGTCTGTAGTTATATCCTCTATCACAGAAACCAACCCTACAACATCAGAGTCTCTCTGCTCCTGTTTGTCATTTGAAAAAGAAGTCATTTTGCTGGTGTAGAGAATGGTCGTGCGGATGAGGAGGTAGAGAGGTTTGGGCGGGGGGTCTGGGGAATTGAAAACGACAGTCTCACATGATAACAAATGATATACAACACCAACACGACATCAAATAAATATGCATTCGGTACTCGTTTTATCAACTTAATGAATACTATTATAAATGTTTCAGTTGTCTTCACCAAACAGAGCGCATTCAGGGAGGAGCTTCCTCCGATCCATTTTTCTTTGCGAACTGAGCAAGATTAACTCCCCTGCAGTTCTCGCAAGGCTCATGACACACTAGGCAGGCAGCACCAGACAGACGATCGTCGTATCTAGAGAGGTTTTATGGCTGTACTGCGGATAGCCAACCCGTGGACAGACTTAGAACTACCGCCGATTTCACTAACCCTATTAGCATAAAATTGTTGAAATCGCTTCTATAGACCATAAATCTTATTTTAGTAGATAGGAAGAGGGACAGCATTCACCGCAGTTCCCAAATTCGGCGCCTCGATTGCGTGGTTTCGCCGCTCTCTTCGAAGGCGAATCCCCGAACGACCACCCGTTCGCTTCCAGCAGCCCACGATCGACCAAGTTAAATCCGGTCTTTCAAATCCTTCGCCGCCAACACCCGACATCCTTGGCCCAATCGCATCTAGTGAGGGAAGCATCCAGGAAATATCTTGTCTTTTCTCCGGCCATGCTCCATATACACGAGTACATGAAAGGCAGCCCACCTAACGCGTGACACCAACGCCCAATGGAGCGGTCCACGGAAAGTGAAAATTACGTTTGTTTGCATTGTCGTCGGGGTGTTGGACTGGCCAAAAAGATGAGCAAACCAAGTAGGTCGAAGAGGGTGTGGTAGCTAGTAGCATGGTGAACGTATTCTCGATTGTTGAACTGTGAACGCTTTTCGTTTCCCGGGATCCAGTCGGGATTAAGATCACGTAAAAAGTGACGGGACGGGAGCGTGCTGGCGTTCCCGTATTCGCTTCCGTTGGGCGACTGAATAAGGCAATCGTCAGCGAATATTGTAGCAAAGGTATAGGTGGGAAGGAATGGCAACTTCAGATTTTCCTCTCCTTTATGATTGCTCGCAGCTCCTGAGTTGTGGCATCGTCCAAAGAACACTCTCTGGGATCATCAACAACTCCGTTCTAAAAACTGAAAGTCTTTTACCGTGTTAGTCCAAGGAATATCCGATTTCCAGTGCGTTCGTTCCATACCTGCTCCTTATTCCATCCATAGGCTTCTCGAATATATAAGTTCCCAGTGAAAGCACATCGTAGATCCTCGGTAGAAGGGGCTGTCGCAGCGGGTCCGAAAGTGGGCGTATTCATTGCTGCGAGTGGGTATCGTTTTGGGCTAAATGTAGATGGTATTTGCGCTCACTCAATGCATCTTGCACAGTTTTCTCGAGATTGGGGAAATATGTAATAACATACCAGAAGAAGTGATTTTCTAACTGGCGTCACTTACAGTTCACCGTGCTGGTGGATAGTTGTCGTTGCAGAAAATAAAATATATATATATCCTGGAGCTAGACTCCCCGACGACCAAGGGACTCGCTAGGTTTCTGGACTGCACCCTCCGGTGACTCGAGGAAGGCAAAACAATCAAGGATAAAAAATCCATCGCCTGAGAGTTTGAGGTGGTAAGAGAACGGCGCCCCCCGGGGGGATGAGGCGTGCAATGCAATATGTGCAGCTCTCACATTGCTGGCGGTTAATGGGGAGGAAGAAGTAGAAGCCCGGCGAGGGAAGAGTGAGAACCAGCGGAATAGCAATAACAACACCCTCAATTCACTGCAGAAGACTGCATAATTACAGCAAGAAAGATCCACCTGATTAAAGCAGTACCAAATCAATACAGTAACAAAGAATTGTTGTTCACTGGATCATCCTCCACCTGAAACCCCTCATTCCCCATACTTTGATATTGAGGATAATTTTACCTAGCGAGGTAGGCGAGCGAATTTTGTTGAGGCTCCAGGACAGACGGTTCAAGATATAGAGCCTGCCCTCAGCCATAAACAGGAGCAGACAGTCCTCCGGATCGAACATGGTGGGATAGGCTTTGTCTCCTAGCTTTCTTCCACGGGCGAGTCGTTGGCCCATGTTATCATTTGCTGTCCATTCGTCCTTGCAGTCCATTTCTTCCGGGCCAGTTGTCCATCCTTCGGGGACATCACTCTGAATGTTTTATGAGTTCGGTGTCGTCATTGTTTTCTTTTGGGCATCATTACCTGGTAAAGCTAGAACATAGATATAATGCTTAGGGATGTTTGCAGTTTTCGATAAGAAGGCCTGCAGTTTTTTCTGATGCAGAGGTTTTTAGTTCTTTTGAGAGGCTGGTTGGAGGAGTTTTTGATAGAGAAGAGTCCATCATGGGATGGAGTAATCCATTAGGGAGGATCCCATTATGGAGAGGTTCATTGTGGAGATGGGTGATGATGTACGGGAGATCAGGTGGAGAGATTTGCTGATGAAATACTTAAATACGATGAAATGGGGAAGCTTCGGGGCAGTGCCAATTCTCCGGATAATCGTACGAAGCCTATGTAGCAACCGAGAGCTATAGCGATAGTATATGAAGTCGTGTACACGTTTACTGAAACTATTGTAAAGTGCTTGCTAAACTAAGAGCGCTTCATCGCCGTACAATAAAACCTCTCTAGAGCTTATTAGATCGGCCCGATGTTCATCCGATCCTCATCAATACGGAACCCGAATCGGGGATCGGCAACAGACTTATTCCGCCTGTGATGCGAAGTTGTCTGCGCAATTTGGAACAATGGAAACAGCCCTCGCGAGACGACAAGCTTCCACAACCGCATCATCACTCGAACTCGACAACCGATTTTCTGAAAAGGTCTTAGGAGATGGCCATCTCGAAAATGGCATACAACCAGCAGCCGAGCAAACCGTGCTGTACCTCGCATACGGCTCGAACATGGCCTCGAAGACGTTCCTGGGTAACCGGGGGATCAAGCCTATCTCGCTAATTAATGTTTACGTCCCTGAGTTAAGACTCGCCTTCGACCTCGCCGGTGTACCGTACTCAGAACCTTGTTTTGCGTCGACTCGGTATCGCCATGGTCCTGGCAAGGAAATGAAAGACGTCGATTCGGAAAAAGCGCCGCTCTGGGGCCAGGGCTACGATGACGAGAGAAACGCCTGGCATAGACCGCTTATCGGAGTCGTATACGAAATCACACTTGAAGACTACGCGTGGATAATCGCAACAGAGGCAGGAGGACGTGGATATAACGACGGGATTGTGACTTGCTATCCGTTCCCCGAGTCCTATGATCCCGCAGATGAAGTCCCGGAGCATCCGTCCACACAACCGTTCAAAGCACATTGTCTAATGTCCTTGATTGCGGACGAGGATGATTACGCTGGACACGGGGACAGCGGTTTACCGCGCAATCCCAGAATCCGACCAGACCCGTCCTACGGCCAACCGTCCAAGCGCTATGTTGACATTCTCAACGCCGGCGCGGTGGAGAATAACCTCCCCTTCTCATATCGCGCGTATCTCTCGCAGATCCCTTCGTACCATGTCACCACGAGACGGCAGCGTATTGGAAAGTCTATTTTTCTTTCTATTTGGGGTCCTTTGTTTGCATTTGTCACGTATCTTACGATAAAGTATGCTAGGCCTGATGGGTATAGTCCGGGGTGGTTGACTGTCATCTCGACTATTGTGCATGGTTGTATGTGGGCATGTTACGATCTTATTTTTGCGAATGTCTTTGGGGATGGTGAGAGGACAATTGGGGATTAGCAGCTATGAAATCATATTGACGATTAACGAACATCCTTGTTTCAACACCTTGATGTACACTGTAGGTCAATCGCATGCTAACTTTTCTTGGCCATGTCTTTACCGTGACCACCCTACTATAAATTATGCAGCTCAGATTGCAAGAAAATGGAAAATGGTTGACAACAAAGGAAATACAGTCTTCGAACGGAAATTTTCAAAAGGAAAAGAATATCTAGGGTACAGATACAGAAAAATCGAGTAGTTTCTAACAGAACATGACGCAGAAAGACCATGAACAGAAAAAATTAGAGAGGTTGGACGACTTGGCACTTTTTTCAAGTTCATTGCCCACCTTAACTCCACATTTTGTAGCTCATAAAGTCCGCTGCGACATTTAGCGACGGGGAACAGGGGGGCTGTACATAATCTTTCTTGTCTTGACTGGGGCCCACTTGTAGCGCTTGACCCACACGCTCAGAGCGAAGAGACCGGTCAGAAGGGTGATGGACTTGATACCCATCTTCTTACGGTCATCCATCTCGGGCTCAGCAGCCCAGTTCAGGAACTCGACAACGTCCTTGGCCATCTGGGAGGTGGTAGCCGGGGTACCATCCTCGTACTCAACAAGGCCGTCAAAGAGGACACGAGCCATACCAATAGCTGTTGCAATGTTAGTAAATAGGAATTCAATTCGTATTCCGGAGGTCATAACGTACCAGTTCCGGGGAAGTAGGGGTTGAAGTTCATGCCCTCCTGAACGGAAGCACCAGCCGGGGGTTCATCGGGGTAACCAGTCAGAAGACTGAAGATGTAGTTGCAGCCACCGTGACGACCCTTGGTGATCAAACTGAGATCCGGGGGCAGGGCACCACCGTTGGTGGCACGGGCGGCCTCCTCGTTCTTGTAGGGAGGAGGGATGTAGTCGGACAGCTTTCCAGGGCGCTTCTCGATCTCACCCTGGTCGTTAGGCTCGGTGTCGTACTCGTGCTCTTCGGCGAAAGCCTTCATCTCGTCGACGGTGTGCATAACACCGACGAATGAACGCCAAGGCACACGGGTCAGGGAGTGGCAGCTAGAGCAAACTTCACGGTAGACCATGAAACCACGGCGGAGACTGGACGGTGGGAAAAAGCACAATCGTTAGAAGCGAACTTGGTATGACGTTCAATGTTGGATTACTTACGCCTGGTGGTCGAAGGTCTTCATCCAGCGCTCATGTTCCCAAGGGTACTGAGTAGCGTGCAAACTGTTAAATTCGATCGATTAGTCTTCCACTTTTTCGTTCTATCCAAGTTTTCTTTGCGTGTCTTTGCGACATGGGCTCGGAGCAACGGATTGGCTAGTAGATGTTTATCCGCAGCCACCACCAATCACCACCACCACAACACAGGTTTCACTCACCCCTCCTCAGCAGGGGTCATAGCAAAAGCTTCTTGACCATAGAGATACGCGGCAGATCCGATCGTGGCGGCGGTTGCGACGGAGGCTGTGAGAGTGAGGTAGAAGGGAGAGGATTCGGCACCGGCGGTCGAGGAAGAGGCACGCTGTACAAATTTGTCAGTCCAAATATCAATTGAAGGAAGCGTCCATGGCCAATTGCATAGCGATGCTCTAAGCCACCGATATCCAATGGATTCGGGGATTGCTGTGGGGGGTTACGGACCGTTGATGCTCTGTTCAAGAACTGACGTGCGAGGCCCGGAGAGGGCACGCTGCGCAAGACATTTCGTCCCAGCATAATGAAAAGAAAAAACCCTCCAGTCAAGGAAATCGACGAGGGAAAAGAAAAGCACCGAGAAACAAAGAGTGGAGGGGAGGGGAACTGGGGGGGGAGGGCAGTTGGGCGCACAGGAGGAGGTGCTTTTTGGAGGTGGAAGTCGAGGTTGCCGGTCCGTCAAAGAGTTTCTCTTGGCTTGAGATTGGCTAAACCCTCGCCGTGATTGGCTGACGGCCGGGCCACTGGCTGACTTCGGTGAAAACCGCGACGGTTCGGAACACCAGATTGGCGGCTGAGAACAACAAACGGCAACGACTAACACCACTCTATTCTCTAATATGGTATGTCTGTCGGACTAAATTAGCCCTCATATTTACCTAGATACTATTCCGATGATCCCATTGCACTCCCTACCCACGCTGCCAGTCTACGACCCTCCCGCCTTCGCCTGAATCTCTGACGCTATTCCCATCCGCAGAGCCGCCAATGCCTCTCGAACATGAGTACATCGGACACTGTTGCTATGGAGTACCAATGACAGGACAGGGAGCCGTCGAAGAGTGCGACCACTGAGTCCCTATTGGCGGTTAGAATATCAACCCGGTGACAATTGTCCCGGAAGGATGAAGAGACAAAGGAGCGAAGGGAACCCACTACACTGGCAGTGGCGGCATCTGCGAGCCGCTTGGGAATTGCGTCCGCAAACATCTGGTAGTTGAGGAGCATTTCATCAAACGTTGGTAACGTTAGATGTTGCATGGACTCCTCCACATACTGCAGCGCGGTTTCCGGATCCTCTGGGTTGGCTTGGACGACATCAAACGACACCCCTTGGATAATCCCGCAACGGTTCAGCTCCTCTAGGCAATCCTTGTATATTCCATAGATGGCTCGGCTGGATAGGTGTGGCATGAATTGCTTGATATCGACGCGGTCGAGAAAGGCTTCGTCCTAGTTTAGGTGACCATTTGTTAGTGTCAACTCCATGAAAGGTTGCTTGGGGGCACCTACCAGAGCAGTCACCAAGTTGCTTGTGCAAATGGTAACGACGTTAGAATAGTTGCGTAGCTTATCCAACCCCGTCAGCAAGGCGTTCACAGCGCGAATGGCATCGAATGGCTCATTGCCGCTCAATGCCCGTTCTCGTCGAGCAGCAATGGTCTCAATCTCATCGATGAAAACGCAAATGAATGTGTCTTCTTCCTCTTCGAGCGACGATGCAATGTTCTCGAACAGTTTTCCCACCAATTTGCCGCTCTCACCAAAGAACTTGCTACCCAGTGAGTGCGCATTGATCTCGACCAACTTACTCTGTGGATAATGCTTCCCCAGGCGTATCGCAAGTTTCTGAGCAAGCCCACGACTACTCAACTGGTTAAACCCATTGGTATAGGGTATTGTGACTGCCACGTACCACAAGCTTGTTTTTCCCGTCCCGGGAGGACCCCAGAGAAGAACCAATCTGTTCCAGTTGATAGACCATTTATTGGGCTTGCGGGTAGAGAATGAGACTGCTAGAATTAACAGGTTGGGTTTCGTAGATCGAAGCCAGACAACTGACCCATGCGAGTTATGGCATTGAGAAGAGTAGATTGAACCGGCTGGTCAAACTGAAGCCTATCCTCCAGTATCAGTCCCGTGGTATTATCTAGAAAGATGGGGTGTATACGATTCCCACAGCCCATCTAGCTCCTTGCTTGGCAAAGCCAGTATCTTCGTTTTCGGTGCGTCGTCGTTTGCATCGGCCGATTCTTCGAGTTGCTGGGTCTGCTGCGCGTTTTCATGCTCGAATTGTGGGCGGAGTTGGTATGCTTGGACGTCAAGCTCGACATGCTGAAGACGATAGGCCCCTGATTCGATCTCTCCTCCACTGCACTCCGTGACGAGGATGGAATCCAAAACCTGCGCGTACGGTTCCTTGAGACCGTCTAATCACTGTCAGCTAACACATGAGGATCTCAACACACTAGAGCTATATTACCAAACGAATAAATCTCTTGTCCCAGTGAAAGGACTACAAAGTTATCGATGAGCCACTGCGTAATGTCGTTCCTTATCTGAATTCGATTAGCTTTAGACGCCAAGGAGCTCAAGGCGTAGGCTTCGTACTAAATCCGTACGAACTATCATTCCGTCTCCCGTGTCTTTGACGCGAGCTTCGACGTGCAAAACTGGCTGTTGGATGACTTCCATGGCGTGCATTGTGTTTCTATTAAAGTGTCGTGCTAGTAGGGTCGATTGATAGGGAAAAGGAAACGGCATCACAACACAAGATCACTAAATCAAGGTCAGGCTGACGGTGAATGCTAGACCTAAGCATTTGTCTGCAATGAAACTTTCTTTTATCAACATCATAACGCTGTCAAGAAACAGAACCAGTGTCAATGGACAAAATACGATATCCTGAAGAATTTATATGCTTGGATAGGACTGACGAATTACGGGCTATACCATGATAAACATTGTCATTACTCAGTATTTAACTACTACAGGAAACCCATCCTCCGCATTACATTCGCGCTTCTTCAGAGACACCTTCCATCACCCCCACAGCCCTTGGCTTTCAGTGACCAATCATTCGCTCTGCATCATGGTAGACAGCGTCGTCGTTGCCGGTCTGCCTCCCGCAATCAGCTGTCATACTCCTGGCTTACAACGGGCAACTGGATTTACGCGCCGCTTATACTGAATTGTCGTTATATGCATGACAGTGTCGAAGATTTACCCACAGGTCACTGAACGTGTTTCGATGCACATGTATTAGCTTATAATATTGACGAGAACAAGGTGAAGGAACCGAAAGGGGTCCTTCAAGAAGTCAAGAGCCTCGAGTTCGAATCGGTTATACATTATTGCGGGTGTCTACATACAGTGAACCCGATGGTGACAATCATTTTAAGTCCTCTCATGCCAACAACTTCCCCCGGGAGAGAAACCTGGTTTTGGGTCTCTGAGTCCAGACACTCGAGGTTCAGACCCGGGGCAGTTGAGTAGCGTGGGTGTTTTTTTTTTTTTTTTTTTGTTTTTTGTTTTCACAATGCGGTTGGACTGCTGGGATTGCTCCTGTCCGTATGGCACAACTTCTATCTTCCGTTGACAGCCGTTTTTGGTCGATGGTGCAAAAAGATAGGCATCGTTGCCTCCATGTAACAATACGAATCCCGCTAAATGACGACAGCGCCCTTTTCTGGGCGTTTTGTTGGAAGTTTGCAATTGGGCAGGCATAAAAACATGGAAGACAGTTATTAGGCACGCGAGATTCAATATCGTCGATGAAGGCGCCTTACTGTAAAACAAAGGATGGAGGGATGGTAGGGACCCCCATGCAAGAGGGAGGGAAGAACTGAACTTGGCAATTGTGCTGATTACTATTACTTCATCCTTTGTTTAGGTATGCTCCATGAAAATGATTTGGATTATGTTAGTAACAAAACCAATAGGCGGTACAAAGGGACAACTCACATGGCCCACGGAGTTGAATCAAAGAACGCTGAAAGTCAGGATAGTGTTCAATGGGATTTATTTCTTGCTGTGTTGTATTTGATCTCTCACGATAAATTGGGAGAGTTACCCTTGTCACCTTGGTTACTACGTCTGCTTTTGCAATCCCTCGCGAGTAGACAGCACCAATATCAAACCACACAAATCTGACCAATCAATCAGCATAGGCTATGGAAAGTCACAATCTATGTGATACAATACGAACACTGCAAAGGGTCATCTACTGAAACAGGAAACCGGCGATGCTCTCCAAGAGCCAGCATTAAGTCCCAGACTATCCAGTTTGATCAACGCTACACTTCGCAAGAACGCGTCTTAATTTTTACATATGGTTGTCAAGTTCAACTAAAAAATTTTCATGTTGATGCTCTCAGCTGCCCTCAGCACCTTCGCGTTGTCCACCGCATCTGCCATGTCTGGAATAATCTTTCCTTTATAATCGCGACCACCAAGACGAACAAATGATTCCAGACCATCCCCGCTAGTGAATGACCAGAAGCGGACATAATTATCGAGGAAATGAATACTAAGCTCAGTACCAGCAGGAATCAACACCGTCTCGCCTGCTCGAACCTGATTCGCAGTTTCATCGATGGTCACGTCGATAGCGCCATCCAACACATGATAGACTTGGTGCACCTTCTGGAAGGTAAATGACTTTCCGATGACCGAAGGATGCTTACTGCTGGATTCAATACTGGTAATAGCAAACTTGCCGCCGTCACTTTGTCTCGTCATGATAAACGGTCAGGATAACACACCACCCAGCAGATATCTAGGCCCAGTATCCGCACGTAGATAGTAGGGCTCAACACCATGCGGGATCGTGGTATCATTTTCCGTCCACTCTCCGACTTCGCAGATTGGATAATCGGGGTCGAATATCACATCGTACTCGTCTTGAATGACTTGAAATTTAGGAAACATGTGCTGCAGAGTATCCCGGCTATCGAATTCCTCTGTCAAGAGACCGTGGTATTTCTCCGAAGCGAAGCGGAAGAAGTCTACCCATTTTCCGGGAGTGACAAGTCCGAGACTCTCGTTCCATGGGCCCACTAGCTGGGGTCGATGGATGACTTTCTGTAGGCGATATTAGTATTGGTTGTATGATAGTAGGAATCAATATAGTTACTGGAGGAACCGAGCAAAAATCCCCCGGCCCCAAGAGCCGACACTGATCTCCGACCCATATTTTGATATAACCTCTGGTACACATGAAGATGTCATGGGCTTCATTGTGATGGTGGAAGCCGATGGGGTCACCCAGGACACCATCAAAATGGAAGACTGAAATTGAATTTCTACTCTCTTTGGCCGACGCCAAAACCCGGACTGTTGACTTCGTGCCGGGAATGGTAAGGGCCTCACCCTGGTAAGCTGGAACCACGTAGGGAGTAACCTTGCCGGGAGGTTCTACGACACGAAGGAGGGTCATTTTCAAGTGGATAGTAAGCAATATGGCTCGGATTATACTTCAATTGATTCGAAAGATCGAATCGGGGGCTAAGCTTCATATATACTACAGTGGAAGTCCATACACACCCTATTTCGTCACCTTCAGACGGCACCCCCACAATATTGTGGGATCCGACGGGGTTCAATCACCGACACCGACGACAGGATATAACCAAAGACGAACCCAACAGCCTCCCTGCATTCTCATCCCAGTGCTTCTGAGGTACCCGTCAAAACAGTCAGCTGCGTCATCATCGCTTCCGAAAGGATAGTTTACACTAAGCATGACCCAAATATCCTCCATCTCGTCAGCGTCCGGAGACCGATAAACAATGCTGGCATAATATGCGACACATGTCCAGCAGCTTCCATTCGCCCCCCGCGCCCGAAGGCATATCAAGCCCGGGCATGATTTGGATAGCCCTAATACAGTCACTGCTGGCTCAAAAGCGGACTGCGTGGATGGAAAAAGGCAGTAATCTGGTATTTCAGTTTCGATCGAGGCCCAATTGGAATACCTCCGTATCTCGAACAACGGGAAATCAAGCTGGAGGCGATGGAGTCGACCCATCCAGTACCTGCTGGAAGACGGCCGCGAAATGACGACCAATTTGACCCCACGAGCCACCTCGACGCAGTATCTTTATGGTCTGATGTAATGTTCGGGTTGCGCTGTCAGCTTCGTCCAGAATTCCGATTCCCGTGATATGCACGCTCATAGTCTGTGAACCGTTGAGCCATGACTGCAAAGCTAGCGAATCAGACAGTTTATCGATTCTTAACGGGTGATCTGTAGAAGGTATCCCATTTTGTTTTGACAGCTTTATGTAAGTCCAGATGCAGAGAGAAGCCGCCATCATATACCATGGATCAGAATGGATCGCTGTACGCTGATCTCGGATGGATTTAAATAATGCAGCTGCATGCAGCAGAGCTCTTCGAGCGCTGTGTCCTCCATCTATCCACGCCTCAAGCTCCTTCCTCGCTCGTTCAACCTTCTCGGGGGTTGTCATCCAGCTGGAAGATATGCGCAGCGTATTCAGCGGCACAAGTCGGAGAATGGAGACCATATGATATGTTTTCGACATGATGTCTTGCAATAATGGGTTCTCTGAAGGTGATTGTGTTTTGAGCCTGAAATACTCAAAATATCTGTCTAGCATTGTCTCCTGTCGTCGAGGTATAGACCAGTAACTTCGATCATGTATACATTCGCACTCAGAATGATCACTGTTATTGAGTGTATGGATCCCTTGCGAGTATATCCAAGAATTGGTCATTTGCAAAATACGGTTTTCTTCCACATACAGCGACAGCAGAACGATCAAGTGCGCTGCATCACCGAGCTCTGGCATTGTCTCTCTTATCAACCCGTGCTTTCCCAACAACTGCCTTAAGCTCGGAGGTTCTGCTATAAAGCTGACTTCAGCAGTAATATGGGCGAGATAAAAAAGAACTCTTACCTTTTGACTTCGATATTTGTATCTGCCATTCAGTAGCATTCGAGCTATCCCACAGACTTTCTCTGCACGGCAAAGACTGATGTAACTCGGTCACGTCAAGGTTGGGCGGTAGGTCAAACAGAATGAACCCCACGCATTCAAGATCTATATCGTAATAAAGGATTTAGCAATCAAAGTCAAGGCAAAGCTCTTCAAAGAGACATACACCATGTGAAGTATACTAGCCGATACCACGACTCATGACGAATCCAATTCAGCCATTGACCGTTGTTCTCGGTAGAGATCTCTGTGCCACGGAAGATTGAGCCATGGCTTGCAAGTATTGGACGCAGCATCGCCAGGAGCCAGCCTCGTTGACACTGCATATCAATTAGGCCTTGTTTGGCGCCATTGAAGAACAGGCACATCTGAAGCAAGAAGACGGACTGTGCGGAGCTGAGGCCGCCATTGACTAGTATCCTATTCGTGATCTGTTTGCCAACTATGAGAATTTACGGTTTCACGACATCGTGAGAAAGACGGGTTTACCTTGGCTGATATTGCACGCTGTAATAGTGCCTGCAGTGCTGTGACATACTGCTCCCGAGCATGAAGCGTTGAATATTGACCGCCCACAGTCATCATCGCCAGAAGTAGAGTCCAGTTTTCCGAAGATGGCTGAAAAGTTGCCTGGTGTATGATTGGTATCATAGGGTTGAAATATTCAAAATACAGTTCAAGGAAGGAGCCTAAAAGCTCCAAAGGCGGCAGGTCATCTGCTGCAAGACCCGCAGAAGTTGTCTTCACTTCTTGATAAAATTGCTTAATTTTTTGGTAGGCTGCTTCAGGCATCTGCTGTACATGGCCGAATTTCTCGGAAATAACTGTATCCATGTCCTCTTGGCGAAGAACAGGAAATCGAGGACCATTTTCCGTTTCGGTGCCCGGCAGGGTTGGTACATGAGGCCGCATGTCTGCCATGGGTGTCGGGCGGATAGAGGTCGTATGTGATCTTTGCAGACCATCTAGGCCTGTGACAATGGGTGTGTCATCATAACCTGCCATGCCAAATGGTGTTACGAAATCGTCTTCAGGCCATGGGGCAAATGGATGAAACAGGAAATCACTGAAGGTGTCTAGTTCCGAAAACGACATCTGAGGTAAAGATGGCACATTTATTTTGTCGGAATTTGCTGGCGTATGGATTATACGTGAACTATTACCAAATTCCCCAAGAGGGTCGACCTCCATAAAGTCCGTGTTCATGGTACGATCATCTGAAGTAAGCGAATCAGATCCCCCTATAGGCGCAGTACTTGCATTACCCTGCGTGGTTTCGTCTGCCCTCTGCGCGTGGCCGGGTGTGGGAGTAGACCAAGCATCTGAAGATGTTAACTTAGACATATTCGATTCCCCTATAGTCTTAGGTGTCGAGGTTGGATAGACGCAGCGTGCCCTCTTATGACTACATCGCTCACACGGCACGTTACCAATGCACCGTTGCTTAGAGCGTACACAGTTAAGACACGCCCGAGTAGACCGTTTTATACCAGGCAAGTTAGTGGCGAATGATTGAGCTGCCTTATGGCCATGGATAGCCATATGTCGCTTCAACGAGTCCCTGCAGCCTCAGTTAGAGAAGACGATCAACATCAGCTATAACATAGACTCACCTTCTGTGAAACTCTCGAGAGCATATTGAACAGCTAAACTGCCGTAGCGGAGTATGGCTGGCAAGATGGCGTTTTAGATGTTCTTTACGCGTGAAAGATTTCTGGCAATGCCCGCATTTGAGGCACTCCGCATCTATGGGTCGTTCCAAGTCATGTTCCATGTGGGTTGAGGGTTGTAGTTGGTCTGCTTCCATGGTCATTGACTCCATTACTGGAGAACCGCGGGGTTCACAGGGGGAATAGATGACACTAATTGAACATTTGGTATACAAAAGACCACAAAAACTGCTGCTGGTGATCGATGCTCAAAGCAGTGCTCACCTAAGCGGAGATTCGGGGAGACGGAGAACACGGAGGTCAATTGCCCCGATGCCCGATCATGGCTCTTGCATATTCTGTTCTATGGATTTGCCCAAGACACCCAATAATTTTCTACATTCTTATGGCACTCATTACTACCGCCATATAATCCTCGCTTACAATGCCAGTATGTATATGTCGTTTTATGAGCCTGCACAAAATGAGAACCGACAATGCTTGCCGGCATGGCTCACTCAGACTCAAGGCGGATTTCCATAATGTGCTTGATTACCAGGGCCCAGAGAAGCTCAGATCGCCAGCACTCGTCTATTCATATGCGGTGATCTTCATTTTATATGCTCTGATATACCACAACATGGAAAACCGGAATCTCCAGTTGTGGGTGTCCGTATGGGATATCCGAGTCGCGGAACCCCAACGATGGCAGGGATTGAACTATGGGGTATAAGTGCAGGTCAGAATATTCCTATACAGAAGAGAAAAGTCTACTAGTTTCTTGTTTTAGTTTCCCTTAATCGCTTCGTTACTACTGGCAATATGCACATTCTGGGCCTAACAAACGGATCACTTCAGGGCAATTCAGAGATTCTCCTCAAAGCTGCCTTGACAGCTGCTCAAGAAGAGGATTCGTCTCTAACAATTTCGTGAATCCATGTGCCATCAGTTTCAATACCGAGGAATCCCAAATCATTGGAGGGACAATTGGATATTAGTCTTGGTACCGTCTATAGCATGAAGGCCAGGAACGACCACGACCCAGCACCAGACGATAGAAAGACTATTAAATGCCATTCTTGCCGCAGATGCGATCATCATCTCCACTCCGACTTATTCCCACCAACTTCCGGGCGTGATCAAGGCCCTATTCGATCGAATTGGCGGTCCATATGTTGATGCGTCTTTTGCGGAGCTTGTCTGCCAAGGACAGGCTGCTGGAGATCCCAAGTTTGCGAGCATGAAGTTTGATCCAAGATTGCAGAAGCCCAGAGTTGCGGGCTTTATGGTTATTGGTGGTTCCGGAACTCCTGACCAGTTTACCATGGCTCTACCTAGTCTCCACGCCCTCGTTTACCCAATGCACGCTAAAGTCGTGAGCCAATCTATTGGGCAGAGAGTAGCCGCTCGTGGAGCTATTCCCCTGCAGCCCGAGCTCATGGAAAGGGCAAGGCAACTGGGACGGAATATTGTCAGTCAAATGGGTAAACATTTTGACGATGCTCAGTACCTCGGATTCAAAGACGAGTCCAGTTGTCCGAACTGTCATTTAAACAAGATCGAACTTCTGCGCAATAACAAGTCCATTGGTTGTATTACCTGCGGTACCCGTGGAAAGATAGTCATTTTTCTAAATCAAGAGATTGGTTTCCGTTAAGAAATAAACCCAATTCAATGTTACATCACTATAAAAGGGAAATTGAACCATTCCAAAAAGATCAAGGCATGGGGAATCGAAGAACAGAAGAAGCTCAATTCGGTCGAGGAGAAGCAGTCATGGCTTGATCTGCACATTCCAGAAGTTCCTCTTCCTAGTCCATCTATTTCGCCGAAGGTATAGTTCTAAGCTGTGCATATATCTCATTTTCCCAGATCCTTGCATAAGGAAAAAGTAAGGTTAACCCAATTTGCATTTAGCCTCCTCGATTTAAGACAGAGCAGGAAACTGTTCCTAAAAGGTACAGGTGTCAAACCCAAGAATGCAAGCAGCACGACATGCTCCGAATATATATTGAGCGACCACGATAGCAAAGCCCGACAGCAAACACCACAGAATGGAAACTAGACAGGATATTAAATAGCGCACTTTAATATCCCTACTTTTCTGTATATATCCATCTTATATCCTAAGTTGTATACATGGTCGAGATCGACGTCAATATAGAATCACGTGGCCTCCGCTCGGGACACAAGTCATACCCCGGATATGAGAACATGGTGTCGACAATTCCCTCATACGGTTGCGCTCACTTATCGTTCGCATTTTGACCCTTGAAAAGGGCTAATTTCCGATTATGATGTTCACTATGTGAATGCGCCTGGGGAATCCTGCGAAGATCATTGTTCCTCGGATTGCCTGCCCCACGAAGGCGGAATACGCCTGAGAAACCAACCAACCCGACCAAAAGACACCATCCCCCCTCCCGATGCAGAAGCGAAGACGCCGAAATGTCGAAACCAAAGAACGGGCCAGGGTCTGGCGGGAAACCGCGCAGAGATGTGTTGGCCTCGCTCAAGATGGCCTCTATGGAGGATGTCTCCAGGGCCGCTCTACCGGCAGGTGAGTTCTAGAACTGCGGGAAGGGTATACGGTTCGAAGGCAGAAATAGTTGGAATATTGTCATTGTCTGACACTTATTAGAGATCCTGTCGTCGATTTTCGATTACCTTCCACCCATTGATCTCATCCGGGTTGCACGATCTTCGAAGCTGCTGTGCGAGATAGCATACGATGATACAAGATGGGTACAGAAAATGAAGCGGATGGGCTGTTGGAACGAAATGGAAGCTAGGAAGCGCGTTGAACACGTCTATGGAACCATTGTCGACCCGAAAAGCATCGAGAAGCAAGAGCTGGCGGAACAAGGCAAGGGGTCTTCTGCGGCAATCGGAAATGTCGAAAACAACACGGCATCCGCGATGAAGTCGATATCGGATGGGTTTGATCAGATCAACGTTTCTACGACTGCGCCGGTCGATACGCAGGAGGAGCTGGAAAGAGATCCAGTCCTTGGGGCATTAAAACTGGTCAAATCGGTACGCGGGGAAGCCCGCCAGGAGTATGGAAAGATCCATGCGGCATTGTCTCCATTCTATGAGGATATCGTCACTTCTGGCCCTTCAACAACCAACCTCGTCTTCCAGAAATACAATGACCCCCATCACCAGTCACAGATCTTGTCGCAACTGCAGGCTTTCTCGAACTGCGATAATAATGAAAGCTGGCGCGATCGAATTGCGAAATTACAAGAAGTCGTGTCCATGTTCGAAACAGCCGCCTTAAAAGAATTCAGACAGGGCTACGAAACGGAGGATGTCGATGGGACGATGAAAAAGTACGCTCACGTCCTTTGCACATTGAACGGTGGTGGCACTGCTGTTGAATACTTCATCCATCATAATCACTTGGTGACCCGAAAATCTGAATTCGCACGGGTGGCAGACTGCATCGATTCGGTGACCAGCCGGGTGAAACTGCAACAAACACAAGCCTTCTTTACGCGGCTGAGTGTAGCCTACAACGAAGAAGTATCGATAATCAATCGTATCTTTCCCCCGCCGACAAAGGTTGCTTCGCCGTTTGTGGAAAAGGTGGGCCAGGACGTTCTATATCCTTTTCTGACTGCGATTTTCGACGAGCTACATCGTACCAACGTCGAGTCTTATCTGAATGCCGTTTCAGTTACATTTGCGCAATGCCAGAACCTCTCTGAGACCCTTTTGCCGATCCAGAACGCGCCAGATAGTTTTGATGAGTTCTTAGACAGCGTGATTACCAAGGTATACGAACCACACATGGAGTTGTACCTTGCTGAAGAGCTGGACCATTTCCGAAAGTGGTCGGACTCTGCTGTGGAAGAATGGGATCGACAGCTCTCTGAGCAGGCTGCGTCAACCGAGTCTTTTTTGATGTCGAACGTAAATCGTCAAGCAGATAAGAGGGACTTTTTGAGCTCGTTCAAGAAAGTGATCATGGCTCCAGTCAACATTCTTCCCAGCTTTTCTGGCAATAAATCAAATGACACAAAATCTGATCAAGATTCCATTACCAGCGATGTATCGTCACTGAAGAGTCCGAGTAGATTCTCGACGATTGCGTCCCCGGCCCCCGTTACAATTACAGAAGCTCCGACATCAGAACTCGCAGCCAAAGCTGCTCTCATGAAATCGAAGATGGAAGGTATTAGATCGTTGTTCAGCATCGAGATAGCTCTGAGTATGGTACATGCAGCCAAGTCAAGCCTTGAACGAGCAGCGCAGTTCGTGAAAATTGGTGGCCGGACAGGTGTGGCCGCGAAGCAACAATGTCAAACCATATTCGTTACCTTGCTGCGCATCCTTGGACAACGCCATGTGATTGTTGGCTTTAACCGGGCGGTAGATCATCTCTCCAATTACCGGCCGCGCGAGCAGGGAGAACGGGATCAATCCGGAGTGGAGCCTCTGGTGACGTTTCTGGAGCTGGTCAACGTTGGTGATCTCATTCTGCAGATGGTTGATGTGTTCTATGAACAAGAACTCGTGAGTTCCAAACTGACCGATCGGAACGATTTCCTCGATCCCGCCGTGAAAGAAAAGAAGAAGTTCGAGCAAATGCTCGATGAGCGCGTCGCTACAGGACTGAGCAAGGGTATTGATGTGCTTATGGAGGAAGTGGACTACATCTTAGCGACACGACAGCTAGCAACAGACTTCAACCCGGGTATCTCCAACGACCCGTACCGACAGACCATGAACGTGGGCGTCACAGAATCCGCCAGTGCCGTGGTTGATGTGGTATCATCACATACGCAGATGCTGGTCGGAAGCACGGATAAGAGCACACTAGATGTTTTCAACCAGGAAGTCGGACTGCGGCTCTTTGCGGCTCTCTGCAAGCATCTGAAGCGCCAACGGATCAGCATTGAAGGTTCCCTCCGATTGATCAGGTAAGAACAACTTTATCTTCTGGGCCGCGGCTTACCAATAAGCCTAAATATTAACGCAAATTATAGCGACATGAATCATTATTTCAAGTTCGTCCAAACGTTACGAAATTCCAACCTTCTCCTCTACTTCAAAGCCTTCCGAGAGCTCTCGCAGATCTACCTGATCGACCCATCGGACGCTAAAGAGCTAGCCACGATCATTGCCGACGCTGGGCGCTTCCAGGGGATTTGGCGCGTAGAGGAAGTATATGAATTCGCCGAGCGGCGCGCAGATTGGTACCAGGTCAAACGCGATGTTGAACGAGCCATGTACGGAATTGGGTGTACTGTTATGTGAGATACCATTGCGATATGATTTCCGATTATACCGATTATACCGATTATTTAGAATTTTGTTTATTTTCAGCGATATCAAAAAAGGCAAACATATAACTGTCTTGACGTCAGCTCGGCGGCTGCTGGAACGGAGCCAGACGCAGTCATCCATCGGCGGTTCCATGTTTCAAGAGGCTATGGATCATATTCATTCTGCATCATAGAAGCGCCAGGCATAAAAATAAAGGCAAAAACAGTATCCACAGAGCCTGTACAGTAACAGAATAAAACACCACCGCCCCTTGGCCATGCCAGGATTAAAAGTCATATTCAGATTTACCATCATTTAACCACTAATATCATGATTTCCATATTCAGCGCATCAAAATGTATACGCATTCTTTGGTTCTGTCTACTCTTCCTCTCACTCGCTCACGCGCAAGAGCAGGAGACCGTCCTCGTCACAACCACACTCACCTCGACGCCAACATCACCCACCCCAGCATCCTATACCTCTCTCAGCGAATTCAAAGACACCGTCCTATCCATCAGCAATAACTACCGCAACGAACACGATGCCTGCACATTAACGTGGAACGACACACTAGCCGACTACTCCCGCAATTGGGCACAGCAATGTAAATGGAAGCATTCAGTAAGCCCCCTCCCCATACATATAGACTTTTACCAGTACCGACAGCTAATAAAGAAAATAGAATGGGCCATACGGCGAAAACCTCTCCTTCGGCTACCCCAACGCCTCCTCCGCCATCGCAGTCTGGGGCGAAGAACGCAAAATGTACAATTTCAAGCTCCCTACGGGCTTCACCGAGGAAACAGGGCATTTCACACAGTTAGTCTGGAAATCCACGACGCAGGTTGGTTGTGCAGCGGTGGACTGTGGGTATGATGATGATGCAAAGGATGAGAAGACCGGGGATTTTGAAAAAGCATTGGGATGGTATGTTGTATGTGAGTATGCGCCGGCAGGGAATGTGGTGGGAAAGAACAAGAAGTGGTTTAAGGCGAATGTTGTGCCGGAGAGGGCGAGAGGCGGTGGGGGAGGAACCAGGTCTGGTCATCAGGGAGATGATGATGATGAGGATGAGGATAAAGATAATGGGGCTGCTAAACGGGAGTATATAGGGAAGGCTGGGCTTTGGTTGGCCATGGTTCATGGTATTTTCTTCATGTTATAAGGACAAATTTCTTTCAAATACTCAATCTATAGTGGATATAATCGAACTTTCTAACGAGGTCATGATTTTCATCTCTCATACTACCAACATTGCACATGATCCACCAGGTGAAATGCAACAGATCTCTCATTTTTTGAATCATCCCACACTCGGATAGGGAAACGGAAGCAGATTTTCTCGCTTCAAAAAGGACACGGTAAAAAAAAAAAGAAAATAGAAAAGGCCACATTAAATACGAACAAGAGGGAAATGAGAAAAGAGTATTTCCAATCAACCAATAACTTCTTCGTGCTCCTCGACGATCTCCTCCACCATCTCCTCGACAACAGTCTCGCCTTGCTCCTCGGCTTCGGGACGTGCGTCCTTGGCCAGCTTGGCCTCGTCTGCGTTCTCGGGGAGGTCGTAGGCCTCCCGCTCCTCGGCCAGGAACTCCTTCTCCCGACGGAGCCAGGCGGTCCACTCGTTGATGACACGCTTGCGGGTCTCCACGACGGCGGTATTGGCAATGTCGACGGCGTACTTGTCCTCCTCTTCGAATTCCTTCGAGTACTCCCGGAGGTTCTTGCGGACTTGCTTCTGTTCTTCCTTGCTGAGGAGGGTTGCGGGACGAGGACGCCAGACGAACTGCTTGAACTTGTCGGTGGGGTGTTCGGCGAGGGTGTTACCGGAGAAGGTGTGGATGCTCCATCCGTTTTCCATCTAAGCGCATGTTAATCAT